TATAGCTGGCCAAAATTACGAACTCAAATCCTTTAATAAGCATTTAAAAATGTTGTGTATTTCATTATGATTTCATTGATTGTGACTGGTTTCATTGATTTTTTTTTGTCTGTTGAGAGACAGCTTCTTCTTAAATTAGTATGCACTTGCTGAAAATGACTCTTACTATTTGATCTTAAAACTAGGGGCTCAGTGCACGAATTCATGTACCTTGAAAAGAACTGTAGACCGCGAGGCTGCGGTGGGCACAGGGGCAGGTCTCGGCCCATCCTCCATTCCCCCATCTGGCCCCTCCCGCCATGGCCCCTGGTCCCCTCTGCCGGCAGCCCCACTCCCGCTGCCGCTCGCACCTGCTGATGGCGCAGAGCGATTGGGGCTGGCACCAGCAGTGGTATGAGCGGGGCCAGCACCAGGGCCAGCGCTGGCAGCAAGTATGAGCAGCGGCTACCAGCCCCTATCACCCTCAGGAGCAGGGGGAGTTGAAGAAGCCCTGAGGGGTGATCGGGACCGGCATCCACCACTTGCACCTGCTGACGGCACCAAGTGATTGGGGCTGGCGCCAGGTGCAGGCAGTGGGTGTGAGTGGAAGCTCTGGCCCCGGCAGTGGGTGCAAGTGGGGCTGGCGCCAGGAGCAGGTGCGAGCGTCCGGCAGGACCACAGTGCCCAGGAGCAAAGAATTTTCAGTAACCACCAGAGACTCGCCCCGATGATAGCAGCCAGCGCCCTGCCTTTTTCTGGTGCCCCTGCTCACCTGCTCCACCGTCCCGCTGCAGCCAACACCTGCCATGTTTCGTGCTCTGCCGCCAACACCTGCCATGTTCTGTGCGCGCGCCCTGGTGGTCAGCACATGTCATAGCGACTGATTTGGTTGTTCCGCTGCTTGGCCTATTTGCATATTAGGGTTTTATATATATACTAGAGGCCCAGTGCACAAAAATTTGTGCACTCGGAGGGGGCGGCCCCTCAGCACAGCCTGTGCCCACTCGCAGTCTGGGACCCCTCAGGGGATGACCAACTGCTGGCTTAGGCCTGCTCCCCGGGGGATTGCGCCTAAGCTTGCAACCAGACATCCCTCTGGCAGCCCGACAGCCCTCGGGGGATGTCCACTTGCCAGCGGGGAGCAGACCTAAGCTGCAGTCAGACATCCTTATTGCTGCTGAGGAGGCAGGAGAGGCTCCCACCACCACCGCTGTACTGGCAGCCATCAGCCTGGCTTGTGGCTGAGCAGAGCTCCCCCATGTGGGAGTGCACTGGCCACCAGAGGGCAGCTCCTGCATTGAGCATCTGCCCCTTGGTGGTCAGTGTGTATCATAGTAACCAGTCATTCCCAATCTTTCTGCTGCTAGGGTCAGTTTGCATATTACCCTTTTACTATATAGGATAGAGGCCTGGTGCATGGGTGGGGGCCGGCTGGTTTGCCCTGAAGGATGTCCCGGATCAGGGTGGGGGTCCTGCTTGGGTGCCTGGCCAGCCTGGGTGAGGGGATGATAGCTGTTTGCAGCTGGTCACACCCCCTTCAGGGTGGGGGTCCCCACTGGGGTGTCTGGCCAGCCTGGATGAGGGGCTGATGGCTGTTTTCAGGCTGGCCACACCCCCTTTAGGGTGGGGGTCCCCACTGGGGTGCCTGGCCAGTCTGGGTGAGGGGCTGAGGGCCGTTTTCAGGCTGGCCAGTGACTTAACTCCCAGGCTCTCCTTTTCTTCTTCTTTTTCTTTTTATTCTGGGATTTATTTACCTTCTATAATTGAAACTTTGTTGCTGTCACTGGAGCTGAGAGCTGGCCTGCTGAAAGCAGGTATCTGGGGTTTGTTTAGCTTCTATAATTGAAACTTTGTTGCTTTTGGAGCTCAGAGCCGGTCCAAGGCAGGCGGGGAACCTTGGCTTCCTCCATCACTGGAGCAAGCAAGCCTCCTGCTCGCATGAGCTGTGTGGCTGCCGGACGCCATCTTAGTTGGCAGTTAATTTGCATATTGCCCTGATTAGCCAATGGGAAGCATAGCAAAGGTATGGTCAATTACCCTTTTGTCTTTTATTAGATAGGATAGATTAGTTTTACACAACTGATTTATTTTACTCTGCTGTAGCAAATCATAATTGCCATTCTTTGTAAAATTTGTGACATACCGTCTCCTTTTAATTCTGCCTCATTAGTGTGCTTTCATTTGAAAGTTAAAATTTTTTCATTCTTACTAGTAAGCTAGAAAAATAATGTTATAGTTAAAAATATATTTCAATTTTACTACCATTTGTGATTTACATAAATATCACTGTAACTCATGCTGTCTTCATAAAATATTCAAATAAAGACATTACAGTGCTGCATTTTTGCAAAGAAAAATAAGTTCAACTGAATCATTCTGTTGACACAAACTACATTGGTGCTCTGCTTATGTATAGTATACTAGAAATGACATGCCCCCATCATGGGTGCTGCAATACATCTATGTGATATAATAAAAGTGAAATATAGTTTCACCAAGACCATAAAATTGTCATTAATTAAAACATATTTTGTACTGCTTCAGCTGTTAAGTAAAATTTTATATTAATTACAACTTTGAAAAATTAAAAGTCAGCCCTGGCCAATTTGGCTCACTTGGTTGGACATAGTCCTGTGCACCAAAAGGTTGATGGTTCCATCCCCAGTAGGGGGCGTATAAGAGGCAGCCATTTGATGTTTCACTATCACATCAATGTTTCTCTCTCTTCCTCTCCCTTCCTCTCTCTCTAAAAATCAACTTAAAAATCCTTAAAAAAATAAAATTCAGTTCCTCAGTTGCGTGAGACATATTAGCACAGCTCTAGAATCTATAGCAACTTACTCACTTTAATGATAAAAGTTCAGAGAGATGAAACAACTAGACCCAATTAAACAAGATTAGTTGGAAGAGACAAGGCCCAAAATAAGTATATTTTGATATATGAAAATGTTACTTTAACAAATGTTAAGTAATTTTATATCCCGGCTGAATGCATGAATTAAATAATTACTTTAATAAGAAAAAAATCTGTTATTTAATTTGAAACAGTTTGTTTCTTTACACAAAGCAACCACTATTGCTTTGTGTAAATAAAGCAATAGGTTACACTATTTATGGAGGTTAAGGGGTTTACTTTTCAATTAGATAGTAGAATATCCTGTCAATACATGAAAGGTGATGTGAATTTCCTTTTAGACTTCATTTCCCAGATGAACACTAGCATTTGGAACACTATTTTTGTTTTGAATAGAGTACTGTTTTATCTGAAATACATGCATAAATATATGCAAACATAAAATGAAAATATAAGGAGGAATTAGAGTAACAGTGCAATTTCCTTCTTCAGTGAATGCTGACTGTTCATGGAAGAACCACGTGCCTTAAGCCCAGATTTAAACAGTAGACTTGACCCTCTTAACATCTTTGCTGAGAGGAACAAAGAATTAAAACTTTTCTCTTACTTAATTTTTTTACATATTTATCATAAAACTGATAATTACTCTCCTGCCATTACTGGTATTTGACCAAAGAGAAACAATCTAGGATGTAAAAGGTGGCTTTTGTTATTTATGGAAATGTTAGGGTTTGACTCTGGGAACTTGGACAGTAGATTAGAGATACTTGATTGACAGCATAGGTAATGTTAATGGGAGGAGGGGGGTGTAAATTATTATATATATAATATTTTAAAGTTTTCAAAAGCATTCATTTAAAATTTTATTCATGAGAATAAAAGACATAAACCATGCTTTTGTATAAAATTTTATTTTTAGTTACTTTGCCCCATTCTCTCTTCATTTTTTAAAATAGATTTGCTGTTTCAGATATGTAAGAAATGGTTTTTGGATTCTGCTAGAGATGACCTAATTTTTGCTAATTCCTATGCATTCAAAGTTTTGTTTGCTCAGAATGGCAGTGTTATTGTCATTATTCCTCAGTAGTTAGGATTAGTGCTTTTATACAAAGCTGATATTCAAAAGAATATATTGGTACTAACTCATAAATTGTTTTTGTTAAAATTGGTCTTATCTCAGGGAAAAAAATTGAATGCTAATGTACAAGTTAAAGTTTATTTATGTGTATTCCTTATGTTATTTGGTTATTGACGTTCTGAAGCATGTGAACACACACACACACACACACACACACACACAGAATCATTTTTAAAGAAAACCTTAAATATCTTTCTTCAAAGCAGTTATCAGTTTTCCAAAAGAGGTGGCCACTGTTTTATACTTTTGTTTTCTAGCATCTCAGAATGAAAAGATTCATTCTTCTCAACCATCTGAATACAATTTATTTAATTAAATTATGTTTAAAACATATAGCTTTATTTTTATTTTTATATATCTTTATTGATTTCAGAGAGGAAGGAAGAGAGAGAGAGATAGAAACACCCATGATGAGAGAGAATCATGGTGGATCGGCTGCCTCCTGCAAGTCCCCCACTGGGGATCGAGCCCACAACCCGGGCATGTGCCCTGACCAGAATCGAACCTGGGACCTTTCAGTTCGCAGGCCGACGCTCTAGCTGCTGAGCCAAACCGGCTAGGGCTAACTTTATTTCTAGTGTTTTTATTCAACTATCCCTACAGGTTAGTTACCTTTTCCCTACTTTTCATTTAAATCTCTCCCTGCCCCCAATTTCTCCATTAATTTGAGTTGGGAATTATCACTTTAAAGCTTTATAAATAGAATTGGTTGCTTTTTATTTCATTTTTCACATATTACGCACCCTAAAAAGAATATAATACAAGTAGCAGTTTATTTCATTTTTGAAGGGGGAATCGAGCTTTTGAATAAAAATGTGAAATAAACTAGTGTTCATTGCCTACGTGGCTTTTTCAAAAGGCTCATAAAAAACATTCCACTGTGGATTCCAAGTCCTCTTTAAACTTGCCACCAACAGAACTGCCTGCAGAGCCATGTGATCATCTTGGCAGCAGCCAGACCTTTTAGTGATTTCATTACTGTGGTTTCCTCAAGCTCTTTACACACATTGATGAATATTTTTCTTGCAGTTATCGCTGTGATGATTTTGTGGTTAATGACACCAAGCTGGGACTGGTACAGAAAGTCAGAGAACACTTGCAGAACTTGGAAAAGTAAGTAAATAAGCAGTGGGGGAAAAAAGGATTGATTGGGGTCGAGAGGTCTTTCTGAATTTTTGAGTGGGGTTTTTGTTTATGAGTTCCATAACTTCATCATGCTTTTAGTGTAATTGAAATGTTAATAAAATAAGCTTTGGGTTTGGCTATCTTAAACTGTGTCCATAGTTAATGGTCATATCTCAGTATTTATTTCATTTAATATTTGTCATAAATATATCCAAGGGTCCCAGGGCCTGTTTTTCAGTTATAACCCACCGACTTGTAGGCTACATGGTTTATTTGCAAGGGGAATTTTGGGGGTGCAAGGAAAGGTCAGAAGACAATATGAAATCTTTATACAGTTACCTTTGATATTAGAAAATCCTTATCAAATGTATTATGAGGTCTTCTTAGAAGCACTAAAGTTTATGTGTTCTTTTTAAGGGAAATTAGGTTTAACTATATTGTCTACTTTGAATCTTTGTGATAGCACAAGATCCTAGTTTCTTTTTTTCCTTTTTGTTTTTCCGTTTTGTTTCCACTGGATAGTACAAGAAGCTGTAAAATGTTTTATTATGTCACCATAAAAAAATTAAAGTACTTATATGAATAGAATTTTCTTGATGTAGCCAAATAGGCCATTCAGATAAAATTCACTGGGCCCAAAATTCAAGCAGTTAAATAAAAATCCAAATAGCAGTGCCTTTAAAGTTGCAATGGATAGAAGCATAGTCCTGGAATGACTGCTGACTCAACTGTAATCTGTGTAAATCATCCTGAGTCATTAGGTGTCATCAAATTTATTGTCACAGTTGATACATAAAAGGTATTATGAGAATACTAGAGGCCTGGCGCACGAAATTCGTGTACTCGGGGGGGGGGGGGTGTCCCTCAGCCCTGCCTGCACCATCTCGCAGTCCAGGAGCCCTTGGGGAATGACTGACTGCCGGCTTAGGCCCGCCCTCTGCAGCAGTTGGACATCCTTAGCACTGCTGCAGAGGTGGGAGAGACTCCCACCACCACTGCTGCGCTTGCCAGCCATGAGCCCGGCTTGTGGCTGAGCAGAGCTCCCCCTGTGGGAGCGCACTGACCACCAGGGGGCAGCTCCTGTGTTGGGCGTCTGCCCCCTGGTGGTCAGTGTGCATCATAGCGACTGGTTGTTCCGCCATCGGGCCGAAACCGGCTCTCTGACATTCCTCGAGGTGTCCAAGATTGCAAGAGGGTGCAGGCCAGGCTGAGGGACCCCACTGTGGGTGATTGGGCCCAGGGAGGAACGCAGGAGGTTGGCCAGCCAGGGGAGGGACCATAGGAGGGCTCCAGGGTGTGTCTGGCCCATCTCACTCAGTCCTGTCAGCCAGACCCCAGCAGCAAGCTAACCTCCTGGTTGGAGCGTCTGCCCCCTGGTGGTCAGTGCACGTCATAGCAAGAGGTTGAGCAGCCTTAGCATATCATTAGGATATTACGCTTTGATTAGTTGAATGGCCGACCAGACACTTAGCATATTAGGTTTTTATTATATAGGATGCCAAAAGCAAACTTAAATGTAAAGCTAATAGAGTATTTTAAAATTGTATACTGAGAGGAAATAACTAAGTTCTTCAAGTGAAACACTATATAGCTTTGGTTAACCAAAGTCTGTATGCATCTCTTTGACTAAATAGATTATAAAGCTGATAAGGGCAGGATTTATTTCTTTAAAATCTAAACTAAAGCACTTTGGGTTTAAGTACTTTTTGGCTTGTCATCTTTTTTTGGCTTTTTTCTTTTTCAAAGCCCTTCTCCCCTTAATTGGAACAAAGCAGTCAGAGCCCTATCTGGATTAGACAAACAGATCCAAAATATTTAATTTTGTCTGAAATAGTCACAATTAACTGTGAAGTAGGAGATTCTTGTGGTGATTGATGCAATATCACTTTTTGGTGTGGTAAAGTCATTGTAAAGATCTTACTACATTGGTGCTTTGTTATAGAAGTGGGTAGCTAGCAGAATATTTTTTCTCTAAGACTACCATCTAATCCATAATAAATTAATCAGAACTAAGTCAAAGGGAAAAGAGAACACTCAGTAACCTGCATGTATTTATGCAGTTATTAATCTTTTATTTTCGTTGACCATTTCATCATGTAAAAGATGTTACAGACCACCTTGTCTACACTTCTACTTGGCCCACTGAAACATCTACCTTGTAATCAGTGTTTTTCCTGTGTTGAAAAACATTACCTACTTTCATTTTTATGTTTTAAACATAGGCTTTAGTTTATAATGGAAGCTACAATTTAAAAACTATGATTACATTTATGTTTTACTTAACTTGAGACTTTTCTGCATATTCTCTAGAGCAGCACTGTGCACTAGAACTTTCTGTAATCTGCAGTGTCCGGTATGATAGCCACTGGTCACATGTGGCTATTGAGCACCAGAAAAGTGGCTAGTGTGCTAAAGAACTAAATTTTAAATATTACTTAATTTTAATTTAAATATATGTTGCCACATGTAGCAAGTGGCTACCATAGTAGACAGTGTGGATCTAGAGGATTTTGCTATTTTGAGACTTACTGATGGTAAATTTTAATAACTTCTGTTTTTAAAAACTAAATGTTTTATGTAGGTTAAAAATAAAGTTAACTATTAGGCATTGTCACTAAGTAGTATATGTACTATGCTTGTGATTCAACTTCTTTACTTACAGAATTTTTGAAGGAATAACTTAACATAGTAGTCTATGGAACTGGTCTGTTCTTACCTTACAGCCACCAACACTGAGAGGGACATGCCGTTCTGAAGATATGTTTCCTATGAGTGTGTTTAGATTTGAAGCAACTATTACTAGATCTGATGCTCCAAAGACTTATTTCATGTGGAAATTCTGGAAAGAGAAATAATTTTGTATTTCCTATGGATAAGCTTAGTATTTTTAGGAGAGGGGAAAGAATTGGCAGACTTGAAAGTCTGTGTTGTTTAATGATAATTTTACCTCCTGATACATAATAATTTTAAAGTGACCCTTTGAAGATAGGACTTACTCTCTGATAAATTTAAGCAAAATATATCTTTCTTTTTAAAAAATATGTTTTTATTGATTTTTAGAGAGAGAGGAAGGAAAAGGAATACAGAGATAAAAACATCAATGAGACATCAATCAGCTGCCTCCTACACGCCCCCCTACTGGGGATTGAGCCTGCAACCCAGACATGTGCCCTGACTGGGAATCAAATTAGCGACCTCTTGGTTCATGTATCAATGCTTAACCACTGAATCACATGGGCTGGGATAAAGTATTTCTTTCATGAAGAGAAATTTAAACAATTTTAATTCAGAATTTCTGTGCTAATTAGTATTTGTTTTAGAATATCCTTTCTAGCATAGCTGGATCAAATGAATTTGTATATGTCTATACTTTTTTATCATTTCACAAACTCAGATTATGTCATAGCCTAATACGACAAATGAATAAAACATGATTGATATCTTTATCAAAATTATAAAAGAAGTAGCACAGTATTTGAGACTTATGATAACTCTTAAAATAATCTTGTCAGACCAGGGTTTTCTTTTTGTTATGAGGAATGACTGTTCTCATTTTTTGAAGCTTCACCTAGGCAGTTAGAGTGGTGGTGGCAAGGGGTTGTCTCACAGGCTTTATCTACCTGGCCAGCTTTTCTTGGAAGTACCTGGTGGTGGCTTCTTCTGGTTCATCTTGCTGAAGGAGCGTAGGGCTTTTCCAGGAAGTGGAGCTCCTCAGTTACTTCAGTACTTTGTGGGCCACAGTGGACCTAATAGGTCATTTCCTCGCCTGACTAAGCAGCAAGGCAAGGCTCCATACCCTAGACACTAAGAACAGCCAAGTTTATTCTCTAAAACCTTCTGTGAAGTCTGTGTACATTAATGTCTTTTTGATTGTTTGTTTGTTTGTGTTTCAATAGCTCAGCTTTCACAGCTGACAGGCATAGGAAAAGAAAACTTTTGGAAAACTCATCACTAAACAGCAAGTTACTAAAAGTAAATGTAAGTAATTAAAATTTATTCAAATATAAGAATTGGTTGAGATATAGTCTGCTTTATTACATTAATGTTGGTCCTTATACACTTTTATAAGTATACTAGAGGCCCGGTGCACGAAATTCGTGCATTGGGGGAGGGGAGGTCCCCTCAGCCCAGCCTGTACCCTCTCCAATCCGGGACCTCTCACAAATCTGGACTGCTGGCTCCTAATTGCTCACCTGCCTGCCTCCCTGGTCACCCCTAACTGCCCCCCGCCCCCACCGGCCTAGTCGCCCCTCACTGCCCCTCCCCCCGCCAACCTAATCGCCCCGAACTGCTACCCCATGCCGGCCTGGTTGCCCCAAACCGCCCCCCCCCCCCCCGCTGGCCTGGTTGCCTCTTACTGCCCTTCCTGCTGGCCTGGTCACCCCCAGCTGCCCCCATCTGCTGGCCTGGTTGCCCCTAACTGCCCCCCCGCCAGCCTGGTCACCCCTCACGGCTTCTCCGCTGGCCTGGTCACTCCACGCAACCTGCTGTTTAGTCATTTGGTCGTCCCTCACTAACCCCCCTGCTGGCCTGGTCGTAGGCAGCCATCTTGTGAGGGTGTGAGGGTTAATTTGCATATTACCTCTTTATTATATAGGATGCCTTGGATTTGGAATATTTTATAAAATGTTTGCCATTTGTACCAATGATTCTTAATGTGGCTAAATACCCCAATGAGTCCATCTGTCAGTGCCTTTCTTTTGTCAGGATTGCCACTGTACTCCTCTGCCTTAGCAAGAATTTGTGTGTGTTTTTAAAAATTATTTAATTTTATTGACTATATTGGGGTGACATTGGTTAATAAAATTATATAGGTTTCAGGGGTACAATTTTATAATACATCTGTATATTGTATTGTGTGTTCACCACACCAAAGTGTTTGTTCTTAATGCCTACGCACGTACCTTATTACAACGTTTCTGTAAGATGCAAAGATCCTTGCTTTCTGTTAAAGGTCCCTAGTATAAAATCTATGGGTCTGAAGTATTGGTATTTTATTTCTTAGGACTTTATTAATACAACTTCACCATAAGAGAATATGCTTCCTCATTCTGGTAACCATCTGTTACCAGATGTATGAGCCATTAATGGATTAGCAAAATTTTAAAATCATGAAATATTTATTTATTTTGAAACAATTTTTATTGATTTTAGAGAGAGAAGGGAGAGATAGAGAAAGAAACAGATGTGAGAGAGAAACACCTATTGGTTGCCTCCCACACGTGCCCTGACCAGAATTGAACCCACCACCTTTTGGTGTGCTGGACGACGCTCCAACCAACTGAAACACACCACAGCCAGGGCAAAATCAGAAAATATTTTAATAATTTTACCCTGCATCTACCTCTCTGCTCTCGTGCTAGCTATGTAGAGACACACTCTTAATCAAAGTGTTAACGATTTTGTGGAAGAAAGAGCTAAAGTGTTCTCTGGCCAACTGAATTATGGTCAGAGATGCTTTGATTTGGATGGGTAGATTCACTTTCAATGTTCAGGTGTAGTATTCAGATGTCATGATGAACTTGTAGAGCTAATTAGAAAACCAAGCCTTAGTTTAAGGGAAATTCAGGTAGTTTTTTAAGATTAATACTCTATTGCTAGAAAAACATATATTGGTCATTTATGCATGGCTTAGAGTTAAAAGTTTGGTGACAGAAATAGTTGGTGTGTATACATTTATATTTTTTGTAACGTGTAGTAGTTTTAATAGAATCTTGTAACGACATTAAGTCTTAATTTTTACTTCTTTTAAGGATCTTCCTGGTTTTTGCATTGTGTACTACACGGTACTTATTAATGCTGCTTTCCTCATAAGCGTCCACAAGATACTTCCATTTAGAACAGTCCCAGGATTAGAAACAACCGTCTAAACATATGTAGATACTTATACAGAGAATATAAACAGAGTTTGAAATATTAATTGGACAGAAAAGGACCAATTCTAGATTGGCTTGAAGTTGGAGTTTCAAATATACGCCTTTGCTTTGCTTTGATGTTTGAAAAAGTCGGCCTTCTCTTGGCATTACTGATGGGCCTCTCCTTGTCCCATTTTACAGGGAAGCACCACTGCCATTTGTGCCACAGGCCTTCGGAATTTGGGGAACACGTGTTTTATGAATGCCATCCTTCAGTCACTCAGGTAATATGACAGAGCTTAAGTATCTGCTGTTAGTTTCTAGTGGAATAGTTAAGAGCAAAGGCTATGGGTTCAGATCCTCTCTGCCATTGACTCTAGTCATATGGCTTGGGGCAAGTTACCTCAATTCCTTAGATTTCTCATCAGTAAAATTGGGGATAATAATTCTACCTCACAGGTAATTGGGTAGTGTATAATGTAACTTATATAAAGTGCTTATTAGAAAAGTGCCTTGCATTAAATAACTGCTGGCAGTTATTTATTTTCTGTTGCTTCTTGAATTGGCTAGAGCAGAGACCAGCAAATTTCTTCTGTAAAAGGCCAAATTAAATAAATATTTTTTAATCTTTGCCTGCCACATACAGTCTCTCACATATTCTTTTCCCCTCAATCGTGCCCTTCCCCCCATTTTTAAACATCTGTTTTAAAATGTAAAAGCTCACTGGCCCAGGGCCAGATATGGTGTGTGGGCTGTAGTTTGCAGACTCCTGGGCTACAAGGAACCTTGTTCAGAAAACTTATTTGAATCATTAGTTGAGCCTTAAGTGTAGTCATAAGATTGGATGTTTAGAAGATCTTCAGACTGTAAGATAAGCAGTAAAAATAAAATGGTCACGAAGGCTGCCCTAAGTTGTATAGCATAAATTATTTTGAAAGTTGTGTACTTTTAGATTTTAATGAGCCATCAAAAGTCAGAATAAATTATCTTCCCAAGACCACCTTGGGAATAAGGCAGAAGCCATATTTTATTTCTTCTTAAAGGTACTGTTAGCTTATCCAGTTTGCCCAAAGAAGAAATTTTAGTCACTACTGAATTCTCCTTGTTACTCTTTATAGTGTCTCTAAACAATATGTTTGGTTTTATGGGTTATTTTTATTTGAGGGAATTGTTGACCACCTACAAGCACTCTGAGAAGAAAGAAATGGTGACAACCATTTCTAAAGATGTGTGGGGAGGGGAGATTGAGGATTTTTTTGAACAGAGATTTTGTTTTAAGATCTTTGTTCATTTCTGCAGTCATCTATTTATACTTAGTATTAATGTGGGAACTTAATGATGATACCCAGTGCAAGAGAATACATTGAGTACAATTTAAATGAAAAATTGAGATTGTGTTTTCACAAAATCCATATGTAGGTTTCATAGAACTTTCTTTACAGTAAATTCAAAAAAATAATTTTCTTCCCTTCCTTTTTAAATAGTAACATTGAACAGTTTTGCTGTTATTTCAAAGAACTGCCTGCTGTGGAGTTAAGGAATGGGAAGACGGCAGGAAGGCGAACATACCACACCAGGAGCCAAGGGGATAACAACGTGTGAGTTCTAAGACTATATCCTTTCTGGCTTTGATACAAAACAAAAGACTCTTACTGGTGATTTCCATTGCATATGTGAGTTCACAGGCACATACATTTTTAAAAAACTCTTCTAAAAATTGTGTTTAAGTATCTAGCAGGTAATCGTAATAATTGTTGAAATTCTTTTACATGTATTTTCCTAAAAGCCAGCATAAATTTAGCACTCTACTTACTGAGCCTTTGTGAATTTGGACATTCTAAAACTGACATCTATATATGAAATACAGGTTTAAGTGTAGACCAGCATGAATATCACTAGTCTTTGTGAATTGACTTGTCTGATATTGTTAGGAAAACCTGTCTTGGATAGTAAAATTAAATTGTACTCATCAAATTAATTACAGGGACAATACAGTTAATTTTTCATTGACATGAAGAGGGGAAGAATTGATAAGTGATTCTTGAGAACCAGTATCTATTCCGTGCAGCCACACACTATTTGGGGTTTAGAAGATCTATCATATTATCATGATTGTAAGGGGCACATTTTTTACATATCTTACCATTACTGTAACAGGTCTATGGTTTATAATCTGGTGTGTGTTTTTTTTTTATTCTTACCCGAGGATATTTTTTCCATTGATTTTTAGAGAGAGTAGAAGGGAGAGGGAGAGACAGAGAGAAACACTGATGTGAGAGAGATACATCGATTGGTTACCTCCTTCATGCCCCCAACTAGGGCTGGGAGCCTGCAACCAAGGTATGTGCCCTTGACTAGAATCGAACCTGGGACCCTTCAGTACGCAAGCTGATTATCTATCCACTGAGCCAAACCGGCTAGGGCAGTGGTTGGCAAACTGCGGCTCGCAAGCCTCATGTGGCTCTTTGGCCCCTTGAGTGTGGCTCTTCCACAAAATACCGACTTCTGCGCATGGGCCACGAAGTTCCAATCACACTGTACATGCGCGCCCGCACATGTATTTTGTGGAAGAGCCACACTCAAGGGGCCAAAGAGCCGCATGTGACTCACAAGCCACACTTTGCTGACCACTGGGCTAGGGCATCTGTGTATGCTTTTAATGTAATGTTTTCCCTGCCTGCCCATCCCATACCCACACCCCCATCCCACACATTCCAAATAGCCGTCTTATAATCTGGTACTGTTCTGCCTAGGTGGCTGAGGGAGAATAGGATAGAACATGTTAGACGAGTATACCAGTATGGTTAGCGCCAAAATATGGGGCAACTTTAAAGCCAGGCATTGAAGAGGGATGGAATGACATCATTGGAAGTGGTGTTTTCTTTGCCTGGCTGGCATGGCTTAGTGATTGAGCATTGACCTATGAACCAGGAGGTCCAGGTTCAGTTCACGGTCAGGGTACATGCCTGGGTTGTGGGCATGATCCCCAGTAGGGGGTGTGCAGAAGACAGCTGATCAATGATTCTCATCATTGATGTTTCTCTCTTCCTCTCTGAAATCAATAAACATATTTTAAAAAAAGAGTTCACTTTGATAACAGCATATAGGATGAACTGGAAAATGCCTGCATTCAGGGAGGCTTTACACTCCATAGTAACTAGAGGCCCGGTGCACGAACTCGTGCACAGGTGGGGTCCAGCCGGCCTACCCTGATAGGGGTGGAGGGGCCCTGATCAGGGGTGGGGCCAGCCGGGTGGAGGGGCTGTGGGTTGTTGGCCAGCTGGCCCCCACCCCCTGGTTGAACTCCCAATCAAGGGGACAATTTGCATATTAGCCTTTTATTACATAGGATTGGGTTGGAGGGGATAGAGTGAAATGTAGAGGAAAAAATGCATGTGCACAAAACTGAAGGGAAGAGTGAGTAGTACTTGATGCATTAATATCATTCAGGGTTTAGTTACAAACTGTAGAAATTGCTTCTGGCCATGTTAAGCAGAAAAGGAACTTATTGGAGGTCTAATTGGTGTGCTCACCATTACTGGATGGGTAGAAAATCAGGTATGAAGTCTAGGCATCTAGAACCAAAGCCACAATCACCCCCACAGAACTTCCCCATGAAAACATCACTGCTTTTGCTGCCCAGTGCAACTCGAGCTCCCACTGCTGGCACTACTGGATCTGGGTGCTTGGTGAACTCCAGATGATGATTTTTGCCACCAGAAAGGATTTGGTACTGTCCCAGCTTCTTTGCATCACTAACACTTGCTTCAGATAGGCAGAGCCCAGGCCTTGTATCCAATTCCTGCAGTGGGGGTGGAGGGATAGGCTGGGAAAGCAAGTATCTGGACTTTCCAGCTTCCATAGTGGTAGACAGGCTCTGACTCTCACCAAGACTCAGGTGGAGATTTCCTCAAACAAGTCCAGGCACTAAGTAAAAAATATGCTTTGTATTCCAGGGACCTACAGGATAACAGGTTGAGAAAGAAGATACTGAGATTCCCTGAGTTATCAGTTAGCTATTCATGAGTATGGTAGTTGTGTTGACAGATAGAGTCATTGAAGTTGAGGAGGTGTATCAACTTAGCTACATGCATAGATAACCAAAATTAACCATGACTTAAACATCCACAGTTTATTTTCTCATGCAAGAGTTAGACATTTCTAGTTTTTAGGCTCCGTCTTGCTCTCTGTGCCGTCAGCCCTGGGATGGGGCTCTCAGCCACATAGTCCAAGACGGTGCTGGAGTGCCACCAGTTCATCCTCATTTCAGCTAGAAGGAGGCAGGAACGGTTAATAAGGACTATTTCTCTTTAAGGAAATTTCTCAGAATTTAAACACACTCAAAGTTTTTTATTTCAGGAATTTATGTGCCAAAGGGAAAAAAGGAAGTTTTACTCCTATGGAGAAGATGAGAATGGATATTGGGGGACAATAGGGAGAGCACAGAGAGGAGGTTCAGTGCACATTGGGTTTGAAGTGGCAGGAGGACATTCAGTGGAAAATTCCTGTTGGAAGCTGGAGAAACCTGAATAAAAGTGGTCATGAGAGCCGAAACCGGTTTGGCTCAGTGGATAGAGCATCGGCCTGCGGACTGAAGGGTCCCGGGTTCCATTCCGGTCAAGGGCATGTACCTGGGTTGCGGGCACATCCCCAGTAGGAGATGTGCAAGAGGCAGCTGATCGATGTTTCTCTCTCATCGATGTTTCTGACTCTCTATCTCTCTCCCTTCCTCTCTGTAAAGAAATCAATAAAATATATTAAAAAAAAAAAAGTGGTCATGAGAAAATGTGGCTTTTAGATTTGGATTTTTGAGAGTCATTGGTATGGAGCTGAACGTTGAAGCTTTGTGGTCAGATGGACTCTCTGAGGCAGAGATGAGCAGATGTCACACTGAGGTCTGAGAAGTGCTCCTAGTGAGGGGCAAGAAGGAGAAATGAAGATTTTAAGTTTTAAAAATGTATATTCTTAAATAATTAGGTTTGTAACTTTCTCATTGCTTTATTGTACAAGTATGACAGTATTTTGGCACAGACTTCACCATAGGGTTACAAAACTGGTTTTGTCAGTAATTACTGCTATTTACATGGTTTTTTGAAATGCTTTTACTTAACTGTCAGACTTAGCTTAGAAGAGACCAGGCCTTCTTTATGTTTTTATTTTTAATTTATTATGAACTTTAGACAGTTGGACATTATGCCTTGAAATAATAGCCTCTCATTAATGCGCAGGGTCTTGTCCCTTCCTCTTTTGCAGGTCTTTGGTGGAAGAGTTTAGAAAGACACTCTGTGCTTTATGGCAAGGTAGCCAAACTGCATTTAGCCCAGAGTCCTTATTTTATGTTGTTTGGAAGATTATGCCAAATTTTAGGTAAGTATTATTTAACGAAAGGTACTTAAAATATTAATATTAGTCTTTATACTGTTCCTGAAACAATTTCCAATGAAGTGGTGGTATTGTAAAGACTGGTTTTGCTCTTTTCTTTTTTTTAAAGGAAGAGAACAGAAGTTGGATATATCTGACTAGACAAATGTTTGTTTAAATAATAGATATTTGAATGTCTTTAACAAAGGGTAGGGTATTTTGTTATAAAAACAAAGCCCCGTTTCCATGTCTTAGCTATTATAAACAACTATGAACATAGGGGTGTATATATTCTTTCAGATTGGTGTTTCAGGATTCTTAGGATATATTCCTAGAAATGGGATTACTGGGTCAAATGGCAGTTCCATTTTTAATTTTTTGAGGGATCTCCACACTGTTTTTCCATAGTGGCTGCACCAGTCTGCATTCCCACCAGCACTGTACTAGGGTTCCCTTTTCTCCACATCCTCGCCAACACTTGTTGTTAGTTGATTGACTGATTGATGGTAGGCATTCTGGCAAGTGTGAGATAACTCATTGTCATTTTAATTTGCATCTCTCTGATGATTAGTGCCCAGATGAGCAGATAAAAAAGCTGTGGTACATTTATACCACAGAATACTATGCAGCAGTAAAAAAGAAGGATCTATTACCCTTTGAGACAGCATGGAGGGACCTGGAGATTACTATGCTAAGTGAAATAAGCCAATTAGAGAAAGACAAATATCACATGAACTCACTTATATGTGGAATCTAATAAACAAAATAAACTGATGAATAAAACAGAACCAGTGGCATGGCAACATGGAACAAACTGATGAATCTCAAAGGGAAGAGGGGAAGGGGGTGAGAAGAGATTAACCAAAGAATTTATATGCATATATACATTGCCTATGGACACAGACAATAGGGTGGTGAAAGCCTGGGGTGGGGCAGGAAATGGGGAGGGGAGCAGTGGGAGGAGAGAAGAGGGGACATCTGTAATACTCTCAACAGTAAAGTTTATTTTTAAATCCCTTATGAATTATTTAATGTGCTCTAGGAAAACATACTGGACAAAATTTCCTTGATTCTTTCAAAACCTTACAAAGAATAATTACTATCATACACTATCTTATTATTTCAACTAAAAAAAAATCCAAATGTAAACAGTAGATGTCTATGGTATTATATCCACAGTTCTGCTCTGGGTCCTGAAGGTTTTAGGAGACTGTAGTCAAGTCCATTGGGATTCACTTTCTAGAAGGTTGCTGGGTCCCATCCTAATGTGGCTTCAGAGTCCCTGTGTTTTCTGTGCTCGCGGTATAGCCTCGCTGAGTAGGGAGAGAGCCCTGCTGTCCATCCCTACCTCCCCTCCTATCTTAGTCCTGTTTTATTCATCAGCCCTAGCACTTCAGGTAATAGCAGATTTGGGCACCGCAGGTGTTTGACAATAGCTGTTACCACCTTGTTGATTTTATCCTTCTGAAGCAATCATGGTTCTTACTACTCAGGATTTAGGCACCTAATGTACATCCCTCTCCTTGTTTTGTTTTAAACTAAATCAGCATGCTGTAGTGAAACTTAGCATAAACCTTGCTCTATTGCCTACTAGTGGCTTAGATATATGGGTGGTATAGAGAAATGTTTAAAAGGTAGTAACTTTAAAGAACTGTAAGTTGTTGTGATTGACTATTGTTACCCCTGATCTTTGTTTTGAAGGAAACTTCTTTTATGTATATCATGCCATGTAAATCTCTCAGGAGAGACTGATTTTGTAAGAATTTTAAGATTTCTTGACTCTTAAGTAGGAAAGGTGAAAATGACTATTAAGTTACTACTGATCTGGTTTGGACTTAATATAAAATTTCTGACACACCTAGTTAGACTGTTGATAGGGATTTAATCTTTATGTTTTATTGTATAAAATAGTTATTTATTTCTTTATTTTTAAAATATTTTTTTTATTGATTTCAGAGAGGAAGGGAGAGAGAAACATCAGTGATGAGAGAGAATCATTGATTGGCTGCCTCCTGCACACCCTCTACTGGGGATCGAGCCCGCAACCTGGGCATATGCCCTTGACCAGAATCGTACCTGGGACCCTTCAGTCCACAGGCTGACACTCTATCCACTGAGCCAGACCAGCTAGGGCTAGTTGTCATTTATTGAATGCCTACTATGTGCCTAGCACTTTAGATCTTTTATATCTGATCTTCATTAAAAAACACAACAAAATTCCTGTCAAGGTAGGAAGTGTTCGCCCCATTTTAAAGAAGACAACAATGAGACAGAGGAGGAGCAATGTGTTTGGTTTTGTACAGCTAGTAAATGTCAGGACCAGTATGAGAACCAGGTCTTTGTGGGGTTGGTTAATGATAGATCTTTTAACAGTAATTTGTCCACGTGCCTGAGTGAGGCCAGCAACTAACTCCATACTGTTCTGCTTGGTCCCCATGATGACTCAGGCCCCTCGTTCTTAACTGGGAGTTTAGAAACATTATGAAACCTTTATTCAGTAGAATTCTACTTTTCCTATAAATCTGCCCATCTCTCTTCCCTTTATATTTTCTGTAGCTCGACTGTGATTTTGTTTTTTTTTTTGTGTGTGTGTGTTTTTTAAAAGAATAGTTTATTGATTTTGAGAGAGAGAGAAACATCGATGTGAGAGCACATTGATCAACTGCCCCCTGCAAGCCCCGCAATCCAGGCATGTGCCCTTGACCGGGAATGGAACCGGCAACCTCCTGGTACATGGAAAGATGCCCAACCAACTGAGCCACACCAGCCAGGACAAATTAACATTTTCTTCATTCATTCTTTATTGGGACATTTCTTTCTTTTAAAGATTTGGGTAAATATTGGTTGCCTCATTATGCCAGAAATTGTTGTGAAGAGCCAGTTGCCCCGTGTGCCTATTCATTGTGCTTCAGTATTGCCCTTCTCAGCCTCTCGTTCAGAAGGGATGGTTCATGACCCTTTAGGCTTTTTGTATTTGCAGTGTGCTTCCCAACAGTTATTTCTCACAGCATCTTTAGGACACAGATTTCCTGTAGACATTAAGGAGAAGGAGGTCATTTTTAAGGTAAAACAAGTGACGATAAGGAAGTGCTAAAATTGGAGCCATTTTTATTCCCCTCTTCTCTCATTTCTGCTCTGTCAGAGATGCCAGTGGGTTCTTCATATACCCATTTCCTCAGTAACTCACAAACACCTGTTTGGGTGACATCCATGAAATAATTTGTATACAAAACACAAACACTGCACCCACATGAGAGCAGTGTTTCCTTTAATGTGATTAACAAGAGAAACTTAAGTTGACTACAGAGAAAACTCTGAAGCTCATAGTGTATATTTGGCAGATAATTAAAAAGGTAACTGAAGTTTGTTGAATTTAACATACTAAATATTTATTAAGACTTTCAGATAATTCAATAAAAGGTTTTATTTAAATGTTTAAAAATGGAATGATAAATGTCTCTTTAGTCAGAATCAGAAAATGTTCCTAGTCTTAAAAGAGACTGTTTTCTGGTAAAGATCACACATTAAAACAAAAACCCATAACTTACCTTTATAAAAATGCTGAGTGTTCCATGATCTCATGTAGGTAAAAAGTGTTTTTCCAGCCCTGACTAGTTTGGCTCAGTGGCTAGAGCAGTGATGGTGAACCTTTTGAGCTCGGCGTGTCAGCATTTTGAAAAACCCTAACTTAACTCTGGTGCCGTGTCACATATAGAAATTTTTTGATATTTGCAACCATAGTAAAACAAAGACTTATATTTTTGATATTTATTTTATATATTTAAATGCCATTTAACAAAGAAAAGTCAACCAAAAAAATGAGTTTGCGTGTCACCTCTGACACGTGTGTCATAGGTTCGCCATCACTGGGCTAGAGCGTTGGCCTGTGGACTGAAGAGTCCCAGGCTCGATTCCAGTCAAGGGCATGTACCTTGGTTGCGGGCACATCCCCAGTAGGAGGTGTGCAGAAGGCAGCTGATCGATGTTTCTCTCTCATCGATGTTTCTAACTCTCTATCCCTCTCCCTTCCTCTCTGTAAAAAATCAATAAAATATATTTTTTAAAAATGTGTTTCCAATGGTAAAAAAAACACATTAGAATATAATGTATTTTGATAAAAGAATATAAAATCATGGTATGGTTGGAATCATTCATTAGTACATTAGGAACATTTTTTTTTATTTTTATTTTTTTTTATTTTTATTGCTTAAAGTATTACAAAGAGTATTACATATGTCTCCTTTTTTTTCCTCCTTGACATTCCCCCTAGGAACATTTTTTTAATGTATTTGATGAAAATGCAAATTGGCATAACTACAGAGTACTGGTTTTTCATGATCCATTTTAGAAACATGATGATTAGATATCAGGTTATTTTGGTGAAGGAACGAAACTATTTTTATATGTGTAGAACTTCACACATGTCCTAAAGTAGTAACACTACCTTTGAGTCATGAAAAGAAAAAAAGGATGTTGTATTGAAAAGGTTTAAAGCACCTCGTTAGGTACATAAAGGAACTACCAACTTTGAATGAATAGTTTTGACTGTGAATGTTAACATTTATTCATATGAATATTAGAAGAAATATTTGAACACATGTTGAAATTTAGTAGCTAAGTAGTTCAGAAAAAGTTATAGTGCAGTGCTGAAGTGACTTCTGATTTAAGTTTCATTGATTAGGCAGACTGTTTTCATAATTTCTTATTTCCAGGAGAAATTTCAGGAAAAGGGGGAAATATATAGATTGAGGGGAACTCTGGTTGAAGGAAATTTTGTTTATGGAACCATTGCCTGGAAGAGCGGTGGAAGTTTTGACTCAAGACCAAGCCAGAAAACCTTGAGATTTAGAGGATAGATTAAAGAGAACCTCCCATGCTGGCAAAATGTAGGCAGAAGTCTTTTCCATCAACAGTTTTATGCAAGTATCTTATATTTCATTGCTTGATTTATTTTTTTCTACATAAACCTCTGTGACCTTCCAGTTGTATCAGCTTTATTTTCTGTCAGTCTTCATTTCTGTTTACTTGTCATCAATCTGCATTAGTATAAGAATTCCACGTAATTTCCTAGTTGAATATAGTGAAAGAAGTAACCTAAGAATATGTTGCTGTATATATTCAAATTTTAGGATAAAAAATAATTGCGTATGAGTCAATGCATTTTTAAAAGTATTTATTTAAAAGTGTCTTTGGAATCGAGATTAGGATTTAGGTATAGAATGTTAGATGTCTTCTTAACTTTTTAGAAAATTTTTCTTTTCCTTTCAGCCAGTGCTTAAAAATTAGTATCTTTCAATTAAAGAATTAGTTTTAGATTCCTTATTTCATGTGGTGGTGGTTTAGATCTAGTTTTATGGTGAGGTTAAGATGTGAAATTTTAACATTTGAGCATCTTCTGGAGGGGCCAGTGGGACAGTGGGAAGATTCAGAGTCCATCCAGGAGAGAGACATGGGTTATAGCTCTGTCTCTGCAGGACTTTAGGCAAATCACACCCTCACACCCCATTTTTACCTCATCTCTAAAGTGGGGTCAGTTGAGATTACTACAAGTCCAATTAGCTCTAAAATTCCATGTTTTCAAACAGAATTATTTTTCTTGTTGAGAAATTTTGTGTGTAAAACATGGAGCATGTGGAGATGAAAAGTCTCCAGGAGCCTCGCTGTGTCTGAGCTCTGAGCGCAGGGCTATATCTCCGCCCCATGCTTTTCCCTCCTGTGGCTTTGGCTGGGCAGGTGGAGCCTCCTCCGTGACAGACTGTTTCTGTTTGTTTCAGGGGCTATCAGCAGCAGGATGCCCATGAATTCATGCGCTACCTTTTGGACCACCTGCACTTGGAACTCCAGGGCGGTTTCAATGGTGTTTCCTGCTCACCAATTCTGCAGGAGAATTCTACCCTGTCTGCAAGTAACAAATGTTGCATGTAAGATTTAATTTCCTTTGCTGTTTTAGGAGCACCTCAGATATTTCTGTTGGTGTTATTGTTTGTTAGATTTATAATGGGAGTGGAGAGTTTCCCTTAATCTTTGCTACGAATGTTTGCTCTTGAACTTTGTGACCAGTGGACTGGCACATGCCTCCCACTTCCAGACCAGAGGCATCTTGTATTTGCATCTTGGTGTAGTTCTGATTGTTATTTGGGATAGATCATTTTAAAACTTGAAAAAAAAATAGAAAATATTTGTACAATTTAGCACTTAAAAGTTTTCCTCCAGATGTACTGAAGAATGGCTCAAAGACTTAATTTTAGTATATTAAAAGTAATTATATTTGTTCACTAAAAACAAAGGCTTAAAATATTTGAATGTGAATTTTCCTAATGCCTCATTCTGGACTTGAATTTTCTTTAAGTATATCTGCTCTTTATTGCAATTGAGGAATTTGTAAGTTCTTGAAAATTTTTCTTACCTCTTGATATGAACAAAATAAACCTTTTAGGTTGCTTTTTCAAGTACTAATAACTCAGAATTGACATTGAGATTATTATGTTTATTTTGCTTGAGAAATAGATGTTTTATGATATTTGAGCTTGGATATTAGTTAATTGTAGTTTTCTTCTGTTCGTATTTTTGAAAAGTTTGTGTTGACCTATGTAGGAAAGGGATTTATAAGACAAACTCCCCAAAGAAAGAAAGAGTAGGGAATATATAGAGGTTGTAATATTGCCTGGAAGTTGCTAAGTCTGATTTATAAGATAAGGTCTTTTGAATGACTAAGCAGCCTCATAGCTAATCTGGCTGTGTCAGAGAAGGGTAACCAGTATGAATTTCCATACTTCTCAAAATGTTTGACCTTCTAGGCCCTGGAAGGTTAGCTATGGTTCCAATTAGAATCTAGCACAGAAAGTCTGCCTGCAGGTGTAGCTCAGTGGTTGAGTGTCGACCCAAGAATCAAGAGGTTGCTAGTTCGATTCCTGGTCAGGGCAAATGCCTGGGTTGCAAACTCAATATTGATGTTTCTCTCTCATCGACGTTTCTATCTCTCTATCCCTCTCCCTTCCTCTCTCTAAAATCAATAAAAAAATTTTTTTTTAATTAAAATAAAGGGAATTACCTATGTCTGGAAGAATTGTTCTTGCTGCTAGCACCAAATTAAAAATAGTATTAAATGAAAAATTTTGTTTTGTATTTTGACTTGATTGGTATCCTTTTCTCAGAGGCAGAAATGATAAAGGAAGGACTACACTGAGTTTAAATGTTCTGCTTTGAAATAGAGTAATTTCTCTTTAAATTAAAGGCAGCATTGTATGTGAGTCAGTATGAGAGGATCAGTCAGAGTCTCTTTATTTTCAGTAGTTATTTTTTGGGTATGCCTTTTGTTTATGACACAGATACTAAACCTAACACCTAAAATGGCCATTGTGTTCTACAGTTCCCAATATATCTTCCCTTTTTTTAAACTTATAAACAAAAGCCAAATATCTTATGAACAACTTAAGAAAATAATAAAGCTGCAATATATTTCTTTTTCCAGTAAAGGAAGGAAGCCAAAGGAAGCAAACGTTTAAAATAATAGAATTGCCTATCTCATCACTGCAGTTGATTCAGAGCAGTTCAGAAAGTACAGCTCAATGTATTAGCATTATTGATTGCAAGTGTCAGAAAGCACCTCAAATTTCTATTAACATAGAAGCATTTACTGGCTGAAGTTAACTGTTTAAGTGCACAAAGGGTGATATGTAAGTGTATGTTGTAGTACAATTAATGACAGTAAAATATTGAAACAATCTCAGTGTCCATTAATATTATATTGGTTAAGTTAAGAGCAAGAGCATAGTGTTAAGAACAGCTGCTTAGGCCAGACTAGCTGTGTGACCTTGGGCCAGGTTACTTAACCTTTTGGACTTCATCTTCCTGGTCTGTGAAATGGGGATAATCATGTCTACCTCATAGAGTTTTTGTGTGGGTTAACTGAGTTAATAAATACAAAGTACTTAGAATGGTGCTTTGCATGTGCTATTATGATAGCACTAGAGGCCCAGTGCACAGATTCGTGCACCAGTGGTGTCCCTCAGCGTGGCCTGTGGGGATTGGGCTGAAACCGGCAGTCCAGTGCTGCCTGCCACTCCCATTCATCCTGGCCCCACTACACCTGCTGCGGGCTCGCGCCCAGTCAGTCCCAGTTAGGAGAGCTGTGAGCCGTGTCTGGTGTCCGTTGGTCAGCTGAGTAGTGCTCCCACTGTGGGAGCGTACTGACTACCAGGGGCAGCGTCTGCGTTGAGTGTCTGCCCCCTGATGGTCAGTGCACGTCATAGCGACTGGTCATTCAGTTGCTTAGGCTTTTATATATATAGACTAGAGGCCCGTTGCACGAAGAGGTTCATGCAATAGGCCTTCCCTTCCCCTGGCTGCCAGTACCGGTTTTCCTCCGGCACTCAGGACCCAGGCCTTCGCTATGGATAGAGCCTTAAATCTTCATGGCTCCGGACGGAGACATCAGTCTTCCCTCCACCGCTTCGTGCCTACATATGCAAATTAACCACCATCTTTGTTGGGTTAATTTGCATACTCTCCTGTTTGGCTGGTGAGCATAGCGGAGGGACGGTCAATTTACACGTTTGTCTATTCTTAGGTAAGATGCTCTCACTAGCGCACTTTCTCAGTTATTCTTGTGTTCATTCTATGTGCATACTGTGGCATGCCATGCAGCTGTCAAAAAAGTGGGGTACATGTTCAAAATATGTACTTAAGGAAATAAGAGCAAAAAGCAGGTATGATCCTAATTATTTAAGGGCTTTCTTTTTGGTAAGCACTTGCCTAAATGCACTATACATACATAACTCATTTCATCTTCACACCAGGCCTCTGAGAGAAATAGACATTGTTCCTGTTTTACATTTGATGAAGTTGAGGCAACAAGAGGTTCACTAACATTAGGACAATTGTGTGTGTTTTTTATTAAAGCAGTGTATTCTTGATCTCCACAAAGGAATCCTATATAATAAAACCCTAATATGCAAATTGACCCAATGGCAGAATGATTGGCAGAACGACTGGCCACTATGATACTTACCACCAGGGGGCAGACGTCCAATGCAGCTCCTGCATTGAGCATCTGTCCCCTCAAGAGGGAGGTGACTGGTGGTGGGGGTTAGGGGGTGGTGCTAGCCAGCGGGCGGTGCCAGGCCACCAGCCAAGGCAGGTGCCAGCAGGGGTCCCCCAATTGCCCTGCACATCGGTCATCACGCAGAGAGAGGTGACTGGCAGTGGTGGCGGGGGGCAGGACCGGCGAGCAAGTGGCACCAGGCCGCCAGCCAAGGCGGGTGCCAGCAGGGGTCCCCCGATCGCCCCGTCCACCAGTCGCCCCACAGATCGGCTCTGATCGCTGGCCAGGCCTAGCGACCCTACCCTATCTATATATTGGGAGCAGTCTCTTAGATTTAAAAATTAAAACCTGGCAAGGCTGCTCTAACACTGAAGAAACAGGATGATGCAGCGATGACATGCATGGACTCTGGCTTGCACATTCTGTGGTCAGCCCTGATTCTGACACTTACAACTGTGTGACAAAGCAAATTACTTAACTTCTCTCTGCTTCAGTTTTTCCACCCATAAGATGGGGAAAATGGTACTACTGCCTCAGAAGGATCATGTTATGTACTACTTTTTATAATCAGGGCAAAAAAAATGTAGCTGCCCATACAATAGCAAGATGCCTTTCACCTGTATGAAAAGTATGGTCACTGGTGCATGCAGCATCCTAGATTGTGAGAGGGATGTCCGACTGCCGGTTTAGGCCCTATGGGGATCGGGCCTAAACCAGCAGTCAGACATCCCCCAAGGGCACAGGTCGGGCTGAGGGACTCCCCTCTCGTACACAAATTTTGTGCACTGGGCTTCTAGTTATTTATAATATTTTAAGTGAGCTTTTTAAGTCTCATTGACAGTAACATTCAGCACTTTAATTGTGAAGTTAGAACTCCCTCAATAACTACTAAATAAGTATGAAATTTCTTCTTTTTCCCCAAACCTGACAGATGACCATCTGAAAAATGGAAATCTACTTCCGATTGAGGTAGTGGTTCAAAGTAAAGGAATTGAGAGTTCCCTGTAAGATGAGAGGCCTTGCAAAGACTCAAATACAAGGCAGTTCCTGCTTTTCTTCAGCATATAATTGTGGGGAAGGTGTTCTCTGGCCCTGAGTGTAGGCACTTACGTGACTCCTGTTAGGAGTGGCAAATGTCCAGTGTTGGTTACTGTTGGAGAAAGTAGTGGATTGGAAGAGGGCTTGGGGGGAGGCCAAACAATGGCTTAACTCTTTTATTTAGAATACATTTATAGAAATTTAAAGTTTTTGCATTATTTTGTAATTTAAATATAAATTATTTTCTTTTTTTTACTGAGATGTTTTCTTACGTGATTTTCTTTAGAAATGGAGCATCTACAGTTGTCACGGCTATATTTGGAGGCATTCTCCAAAATGAGGTTAACTGCCTTATATGTGGGACAGAATCTAGAAAGTTTGATCCATTCCTAGGTAAGACATTTGGTATGTGGAAATATGATATTGTATTAAAATAATTTTATTTCCTTTGAAAATTAAGACAGTGGAGATAAATCATTAAGAATACATCATTTGCTCTAGTCGGTTGGGTTCAGTGGATATAGCATCCGCCTGCAGACTGAAGGTTCGATTCCGGCCAAGGGTACATGGCTGGGTTGTGGGCTCGATCCCCAGTAGGGACCGTGCAGGAGGCAGCCGATCAATGATTCTCTCTCATCATCTCATCATTGATGTTTCTATCTCTCTCTCCCTCTCCCTTCCTCTCTTAAATGAATAAAGACATATATTTTTTTTAAAAAAAACATTTTTTGAAATTACTTTTTGAGTTATATGACTTTAACAGTTGTTTTCCTATTTCCTTTTAAGACCTTTCATTAGATATTCCAAGTCAATTCAGAAATAAGCGCTCTAAGAATCAAGAAAATGGACCAGTTTGTTCATTACGAGGTAAGATATTAAATTAATGTTCTAGAATTCTTTTTTCGCTCTTATATACCCGAATATGTTTGTAAGTTCCATCAATATGTGCTGTGTTGTTAATCACTTTAATGAATTTGTGTTGTAACTTAACAAAAATCAAACCTGGATGTCTCTTCCTGTCCAAAAAAATTCTGTTTAATGAGAATGCCTGTCAGAGATAGTAGGTCAAGCATAAAACATTTCTCACTTTTCTCTTTTAAAAGTGAAAGTTCATAACAAAACCTTTTCTGACCTAATGAAATAGAATTATGCTATGGATATCCCACTAGCATCCACAGGAAGAAAGAAAACTCAGCAAAGTTTTATGAATTATGGTGTTATTTATGCTTTTGTATGACAAATAGTGTGAGGAATCTGTTGATACTACCATTGGTTAAACATAGGCCCTACTTTTAATTGCAAGAATATTAAAATTTACATTTACTTTGCAAGATTTTGAACAACTTTTTTCCTTGATGAGTTTTAACTACTTTAGTCAAGGCAAGAGACCTATCCTTCACCAGCCACTATAATGACTAATTGTTCTTTTTAGTCATAAAAAGAAGAAACTAGGATAGAAAAAGAGGACCTAATACATGTTCTATCATTAAGCAACTGTACACTGAAGGCAAGCAACATAATTTCTGCCCTAAATTGTATGTTGACTAAAAGTAATTCTTTTCCCTTCAACTGTTTTAGGGAGTATTGTCACAATTATAGTTAGACTAGAGGCCCAGTGCACAAATTTGTGCACGGGCGGGGTCGGGCCGGCCCAGCCCCAATCGGGGTGGATCAGGGTCGGGCCTCTCAGGAGGAGGAGATGGTCTGAGGTTGGCCAGCCAGCCTTCCCTGATCGGCCGATCAGGGCCAGGCTGGCTTGGGAGAGGGGCTGAGAGCAATTGGCCAGCTGGCCCCACCCCTGAATGGGGTTGGGTGGCCAATTGGATGCCAGCAGCCTGGGGGAGGGGCCATGGGTGGTTGGCTGGCTGTCCTTTCCCCTAATCGGAGTGAGGGGCCAATTGGGGGCGGAGCTGACTGGGGGAAGGGACCGTGGGCCAATCAGGCTGGTTGGAGCTTATTGGGGGTGGGCCCAGCTGGAGGGAGGGGCTTTGGAAGGTTGGTCCGCCAGCCCCACCCTTGATCGGGCCAGTTCCCTGGCTGCAGTGGGCATCATAGCGACTGGTCGTTATAGTCATTACGGCATTCTGGTCGCTGGCTTTTAGATAGATAGACAGACAGACAGACAGGAAGGTTTTGTGTGTGGTTTTTGAAAAAGAAGAGATTTGAAAACTGCACTGCCTTGTATGGCAACCATAGTTGCATGTGGTTATTAAAATGCAATTAAAATGAAATTTAAAATTTTTGTTGCTCACCTGCACTAGTCATATTTTAAGTGTTCAGTAACCACGTGGCTAGTGGCTATGGTATTCAAGCACAGGTGCAGAACATTTCCATGATTGCAGAAAATTCTACTGGACAGCGCTGCTCTAGAATCAACTTATCTGAGCAAAAATATAGCTGTTTGGGGAGGGGCAAGCTTCTCTGTGTCACAGGTGCATTGTGCGGCATTTGGCTTGTTAAATAGGAGCAGCAGAGTCTTGCTTGTAGAACTGTTGCTCAGGTAGTTTCTGGAAATCTCTCAATGGATGACGGTCAAAGGCGCTGGACTACTCTGAGAAACAAGAGCAAACAAACCCTCATAGATGCTTTCAGTTTGTTCCCACCTGTGTGAGTGCTGATTGTCTCTGTTGAACAGGAGTACAGAAGTTTAAGGAAGCCCTATCCACTCCACTTCCCCCTAATATATAGGCTAGTGTGTGTTTCTCCAAAACTGTTTTTGGCTTGAGATCAATTTTTTAAATATCACAGTATACTTGATATCAGATATACTTTATAGTTGTAGCATGTGAACACAGGTGAACTTAATCTATAATAATAAAAGCGTAATATGCTAATTAGACCAGACAGCCAAACGACCTTCCGGATGTCATTCTGAACATCCTTCCTGATGAAGCCGTGGCAGGAAGGCTGAGGCAGAGATGGTTAGGGGTGATCAGGCAGGCAGGCAGAAGGATTAGGGGCAATCAGGCAGGCAGGCAGAGTGGTTAGGGGCGATCAGGCAGGCAGGCAGAGGGATTAGGGGTGATCAGGCAGGCAGGCAGAGTGGTTAGGGGTGATCAGGCAGGCAGGCAGAGGGATTAGGGGCAATCAGGCAGGCAGGCAAGTGGTTAGGGGTGATCAGGCAGGCAGGCAGAGTGGTTAGGGGTGATCAAGCAGGCAGGCAAGTGGTTAGGGGTGATCAGGTGAGCAGTTAGGGGTGATCAGGGAGGCAGGCAGAGTAGTTAGGAGCAATCAGGCTGCCAGGCAGGTGAGCAGTTAGGAGCCAGCAGTCCCCGATTGTGAGAGGGATGTCCTGGAATGCAAGAGCATGCAGGCCGGGCTGAGGGACCACCTCCCCCATGCACGAATTTCATGCACCGGGCCTCTAGTCATAAAATAAACATTATTTGATCAGTTAGAGGGAATCAGTAAAAATTAAATTATTAAAGGAATTAGCCTAAAACTATATAATCTAAATTGGATTGACTTCATTTTGAAATTTCTCCAATAAGAACAGTATTAATATTGGTATTAATTTTTAAAAAATACTGTCCCTTGATATAAATATGTGGTTATATATTTAAAAAGTATTTCCTAATATTTAACAAAACCCAGTAAATCCAGATGATCTTTGGTGGAAGCCCCAAGAGACACTGGTTTCAGACTTCTTTCCCTTTTTCTGTTGTGTCTCCCCCGCCCGCCCCCCCCCCCCCCCCAGCCTGAATTGGTCATATCCATGGTTCCTCCCGCTCTCTGTAGCATTGCACTTACTACCCATCTCAGATACTTTAATACCAACCTTCCTTTCTTAAGACCATCCTGGAGAGTGTATGATACAGCTTAGGTGATTGATTGGTACTAAAAACAAGAAAAATGGCAAATGGAGTTGATAAACGTGAAACAAACATTTGTAACATATATGAGAAAGAGTACTTGGGCAAAGTATATTAAGAAGAAAAATGCAAATGGTCAGTTTAACATCTGAAAAATGCCTCACATTTTCAAGTATAAGTAAAATAAAATTGGTCAAAATGATAGATAATAGCCATTGTTAGTGAAAATTTTTGAAAGTGGGCACTCATATTGGTGTTAGGAGTATAAACTGGTATAGTTTTTGGAGGGTAGTGATCATTTTTAATAGGCATTTCCTTAGACATAGTAATTTCACTTGCAAATGTGAACAGTAGCATATGTAAATGGTATTCATTGGAGCATTCTTTGTTACTGCAAAAAAATCAGAAACAGTTTATATGCCCAATAGTAAGTAGGGCATTGGCTCAATAAATTATACTATGTAGCAATTAAGAAATCTAAAGTTGATGAATAGCCCAGGCACAGAAAGATAAATACAAAATATTGTAGGATAAAACGCACCATGGATGGATGTATTTTGAATTAATCCATTTGTGTAAGATAAAAAAAACATTCGTGTGAGCATTAAAATTCTTGAGCAGCATACACCGTCTGTTCACAGTGATTATCTTAGGGAATGGGATTCAGGAATAAATGGAATTGTGACTTATTTTTCGTGTTCTTTTATATTGTTTGCATTTTTTAACTTGTATCACCTTTATAATTATGTATTTATTTGAGAGGAATAAAAATGTGGATTAATTCATGTATACTTCCCAATTACTGCTTTGCTAAATTAAATTTACATAATACATAAAAATGACTTAATAACTTCAACAAACCAGTTTTATTCCTTGCTTTCCGTAGGGATCCTATTTAACAGTTAATATAATGTAGAAGACTGACACTTGTGAAATATATGCCCTGAAACCTTTGAAAATCTTAGGAGTTTCAAAAACCACCAAGGCATTTTTCCCCCTCATGAAATACAAATGAAAATTTAAGCAGCTTCTTGAAGTCCTTAATGAGAGACGTGAAGGTCGCTAGAGAACAACAAAGCTTTGCTGAGATGTGACTGTTGGGTACCTACTAGAGATACTTCACTTCCATATATAAGCTTTGAGGTGAAATTCCTATTTGTGCTGCTGCAAAATATTACTCTAGTACATTCAGGGTCAGACTGTTCAAATATTTAAAACTAGAGGCCCAGTGCACGGAATTCGTGAACTTGGTGCGGGGGCGGGGGGAGGGTTCCTCAGCCCAGCCTGCGCCCTCTTGCAGTCCGGGAGCCCCGCGAATCAATCACCCCACAGAGGGAGGCCTTGCCCACCTGCCTCAGCCCTCAGGTTGGTTGCCTGGGCCTCCCTCTTTGGGGCAATCAATTGCAGAGCCCCGCCTCCCCAATCAGTCACCCTGCAGAGGGTGGCCTGGGCCTTCCTCTGTGGGGCAATCATGGGGTGATGGCGGGGCCCCCCAACCAATCGCATCACACCCGTCTTGGCTAGCCTGGCGCCAGTGCGTGTCATAGCATGGTCATCAGGATGGTCGTTCTGCTGTTCGGCTGTTCAGTCGATTTGCATATTACACTTTTATTATTATAGATGGCAACTGTCAAATCTATGAATATAGAGGAGATGCTGTATTGAGGCAATATTCCTCTTAAAGAGATATGTGTGTGGATGTGTTTTCATAATGGTTTTTCTTATTATAACCAAGGAAAATCCTAAAGAGTGCAGAAAGGAAAATAAACTCCCATTCCTTATAAGCCCAGAAATACCATGGTTAAGAATATTTGTGTTTAAAAACGGATTTAAAAGCTGTTTTATAAAGGAGCAGCAGTTGGAACTTTTTAGGAAAAAAAGTATGTTCTGTGTTTTGTCTTTTAACCCATAGAAACCATTACAAATAGGCATTAGGTTTTCAGAAGAGCTTAAGAAGCTTTTAAAAACCCAGATGGAGATGACTGTGGTAGTTCTGCACTAGCTTAGTGAGAGTATGATGTTGCTTCTTTGTTGAAATTCCCTAGTGGCTGCCCCGGGCACACCAGCCTTCTGACCTGATGCAGCTGACAGTGAGGCTGCTTCATTGTCTGGGTACAGTAGCAATTGTGGGACTCCTGAGCCTGTTGTAGCTGCAGGGAGAGGTGTGAAAAGAAAAGAAAAGAAGGGAGGGGGGGGGAGGGGAGGGGAGGGGAGGGGAGGGGGGGGAGGGGAGGGGAAAAAGAAAAGAAAAGGGCTCCTAGAGGCAGCTGGGCCACCATTTTTTAAACCTAGTGCTTGAAAAACCAGGCTCAGCTTGTATTGCATGTTTGACATGCTTCCATGGGCCTTTCATTCTGTTTTGGTTTATCACATGGCCTCACATGAAAAGGAGGAAACGGTGCTATCTTGTGCATAAATGGGCTGTGGGACCACTTTGTGGTCACCCTGTAAGTCTTAGCTTCTCAAAAAGGTAGAAGGAAGAAAATACTGGGAAGCAAGAAATGCTGGGAAATGGCGAGAAGCTGAGGGATGGGAGGCTGCTGGAGGAAGGGGGCTTCATTAGCAGAAAAGGAGCAGGTGGTGCAGGGCCTGGTGCTTCCACCTTTTAGCTATTGTGAACAATGCTGTTTTGAACATAAATGTACAAATGCCTGTTTGAGTCCCTGCTTTCAGTTCTTTTGGGTGTAGACCTAGGAGTGGAATTGCTAGATCATATGGTAATTCTATGTTTAACTTTTTGAGGAACCACCACACTGGTTTCCTCAGTGGCTGCACCATCTGACATTCTCATCAGCAATGCATGAGGGTTCTAATTTCTCCACATTCTAGATAACATGTTATTTCCCATTTTTTGTTTTTTAAAAATAATAACCATCATGAGTGTAAAATGTATCTCATTGTGTCTTGTTTATTTTTTAAACTTTATTTATATATTTTTTATTTTTTTAATCCTTACCCGAGGATATTTTTCCATTGATTTCGTTTTTTTTAAATATATTTTTATTTATTTCAGAGAGCAAGGGGGAGGGAGGGAAGGAGGGAGGGAGGGAGGGAGGGAGGGAGGGAGGGAGGGAGAGAGAGAGAGAGAGAGAGAGAGAGAGAGAGAGAGAGAGACATCAATGATGAGAAAGAATCATTGATTGGCTGCCTCCGGCATGCCCCCTACTGGAGATCTAGCCCGCAGGCTGACGCTCTATAAACTGAGCCAAACCAGCTAGGACTCATTGTGGTTTTGATTTGCATTTCCTAATAATTAATGAAGTTGAGTATCTTTTTAGTGCATGTTAGCCATTGTATATCTTATCTTTGCCCATTTTTTAATTGGGTGTTTTTTAAAGTAAACCATCCAAGCATTTTTATTTATTAATATTCATAAATACAGCAGTTTCATTAGAGGCCAGATAAGTAAATATTTTAGGTTTGCCCAGCCGGCATGGCTCAGTGGTTGAGCATTGACCTATGAACCAGGAGGTCAGGGCACATGCCAGGGTTGCAGGCGTGCAGGAGGCAGCTGATCAATGATTCTCTCTCTCCCTCCCTCTCTGAAATCAAAAATATTTTTTTAAAAAATATTTTAGGTTTTATAAAGGTCCATGTCCCAACTACTCAACCCTGCTGTTGCAGCCTAAAAGCTGCCAGACAATATATAAAGGAGTGGGTGTGGTTGTGCTCCAGCAGAACTTTATTTACAAAACCCAGGGTGGCTGGTTGTGGCTTGGAGCCACAGTTTACCAAGCTCCGGACCACACAGATCTTTTTTAAAAGTAGGTGGATAGATAGGTAGATAGTTAGGTAGATATGTGGTCTATCCAAAGGACTGAAAATAAAGTCTGGAACAGAGGATTTGTTGCAGTACAGGAGGAAGGTTGATAAGGTAGCCTTCTGTAATCTATGTTTATTTTCTAATAAGTTACGACTTTGAAACTGCTTGATCTAAAGGTGATTTTTTTTTATGAACTTTGAGAGAAAATTGCTGTTTGAACCTTGATTTCATTAGGGTAGTTTTTAAATTTTTAAATCAGAGTTATTCAGACTATCTCATTAACAATAGCAAACCCAACAACAATAATACCAACTTAAAAAAAATACCATCTGTCATTAATTAATCATTACCAAATGTCAGACATGATGCCAGGCACTTTGTACACATTATTTGTCTCCCTTACAGCAGTTCTTCAGAGTAGGTATTATTATTGTTGTTGTTATTTTTTTATCTTCATTTTATAACTGAAGAGAGCTGACTTTTCCACAGTCACACATAGCTAATAGAGCTGAGATTTGAGCCTAAGTTGCTCGCTTTCAAAGTTTAGTCTTTTTCTACAGTACACTGCCTCTATTAAAGGCTTCCTGATGTAATGCTGCCAAAATCAATTTGGTTTTAGATTGTCTTCGCAGTTTTACCGACCTAGAAGAGCTTGATGAGACAGAGTTATATATGTGCCACAAATGCAAAAAGAAACAAAAGTCCACTAAAAAGTTTTGGATTCAAAAACTACCCAAGGTAAGTGTTGAGTTTCAAAGTCTAATGCAGTTTCAAGGGAACAGTGCTTTTATGACTGATGAAAAGCAAATTGTTTCTGTAACTTTATGTAATCTCTCGTTTTAGTCTTTAGTGTTTTCAGTAAAAGCTAAATAAACCCTCTGATAAGGCATAAATGTGTCCCCATCATAGTTTGTAGTGTGTGGAGGGGAGAGAGGTTCCCACTGCACCAGCTGGGTGACCTACACTCCAACTCAATTCTGACACTGGCTGAAGGGAATGTCATCTTAAGGGCTCAGTCCCACGACTGTCCTCCGCTTCAGAGCCAGTCATAAGCCCAGGTTGCTGCTTTAGGTTTCTGACCTACACATTGGAGGTTATCTTATCCGCACCCGCACTCCCCCCACACACACTTTGCACTTTAGATGCCTATTCTTCTGATTGGCTATAAATGAGAGATTTCCAACCTCCCTCCTTGGGTTCCATTAATTTGCTAGAGCAGCTCACAGAACTGAAGAAACCTGTTTAGTCGCTAGATTACTGATTTACCAATGATAGGAATCAATAACGAGATGAAAGGATACATAGGATGAGGTCCCAAAGGACCCTCCTGTCTTGTGGAGTTTGGGGCCCAGCATGGGGCATATGAAAGCATTCTGCTTCTCCAACCTGGAACTCTGCAGGTGCCCTCATGACATAGACATAACTGATTAAAATCCTGGCCATTGGCCATTGATTCAACTTCCAGTCCTTCTACCCTACCAGAGAGTAGGGAGGTAGGGCCCTCATCCTAAAGTGAGGCCCACCAGTCACCTAATTCACATAACAAAAGACCTTGATTACTCTCATCACTTAGGAAATTCTAAGTTTTAGGAGCCATATACCAGAAAAGAGAACTACGACCAAATAATACGTTTCATTATTACAAATCATAATATCACAATAGTATGTGCATGGAAGAAAGCCATTTCCAGGATCAGAAGATAAACTGATAAGCCACCTAAAATATTTGAGAGACAGTTAACCAAGTAGTTTGTTTACAGTCTTTGCCTTTGTTTCTGATCCAGGTGCTATGCTTACATTTGAAACGATTTCATTGGACAGCATATTTAAGAAACAAAGTTGACACATATGTAGAGTTTCCACTGAGAGGTCTAGACATGAAATGCTACTTACTAGAGGTAAGGTAATACCATTGTTAGCTGGTGAGAAGACGCTCTTCAGTAAAATTAAGTCTTCACTGACACAGGGTAGAGGTCATTGAGGTGGGAGATACGGATGCCATTGACCACTGCTCCTAACTCGGTCCTGGATGCCTTCTCCCTTGTCCGCAGCCTGAGAACAGTGGCCCTGAGAACTGCCTGTACGACCTCGCCGCTGTGGTGGTGCACCATGGTTCCGGGTGAGTTCGTTAGCGGGCTGGTCCCGGTTAGGAATAGCACCACTCTTGATAATTCTCCCCAAACTCCCTAAAAAATGTGGATTCAGGTACATTAACCCTTTGAGTGCCAACCAATATCCTAGGAACTATGCTAAAATTGCCAAGGCATTTTTGCTGATTTTACAGCAGTTTAGGAAAAAAATTATGAATCGCCAGTAAATGAAGTTACATATTCAAAAACTTAAGGAAACCTTTACTACATTGACATATTTAGCAATATCATCATCACTAATAAAAGCAGACTTAGAAATGGACGCCATTTCGAAGCTTTGATAGCGCGCCTGGCACTTTTGGCGAAAGACAGGAGGAGCGCGATCGAGCTCCCGGGCACTCTAAGGGTTAAAGTGGGTGCAATAGAATTTTCCTTCAGTTTTGGTGTGAAAGAATATTCCTGCAAGGATATTGTGAAGTGAAGGCACATAAAAGCTAAATGGAACGTGGTTTATTTGAACCCAGCATCCAGAACCCAATCAGTTGTTCACAAATCCGGAGCATTCTTTACTCAAGTAATTTCCTTTGCCAGTTGATGTTTAAATAGGGAAAATGGAAAATTATTTATAACTTCATGTCCTGTACTTCATTTTTTATTTTGTTGAATAATTTTTGATTATTTTTCTCCCTGAAAGTTTGGTCTGATGAGAATGACTATTTTACCTTCAAAAAACCACTATCTGTATTGAATATCCTTTTCCTCAGAACTTTGTAGACTTTGCTCCATTGGCTTCACCACTCAGAATTATAAACACACCCACTACAATCTTGACTCTTTACTCCTTTTTTAAAAAATATTTTTTTATTGACTTCAGAGAGGAAGTGAGAGGGAGAAATAGAAACATCAATGAGAGAGATCATTGATTGGTTGTTTCCTGCAAGTCCTACACGGGAGATCAAGCCAGCAATTCGGGCATGTGCCATGACTGGGAATCGAACCGTGACCTCCTGGTTCATAGGTTGATGCTCAACCACTGAGCCACACTGGCTGGGCAACTCACTTCTCTGTAGTCAACCGGTTTTCTCTCTTTGAAAGGTTGTAGGATCCTCTGTCTTTGGACTTAAGAAATAACATCAGATATATTCCTGCTTGATAGTTGATAAGGGACAGTCTTAGTCTGGTGTCTTCCAATAATGGGAATTTTTTTCCCCACCCCATTCTCTCCTCTGGAACACCTCACCTGTTAAATGTAATGTAACTTTCTTGGATCTTTCACATATTATTTCAATTATTCTTTAATGTTTTCTATTTTTTTGTTCCTGAAGGCGGCCATGGCCTATTTTGCCAAATCAGCAATCTGCGTTACATCTCTCCAAATTAAAGATTAGCACCTCCATGAATTTTTATATTGTGGAGATCACATTTTTTCTCATAACTGTTTCATAACAGCCTGTTCTTGTTTTATGGTTGCAGTATCTTCTTGAAAACATTGGTACTAATTAGAATTTTTAAAGTCTCTGTTTTTTTGCCTTCATTTCCTCAGTTGTTAATTACTGTCTGTTTCTTTTTCTGGTACTTCTCTTTCATGCTATTTTTTCCCCTCATGATTGATGATTTTGGGATGTTTATTCAGAATCATAATAAATGAGATTGGTCATTATTGGTAAACTAGAGGCCTGGTGCACCAATTCGTGCACAGGTGGGGCCCCTTTGGGTGACCTGCAGGGATTGAGCCAAAACCCAGTCCAATGCCACCTGCAGCTCCTACCTGCTGCTCCCTACTCATGCCGCAGTCTCGCACCCAATCAGTCCCGATTGGGAAAGGCTCGTGCTGCTGCAGCAGCAGCACTCGTAACCGTGAGCCCTGCATCTGGCGCCCTCCCAAGGGGATCAGGCTGAAACCAGCTCTCTGACATCCCCTGAGGGGTGCTGGATTGCAAGAAGGTGCAGGCCAGTCCAAGGGGCCCCACCGGTGTGCGATCGGGCCGGGGAGGGACCATGGGAGGGCTCCAGGGAGTGTCTGGCCCATCTCGCCCAGTCCCGATCACCTGGACCCCAGCAGCAAGCTAACCTACCAGTTGGAGCATCTGTCCCCTGGTGGTCAGTGCATGTCGAATGGTTGAGCGGCCTTAGCATATCATTAGCATATTATGTTTTGATTGGTTGAACAATTAGTCACTGGATGACCAGACACTTAGCATATTATGCTTTTATTATATAGGATTATATAGGATTATATAGGATGGTAAGGGTTTTTCTAACAGTTGTGAAGGTCTCTGTTATACCTGCAGGCTATTCTGCCTGGGAGAGTGGGTGGGTCGTGCTGACAGAAAAAAGCCCTTGATGGCCAAAGTAGGGGAAAGGCACTTTCCTCGAGCTACGTACTTTCTTAAGCTCAGTTACACCCCCAAACTCTAATGGGAAGTCTGGTTCTGTTTTCTATGTTTCCTGTAGGTCTTAGCCTGCGCTTGTTAGGTTGAGCGTCACTCAGCTAGTTTCTCCATTAATCCAGTGCCATGAATACACCTTTATGTTCTAAAAATCTTCCACTTCTGGTTCCAGTGTCAGTCTCTGCCTTGTCATTTCAGTGGGTTTTGAGGATAAACATGTGAGCTCAGTAAACCATCTTAACACCTTCCGTCCCGCTCACGAGCTTTCTCGTGTTTCACGCGCCATCTGTTATGGACCTTAGATGTCAACACACTGTCTTGTCCACATCGAATGAAGCGATCTCATTGGTGGAAACTGTGCAGGTCAATCTACGAAAAACTATATAATTGCACGAACCCATTAAGCGTTGCAGTTACATTGTATTTTGGTCATTCGAATAGTCTTCGTCTTCAAGTTCCTGGCGCTTTTAGAAAATGTTTTACGCGGTACTATATGTTAAAAAAGTACTAGGAACTTTAATTGTTTAATTCTTTAATTGTTTTTGTAAATAAAAATGTTAAAATTATTGAAAAACACCTAAAGTGCATTATGATCTGTAGTTATGATGATTTAAATAACGTGCAGTTTGCCCAAAAACGTGCGGTCCCTGGCGTATGTCTTAGAGATTTCTATGCGGTACGAAAGGTGTTAAACCACAGTTCTCTAGAGTTTATTCCATTATAGCACTTACTAAAGTTTTATCTTCTGACTCTTCCTTACAGGGTGGGTTCTGGACATTACACAGCATATGCAACTCATGAAGGCCGCTGGTTCCATTTCAATGACAGCACTGTGACGCTGACGGAGGAAGACACCGTGGTGAAGGCCAAGGCCTACATCCTTTTCTACGCGGAGCGCCAGGCCAGAGCTGGGCCGGATAAACTTTAATACCTCCTCTCAATCGTTACTTGTCAACTATGCCGGACAAACATTTCCAATTTTCCGTAAATACTTGATCCAAGATTTAATTTCATTATGCACTTTTCAATTTCCTATTTGGGGTTTAGTTTTATTTTGTCAATGGTAGTGAACATGGGCACCAACTAATTTTTTTTTTTTTTTTTTTTAGTTCTACCAGAAAACCTCAGCAGATATTTTGATTTGCTGCTTTAGTGGTAATAATTCAGTTTTTATATGTGGTTCCAAGAACTTAGTTCTATTGGACGTTTTTATATTAATGTTTCAGTTCTCACTTTGAGGCACATTTACATCAATGCTTTGTTGCTCTCACATGCTGGCAGTAAGGCATGTTCCTGACGGGAGAGCACTGCGGCTGCCTGCTGCTCTGCACAGCTGTGCCGGAGACCAGGCTGACTCTGAATCAGGAATCACGTGCGTGTGTGGTCTGGCCCATGAGGTTTCAGTGACTGCTCAGGAACCATCCGTTCTGCTTGTAAAGGTAGCAGGGCATCACGAAGTAGACCAGGGAACGGATGCTCTTGTCTTTCTCAAGGCTGCTGTTCATCAGCACGAACTAAATAACTTTGTTGGTTCAGTGATATCTGTACTGCAAATTCAAGAATTACTGTGTTGGTTTTTAGGTTTTGAGGTATATTTTTAATGTGTGTTTTCATGGAGAAGATAGGAGTACAGAAAAGACCAAATGCATTTAGTGTTTAAAAAATCCTCTGACTCAGCTACATGGTTTTGGTGCTCCCGGTGAGATGCGAACATGGCTTTGTTTGCATCAGCATCTGTTTCCCCATTCACCGTAGCCCTGGGGATAACTGCATGCTCACTGTGGTCTTACTTCGCCTAACTCCAGAGTTTATTTTGACCACCTACTTCTCAGGTAACACTGTGGGCCCTGCTTCTACAGAAGGAAATGAGTCTTTATGGCCCTATTTCATTGGCCTATCCAACTTAGCAGAGCAAGCTGAAAGGATTCTCACTTTGAATAAGTAGTTTCTATCTCTTAGTAGTCTCTCTAAATTTTCAGGAAAAATTGGTACAAGCACTATTCAAATTTAACTCAAATTGAAATTTGGAACTAGAATCCCATGTTAAATCCCACATTCCCTCAGAGCAGATCATATCCACTAAACCAGTGGTTCTCAACCTTCCTAAGGCCGCGACCCTTTAATACAGCTCCTCATGTTGTGGTGACCCCCAATTTCATTGTTACAAATTGAACATAATTAAAGCATAGTGATTAATCACAAAAACAATATGTAATTATATATGTGTTTTCCGATGGTCTTAGGCGACCCCTGTGAAAGGGTCGTTCGACCCCCAAAGGGGTCGCGCCCCACAGGTTGAGAACCGCTGCACTAAACACTTCTTTTTTTAAAAAAATCTAATTGGCTTTATTCAACAATTTGTGAATCAGGTAGCATCCCACCCAGTAAATAGAAAGGTGCTCCCATCCGCTAACACTTCAGCATGACCAGGAGCAAACTGAGGTCATGTCTGACCCTGACCTACCCAGGACAGTGGTCATAAGCCACACATTTAACTAAAGGTAAAGAACGCAGTTCTTCAGTCAGTCCAGCACGTGGCACGGAGCTGCGCAGACCAGGACGCTCCATCATCTGGAGTTTTCTCGGACGGCGCTGGCCTCAGTTTTCACTCCAGAGAAAAAAAGCTTTGCCGTCATGTTGAGGTCTTACAACTTAGTCTAGAAGATAATTAAGAGGAACATATTTAAAATAGTTCACAATGCTAAATTACATTATGTGAGCCATGTGAAATTGTTTTTGATCTACAAAAATTAGTTTCACTTAATTTGATCTCACATATCAGTACCTTAATTTAACACCACTCTGATCTTGCTGAGCATCTCTGATGAACCCAGGCTTTTCTACTGTAGAAGGTGCACAGCTGTAACTTCTAGCACCTGCACGCAGGTCGGGAGTCTCCCAGTGGGCAGCTGCCATTGCTTCAGCAGTAAAGCCTTGGGCAGTGTTGATGGTGATGGGGAAGAGCTGTATTTTTATACCAGATGGAATCTAGCAGCAGACTGGACTACAACAGACCACTTGTTGGGGGAAGTGGTCCTCAGACAGGCTGGCACTCTTGGCTCAAAAGATGCACACATCTCTTTTGAATTGCTGTAGTATTTTTATTGCCTGATTTTACTTGAGCAGAACTGTTTGAATATCATGAAGGCTCTTTGGAAAAGTGATTGGACCCATTTGAATTGTGCGCTTACTGCCAGTGATGTAAATGTGCCTGTTTGTATTTTAAAATTTAACTGTGTAGCCTTATCACACCTCTTAAAAGCTGACCTTTTTGTGCTCTTCAGGGCTTTCCCTGTGCCACGCGCTCTCGGGCTTGTGTGGCTCCTCGCTCAGAGCTTCTGCGGAGGCAGGGCCTCACGCCGTCACGTGGCTCCTTGGACGAGAAACCTTTCTCAGAAGTCCTCCCGCCTCGGTGGGTGATAGAACAGTTTGTGGCAACACAAATCTCTCTCCATGGTGGAGAAACCTTTGCTAATCCACTGTATTCTACTCAGTGTATAGTGATGACAAATGTAACAGAATTAAACCAGTCAAGTGTACTGGCCCTGGTTGAGTGTTAAATGTGTATCTCACCTGTGGAACCTACTCAGCAGCCTGGTTTCTGGGGTTGGGAACATACTTATTTCTTTATTTCTTAAAGCCAAACCTCTCCTTCATTGGTTTAGTGTACATGCGTCTATTTAGATTTACTAACCCCACTTCAACCTCCCCCTCCCCTAACCTCTCTCACGTCCCCTCTGTTGCTGAAGTGGCCTCTTCCCTCAGGCCCTGGAAAAGAGCATGAACCGTCTGTTCCTGCAGCCGGGGCATGGGTCGCCGTGACCCCAGTGCAGCCACAGGAGGCGCCCACAGCATGGGGAGAGGTGGGCGCGGGGCGGTGTCATGCTGTGGCCCAGATCCCTGCTCGCTGCCTGGATGCAGCACCTCCCCCTCAGGTCAGAGTGTGCCGGACTCCAGACCGCCCTCCGCACATGTTGGCTGTGCTATAATCATTTGCCATTAAAACCTAGTGTGTATGATGCCGAGAGGATTAATTGTGCAAGTGACTGATTTCATTTAAATTGTAATCACATCCCTTTTCTGCTTCACCAACCTGAACTGTTTTATGGAAAGTATCATTAAAAGTCTGGTCTCTTTCCTTTCGACTATTATTTCTGAACACCTTTCAGTGGAGCCAAGTAAATAATAATATCCTCCCTCAAGCTCTGGGCCTTGTCAGTCAGCAGGTGGTAAATCCTTACAGAACCCTCATCATCTGGGGCTGCTGGTGACTGTGGATCCAGATGAGGTGGCCTGTGGGTCAGGGTGGTGGCGGGAAGAGACCTTCCAGTGCTGCCGTCAGGAGCCTGTGGGAGCTCACTGCGGAATGAAGTCACCCTGTCTCTCCTTGGGCCAGCTGACCTTAGAGAAATGAGCTCGGCTCACCTCCTTCACAGCTAGACTCGACCCTGAGGAACCAGGTTTTGGACTCCGAGCGAAGGATACTGATCTTCTTAAGTAAAAGAAGGCAAGTAAGAGCTGTTAAACATTCTGCTTTACAGTAAGCTACTGAATACTACCTTCTCTGCCCATGTCCCCTGTAAACAGAAAAAAAAAAAAAAAAAAAAAAACCTGCCCTGTGTCCATACCATGGTTTTCCTGTTACTTACTGGCCTGTTCCTATAAGTCTTCTAAAACTGAAGACGGGTGGTGAACACACAATACAATATACAGGTGATGTGTTCTAGAACTGTACACCTGAGGCCTATGTAATTTATTAACCAATGTCTCCCTAATAAAATTCAATGAAAAGGAAAAAAATAAAACTGAAGACAGAGGTGCCTGCAGCCCAAAAGCATTTGCCTCCAGGTCCTGTATACAAGTTGGCAGCTGTGCTAGTCAGAGGTTGTGCAGCTGCTGCTGTTGCAGCCAAGGAGCCAAGCTCCACACAGAGAAGAGAAAGGCGCTGTTGCCGTTAACAACCCAGGCCTGGGCCAGACCCCTCCCTGCCAAAATGCATGCCATGTGGGCCCACCCTGCATTCTGAGGCCTGTCCTACAGCCCTCCCCACCCCCCCACACCCCCCGGAGGAGCAGGGGGGTCCAGGCTCTAGACCAGTGGTTCTCAACCTTCCTAATGCCGTGACCCTTTAATACAGTTCCTCATGTTGTGGTGACCCCCAATTTCATTGTTACAGATTGAACATAATTAAAGCATAGTGATTAATCACAAAAACAATATGTAATTATATGTGTTTTCCGATGATCTTAGGCGACCCTTGTGAAAGGGTCGTTCGACCCCCAAAAGGGTCGCGACCCACAGGTTGAGAACCGCTGCTCCAGACAGTCCCTGCCGGGTTCTGCCGCTCCAACAGGGCGGTGGGGATGCCGGCTGGAAGCCACACAAACCAGAATGAGCCTTCCCAGTGGCCCGTGGCTCACACAGCCCTGCCTTTTAAGTGAATGAACTGCCTATTTCCAGGGTCAGCCCTCGGAGAAGTGCTGGTTTGGAAAGGATTGGGGAGGGGAAGTGACGATCATATGGCTTTCTATTAAGCCCGTCTGTGCTGCTGCAGCGAACCTTTTGAGTGGGGAAGTCCAGCTAGAGCCCAAGGAGGGCCTTCAGCTGTCATTTTTAAGTTAAAATGATTAGCTTGAAATATTAGCTAGTTCCCCTTTCCTTTGATAAAAGCTCCTTTTAGCTGTTTTGCCGATTTGTCCTCAATGGAGGACAGCTGAGACTGGCTTCTAGGAGCAAGGGAGCTGACCAGAATCCTCTCCTTCCTCAGCTGTATCCGCTTTTAAGGGCAGGCAAAGCGGCACTGGGCCTGACCAAAGTGGAGTTCCTGAAGGGGGTCCAGCATAGTTGCTTCCTCTCTCTTACGCTACAAACTGGACACAAAGAATTCCTGTTCCTTCCAGTGCCAGTTAAATGGGAGAAGGAAGAAAGGTAGGCCCTTGGGTGTAGTTCCCTGGTCCAGCAGAGGGAGAAAGGGCTGCTCACCTCACTCCTGTGGTCCGACGCAGCTCTTTACTATCGGCATTGCACCCACCACGCACCCCCCTGTACACAAAGCCAGGCCCTCAGAGCAGGGAATGACAGCGGAGTCCGGGGTAGAACGGATTCGAGCAAGCACTGTTAGGAAATGGGTCCATGTGTTGGAAATCTGGGTTACTTTGGGAGGGAGAACTTAATGGAAAAGACTTCCATGCAATCTGCTAAGCGGAAGTAAGGCTTTCACAAGGATGGTGGGAGGTTCGCTTAAAGGGAAAACTCGGCCTAAAATACTTTCACCTAAAGTTGTTTCACGCAGTTTTGTATGAAGAGCTGCTTTATCCATCCTGAGTGTTTTGGAAATACAGGCTAGATACAATAGGAAACATTAGAAAAAGGTAAAGCAAGTAAATTTAAAACATGACATACAGAAGAAACCAGAAAGGTAAGCTACTGAAGGTAAATGTTTTAGGAACAACTCGGGATAAAGGCAGAGCCCGTGGGAGGCCCAGGACACCCCTCTGCCTGGTGGGGGGCAGCAGGGTTTGAAGGCAGATCAGCCCAGCCTGGAAAAGCCATCACCACTGAGTAAAAGCAGGAGAGGCATTATCCGTGTCTGCTCACAGCTCAGGAAACAGAAATGTCACCCTGAGCTCTTTCCAGACAACAGGCTTCTTCCTACTAAGAGTGGGCAAAACTCCGATGTTCAGGAGGAGAAGAGCAGATCCTATTAACAGTCAGAGTCCCTCCGTGCGCAGAGCTGCAAGCCCGGGCAGAGGTGGTCTGGCTGGCCACCTAGAATGAAAATGCCTCGGGAAAAGCCAAACGAGCTCACTGCTGAACACCATTGTCAGCTAAAAGGAAAAGAAATCCCTTTTAAGGAAACTATTTAACTTCAATAGGCTGCTTTTCTGCCAGGATTTTCAATTCCTCTGAACATAAGCCGAGACACAGACTGCTGCACGTATGTCTGATACTGCCCCCCCTCCCCCAGCTCCAGCACCAGTTGTTAGCCCAAAATAAACCCCATTCCACAACCATATATGTCCACGGGCCCAGAGCTGGGGAGGAGCAGCAGGAGGTAGGTCAGGTCCCTGGGCCCCAGCCACACTCCGTGGCTGCTGCACACCATGCACATCACCCAGCTCAACCGGGAATGCCTGCTGCACCTCTTCTCCTTCCTGGACAAGGACAGCAGGAAGAACCTCGCCAGCACCTGCCCCCAGCTCCGGGCCGTGTTTGAGGACCCCGCGCTCTGGCCCCTGTTGCACTTTCGCTCCCTCACAGAACTCAAGAAGGACAACTTCCTCCTGAGCCCGGTGCTCAGGAGCCTCTCCATCTGCTGGCACTCCAGCCGCGTGCAGGTGTGCAGCGTTGAGGACTGGCTCAAGAGCGCCTTCCAGAGGACCATCTGCAGCCGGCACGAGAGCCTGGTCAGTGACTTCCTCCTCCAGGTGTGCGACAGGTAGGCCGCCTCCTGAGCAGCGCTGGCACTGGCATCCAGAGCTCTAGGAGGCTTCCGGGGAGCAGGGAAGAGCAGCTTACAAGACCCAGATGGCTCTGCCTCCAGGGTCCTCAGACCCTCTAGGCCAGTGGTTCTCAACCTTGGCTGCACATTAGAATCACCTGGGAATCTTTTTAAAATCCTGATTTCTGGGCCTCATCCTCTGGAAATTCTGTTTCTTTGTTACTAATGTGGCCCCACCCCATAACAAAGAAACAGAATTTCCGGAGGATGAGGCCCAGAAATCAGGATTTTAAAGATTCCCAGGTGATTCTAATGTGCAGCCAAGGTTGAGACCCACTGCTCTAGGCCCACCCACAGCACAGCCCCCAGAAGATGGATAAAATCATGAGGAAACAAGCTCCTCTTAGCCTCACAGGTCCTAGAGCAGAGGAAGAACTGGCTTCAGCCGCACTGTCCTTCAGGCGGCCGTCCTCCCTGGCAGCCATTACGTGCTAGGTGGGTCCAGCTGAGCCAGGGTTTTCAAGGTCAGACCTCAAAAAAGATTCCTAGATTCAGCAATCAGTCCCCTGCCCAACACACACACACACACACACACACACACACACACACACACACACACACCTCTCTCCCTCCCTCCAGCAAGCAAACCCCAGGGGTCATGAACTGCAGCTGCGGAAGGAGAGTTGGGATGCTCTGGATGAGCTGAACCCAGCCAGACTCGGGGTAGGGGTGGCGATACGTCGTCATGGTCTCCCCAGTAGAAACGTACTAATCTGCACAGTTCTAGGGAAGGGTGTTTTAGCCTAATTTTTCAAACCAAAGCTCTAAGAGGTCGGATGATTTGCCCACAATCTAGGATTGCCAGATTTTAGTAAATAAAAATTCAAGACTCCCAGTTTAAATTTCAGATAGAATATCTTTGTTAAAAGTATGTCCAAATACATCCTGTATTCGATACGTCAACCCTACAGCAGACAGAGGCTGAGCCACATGCCAGCTCCCTTGTCACAGCCTCCTGCCCAGAGCAAGAACACAGACTCCCTCACCAGGCTCTCCCTGAGCCGTCACTAGTGCGTCCTGCCTTCGGGCAGGGCAGCCGCTGGCTACTAACACCAGGCTGGGCCAGCCAGGCAGCACGACAGGAATAGAAGAAAATGGTGTCGTAGCCCACCTGTTCTTTTAAGGCGGTAGGAAGAAAACAAGACAGGCTAGGTCTGACCTAGTTGCTAGGACGAGGCCCTCACAGGACCAGCCCATTCCAATGGGTTTAACAGGGCCCAGACATCAGACTGGGGGGTGATAAAATGGGGCAGAAAGCTTGCCCTGAAGTTGCTCTAATCCCCCAAACCAGCAAGGTGTGGAATGGGCCTCCCAGGCCACTGTCTGGATGCAGCAAGGGCTTGGAGGTTGGGGTTCTGTGCTGAGTCCCCCAGTTCTATTGTCCGATTATGTGACCCCAACCCAAGTATTTAAACTTTCAACCTCATTTCTTCATCTGTAAAATAGGACAAGTCGCCTATCTCACAAGATAGGAGGGTTAGTGACACAGTAGCACGGGCATGTAGTGCACATAGATAAGTATCATCAAAGCTGGTCTGGCATCAGCGGGGCTGGTAGTGGGAACAGCAGGGGCTGGCTGGGCAGGGAGGGAGTGGCTCTTTCTCTTTCCAGTCTCTTCCTGCATCAGGATTATTCTAAAGGTTCTTAGAGGACCGGATCACTCACCACCCTTGGGGCTTATACCTAATCCCCATAACCCTCCTGAAGGTAACAATTTCTTCCACTTGACACAAGGAGGTGGCTCAACAAGGTTCAGACATTTGTCCTGGGTCAAACCAGCAAGTCAATTTCAGGCAAGTCACTGGAGCTCTCTGGGCCAGTGTCCTCACTCACAAAACCGAGGGTACAGGGGCTGATGTGAAGACTAAGGCAGACATGTGTTTACAACTACCCATGCTGTCTACACCCCAAATAAAAATCCTCACATCCCCACTGGCATTATTCCCTCCCTACTGGGTGGGGTGGGTTCTGTGTGCGAAATGTGGCCAGGCAAGTCTTTTTAGTTCTGTACCCTCTGCCCCAGGCACCAGGGAGCTGAGCTGGCCTTGGCAGGTGCAGTCAAGGGACTGGGGAAGCTGATGGGGCAAGGGACAGGGACTTCCCCCTCTCAGTTCCTCCCTCTGCTTACAGGGAGCCAAGGCCTGTGCCCACCAGGGGTCCTTCTTTTTAAATATATATTTTTATTGATTTCGGAGAGGGAGGGAGGGACATCAATGATGAGGGAATCACTGATTGGCTGCCTCCTGCACACCCCTCACCCTGCAACCCCAGCAAGTGACCCCCGGGAATCGAACCATGATCTCCTGGTTCATAGGCTGCAGCTCAACGACTGAGCTACACTGGCCAGGCTCATAGGTCCTTCTTGCCCGGAGCAGACTGTGTTTACAACTACCCATGCTCTCTACACCCCAAATAAAAATCCTCACATCCCCAATGGCATTATTCCCTCCCTACTACCCCACCGGGAACATTAGGCTGAGTGACAGCCCAGGGCACACCGCAATCAGGCAAGTCCAACTTGGCTCCATCAGGCCCTGGCAAGGCTGGGTAGAGGGTCTCCAAGCTTCCTGGACAGGCTACCGCTGTCCCTCACTGCGCACCCTGGGCCTGGTTTGTCGTCTGGGGTCAGAGTGGGGATGGAATGACTGCCCCGTCAGCTGAGCTGAAACCAGGGTTTAGAACCCAGAGTCCCCAGCCTGCCCTCCTCACGGCGGGAGTGGGCCTGTCTCTAGCCGGGCGCTGGCAGCCCTTCCTCCCTCCTCCGCGGCCAGGAGAGGCGGCCTGGCCTGGCGCTCTCGCCACGCCCGCTTCTCGCGCACACGGAAGGCAGCGAGTGCGGAGCGAGGGCAAGAACTACAGCGGTGCCTCCAGGACCCAGCGCCGCCTCTGTCCCAGCAGGACCGGGGATCCTGGGCCTAAGCAGCCACGCGGAGTGCGGCACGGGAAAGGGAAATGGGGCCCCAGCCCGGGCTCGGCTCCCGGCCGCAGCATCGCAGCCAGGACGTGCCTTCAAGTCGCTGGGCCGTTCCTCCTGTTAGGGGTCGGGCACCGCCTCCCAGGGCTCCTGGGGGGGGACGATCGAGACCGTGCGCTCCTGCACCGGCGTGGCCGCGGCCGCCAACCGCGTCGTCCTCGGCCCCGCCCCTGTGACGGTCACCCTCTCTGCACAGGTGCCCCAACTTGGCGTCCGTCACGCTGTCCGGCTGCGGCCACGTCACCGACGACTGCCTGGCGCGGCTGCTGCGCTGCTGCCCGCGCCTCCGCACCCTGCGCCTGGAGAACTGCGCGCGCGTCACCAACCGCACGCTGGCGGCCGTGGCGGCGCACGGGCGCGCGCTGCAGACGCTGCACGTGGACTTCTGCCGCAACGTGAGCGCCGCCGGCCTGCGCCGCCTCCGTGCCGCGTGCCCGCGCCTGGCGCTGCGAGCCGAGCACAGCGCGACCATGATCCCCGACCAGCCGCAGCGCTGCCCGCCGGCGCCAGGCCCGGCCCTCCGAACGCTGCTCCCGCGCTAGGCCGCCGGGCCGCGGAAGGACGCCGGCCACGGCGCTCGGCCGAAGGAGCCACCCCAGCTCCGCCCCCTTCCGACGGTCGCTGATCTTCTGAGCCTGTTTACCCGTTTGCAAAATGGGGATATGAATGTCTACCTCACTTTACGATTTTATATGCAGGATGAATACGAGATTAAATGACCTGAAGCTTGGAAAACACTCGCGTGGTTCTCACTAAACTCCAGCACCTTGCCCGCCTCCTTCCGCAGCAGCGGAAGGCGCCTACACCCTCGGGGTCTGCGACCGCCGTCGGGGGTCTAACCCCAGTGAGACAAGGACCGCCGAGCGGGCCGGTGCGCCTGGGCGAGGCTGCCCGCCCGGGAGGTCGGGACTTCGCGGCCGACGCGGGCAGGGAGCCCTGGGAAGGGGACTGAGCGGCTCCGGCGGCCGACCGCTCGCTCCAGCAGCGCCCCGTGCGGCCCCCGGAGGCCCCGCCGGCGGCGCAGGCGCCGGCTTCCCAGGAAAGGGGCCTCTGGCCAGGAATCTGGGCCGGGCTCGAGGCCCGAGAGAGCCGCCCGAGGGCGACGGGGGCTCCATACGGAGCGGGGCTCCAGGTGCCCGGCCCCGCCCGCGGCTTCGCTCCGCGCTCACACGAGTCAGCTCGCTTTTCCTCGGGGGAGGGAGGTGTATTCCTAGGAGCTACTGCACACACGATCCTAGAAATGTGCTTGTGATTTTTTACATAAATTAGTTATCCTTATTTTCTACCGTTATATCATAAAGGAAAATGAGGCATTTCAAAAACCCAGAGTAGATAATTAAAAACAAAAGCAGCAGAGAATTAAAAACAAGCAGCAACCCTGTCTAGGTCCTTAGATAAACGATTATAAACTGATGCAGTTAGGTTTTTACCTGTTGGACTTGTTGAACATGCCTGGTCTTCGATTTCAGGGCTTTAGTCACTTAGGTCACCCAGCAGCTTCCTGGTCCCAGGAACATGGCGGGAAACTGGTTTAGGGAGCAAGTCTGCCAGCACTAATGAGCACTGAGTGGTGGGTGATGCTCACACTCTGGCTCTGCCCATCACCCGCTGAGACCAAGACCCCTTCTTTACACACCTGAGACCGGGTGTTTCCTCTTTGTGAAAGGGGAGCTTGATCCCTACTCACAGGTTCCTTAATTTTTTGCCCAAATATTGGGGGACCAGTGAGGAAAACGACAAGTTCTGTTCTCATGGTGCTTACATTCCAATGGTTGAAGAGACATTAAGTAGAGTTCTCACTTATTATTGATAGGTTCTTGGAACTGGGCAAATGCGCATATAATGAAACCAATTCTACCATAAGCTAGTTGATATAAACAAGTTAACTTCCTAGATCTCATAAGCGTTATAACTAAACAACGTTGAATGAAAGGTTACAGTGCCTGCTGTAATCCTCCTATATAATAAAAGGCTAATATGCAAATGGACCAAATGGTGGAACAACCGGTTGCATGACATGCACTGACCACCAAGGGGCAGACGTTCAACGCAGGAGCTGCCCCCTGGTGGTCAGTGCACTGCCACAGGGGGAGTGCTACTCAGCCAGAAGCCCGGCTCACGACTGGCGAGCGGTGGTGGTGGCGGGAGCCTCTCCCACCTCCGCGATATCGGCAGGTGGTAAGGAGTGAGGGGGTCCCAGACTGCGAGAGGGCACAGGCTGGGCTGAGGGACAATCCCCGCCCCCGAGTGCATGAATTTTGTGCACTGGGCCTCTAGTCTTTATATAAGTAGTAGAGGCCTGGTGCACAAAAATTTGTGCACTGGCGGGGGGGGGGGGTATCCCTCAGCCCCACTTGTGCCCTCTCACAGTCTGGGACCCCTCGGGAGATAACAACCTGCTGGCTTAGGCCTGCTCCCGGGTGGCAGAGGGCAGGCCCAATCCCTAGGTGCCTACCCCGCAGCCCCTGGTCGAACTCAGAGCAGGGCCGATTGGGGAGTTGGGGCGCCGCCTCCTGTCATGCACAGAGCAGGGCGGATCAGGAGGTTGGGGAGCTCTCCCCTGTCACGCACAAAGCAGGGCCCATCAGGGGGGTTGGGGCTCCGTACCCTGCCACATACAGAGCAGGGCCGATCAGGGGTTTGGGGAGCTCCCCCATGTCATGCACAGAGCAGGGCCCATCAGGGGGGTTGGGGCCCCACCCCGTCACACACACAGCCGCAGGGCAATCAGGGGGTTTGGGCGCTGCCCCCTGTCAAGCTGCTTCAGAGCCAGGAGGCCTCACGGCTCTGCTGATCCCAGTGCCGGGAGGCCTCACGGCTCTGCTTGACACCAGGGCAGTGAGGCCTCGCTGCTCAGCTGATCCCGGTGCTAGGAGGCCTCGCGGGTCCACTGATCCCGGGTTCGGGAGGCCTTGCGGCTCCGCTGATACCAGTGCTGGGAGGCATATTACCCTTTTACTATATAGGACAGAGCAGCCGTGGGCAAACTACGGCCCACGGGCTGGATCTGGCCCGTTTGAAATGAATAAAACTAAAAAAAAAAAAGACCATACCCTTTTATGTAATGATGTTTACTTTGAATTTATATTAGTTCACACAAACACTCCATCCATGCTTTTGTTCCGGCCCTCTGGTCCAGTTTAAGAACCCATTGTGGCCCTCAAGTCAAAAAGTTTGCCCACCCTTGGGATAGAGGCCTGGTGCACGGGTGGGGGCCGGTTGGTTTGCCCTGAAGGGTGTCCTGGATCAGGGCGGGGGTCCCGCTTGGGTGCCTGGCCAGCCTGGATGAGGGGATGATGGTTGTTTGCAGCTGGTCACACCCTCTTCAGGGTGGGGGTCCCCCCTGGGGTGCCTGGCCAGTCTGGGTGAGGGGCTGAGGGCCGTTTTCAGGCTGGCGGGTGACTGAAGCTCCCAACCTCTCCTTTTTTTTTTTTTTTATTCTGGGATTTATTTACCTTCTATGGCTGTCACTGGAACTGAGAGCCGGCTTTAGCTCTGAGGCTCGGCTCCAGCCCTGAGACCTCGGCTGCTGAAAGCAGATATCTGGCTTTGTTTGGCTTCTATAATTGAAACACTGTTGCAACTCCAGTTCTGCCTGCTGGCTGAAAGCATGGGGTTTGTTTAGCTTCTATAATTGCAACATTGTTTCTTAGAGTGCAGCTCAGAGCCCAGCAGCGGCAGGCGGGGAACCTTGGCTTCCTCCTTCACTGGAGCAAGCAAGCCTCCTGTTTGCTTCAGCTGCCTGGCTGCCGGCCGCCATCTTGGTTGGCAGTTTATTTGCATATCGCCCTGATTAGCCAATGGGAAGCGTGTCGGAGGTATGGTTAATTACCATGTTTGTCTATTATTAGATAGGATGGGGGAGGGGAGTGAGCACAGGGTAAGGGGGAAGCCTCTTCAAAGGGGTTGACCAACATAAGCCTCATTTGAGAAGGTGGCACCTGAGACATGAAGTGAGGGAGGCAGGGAGGGAGCTGAGCAGCACCTGGGAGTTATTCCAGGAAGAGGAAGTAGCCAGTTCACCAGACTAGGAGCTCAGCTGCTATACTAGGGGAATAGGGGAAAGAGAGGAGGTGGGTGTGTCTAGAGCAGAGAGTGAGAAAGAAGGGCAAGCAGGAGTGATCAGAGAAATAAGGGAGAGGGGAAGCCATGGAGGCCTCACAGGTAATTATGAGGATGAAATGAGAGCTGGACTTCTCCCATCTAGCCTACCCTGAGCAGGAGCCAAGGGAAGGTGCTGAAATTTCTCCAGGCAGAACCTGTGGGCAAGCAAGCAGAACCCAACCCTTCCAGGGACTGCTGAAGGCCTGTTGCTGCCCCCTGGGCCCGTTTGGGCCAGTGCTTTGCCTGGAAACTGCCTGAATCCCAGCCTGGCCTGTGTGGGAAGAACCAGTGTCTCAGCCACCACCTGCAGTGGGGAGGGCCCACCACCAGCCTGTGAGACTAGCTACCTATGGGAGATTTTACAGTTTACACACCATACGCTGGGCTCAGGAGACACAGGTCTTGCAGGAACTTCGTTTTCTTCCACTACTGCAACAATGTTGAAAAAAAGCTCAGGCTTCCAGGGGGTTAAATGTTTAAAACAGAGCCACTTAAGCCTCAGGACTTTGCTTTTGGCTTCTCTGATAACCCCAATTCCCAGCAGGCTCTGTTTGCCCAAGTTGGAGGTTTAGTCTGGGGAACAACAGGGTTGTGGTTTCTGATTCTCCTCTGGCCAAGGCAGGTCAGCCCCCTCTAAACCTCAGCTCTCTTACCTGTGTATTGGGATGGCTAGAGAATCTTATTGCCAGGGTTTTGTAAGGAGCAGTGTGTTTGTAGAACAGAGGTCACTGCAAGTTCAGCTGGAATGGGGTAACCTGCATGCCTTTGAGGTCCCTTTTCCCATGGATGCTCATTTATAAATGAGGTTACATTCCCCAGCTAACCCTTCAATGCCTAGTAACCCCACCCCCTCACCCCCCGCCAATATACCAAGACTGTGGTGACCACAGGACTAAATCTGTGTCCCACACTGTTCTAGGGCTCCGAATTCTGCCCTGCCCACCCAGGGATGCTTTGGGTCCCTGAGCCCAGGGCCATCCGAGGTGCTCCCAGAAGGTGGGCAGCACTCTGCCTCCTCACAGTCACTGCTCACCATCAGCAGCACTGAGCAAAGCACCTGACAGTGTCCTGCTGAATTTAAAAACTACTTTCTGGGTCTTCTCTCAGATCTGCACAGAACAAGGGGCACTCACTGCATGCTTAATTCATCTAGCAAACAGTGGGTATTGGTCGTGGGCGGGGCCACGCCCTCCCCCAAAGGACTCACTCTAGTCAGAAGACATGCAGCTTCGAGTGAGGGGAGATTTAAAGTGCTCGCTCAGCTCCACCATCCATAACTTCTGACAAGTTATGACCTCTCTGAGCTTCAGTTTCTTTATCTGTAAAATGGGACCCTCTCTGTGACCCTGCAATGAGATCATGTCTAAACTAGAGGCCTGGTGCACGGATTCGTGCACATTGAAAGGAAATGAATTAGAAGGTGGCTGGCAGGGCAGGACTGGGTGAGACGAGCTGGACACACCCTGGAGCCAACCTCCTGTGGGCCTTCCCCAGCTGGCCACACCTGGAGCAGCGCTGGGGCTTGAAGGGTGTCTGCGGAGTGGGGTCCCTCGGCCTGGCCTGTGGGGGTCGGGCTGAAACCGGCTCTCTGACATTCCCTGAGGGGTCCTGGATTGGGAGAGGAAGGTTCTCGGGTGACACACCCTAGAATTGGGCTCCCTCCTCTCTGGTTCTGGGTGCATCACCCCAGAACTGCAGCTGCCAAGTCACCGCAGCTCGGCAACTCCTGTGTTGAGCATCTGCCCCCTGGTGGTCAGTGCGTATCATAGCTACTGGTCGGAGCATCTGCCCCCTGGTGGTCATTGTGTGTCATAGCTACCAGTCGAATGGTCAGATGGTCGCTTAGGCTTTTACATATATAGATGTGTAGTGCTGGAAGGTAGGGGTAGGGAAAGGAGTCTTCATACCTGTGTGTGTTGGCGGGGGGCGGGGGGAGGGGGTGGCGCTAGAAAAGCCAAGTGCCTGGCAGAACCCAAGGCATAGTGCAGAGGAGGGCGAGCTGGGGAGATGGGGGCCTGACCTCCAGAGGAGGCACCTAGAAATGACTGGGAGTTACCTGTGCCTTCACAGCCTCCATCAGAACAGACCACAGACTTTCCCCAGCTCCTGAATGTTAATTCTTTTCATTCTGTTGTGACCGAGATAACCAATGGCCACATAGAGGGAATGCTAGGGGGAGGATGCAGAACAGACCCCCTGACTGGAGGCCAACCTCAGGTACCACACAGCGCCAGCTGGTTTGCACGGGAACCTCAGTGCCAGCAGACTGGGGCTACATGCTCTTAGGTCAGAGGCCCCAGATTGCTCCCTGAGAGGTGGTGCTGAGGCCTGTCTTTCAGGGACACACTGGCCAGTTTCCGCAAAGGCTGAATGTTTGGAGAGGACTGCTCGGCCCCCATCAGCTCCCACGGGTGTGCTGACAGGAAGGTGGGACTCTCAGCTGTAACCTGGTGTATCTATGATCCAGTGCTTTCCCTCTCCTGACCCTGGATTTCTGGTCTGTAAAGGGAGAAACTGATCACTTAGCTTGAGCTCCTCCAGCTCTAGGATTCCATGCCCAAGACTTGCTTTTTGCTAAAAACTGAGTTAACCAGATGTGGGTGTCTCACGGCTGGGAGTGCTGGGCAAAGACCACAAAGCTGGGAGGCCCAGAACAAAGCCCTACGTTGAAGGGCCTGAGAAATCTTAAATTTTAAAGGCTGGAGGTCAAAGTTCTCGAGACTAGTTAAGGGTCATAAAAAAACCACAAGTATTTGCTAACTGACTGAGTCCAGCAAACAGAGAAAGTGACCAAGCCTCCACAGGGGCTGGAAGTGGCCCGAGTAAAAGAAGTATCGTATCTGGCATTTCAGCTCCTCAGCTCAGGGACTCACACCTCCCTCTCTCCAGGGCTTCCAAAGTCGAGAGAATGAAGAACAGTGACAGGCTCCCCAGCAAAGAAACGGCATATTACAAACTAAGGCATCTGTGCAGATTTTCCTTGTAGGGTCAGACCTTCTGAGAAGCTGTCCATTAGACCTGACAGTCAGTGAGGCAGGATAGTAACACACTAGGAAAATTCCTGGCAAATAGGATGGGGAAACAGACAAAAAAATTAAACAAGGCCAAACAATCTGAACCACTTCCAGCCACCTGGTAAACTGCAAGACCTTACTTCCCCTAACCAAGGGCACTCGAGAGCAAATAGTTTATACCTCTCCTCCCTAACCAGAGAATGCACGGATTAAATCACTCTGATTGGGGAGATAGAGAACAGAGACCCAATTAGTGCCATCTGTGCCAGGCAAATCCACGGACAGATGAAGTCAGGGGAACAAATAAAAATCCAATTAGAGCCAGGCATACCCAAGATAAAAGTAAAACAGTAAAGCAGACCAAAGAATAATCCCAAACTCCCCTATATGCTCATTTTGGTGCATCAGTATATTAAAGACACACCTGGAAAGCTGATGAATATTCTGCTGAAACCCTCCCCTAAAATCCTCGCCCACAGAAAAGATAAAAACCCTCAATAACAAAGACCTAGTGTGGGCTCCCTCTACTGTATGCTCATGCCCCTTCTCGGACATGAACTTTTTACTTCCTCCTAACCTCTAAGGGTCCCCATGAGGCATGCAGCCAGGGGAACAGTGAGCAATGGCAGCTTGTCCAGGGCTCACCCCCAGAACCTGTCTCCAATGCCCCCTTTTCTCTGACTTCCCAGTGAGCTCACGGCAGCCCCACCGTGGCTCACTTCTTTCCTATGTTTCTAGAGAGCCAAAGCAGAGCACCGCCTAGGCCAGCCGTGGGCAAACTACGGCCCGCGGGCCGGATCCGGCCAGTTTGAAATGAATAAAACTAAAAAAAAAAAAAGACCGTACCCTTTTATGTAATGATGTTTACTTTGAATTTATATTAGTTCACACAAATACTCCATCCTTGCTTTTGTTCCGGCACTCCGGCCCAGTTTAAGAACCCATTGTGGCCCTCGAGTCAAAAAGTTTGCCCACCCCTGGCCTAGGCTCTCCCCTGGTGCTTCTTCTACCCTGAGTGCTGCCTTTGTGTCACTGTCCCCAGCTTTAAGAAACTTGGACTTGTCTTGTGAAATCTTTCCTGCACAAAGTCAAGAACCCACATACTACAGGCCAGCCTGAGGCAGACCCTCTCCTGGCCCCGTGCCTGTCCAGTAACAACAGGACCTGGAACCATGAGCATTAGCCTGCTGGGGGTGCCTCTGCCCTTCAGTCCAGAGCAAACTGACGGCAGAGGTCAGAGCCTCACAAGGCCAAAGTATTACTTTGATTTAAAATAGTCTTCGAGGCAGCAGATGTATCCTTCAGCTCAGCACACCCTCAGCCAGCCCAGCCCAGCAAGAAGAGCCCTTGTCACTAGGAACCAGCACAGAAGCTGAAGGCCCGTCGCTAGTAGCCCAGCATATGAGCAGCACACAGAGGCCTCCCTTCCCTAACGGAACCTCCTGGTCCAGGGGCCTGGGCAGTGCCTCGTGACCCCGAGTGCTTCTAGCTCAGAGCCCTTCACCACTGCTGCTGACTGAGCTCGCAGGTCGAGTAGTAAAAGCTTGTCTTTGCCCAGAAACCCCAGGTTCCCCAAACCTGTGATCTCTCTCGGAGACCCCGTTCTGGTTGAAGCCTCTTTTCAATAAAATAAGATGTCATTATTCTAAATATTATTAGACAGTTTCAGTGGGGAAGATCCATGCACCACATTATCTTAGACAACAAAACCATTTTCTTCTTCCAATTTCTCTTTGCAATACACACCTTCTATTTCCTTGTGGAAAACAACTGCCTGCAAGGCTGTCTGGCACCCTTGAGCAGGCATCAGTCTTGAAGTACACTCGAAGCAGCTTCTGGCTTGAACTTGCTGTAGATGACAGAGAAAGCCACCCAAAAGTCTTATCCTCTTCCTTTCCCACTCCCAACAGCCAGTCTTCTGGGCTCTAAAATGGCCTTTCCCCTAGAACCACATGCTCACCCTGACATTCCTCCACACACAAGCACATGCCCAGGGTCCTCCAGCGCTGGGATCAAGCACCAAGAGTGCTTGAAGTCACCTCTTCCCCAGCCCCTGTACCACTCCCCACCGTCCATCACTCGAGAACATGAAAGCCACTCATCAGTTCTCGTATTAGTTCACACGTTTACTCACTCATTCACCCGATCACTCGTCCCCGCAGCATGCACGTTACCGTAAACTGCCCGGCTCTTTCATCCCATCAGCTTGTTCTCCACAGGCAGGACCAGAACCGTATTACTTCGGTTAATTTCCTCCTTGCCTGGTACATCTGCATGCCGTACGAGGCATATCCCAGGGCTTCAGGAAAGGCTCTTTTTAGCACGTTACACTGTAAGCCAGCTACGGAGGAGGAAGGGTGGTGCTGAGAAGATGGGCTGAGTGGCTAAAGTAAGGCCTCTGGAGTGAGCACAGAGTGAGAGACCCAAGATGACCGAGCAAATGACGGCAGGGCCTTCCCAGCCCCTGGGTCTGTGCCCATGCGGCCTGGCCTCTCTGCTAGGCCATCTCACGCAAAGCCCACTCTCAGTGGGAAGGAATCTCTCTGGTGGTCAAAAGCCATCAGAGGGAGAGAGTAGCCTGAAAGCTCGCTTTCTCTCAGTCAGAAGCTCCATGCTGGTAACAAAAGCAGCCCACATCCTGTTTCCTGACTGGCTTTATTTCTCTGCATAAGGAACCCTGCACAGGCAATTCAAATTAAAACAAAATAAATATATGAATATTCATGTAAAACTGTCCTTTCTAATGAACAATTATACACAATGTACAATCTCATGTTCACTGGGTGGGTTTACAAAAATGTACCATTCCCAACTAAAAATGCACCAAAATGGTTCCATGCAAACTTATCAAAAGTGACCAAAATATGGAGGGAAAAACCTGACTGAGAGCACTTTGTCTTTGTTTTGTACAATCACAGAAAAATAAAAACATCTAATTTCTTTGTTACATTTAGAGTAACTAAATGTGGCCACTGTTTGTAATATTGGTTTATGTTCCTAGAACATCTATGTATATCAACATGAAATTGGAAGTGAGCATTACTGAGAAAAGAGGGGGCGGCAGCACGGCACCCCCAGCCGTCAGTAGTCAGTGTCGGAGCCCTCAGTGTTGTCCACGTTTCGCGAGAGCATGTAGTTGTCCATGTCGATGGAGCGGCAGTTGTTGATGGCGTAGCGCAGGCGCTCAGCCATGACCAGCTGGCTGGAGTAGGGGGGCAGCCTCAGCTGGAAGAAGCAGGTCTGTGAGGTAGGCAGACTATCATAAGGCTGTGGAGAGAGAGACCCAGAGCCATGAGTGCAGCATCAGGGTGCCATGGGGGGAGAGGGGCTGCCCATTACCACCACCCAAAGTCGGGAAAGCACTTCTCCCTGCCTTCAAGATGGGCTGCACGGGCATGACTGAGTGGCCAACTCGGGGGGAGTAGACTGGCCACGGTGGAAAGAGCGTGGGCTCTGGTGTCCATAGCCATCAAGACTTTTGGCAAAGATGCTTCCCTTCCTCTTCTCACTCTTCCAATACCTTCGTGTGTACAGTGAGAGCAAGCCCTGACTGGCAGGATGATGTGAGTGAACATGCTTCACACAGTGCCTGCCACAGAATAAGGGTGCAACAGAGTTCCTTCCCTTTCACCAAGAGGGTACAAATGTGAAGCTGCTTCAGGACCCCAACAGAGCTGGTGAAATGGAAGGAGCAATTGCCAGGAACCCACCACGCTTCTGCTTCCCTCATGTCCTTGCAGCGTGCACTCTGCCTGCTTCACCCGCCATGGCCACCAGCACACAGCTCAAGTGAGAAAGGAGAAGGTAACTAAGTCCCAGTGCATCCATTTCACTGACAGGGATGCAGCCATTTAAAATGATAATTTTGATGACGTGCAGCAAAACAGAAAAGTGCTGGGGTTCCAGGGGTGGGCAAACTTTTTGACTCGAGGGCCACAATGGACCGGAGGGCCGGAACAAAAGCATGGATGGAGTGTTTGTGTGAACTAATATAAATTCAAAGTAAACATCATTACATAAAAGGGTACGGTCTTTTTTTTTTTTTAGTTTTATTCATTTCAAATGGGCAGGATCCAGCCTACGGGCCGTAGTTTGCCCACGGCTGGGTTAGACTGTTAAGTGAAAAAAGCAAAATACAAAATTTTACATAAAAAATGTGTATGCTTGAGGCAAGGACTGGGAGGAATTACACAAAGGTGTAAGGTGAGAGTGGCTAGACTAGAGAGAGAGGATTATACATGTTCCCTGTCTCTCCCTGCAAACACAACCATTTTCAAACTGTTTGTAATAATTTTAACAATATTACATTGATTTTATGTATTGTTTTAGTTTTAAAAAAAGAACCTGCCCACTCCCTCTTGAAACCAACATCCTCTCCTTCTCTGAGACCGACACCCCACACCAGGTGAGTGCATTTCGAAGAGGTGGGAGAGGGAGGGCCCAGAAGCCTAACTGTGCCAAAGCCAGTGAGGACACAGGAAGCTTGAATGCAGAAAAACCCGAAGTGGCAAAGACACTGGAGGGAATGTTAGCAGGTGGCTTGGACTTGGAAACTGGAGAAATGGTCTAAGAGTCAGTCACAAAGGAGAGACCAGCAGTGGTCAGTTTTCTAAGGCTGACACCCCGCCCTCTCCTCCCTCCCCCACCAGGCAGGGGATTAGTGGCAGATTAACTCCAGGGATGGCAGGGGTAGCCCTGGATAGATATAAGGCAAGGGGTTTTTCCAGAGCTGAATAGAAATAAACCAGTTCCTCCTCCCCACCTCTTTCTGAAGCAACAAAACAGATTTACAACTTATAGTTTCTGGCAAGTCATGTAGAAAATTTATGGAAAGGCTCTTTCATAGCCCTTCCTGTGCATGGCCTCTCCAACAAGCCTAGCCCAGGAGGGGAGCCCAGGCGGGCAGCCTCAGGAGGCAGTGGGGGAGGGATGGCTTTGGCTACAGCAACTTCCAGGAGTAGCTACTGGAAAAACACCAGAAAGGCAGATACTGAAACCTGCTGAAACTGGCAGGAAGGGCCCTTGTGTGAAGAGGCCGAACTTTCCTTACTGTTTCCAGAATAAACACCATGGACCCTGTTTGGAGGACTGCCCAGCTTGGGGCAGGAGGAGGGAGCAGGGATAGAGGGAACATAGCCACTTCTAACTTAATGCTGGGTTTGAGGGATATACCAGATGTTCAGGAGGTGGAAAGAAGGGGATCTAAGTCTGCCCTCAGGAAAGCATCCAGGAGGGCTTCCTGGAGGAGATGACATTGTTGTTAGGCTTAAAGGATAAATAAGTGCCTACTAAGCATAGATGGAAAAGTGTGTAAAAGAGAACTTGCTAAAGCTAGGGAACAGCGTACAAAGGCATGGAAGTTTAAAAATAGCACAGTCTGCTGGGGAGAAAGGCCGGCGGTCCATTATAGCCAGAACATAGTAAGTGTCAAGAGGTTATATCACAAAGTGGGGCAGAGGCCAGACTGGAGGTGTTTAAGGCTGCAAAGGGGGTCAGCATTTGTCCTGGAGTCAATGCAGGGGCCCCTGAGTGGTCTGAAGGGAGGAGGGACATGGTCAGATGGGTGCTTGAGAAAGATGACTCTGGCAGCAGTGTGCATTCAAGACTCTAAGCCCTTTTATTCCTAGGCCATCTGTCAAAACGGCAGCTGGGCTGGGGCTCTGCAGCTGGGGCCTTTCATCAGGCCCCAGAGATGCTGCACTGCCTGCTCCATGAGGCACATCACACAAGTAGTCGCAGAGCTCGTTACCGCTGCTCCCCACGTCTTCAAGTTCCTTCTAGAGCATGTGCACCAGCTAATGGTTAGCATATTCATGAAACAAACAGGACCATGTTCCAGTGGTAAGTCACACAAAGAAAAGGGGGTAGGAAATAAGAGACAAAGGCAACATAATGACCCATCCTCCAAGCCTAGCTTTCACTCAGGAAGATACTGGGGTTTATGGAAGGTTGTTGGTTATAGTGCACTTTCTACATCCATTTTGGACTTTTTTAACTGAGGTTATGTGATTTTTCTGAACAAGTTTTTCTGCTTGAATTTTTTTTTAAATTAGGAAATTCCAAGCATTAAGCCTGAATTGGCAGGCCTACTTGAGGGTCACAGTTTGGTTTTCTTAACATGCAATAAGGACAGACATTACCAAGGAGGAAAATATAGCTTACTTACCCTATCAACCTTCATGATTTGAAATCTCTGAGAAATGTCAGCAGTGTTGGCTGGTAGTCGAGATCTTCCAGACACAAACCTCATGAACAGCACCCGCTCCTCATTGGAGAACTCCTCCAGCGTGTGCCAGAACCACTGCACCAGCTGATGCTGCTCATCTACCTCCCGGTACCGTACCACTTTCTTCAGCACTTCTACCGAGATCTCTGGCATCCCACACACCATCTGCTCCAGCTGCTTCGCTGTGAGGAGGGACAGCAGTGGCACGGGGATAATCCAGGACATCCCTTCTCGGACTGCAGCCACCTGCCCCCAGAAGAGGGTGTTCATTCAATATGTGAGCAAAGAGTGGGCACCTTCCACCGGCCCAGCCACTCCCCAGACCTTCCAGTTACCCCTCAGAACTCCAGCAACCATTGCCCACGTGCTCAGCCCACCCTCCTTCCCTCGGACCCTTTGTTAGAACTCCCTGCTTATGAGACTCAGATGCTCCTCTGGTCCTAGTTCAAGTTCAATTTAGGAGCCCACCTCCCCTTCCCCACACAATCCCAGTCTGCTGGCCCTCCCCAATGCCAAGCCCACTCATTCACATTGCCACACATGTGGCCACAAGCTGTGAAACTGTGCTGTGTGGGATAGTCTGAATCCCCGGCACAGTAAGAAGCTCTTAGAGGACGTGTCTAGCTTCCACTGTTTTTGTAACTTACGTTTTTCTTTTGAAAACAGTCATTTCTTGGTAAAAAATATTTGTGTTCATTGTTAAAAAATAAGGCAGACAAGTACAAAGAAGAAAGTAAAACTGGAAATTCTTTGTAAGAGGGCAGTAGAAAGGACAGAGAATTTAATTAGGAAGCTCAAGTTCCAAATCCCAGCTCTACCACTTCTTTTACTGTAATTTTCTCACCTGAAAAGTGAGGCACATACTGCTGCTCACATAATTATGATGAGAATTTTAATTGAGTAACTACAAGAAAGTCTGTGTGATGGGAGTTTATACTGCCTGTTCTCTGAGAATGCCGAGGGGGAGTTGCTGGGGCTGCCCACACAGTCTGTTTAGAACTCCTCTAAGGTTGCAAGTAGTGCATCCCATACAAACAGACTCACCACTCTTCAAGGTTTGTTTCATAAATACACCTTCACTCTTGGCCAACTCAAAACTATCTAACATAAAAAGAACAAACCCAAACAAAACCCAAGAACCTCCACAGGGCCATACCTTGAGGAAGCCCCTGGAGGTATGATTGATATAGAGTTGTCATGCCTGGGACTAAGAAACAGGATTGGCAGTCTCTACTGATATTAAAATACCTCAGCTGAGAGATTAACCAAAGAATTTATATGCATATACGTATAATCCATGGACAGAGACAATAGTGTCGTTAAGGCCTGGGGTGGGAGTGGGGTTGAGGGGGGTCAATGGTGAAAAAAAGGGGACATCTGTAATAATATCAACAATAAAATAAATTAAAAATGAATAAAATACGTCAGACAAAGTCTTCCCAAAACAAGATGTCATGCCTGGTAGAATATAAACCAAAAGCTGTCTGAAAAACTGAGGCTACAGTATGGGCTGGCTGCTTGGGCAGGGGATAACTGGGGGCAGCTATGGGAAGAACACTGGGTTCTAAGCGACAAGAGGAAGCAAAAGAGGAAGAAGGACTCCTTATGAGAAAGGAACAAAGCCAGGCAGAGCAGAGCACCACTGACAGAAAGTGGAGGGTCAATGCAATCCTCAGAGGAAGGGCAGCAGAAGAGCCTGGATCCCGAAGTTAAACCTGGCTTGGGATCCTGGTTATGCCTTGGGCACATCACTGCATGTCTCTGGACTCAGTGTCTTCATCTGTGAAATGGTAGTAGTAATCCTTATCTCACAGAGTAACTATGGGAAAAACTATACATGAAGGTGCCCAAACCATGCGTGGCATGCAGGAGGTGATCAATACATTTTTAGCCAGTTATTCACTCTTCGAGCGTTAAAAATAGTCAAGAACTAGAGACAAATCCTAAGCCCAGGCTGTGTAAATAGTATTGCTGACCAAAACCACCCTCTTTCAACTAAGGGATTTAGTGTTTTGATAGGAATTGGCCCAAAGTCAGAATCAAAGAAGGAACCAGGAGTTAAGGGTACAGAATATATGTATTTTAAATTACTACAAAGCCTCAGAGCCTGAGTCCAGCTCTCAATAAGACCTCAATATGTTTTGCAAATAAAGTATTACTGAAGTGGCTATTAAGAATTGGATAACCAAAAAAAAAAAAAAAAAAAAAAGAATTGGATAACCAAAAAAATCATTTTTGGACACAATATTAATTTCTATGATCATACTCCCATCATTTATTAAATGCTTATTATGTCGACATAAAACAAGAATATATAGGATATAGACGGAAAGAATACATTTTTTAATGTCTTACAAGCTAATTTAAGAAACAAGACCAAAACTCTGCAGCCTAATTCTTAGACAATACAGAGCATGTGATATCTTGAGGAATTTCTAAGCAACAAAAAAGACCTCTACAGGTAATGGACCTGTAGGAAAGCTGGTCTGTACAGGAGACACACTCTTAGCTGGGACTTGAAGGACTGTAGCAGGAGAGAGGAAGAGGCACTCATGTGGGATTGCAAGATCCGTGGTTCAGGGCTTCTTTATATGGACCCTGATGACCAAACTGGAGTGGGGACATTGGGTTGGAGAGCAGTAAGACATGAGGAGGAGTAGGAATGCAGGGTATGAAGGCCTGTGTCAGAGCTTGGCCTCAATCCAACCAGTGATGAATTCAGAGCTGCCCCCAAAAAGGCCTTGAGTAAGGAGATAGGAGACCCAGAGATATGGCCTGAAAGGTCTCTGAATAGGGGCTGAAATATAGATACAAATGAATCAACACAGTAAATTCATATGCCAAAATTCAGTAATACTTATTCAGCTCCTGTTGGGAGACAAAGGCAAATATTCACATGCACCTCCCAAAATGTTTCATCTCACCTGTCGGTCCATCTCATGAAGTCGATATTCAATGGCCCTCTCCACATATTCCTTCCTATTGGAAAATGTGAGTGGGATACTATTTCCACCAGGGATAATGGGAACCATTTTGCCATCAGCACTCTGACCAACAAAAGAATCAAGAGGAATCATCTAAGAATAGAAGAAAAAAGACTTTTAACTACATGGTAGAAATGACAACAAAAAGTATGTTACACAAGTATAGCAAAAACAGTAACATCATCAATATACTTTTAAAAAATGTTTTAATTGATTTTTTTTTTAATCCTCGCCCAGGGATATTTTTCCATTGATTTTTAAAGAGAGTGGAGGAGAGAGGGAAAGACAGAGAGAAATATCAATGTGAGAGAAACACATCGATTAGTTGCTCCTGCATGAGCCCCGACTAGGGCCCGGGCCAGGGAGGAACCTGCAACTGTGCTACGTGCCCTTGACCGGAATGGAATCCGGGATCCTTCTGTCTTCGGGCCAACACTCTATCCACTGAGCCAAACTGGCTAGGGCTGTTTTTATTGGTTTTCAGAGAGAGGAAGAGAGAGGGAGGGATAGAAACATCAATGAAGAGAATCATCGATCGGCTGCCTCCTACATGCCCCCTCCTGGGGATTGAGCCCGCAACCCAAGCATGTGCCCTGACCAGGAATGGAACAATGATCCTGGTTCATGGGTCAACACTCAACCACTGAGCCATACCAGCAGGGCATCATCAATATTTTTAAGGATAAAAACAAGGCAATCAAGATAGCTGGTCAGGCTACTTGATCAGCAGGGAATGCTGTGTCATCTGGCTATAATTAAGATTGAGAGAGAAAAATACAATTGAATAAATAAATAAATAAAGATTGAGGCTGGCCCAGCTGGGTGTGTGTGGCTCAGTGGTTGAGTGTCAACCCATGAACCGGCAGGTCAGGTTCGATTCCCAGTCAGTGCACATGCCCAGATTGTGGGTGAGATCCCCAGTAGGGGGCATGCAGGAAGCAGCCAATCAATGATTCTGCTCATCACTGATGTTTCTCGCCCTTCCTCTCTCTGAAATCAAGAAAATATGTTAAAAAAAAAAAAAAAAAAAAGAATGAGGCTGAATCTTACTCCCCTAAACAAAGTTGGATGAACTGTGTTTGCCCCAGGCCCCCTCTCCACCTTGGTTTTTTGGGTCCTTCACTCTAACATGCACAGGAGTGATTAAAGGGGAAGGAGCAGAAGCTGGGTGCTGGAGCCAGCTCTGTTAGGAGCTATTTAAATCGCTGTGGTTGAACAGGAGCTGGCATGGCAAAGTGGTTAGTGTGTCCGCCCACACACCAAAGGGTTGTGGGTTCTATTCTTGGTCCAGTGATCCCCTAGCCCAGTAGGGGCCCATGCAGGAGGCAACCAATCAATGTGTCTCCTTCACATCGATGTCTCTCTTCTCTCTCTTTCTCTCTCTCTTCTACTCTCTCACTCCCTCCATCCCTTCTACTCTCTCTAGAAATCAGTGGAAAAAATATCCTCGAGTGAGGATTAACAACAAACAAATAAATAAATAAATTGCTGGGGTTGAACTGCTAAGGGCAGCAATGGGACATGCGTGGGCCAGCTAGACAGCAAGTATGAAACAATATCTGACTTAAACATCTATATATATATATATATATAGAGAGAGAGAGAGAGAGAGAGAGAAAGCTAGCGACCATAATGGCCATAATGACCTTAATGATTGGTCGCTATGACGCCCACTATGGCCAGTGAACCGCCCAATCAGAGGGTGGGACCTTTTTGCCAACCTTGTGGCCCCTCCCCGCTGCGGGCCTGCCCCTGATTGCATCCTCCCACCCTGATCAAGAGCCAGCTGCCAGCCAAATGTCCCCTCCCTTCCCCCCAGCCAGCCCTGCCCCTGACCAGCCCACCCCACCACGATAGGCCCGCAGCCCCTCTCCACGGCCAGCCTGCTGGACTGCAACCCCCCACCCCGATAGGGAGTGGGGTTTGGTGGCCAACCTCCTACAGCCCCTCCCCCTGGCCACCCCACCCCTGATCGCACCCCCTACTCCAATAGGGGGCAGGGCTGGCCAGCAAACCTCCTGCAGCCCTTCCCCCTGGCTGTCCAAGCCCCCGATGGGCCACCACCACCCTGATCGACCCACAGCCCCTCCCCCTACCCAGCCCCATCCCTGATCACCTCCCCACCCCAATAGGGGGCGGGGCCAGCCCTCCGACCTCCTGCAACCCCTCCCCCTGCCTGGCCACACCCCAGATCGGCTCCCCCACCCAATCAGGGGCAGGGCCAGCTGGCCAACCACCCATGGCCCCTCCACCAGGCCACTGGCTCCCGACTGGCACCCCCCCCACGCCATTCAAGGGTGGGGCCAGCCAGCCCACCACCCACAGCCCCTCCCCATGGCCGGGTCGGTCCCCAACCCCAATCGGGGATGGGACCCATCGGCCAATCGTCCATAGCCCCTTCCCCAACCAGCCCAGCCCTGATTGGCCCTGATCAGGGCCGGCCAGCCAGCCGGCCAACCTCCCACCATCTCCTCCTCCTGACAGGCCCAGCCCTGATCCGTCCTGATTGGGGCCGAGCTGGCCGGACCCCACCCATGCACGAATTCGTGCACTGGGCCTCTAGTATATATATATTTTACTACACACTAGCAGAATAATGGACTGGCTGCAGTTACCTCATGGAAACTCTCCTCAGTGATCCCACTGTCTTCAAGGTGAAGGATGCTGTGGAGGGTCTGCACATACAGCAGGTCCACCTCCTCCAGGTCCTCCAGGGCAAGGGGGACACAGCACAGCTGCTTCCATACCAGAGGGGCCAAGTGCAGGTCCAGAGGCTTCTTTGTGCGAATGGCAACCCCCATTAAAATTCCCAAGAACTTAAATTGCATTAAATGTTCATCAAGACAGGCAGAAGGGTTAAAAAGGAACCTGCAGAAGTAAAGAAAATATTTCAAACAGAGTTGTCCTCAATTTTCTTAGAATAAGTTACCCAACAGCTATAACATTAGTCTAGACCTGTGCTGCCCAACATGTGGCCATTTAAATTAATTAAATAAAATTTAAAGTTCAGTTATTCAGCCACTCTAACCACATTTCAAGTGCTCAACAGTTACATGTAGCCTGTAGCTACTATTCTGAATAGCACAGCGACCACATTTTGAATTGTTTTTTGAAGAACCATAAAAGGGCAAGTAAATGGTCTATAAACCCTTAAGCTATCTACTTCAGGAAGCTCTATTTCCTAAAATCATTTCATTTATCATGTACAAGTGTATGACAAAAGATCCAAAATTCAAAATTTGGCAAATACAGGGATAATATACAATTGCAAATACTAAGTGCTGTGACTTGATAGCATATCAAAGCTTTTTTTTTTCTCACGAAAAACGATTTTAAATATGTTACATGCAATAAACACCAATTGTTTAAGAAAAATGATCTTACATATAATATTACATGCAATAAATATTAATGCTTCAAGAATAAAATGATTTTAAGTATAAAACTGTACTAACATTATGATATCACAAAAGTTGTAGGAAATATTCAAAATCTGCAAATAGGATTGCTATTATATTCTAGAATATTCCCCACCCCACCCCCCCGGCTCTATTTTTGTTCATCAGTTTATGTTGTTCATTATATATATGCTCACTCACAAATGAGTGAGATCATTCAATATTTATCTTTCTCCGACTGGCTTATTTTGCTTAGCATGATACTCTCCAGGTCCATCCTGGAAAGTTGTTGCAAATGGTAAGAGTTCCTTCTTTTTTTCTGCAGCATAGTATTCTATTGTGTAGATGTACCACAGTTTTCTAATCCACTCATCTGCTGATGGGCACTTAGGCTGTTTCCAAATCTTAGCTATTGTAAATTGTGCTGCTATGAACATAGGGGTGCATATATCCTTTCTGATTGGTGTTTCTGATTTCCTGGGATATATTCCTAGAAGTGGGATCACTGGGTCAAATGGGAGTTCCCTTTTTAATTTTTTGAGGAAACTCCATACTGTTTTCCACAGTGGCTGCACCAGTTCAAAGCTTTTAAATAAACTTTGATGCAGAAAATTCCTTGAAGAGAGTACATATTGGCCTTCATTAACACACAAGATGTCAGGTTTCATAATCAAGTCTGAGTTTCCTCTACCCTTCTATATTATCAGAGTTAGTCCCATATTAAATACCAAGTCATGATAAAAGTGCCTCAGTTTTCTTATCTGTGAAAAGAGAATATTAGTAGTTGCAAGTCCGTAGGTTTATAATGAGGATTTGGTGGGATAATACACGTAAGGCACTTAAAGCAGTGCCTGGCACACAGTAAGCACTCTATAAATGTGAGCTGCTGCTGTTGTTGTTGTTATTATTATTATTGACATTATTATTATTATTATTATTATTATTGACATTCCATAAACACTTGCTGATTGTCTTACCTGTCTCTATTGTAACCCACTTCTGCAGTAGCATTGGGAGAGGGTATAAGAAGGTCAACAATACCAGTTTCAAGTTCCTGTAGAAAAAAGAAAAATTTTTGAGAAATGAAAATAAAATACATCAAGAGAATGAACTGTAGTATCATACTGAAAAGAGAATATTTGAGAACTTTATAATGCTACGTGACAACCAGCCAACTCTCTATGATTGATTTATCAGGAAAATCCTAATACCACGCAAAGCTGAAAGGGTCAGAGCTGATCTGGAAGCAAAGCTGCCACTGTAGATCTTAAATAAAAAGTCATCCAAACACTTCACACTTGCTTTTCTACTTCACCTGGCAGTTCTAAAAGCACCAGAATAAGTCAGAGCATGTGAGTTATCCTGGATTTGTCTTTTACATTATAAATATAAGTATAAGTATAAATACAAATATGTGTTACTATTGTTTTCCCTGCCAGTAGTATAGCACAACAAATGGTGAATCAATGGGAGATGGCTAAGCACTGACATTTATTCAATAAGGTATCTTCATAAAGCATTTCACAAACCCTTACTATAATTTACCTATACAACCATTAATAGCATGACTTTATGTAAGGTTCACAAATGCATCGTTGCTACATTTATAAAAACACTAGAGGCACAGTGCATGAAAATTCATGCACTGGGGAGGGGGGCCATCAGCCTGGCCTGTGCCCTCTCACAGTCTGGGACCACTTGGGATATGTCCACCTGCCGGCTTAGGCCCGCTCTCTAGGGGATCAGGCCTAAGCTGGCAGTCAGACATCCCTCTGGCAGCCTGGGAACCCGCGGGAGATGTCCAACTGATGGCAGTCAGACATCCTTAGCACTGCTGAGGAGGCGGTAGAGGCTCCCGCCACCGCTGCTGAGCTTGCAGCCGTCAGCCCGGCTTGTAGCTGAGCGGAGCTCCCGCCATGGGAGCGCAGTGACCACCAGGGGGCAGATCCTGCGTTGAGCGTCTGCCCCTTGGTGGTCAGTGCGCATCATAGTGACTGGTCGTTCCGCCATTAGGGTCAATTTGCATATTGCCCTTTTATATAGGATGGCTGACAGGGTAAACACGGGAAACAATAGAATGGCCAATACTTGAGTGGACAGCTCAGCAGGGGACACTGAATGAATGAATATACCTGGCACATCTCTGTGATTGTGTCATCAAACACTCCTCCAGCATCATCAGCCCCTTCTCCAACAAGCTTAACTTTCCATGCTCTGGAGGGCAGACGAAGGTCTGATGCATTCAGTTTAACTACTTGTCTTGCTATTTGGACAAAGATGGGCTTACACTTTCGTCCTCTTTAAAAGAAAGGGAAAACAGAATAAAATACAACTCTCACCAACTTTGCATATCACCACAAAGGTCACTTGAAGATATCTTCCCATCCGTGAATGAACAGGCCAGTTTAACAACAGTCAAACACTGCGCTAGGCCCACGATAGCCACATTGGGTACTAATGTAAGCACTGCTATTATCCTAGTTAACAATGAGGAAGCTAAGACTCACAGAGATTAGTTAGTAATGTTCATCTAAAAAAATGCTAACTAGTTAGTGAAACATACACACATATGCTAACCTGGTTGATATCCTCTTTACTGTAATTTGAGGTCCATAGTTTTTGCCTTGAACCATGGTTTTTCCTATGGAGCGCACCATGGGGAGGGTGTAGACTCTTGGGGCTAACAAAGGCCGAAGCTGTCCCTGTACAATGCCCCACGTTCCAGCATTATAATGAGATGTACTGTTCTGTAACAGAAAGTAAGCTTATCAGAAATGGTATACTCTAAGGCTTAAAAGAAGTAACACTTGTCATTTTTAGAATATAGCTTTTTTAATGAGCAACTATTAATCACTTAAAAAATTTTTTCTGATAAAATATTATTTTTTTAAAAAAGTTGGAAAAGGACACACACATGTAGAAACAAATAAAATCATCTGTGATCCTACCATATGGAGATGGTACCATTAACACATTGATCTATTTCTTCCATGTTATGTAGTCATACATTTTTTACATTGTTGAGATCATGCTGTTTATATGATTTTCCACTGCTTTTCTCACCTAACTTTATATCATTAAACATTTCCACACTAATTATAAACAGTTGTTGACACTTTGTTTAGTGCACACAATATTCTATATCCTGGCTGATTATTTACTTCTAACAATGATTTGTCAAATCTCTCATCTGCCCCATGACTGGATCCCCAAAAGATTTTTGATGAACAGTTTTATAAAATGACTAGAGGCCCGGTGCACGAAATTCATGCGGGGGGTGGGGGGGCCGGTTCCCCTCAGCCCAGCCTGCACCCTCTCCAATCTGGGACCCCCTTGGGGGATGTCCAACTGCCAGACATCCCTCTCACAATCCTGGACTGCTGGCTCCTAACTGCTCACCTGCCTGCCTGCCTGGTCGCCCCTAACTGGCCTCCCCCGCCGGCCTGCTTGCCCCTAATTGCCTCCCTCTGCCAGCCTGGTTGCCCCTAACTGCCCCCCTCTGCTGGCCTGGTTGCCTCTCATTGCCCCACCTTCTGGCATGGTCTCCCCCAACTGCCCACCCCCCCAGCATGGTTGCCTCCAACTGCCCACCCCCTGCTGGCCTGGTCGCCCCTCACTGCCCCCCTTGCCGGATGGTCACCCCAAACTGCCCCCCTTGGCGGCCTGGTTACCCTTCACTGCCAGCCTGCCTTGGCGGCCTGGTTACCCCTGCCAGCCTGGTTGCCCCTAACTGCCTCCCTGCTGGCCTGGTTGCCCCCAACTGCCGCCACCCCCTGCCAGCCCGGTCACCCCACGCAGCCTGCTGTGTGGTTGTTTGGTCATCCCTCACCCAACCCCCCCCCCCCCCCCCCGCCAGCCTGGTTGCCCCACGCAGCCTGCTGTTCAGTCATCCATTCAGTTGTTTCGGTCATGGTGGCCCCTGGCTTTTTATATATTAGGATATACATTTTAGTATGCCTATACATTAAACAAACAAATATAGCCAGCTTGCTTTTCTTCTATATTTCTAGACTATTCCATAAATATAGTTAAATCATCCTAATTTACTTTATTTCCCCCACTCCCATTCCATAGGGCCCAGAATACACATTTGTAAGAGCAAAAAGTCTCCTAAATGTAGTGGATGCATTTATGTAACAGCCATAATTGGTATTAATAGCTTTGTGTGCTTAAATTTTAAAATCATATAAAAACTTTATAGAAAATATATGCTTAACCATTCATTCTTCCTTGAGGTTTAGATAAATCAAAACAAACAGGAAACCACTTTGTGTCTAGTATTATTACCAATATCTGGTCTGTCACTAAGCCAACAATAAAATGGAAACAGAATTGTTGCCTTTTCTACATCTCTCTGGTGCTAAGAGTAAAAAGTATTAGCCATGAAAGAACTTTCCAAAGGCTGAGAGAAAGGCCCGGGCACAGCGAGCACATCATGGGTGCTGTTCCCAAGCCAGCATGTTACCTGGTTGTTGGGGCTGAGGTTCAGTAACCTCCAAGACGAGTACATGAGGTCCGAGAAGTGGTAAAGCAGCCGGAGCCTGGCCCTCGCGGTGTGAATGCTCACCTCCCTCAGTGCCCCATACTGGGGGGGCACTGCATCGGGCAGGCCCAGCTGCAGAGGGACTGACACACCTGCTCAGAAAGCAAATGAACACTTATAAAGGAAAATGCATTGCCTGCATTTTCAGTATTTTGAAAAATTTCAAACACACAGAAAGTGTACAAACATTCATTCCTACCACTTAAATTCTATAATTAATATTTTGCTATATTTGTTATATCACATATTTATCAATTTCTCTATCCATCAATTAATCTTAATTTATGATGAACTTGTATGGGTTTATAAAACATCTTTTTTATTTATCATTATGGACACTTGTTTTATTTCTCCTTTAATTTAGTTTCCCATTGAATTATGGGACCTGAAACAGTTCAGTCACAAATATGCATTTTATTTTTCTTTATATATTTTTTTAGATCTATAAGAATTTCATAAGTAATTAAAAACAAAACCCAAATTCTTCCTTTCATACTCAATAAATGTTGTATTCATAATAACATTAGGTGTGGGCCAAGACCAGGCAAGAAGTTCTGGAAAATGAAAATGGGCAATTTAGCAGAGCCACCTCCCACACTTACTAGGGATCTGACAGAAAGTGACCATGACAGAAAGAAAGATATAGGTGCATGACTCATAAAAGCTTTTTACTGCAAGAATAAGAGCTTTGTAGAAGCAAAGACTACCAGGGCTGTATCTATGGTTACCCTCTAATAAAAATGCACAGAGAAGTAGAAACAAGACATTCAACTCATTTGAGTTTCCTGTAAATAAAGATTTGTACAGCTCAATTCCTAGAGGTATTTTACTACTATTAATAAAAGCTAACATTTGTTGAGTATTTTTATGTGTCTGGCACTATTCTAAGAGCCAGGAATTGGTTCATTTACTCCTATAGCTCTTTATAATAGGCGCTATTATGACCCTCATTTTATAAACAAGAAAATCGAGTCTCAAGGTCACTCAGCTCATAAATGGAAGAGTCAGGATTCAACCCAGGCAGTGTGGTTCCAGAGTCTGAACTTTAAACCACCACACGTGTAGCCTCTGTCCTGAAGTGGGAGGGAAATCCCTCTGGAAGAATCAGAAGCCCCAAAGTACCTAAATCTGTCAGTGGATGGGCAGTACTGCTCATTCTGGATCCTATTAATCAGAAACTGCCTCCTGCTTGTTTGGAACCTACTTGGTAGTACTGCCTTGTTCTCTTAGGGTTTATCTAAGAGAAAAAATATCCATGGGGAGTCTTTCCTACGGACCTGTGGCTAAGTAGAGATGTTAGCAAAAAAGGAAGAGAATGCTGAGTTCTCAGGCACAAGTTCACTTCAGAGAAATTCTAGTGCCTTAGACAACAGAGGGTGGTAAAAAGAGAGGGCTTGAAGACCTGGGAAAGAAATAGTACAGATATAAAGAAATGCATAATAGTGATAAATGTCACACTTAAAGTAATAGTTACATTTGTGGGGAATGGAAGATGGGTCTAATTGGGAGAGTACACAGTTGGATATTAAGTACACAAATATGCATTGTATTACTTTAATATATTTTTGTAGATCTATAAGGATGTCATAATAAATTAAAAACAAAACAACAAAAAGACAAAAACAGCCCCATCAGTCCTGCTACATGCTGGAGTAACATGGCAACAATAGACCTTAGCTACAATTTATCATTTTTTAATATATAAAAACACACTTAGTTGCTGCTCTAAAACTATTTTTGCTTGCTTAAGTGATATGCTTTCTTTTGGGGGTACAGAGAGGGACTGCTTCATAAGGAAGTTGCAGAAGAACTTCTTGCTGTGAAAGTACTTACAGTGCTGGTAGCACAAAAAGTGCTTTGGTTTGTGGGGGAGGGTTTGATGGTTTCAGAACAATGTCTGGATGCAGTTTGAAACTGGCAAGCAGAGAGTGCAGCTGGGTACTGCTGAAAGAGAAGCTGCAGGCGCATGGATATTTTCATCCCTCACCTGGTGCTCTTGGTGGGACAGGCGGCGCTGTCCATGCAGCACTGTGGCAGCGGCCAGCTGAGATCTGCCGAACATTTTTCCCTTGCAAAACTGTAACCAGGGTTGGTTCTCGAACGTGGTTGGTGTGGCCTAGGCCAAGCTGGGGTAAATTACAAATACACAGAGATTCAATTAGAAAGAGGAAGAGAGGACGCCAAGATGATGAAATCTGTCTTAGAGGTAGCAGGTCTAAATAGGTTAATATCTGTACCAAGCCACAGCACCAAAATAAAGAAATTAATTCTGATTTTCTCTATCAGAATAGTCCTCAGAGCTCAGACTGTCTCCTAAAAACCAAGATACAACAAAGCCATTCCCAATCTAGCAGAGTCTTAATGACTGAACACATCCTTGGATTCCACTTCTGGAGAGGAAATGAATTCTTAGAAAGTTTAAAAGGTAACAGTGATCTTTAGAGCTTTTACTTAAAACACATTTATTTCTTGATGTTTAACATAGTTACAGAAGCAGATTCTCTCCTCCATATCTCTGTTCTTAGGCTCTGACTGTTCTCAGGGTCTCCTCCAGATCTCTGTTCTCCAGTTCAATTCCAGGTCGGGACACATACCTGGGTTTCGGGCTTGATCCCCAGTAGGGGGCAGGCAGGAGGCAGCCAACTGATGGTTTTCTCTCATCAATGTTTCCCTCTTTCTTCCAGATCTCTGTTCTTAGGGTCTCTCTCAAGTCAACAAAAACATATTAAAAAAGAACCCAAAACACTCAGTGTGTCAGCAGCTAAGCACCACAACATCATTAGACAGGATCATGTCAAGGTCCTGTCAGGGACCTGCCAAAAGTGTCCTCAACGTCAATTTTCCTTCATTAAGACAATATGAAACCACGATGATGAGCAGCTTCCTGATCTGGTAAGGAGACAACAGGGCCAAAATGGGTAATACTGGCCCTTGAACTTGAGGGCACCTGAGTACCTACTCTAGTGGCAGCCAAACCCAGAGAGGATTTACAGAGGAAGGGGATGTGGCTCTGCAGTAGCAGGCATCTCAGACATCTCCCACCAAAGTCCCTCCCTCTTCCATATATAGGGTAGGCTAAACCTGTCAACCTCAAATCTTTCCTCAACGTGTTAGAGCACTGGTTTTCAACCTTCCTAATGCTACGACCCTTTAATACAGTTCCTCATGTTGTGGTGACCCCCAACCATAAAATTATTTTCGCTGCTACTTCATAACTGCAATTTTGCTACTGTTATGAATTGTAATGTAAATATCTGATATGCAGGATGTATTTTCATTGTTACAAATTGAACGTAATTAAAGCATAGTGATTAACCACAAAAACAATATGTAATTATATATGCGTTTTCCGATGGTCTTAGGCGACCCCTGTGGGTCACGACCCATAGGTTGAGAACCGCTGTCTTAGAGGCTTAGTTCATTCCTCTGTATAATGGGGGTGACAAGACCTCCTGCACAAACACAACTGTTCTTTGCACAACGTTATATTATAAAATATAAAAGTATTGTTGTTTCTTTCTTTCCATCAGCTGATGTTCCTAGTACCTAACCTCACATATTACTGTAGTAGAAATGATGATGACAGTACCAAATACTTACAAAGTGCTGCTTACTATGTGCCAGGCACCTATCAATGTGTGTAAACACATACATACACTGTTAATCCCCTTAATCTTTTTGCTGTGATTTTTTTAAAACCATGGGATAGCCCTGGCTGGTGTGACTCAGTTGGTTGAGCATTGTCCCATGCACCAAGAGGTCACCTGTTGCAGCCAAAGGTAAACTGAGTGGGGGGGGTTGAAAGGATTAAGGAAAAGACAGACAAGAGAATAATAGCTGGGTCTCGGTGGGAAGCTGCCTCCCGGATGAGGAGACAACGACAGCGCCCACAAGCCGTGTCTTTATTTTATAGCATATGTCACGAGGCAAAGCAGGGGCGTGATCACGTTGTTTACAGCATTCTCGTGAGCTCCAACCCTACTCAACTACATGTACCTGAACTCTAGCACAAGGCACGTGAGGCTACATGTTTGGACCATAGGTTCAAGCTTACAATCATAGCCGTTGGCTATAATTGTGCTGGGGGGGGCCCTGCCTGCTGGAAGCCGGTCCATCCTTGCTGTTTGACACAGTCGCTGCAGGGAAGAAACACCTGCACAGCATGTTTCAAGGGACCTGGCGTATATGGCATACTGTTCTTAATATGTTTGTTCACCTTCTTGGCGCTATGTGTTTTAACCAAGGTCCCCTCTCCGAGAAAGGTTGTTTCCCCAGGTAGGGATTTTTCCCTGAAGTTAGGGAGGGATAAAACCCCTTAACTAAGAGCCAGGCGGGTAGTTAATCACTTTAACTATGAACAATCACACTTAAGCTACATAATCTTTACTCCCTGGAATGGAGATAAGAAACGCCCTAACCTTTGGAATAGAAATTGATAGGATTAAAATCAACTGGTATAAATACAGATGTAATTAAGACAATAAAAAACCAGAACTTGGCTGGAGATCCTAGACAGAACTTGGCTGGAGATCCTGGCTAGGCTGCTGATCAACTGAACGCTGTCTCCGTGTCATTCCTTCTTCGCCAACTCCGTCCACACCTTTGGGGACCCCTGGACCTGCTGGGGTTGGACCCCAGCACCTGCCCTCCAGCTGGGACTTGCACGTGGCAATGAGAGGACCCGGTCCTTTCGTTAGTCCGAGGCTTGAACCTGGCCAAAACACCATAACCGCGCCCCACAGTCACCAGTTCAATTCCAGGTCAGGACACATACCTGGGTTTCAGACTTGACCCACAGTAGGGAGCACGCAGGAGGCAGCCAATTGATAGTTCTCTCTCATCAGTATTTCCCTCCCCCTCTCTCTCCTTCCTCTCTCTCTCTCTCTCTCTCAAATCAATAAAAACATATTTTAAAACACACACACACACACACACACACACACACACACACACACACGTACACACCAAAAAACCCCACCATGGTATAGTACAGCCGTGGGCAAACTACGGCTCGCGGGCCGGATCCGGCTCGTTTGAAATGAATAAAACTAAAAAAAAAAAAAAGACCGTACCCTTTTATGTAATGATGTTTACTTTGAATTTATATTAGTTCACACAAACACTCCATCCATGCTTTTGTTCCGGCACTCCGGTCCAGTTTAAGAACCCATTGTGGCCCTCGAGTCAAAAAGTTTGCCCACTCCTGGTATAGTACTTGGCCACGATCAAGAGAGAGAGAGAGAGAGAGAGAGAGAGAGAGAGAGAGAGAGAGAGAGAGATATGGATAACTGGACTCACAAAGCAATCAGTCCTGTGGCAGAGGATGTCCTTGAGGCACTGTGGTAGACATTATGAGGTTCTTAGCTTATCTCTTACCCAACTGAAGGATGTTCAGTTCTCTAGAATATGAGGGCAGCAAGCAAGATAAATATGTACCTGTCCTTCTGAATTGCTCCCCCAGGCATATATATCTCCTGTTGATGTCAAAGCAAGTGTGTGCTCAGCTCCAACTGCCACGTCTTCGATGACTACTCCTGCCAGGACAGGGACTTGCTGTGGCCGATTGTGATTGCGAGCACGACCCTCTGGCAAGCCTATCAAGCGATCTGAGAAAAAACAGCAAGGAGGAAGTTTATGGATGGCACATCAGAGTCCTTTTATGTTTTCCTAAAGAATCATTTAATTTTTATGGTGGAATGTCAATGAAATATTTAACTCATTGGGGCCAAAGCTGCTATTCTGGTAAGGTATACTGGATTCTAAGTGCATAAAAAGTTTGAAACTGTTTCATTGCAAAATGTCACAGTCTCCTTATGAATAGAAAATAAAAGTAAATCTAAAATCAGTAGCTTCTTTCAAACCAAGAGGCACTTCAGTGTCCCCATATTTGAGAGGATTGGTACATAAATCACAAAGGCCCTAAAGTTCTTGCATTCTAAGAAAAGATGTCTTGTCCTCAAACTTCCAGCCAACCTCTCCCCTTACCTTTGCTGCCACACTTCTAGAAAGTGCAGGCCAGTCCCTGTTTCTCCATGTCCTCTAGGCCTGTCTGGCTTGGGCACTGTCTACAACTTAACTTCCACTCTTACTACTGTACTGAAAATGTATTCTCCAAAGCATTAACTAACTTCTGCCTATGGCAGCAGCTTCTTCTCAGGCTCCAGCCAACAGAGCCCACAACACCTTCTGATAACATGGTTCCTTCAGCCCCTCAAAATTTGAACCTTGAACCTATGAATTCATAAGACCTGAAGCCCCAGTCCCTGGAAGGACTACAGAGGCAGGATCCAGAGGCACTCTGGTGGTCAAGGCAGTGTTTGTGGCAGCACAGTGAAGGCAGCAAAAAAGGAGGGGAAGGGCCATCAATGGGGAGGAGAGTATCTTTATGACCAAGTTCACAGAGAGGAACAGGAAAGTAGCTAGTGAATGAAGGTCATAGACCCACTTATGACCCAGAATAAAAAATGACTCAATTTAGAGCCCTTTCTATAAAACTTGAAGGCAAATGTTCCTATAATATATGTGTACACAAAACAAGCATAGAAAATGCCTTACCTTGACCAAAGGTATACACTTGACCATCTTTGGTCAATGCAACAGAAAACTGAGTTCCACAAGCAACCTTTTTAATTCCAATTCCACAAAGAACATCAACTTTCTGCAAAATAAAAGGTGTAAGGCACACTTTAAAAAGGAAAAGAAAATACTCTTGAATTTGCCTACTGGTATGTATAAACTCAAGAATTATCTTCCAATAAAAACATTAACAGTTAATTACCTGTTTCCACTCAAACCCACACTCCTAAATGTTATTTTCCCATATTGTTCTGCAAACTATCTGAATTTAGGGGAGGAAGTGTGCAGGGGCATTTGGCAAAACCCCCAGAACCTCATGTGAAGTGGAAGCATTCCTCTGGATAACAGAAACCAATGAAAAACCTGTGGCCTTTTGAAGACTCCTGTAAGACATGGGCTGCTCCCAGCAGACTTCTGCTTTCAGAGGCAACAGTAACTGCTTAAATGTCCCCAGAGAGGGACTTCCTGGTTTTGTGAACCCCTAGCTGAATCCTGTCTAACTTTCTCGATGTCACAGACTATGTATGATGGTGAATCTGGAGTTGAATATAAACTGACTATTTGTAAATCATGCTGCTTGTTAAAAATGTTAGGACAATCCACATAAGAGAATTATGTAAGAGGTCTTCTGCAGAGCCAAGAAACTTTTTATAATGTGAACAAGAGCTTCTAATTTATTTGTTTATGCACTCAAATTTCCTTTTCATTACTTCTTAAACAGAGGTGCGCATCTGTATAATTCAGTGGTAACAATAAACTGATAAGGGCAGCTGTAAGATAGTTCATGGTTCCCTCCACAAAACACCCTGGAGATATGTTTATACTATTTTTTTCTTTACAATGGAAGGTAGTCTGTATGGTGTTCAGCCATGTACAGAGATAGACACTTACCTTTGCAGAATTTTTACATCCAGTTTAACTATTAATGGCTTATTTAAAATCAAGCTGTAGAATGTAGATCATTTAAGAATAAGCAACAGAAGCTTCTAAACTTCATTATGAATTACCATAAATGCTAAATTTAAATTATTCCCAACTAAAAAGAGGTACCGATATAGACAAAAACTATGTTGTCTGAAACACTAACAATAAAACTGACCTGGGGTGAAGATTTTGCAGTGGAATTTCCTAAACCTAGTTTTCCATAGTCACCATCTCCAAAAGCCCACACCATGGAGCCATCTGCTGATACTGCCAAAGTGTGGTTTAAGCCACAAGCCACCTGGAGAAATAACAGAGTGTTCAGTAAGGCAAGTCATAATACCTACAACACATACCCATTTCTGGGGCCCTTTCCTCCACTTTAGAGGAAAACTTAGCTTGTTTCTAAAGATTTTTATTGGTTTCAGGGCCTTCTACATATGTTAAAAAAAAAAAGTGTCCATAAGAAATAATTCCTAATGTTCACAAAGAAAAAAATAACATTTTTCTTCAAAGGAAATCCTTCAAATATCTGTGGCTAACTCAGAATCAGAGAGCACAAAAGATAGGGGAAAAGTACATATAACTCAAAAATATTCATACCAGAAAAGTCTAAGGAATAATATAGAAAAAGATAAAAATATCTTATCTCCTTATAAAAAGAAAACCTCAATGTGCCTACTAGCATGTATAAACTCAAGAATTAGCCTATATAATAAAAGTGTAATATGCTAAGTGTCCGGCTGTCCATTCAACCAATCAAAGCGTAATATGCTAATGATATGCTAAGGCCGCTCAACTGCTCGCTATGACGTGCACTGACCACCAGGGGGCAGACGCTTCAATTAGTAGGTGAGCTTGCTGCTGGGGTCCGGCTGATCGGGACTGAGCTGGATGGGCCAGACATGCCCTGGAGCCCTCCTGCAGTCCCTCCCTGGCTGGTCAACCTCCCACATCCCTCCCTGGCCCTGATTGTGCACTGGTGGGGTCCCTCGGCCTGGCCTGCGCCCTCTCGCAATCCAGAACCCCTCAGGGGATGTCAGAGAGCCGGTTTCAGCCTGATCCGGCAGGCCAGGCTGAGGGACCCCCCAACTGGTGCACGAATTCGTGCACTAGGCCTCTAGACTTTCCAATAAAAATACTAACAGTTATAGGACAAGAACAATTATTGCTTAAGAGCAAGCAGTAGCAAAAAAAAAAAAAAAAAGGGCAAGCAGTAGCTATCAGTGATGCTGCAGTTCAGCCATCCACTTCCAGCCTATTGGACGGGAGCCACAACCGTTTGTACTGTTTAAAAATTGTATATCAAGTTGTATTAATACTTTATGGAGGGGGTTTTAAACATCTTGAATTAATGTGGAATCAAATATGACAAACTTATATGACAAACTAACTGAAATTAACTTAAAATGTGAATTTTCACATGGGCAAAAAACCATGAAAAATTATCAAGCCAAGCAAAATGTGCATGAAGTTAAATATAACTGGTGACTTCTTTCTTCCTGAAAGGACAATGTCTAAGAGCATGCAGAGCATATAAGCAACTATGATCTGACAGAACATATTATTGACTTATTCCGTGCCTGTCCAATCTGATACCCCTCCAGTGCAGTCACTCTCTCTGGAAGCTTTTTATTAGAGGTGTTTCCAAGACCCAGACGGCCATAGTCGCCATTCCCAAAGGTAAATAGTTTGCCATCTGAAGTTACCACTGCTGAGTGCTTGAAGCCACAAGACATCTATAGATAAATAAGGAGAAAAACAATTTATTAAGAGGGGATACTAAGAAAAAAAGGAATCAGTCATTTTTGGTTATTAGTATAGTAATAAATTTCACTGATAAATTAGGATCTTAAAGACTGGTATGTTCTACCTGCCCAAATGGCCCTCCTGCTCCCCTACATCTGATCTACCTCATCATCCTCAGGAAGACCAAAATAAACTGCATACCTTGGAAGAACTGTTGCTACTCTTTACCTGTGTACAGATGACTTAGACTACATGAAATGAATGGGGAAATTATCTGTTAACTCAAACGTGGTACACAATTTTACAATATTATTCTAGATCACTAATTGATTTTCCAGAAATGTATATTAACTCAGCCTTTGTAACAATGAGGATAGGTTGAAAGCAAAGTTTTCCATTTATTCACGTATCTGTGGGGCAAGAGCTAAACCCCATAATGTTTCCTCTAAGGACCAGCAGCACCCTAGCCTGGGCCAAGCAGCTGGCTCAGGAAAAAGAGTCCATTCTAACATCAAAGCCCATTCAAACTTCTGACAAGCACAGGAAGTGAATGAATTATCTCATTTTCTATTTTCCAAAAGCAATGGATCTCTTAAAATGACTGTGTAATATATTTTTACTATTATTTCCCATTACCTGAATTTGATTGGACAACTAGTATGTGTACATTCAAAGCCAAACTTATCCAAGTCCTGACTGACCTGCACCACTTCTTCTCCTTGTAAGGCCTCAATCTGCCTGGGTCGCCGCTGCCTGTCACTGTTCCCATGGCCAAGTTTGCCATAATCACCATCTCCCCAGCTAAAGACCTCACCGCTCTCAGTCAGGGCCATGGAGTGCCCATCAGAACCACAGGAAGTCACCAGCTGAGTCACCACAAAACCTGGAACAGAGCAGAAACCCAGTAAGAGTTACTGTATGTTAAAACTCCCCTCTTTACTTGCAGCTGCCACAGAATATTCTCAAAATTGAAATATAACAAAATAGTACTACAGAAATAAAAATAATTTCTTAATTTTAAATCAAATTTGCAGAAACAGCCTAACAAATTGGGAGCAATCACACTAAACAACAATGTGACAAGGAAGAGGAAAGAGGATGGTTATAGCAGCAGTTATAGTCATTAAGGACTATGTTCTAGCTACTTGTATAAATGCTTTACATGAAGTATCTCATTTTCTATTTTCACTTAGAACCTATAAGGCAGCTATTATCGTTATCACTTTGACAATTCGGGAAACCGAGTTACAAAGAGGTCTATTAACTTGTGTAAGGTTCCAGAGGTAGGGTAGTAGAACCAGATAGCAGCCTAGCCAGCCATCCCATCCTCACTACTATCCTCTTCACACTAGGATCTCAGGGAAGAGAACTCACAGCTAATCAGGAATTGGTTCTGAACTCCTTGTTACTTGTATGCTTTTACTTTAAAAATCCTACTTTTTTTGTAGGCTTCAAAGTCAAAGTTAAGGAACAAGCCAGAGTCCCCTACAGTGGTTTCTCTAGAGATACTCCTTTTTCAAGTCACAGATAACTTTGACAGAGATGTCCTTTAAAGTCTTTAGTACATATCCATATAAACAGATTTTTAATTTTAATGATGCACATGCATGATTGCTACTTCTATTAATAGTTGCCTAATTTTGTACTTTTAAAGAATTTTGTATTCCTCAGTGGGTCTTGAAACAGTTATTTATACCACTGAATTTGAACACTACTATAAGTAACTTACAAAATAATGTTGTTTAAAATATGAAAATTAAGGCTGTACATGTCTAAACAAGAACTTCAATATATAACTATCTAGCAAAGGTTTGAGATGAGTTCCAATATAAACAAACATTCCTATAGTTAGGCCATCATTTCTGACCAGCTTTTAATTGAGGATAATTTTACCTTGTAAGGCTGAAATAACTGTCAGCACATGAAGGTCATCTGAGTTTCCTTGTCCTAATCTGCCGTAACTTCCTTCCCCACAAGCCAACACTGTGCCATTGGCCTGGATGACAAAGGTACAATTCTGACCACATATGACCTAGTATAAAAACACATAACTAAATACATTATCCTTTATTATATAGCTTTAACATGCAAACATTCAAAATGATTCCATGTATACCTAAGATACTTCATCAATTTTGTTATCTTTTCACTCCAGGGGTTAATGTGACTTTGGGTTCCTATAAGCTCTTGATTATTATAAAACTGCTTATTTAATTAAGAGATGTATGAGGTTCATTTGACTATTTAATATATTGAAGATAGTTTAAAATATTTTCAGCCAACTGTGCGAAGTTCAAATAATAACCTTAACAACAAAATCAATAAAAGGAGGAGGAAAAGATGATGGGGAAATAGTAAAGGCAAGGCTACAGGTCAGCAAGAGGCAAGAACTAGAAAGGATATATAGGAGAAAGAATAGTGCCTTCATGAGGTAGAGAAGAACAAAAGAGAAAGCAGTTGCCTCAAGAAGAGTTTGGAGCCCTGTCAGTGTGCTCAGTGGTTAGAGCATTCGCCCAAGCACTGAAGGGTCATGGGTTCGATTCCCAGTCAAGGGCATACCTGTGTTGCAGGTTTACTCTTTGCCCCGGTTGGAGAGTATGGGGAAGGCAACCAATCGATGTGTCTCTCTCATATCGATGTCTGTCTGTCTGTCTGTCTGTCTGTCTCTCCTTCCTTCCCTCTCCCCCCTTTCCCTCCCTTCCACTCTCCCTGAAAAGCAATGGGAAAAATATCCTCAAGTGAGGATAAAAAAAAAAAAAAAAGAAAGGTTTGGAAATATAGTACACAATTATTAGAAGAGGGAAGGAGTGTCAACTAAATCTGGCTAAAGACCCCAATAATTCTATAGCTGCAAAGAGAGAATCAATAGTTAGGATTATCTTAATTTCTATAAATATATAGTGATCAGGCTTAATAAATCAAGATGTTAATTCACTACACATGAAAGCAAGAAAAATTTAGAAATTTATTAACAAAACTTAAGTCTGATAAAAATCTTAGAAAGCTTTTATTTGGAAGCTCTAACATCATGACTTTCTTTAGTGATTCCTTACAGAAAACTATGAAGTGGACAAACTTTATTCCACTGTAAGTTACTGAAAGCTGACAGTTAGGGAATCAGAATTGTCACTTCCCAAGTTTCTTCTTCATTTCTTCACCCTGTTAGTTACCTGCTGGGCTTGTGAGAATGAGGGAGCCGCTGCAGGTACCATTACATTTCTTCCAGCTTCTGCCAGCTGTCCATGCCTGCCAGCACCCCACAAGTAGACATCACATTTACCTCCCAGGTGCCAGTCCTAGAAAAACACAATCATCTGTACCAAGTATGTGCCAGTCTCTATGGGAGACATCAGGGCTCAAACACACAAGCATTTAGAATGAGAAGATTTACTGAGAAAAACCATATAATTGTCTTCATCTTTACTGACCTCAGGTCTGGAAATTGCCCAAGACATAATTTGTTCATCCATGCCATTAATCCATTTACTGTTATCCTGTAAGGCAGAGTAAACATCAGGATCAATCTTGCATATCTGTTTTTAACTAACAACTAAGTGTTGTTGTAATAACTAAGTCTTCTTTCCAAAAAAGAACTTAGTAATATTATGAGAAATTAAAAGCAATTTTATAATTACACCAAACTTGATTTTTTGCATTGTTAATATTTCCCTTTATTATAAACACTTTCACTATCAATTATATCACTATCACAATTGCGCCTTGGAAATTCAAAGCTAACTTCTGAGCACCTGCAGATACAAAGTCATGTGCAAGAGTCACTGACCCTGTGAACTTTCTGTATTGCTTTGGGCAGGTCACTTCATTTTGCTGGACTTGTTTCAGTTTCCCCATCTATAAAATGACAGTTTCTATAGCAAGCTACTCTTAGGTAACATCAGAATGCTCTTCCACAATTCTTACTTAATGGTAATTAAAAACATGATTGAAGTGCCAAATAATTTGAATCCATATGTGGAATAAATCTCATAAGATGACCAGGAAAATATGTTAAAATATATACATAATGGGGCAAAAGTAGGTTTACAGTTGTGAATACGCAAAACACAGTTTATTCTTATATTATTACTTATTAGTTACTATATTATTTTCCATACAAACAACTGCAAACCTATTTTTGCTCCCCCCTGTACAAATAAAATATATACGAACAATGCACTTATGGACTTAGAAAAAGGGGGGAGGGGGAGATATGGGACTATATCTTTGAGAGCCAGGATGTTTACAAGAGCTCCACAGTTCTATCACCATAGAGGCCTGTCATCAGATTGAAGATACTATCTAAAAGCAAAATATTTTAAATTTATCTAAGGGTATGCTTCTAGCTACTCAAGTTAGCAAATACTTACTGAGGGTCTGCTATATGCTAAACACCCATGATACAATTGCTGCTGCAAATAACAGCAGTTCACCTTACACTTACCATTAGTAATACAAGTTCATCCTCTGGAACAGGCTCTAGATCTGGAACAGTAAAAGATTCCGGGAACTGCGCTCCGTTGGTCAAGGCTTCAGCAGCTTTTATGGTGGTTGAGAAACACTCTAGCCAGGCCCACTCATTCGGATTCCAGGATGCAGGCTCAGGGAGACAGTTCTGGTGGTGTGGTGGTACTGGAGGGTTACACAACAGCTGATCCAAATGAAGTCCCACAGCAAGGGAGGCCAGACACTGCATGTAGGGACTGTGAACAAGCTGATCGCCACAAACCACATGAGGCTAAGAGAAAATGCAAGGACATTATGTTATAGAGCCTTTCCGAAATATTCTAAATTAACCTAGTGAATGCCGAAAGCCTGTAATTTATTCTTTAAGTTTATTGTTTTTTTAACTTTTTACTTTGAAATAATTTTAGATATAAAGAGTTGCAGAGACAGTACAGAAAACCCTTCACACAACTTCCTCTAATGTTAACATCTTACATAACTATAGTGCAGTTATTAAAACTAAGAAATAAACATTGGTAGAATAATAACAACACAATTTTATTTGTTCTATTTCCCCACTAATGCCCCTTTTCTGCTCCAGAATCCAATTCAGGATATCTCATTGTATTTAGTATATTTTCATTAATTTTTCTTAAGTTTTAAAAAAAGAAGACTGGTAACAACTGAACCATAGTGATCTGCTCCCTGTCACAACTGCTCCTTTACTCAAGGGAAGCCTGGTAGCCAAGAAAATTCTTCGTTCATGGCTCTCCCTGGTCCTGGCAGAACAACTCTGTAAGAGCTAAGGGATTCAGAATAGAAAACCTGGGCAAATACATCAGTGAAATAATATTAATGTAGCTTGACAAAAAACAAATAATAAAAACAACCCCCAAACACAAAACAACCAAACCCAACAAGCTTTACCTAGGAGGCAGCACAGTGACTAGTAAGGCCTGAAAGACAGGTCACACAGGCTCAAATTCCAAATTCCTCATTCTAGTATTTAATGACCCTATTTAATAGTTCAACCTTAGCTCTTCCATACAACTTTCCACGAGGTCCACCTGTTAAGTGGAAAGGATGTTCACTCTGACACCCACACTCACTCCCACCTCCCAACTTTGGGATGGCAAAACCACATAAAAATAGGTATATGGTTTAAAAAAGGGAAGATGATACTCTGAGGTACAGGTATTTCAAAAAGTTTTGGAGTGAAAAAATAATCTGAAGAATGATATAAGCACAACACAAATTTAAGGATCACTTTAAAACTTTACTCTCACTTAAATAAAGTAGGAGTAGACTTAACAACTGTTTTAGGCACGACTCAGCTTCATTTGATTCTGCCCAAATAGCCCTATTTATTTTCCTCAGATCTCATGCTCTTAAGGGATAAATTCAAACCTATAATTCAAATTCCAAAGCACCAGGCATCTGTAAATGTCAGAATAAGTGTAATTGCTCACCTTTTCATAGGCATACTGTTCCTGCAGCATCATGGGAAGCCGCTCCAGAAATGCTCTCATGCAGGGAGCCATATTTAGTCCCAGGACACCCTGCTGTTTCAGGGCTGTCCTGCAGGTTGCTAACACATGATTGGCAGCAGCCCATTCTGTCGTACAATTCACGACCAAAACATCCTGATGGGAAATAAATCATGCCACATGACTTGTCTTAATAAGAGAAAATTCTATTACCATTCACATCTGAGAAAGTTCATTTCAATAATTGCATTAAATACATTTGCTTTTTGGACATTTTATGCTGTACTTTTAATGCCTATGAACTTTGAAATATCCTAAATTTTGTCTAAGTAAAAACAGGTGAATAATAACCATAAAATTTGTGAACTACCTTGGATTAGCTGATTCTTCTTAAAGAGATAACAGCAATTATTTGCTATACATAGGAATTGTAAGACAGGCATCTAATGTAATTTGAAAGTCTGACATGACCACAGGGTACTAAAGGAAGTAGTACTCTGCCTGCTGAGGGACATATCTGCAAAAGAAGCAACACGTTCTAATAACTGTGGCTCTATAGTTATTATACCCTGCCTAGGGTCTAGGGTCTGATTCTATATTTGACTTTAGTAGGACTATTCATGCAGGTGTACAGCTCTACTTTAATATTATTTAACCACATAAAGTATAAACCAAAGCAGCACATTGGTTCTATTCATTAAGGGTATAAAAGGCAATACTGTAGGTAATAATGTCATATCATAGAATTACTTCACAGCAGAGGGCTAGTATTTTTCTTCACAGAATATTAAATTTGGAAGACAAAATATATTGTGTATACTTGAGTTAAAAATCTTTGGGATGGTTCTTCTTTTAGGGAATGTTCTTTTAAGAAAGTCTGCTGCTTTCTTAAAAAATGGCAGAAAGTCAAAATCCACAAATAATTTCCAATGGAAATAAAGCCTTCAATAATTAAACATTTCGTGATGTCTAGGGTATAGTAGAATGAGTGCTAGATTATACACCGGGAGACCTGGGTTCCAGTTTTCTTTCTGCCACTAAACAACTGCAAGAAAAAATCCCTTTGAATATCAGTTTTCTCCTTTGTAAAGTGTGATGTTTGACTATGATTTCTAAGATACCTTATAGGCTGATACCCTATGATTTGATATAACTGCAAGTTACCTTTGATCTGTTTGAACAAGCAGCAACCCCAACATCTGGAATCCATACTGTGGCCTGAATAGCTCCAGAGCCTATCACAACAGTTTGCAAGACAGAGCCATCCTAAAATTAAATGCATTTATCAATACACATTACTTAATCTTAGTTATTATTTACATTTTAAATTTATACTTCACATTCACAAAAACATTCTAAAATCTGCACTTCCGCTAAATTTGGTAATGTCCAATTATATACCTTCTACCCAATTTTCTAGAGCCTAGATCACTTTCAATAAGAAAAATTAAAAGAGTGGAGGATTCTGAAAGAAGTTTCATCAGTATTCAAGATATTTATTATACAAAATATTCCTAGAATTGGTTGGGTTAATTTTCATCATATGGGAGTTAATGTAAAAACATTTAAGATAAAAATAACATCTGTACTCTTACCCTTAAAGACCAAATGTTCATGAGGCCACCTAGTCCACCAGACACCAGGGCCAACCCATCTGAACTGAAGGCAACTGTCCGGACAGGGGTGATGTGTCCCCGTAGCTGATAAACACATTTGGCTCCAGCTGGCTTCCTATATCCATCCTGCAATTCATTTTTATTTTTAACATATATTGAAAGCAAAATAATTTATAGATTCAAGATTTACAATTCATTCTTTGAAATTTGATATTTCAGTGTAACATTAGGGAGGAGGGAAGGATAACTCTCAGAAGGATTAGCCTGAATGAAGAAATAATAAAACACTAACCTGGTTCTCTTTTGCTGAGGTGAGTTTCATCCTTTTTGATACATTTCTAAGCTGTTTCCTAACTTTTCAAACTGGCAGACGTTTCTACATTTCTAAATTCTAATTATCCCTCAGAGGTAGGAAAATTCTAACTTTTACTTCTTAATGAATGTTTTAATTTTTAACATGAGCTTTATGTAATTTTCATTTTTAGCATCTAACATTTATGAATTGTACATGCTGGCTCTATACAAACAGGCCCCTCTTTTTGTTGCAGATGGTTCTCTCATATGGTGTCTAATTTGGTGTTTGTTCTGCAGGTTTTAGAAGTGTGATAGGTAAGGCGTGTCTAAATACTATCTACCACAAAGAGCAAACTAGATTTATCTTTAGTGCTTTCACCTCCACCTTTGAGATATCTTCCTCTCATTAATAAGCTACCTATCCATCCTTCCCTACCCATTTCTCCCTGCCCTTAAGGTTCCTCTTCCTTCTAGCTATGATAGAGTATAATATCAGATGTACTCATTTATCCAAAGATGACATAAAACCTATTTCTTCCAGGGGTGTTTGTGTCATGAACAAAATAAAGAGCAACAAAGGTTGCAAACTATTAACTCAGGGATGCAATCTGATTGGCCACCCAGTGTTTTAAAGAATTTTAAGTCAGGCATCAAAATGTGTAATATTGGGAGATTTTATTTAAAACACTGGATTTTGGGCTTCTATTAAAAAAATTAGACAATTTGGTAACAATAGGCTCTTATTTCTACAGGGTAACAAACAGCTTTGTAGCAACTGTGCCCATTATGTGAAGCATGTGCACTTCTGTTTTTTTGTGTGTGTTTTTTAACCCTCTCCACACCTTCCAATTCCCAGCTTCAGGAATTTTTTATTTGCCTAGATGGCCTTGTAAGCATATATTTGAATTCATAACCTCTGTTTAAGATAAAAGGAATTGCTCTTCATAGATGGAATTCTGGTATCAGTAGGAGATAGTTTATTTTTAAAAAAATATATTTTATTGATTTTCTACAGAGAGGAAGGGAGAGGGATAGAGAGATAGAAACATCGATGAGAAAGAAACATTGATCAGCTGCCTCCTGCATACCTCCTACTGAGGATGTGCCCACAACCAAGGTACATGCCCTTGGCTGGAATCGAACCTGGGACCTTTCAGTCCGCAGGCCGACGCTCTAGTATCCCCTAAGCCAAACCAGTTAGGGCAGTAGAAGATACTTTAGATAAGGTGTGCTCCGGTGGTGTTCCTATTTCACTGTACCAAAGACTTAATTTAGGATTCATCTATCTGTGGTATCGATTATATCCATTACCATAAATGATCATCACTCAATATTTATTGAATATATCATCTTAACAAGTAATATGGTGTCTAGGACTTACAAAAAAGTAATCCAATTCAGAGAGCACATAAGCATGACAATTACTCACGTTTCCTTAATGGTTCTTGTCCTTTGATAACTTATACTATCTATGGTTTCAGATAAGGTCTTAAAAAACACCAGAATGTTTACCTGGCAATTTGATTCCTGGTCCCACCATCCTTCTGAAGTGGCCACATTGGTTTGTGTGGTATCTTGTGGAATACGCCAAACACACACTAAGCCACTCTGACAGCCACTTAAAAAAATGACCACATAAAACCAAAACATGTCAATATGCAGAAGTAAAAATATTTTCAAATATCAACTGATAGAACTACTACAGTATTATTTTAAAATTTATTTATAGTAGGTATGTTATAATACAACTAGGTTCGATATTCTATCATCATCACACCCAGATAAGTAGATCACATACCAAGTTTCAAATTCTTTATTTCTCTATGGTGATCTTATGATGTTACACATTTTAAGATTAACACCTGACAATAAACTTTTTGAGACTACAGAGAAGCCACATGTAATGCAAGTAACAGTTTATATTAACATAAAAATTAAGACAGATGTACACACGAACACACACACACACACATTTACAACATACGTAGCCATCAGTAAATGCAACTTGGATCCTTTCCCTGGGAGGCTGCACCAAGCGATGCCATTTACAATAGATGGATGGCAGAGTGAATGTAGACAGCACCAGCATCCTGAAATAGGCCCCCAGAGTTTCACATTTTCTTCTTTGGCACATGTCATAAGAATATGACCTGTTGGGTCCCACTTCATACTAACAAGAGTATCCTTAAAACAGTAAGGGGAGAAAAATCATATTAATACTTCCTTTACAAATATATTAAACTCAATATTTATGACCCATTCTAGCACTTATTTGGAAATCAACATTATATGCATATCAGATACTGTTATATGGTTTCGAATCATACTAGACCCAACTCACCCTTTAATAAAGTCTGCATCATATTATTTGCGGTAGTCAATGCTCAATAAATATTGGTTAAATAAATTCTAACTTAGAAGGAATGTTACCCCTCATTAGTATTTTTAAGTTAGCTTTATTGACATTAACTTTGAAAAAGAAGAAACTTTAAAAAAAATGTACCCCTCATACCAAAATAGCAAATACTTATGAGAATCATGTTTTGTGTTTATATGGTTATCATTGTGCTTTCTTTCTTTTCTTTTCTTTCTTTCTTTCTTTCTTTCTTTCTTTCTTTCTTTCTTTCTTTCTTTCTTTCTTTCTTTCTTCTTTCTTTCTTTCTTTCTTTCTTTCTTTCTTTCTTTCTTTCTTTCTTTCTTTCTTTCTTTCTTTCTTTCTTTCTTTTTCTTTCCCTCCCTCCCTCCCTCCCTCCCTCCCTCCCTCCCTCCCTCCCTCCCTCCCTCCCCCCCTCCCTCCCTCCCCCCCTCCCTCCCTCCCTCCCTCTCCCTCCCTTCCTTCCTTCCTTCCTTCCTTTCTTTCTTTCTTTCTTTCACACTCCTTCACAACTTCAAACTCCTGCCTTCATGCATTTATGTTACTTGCCTAGCTGGCCTGTAAACATCTGAACTGGCAACCTTAGTTTAAGGTAAAGGAATCATTCCTCATAGATGGAATTTCTCTTATTAGAGGGAGGTACTTTGACGGGATATTCCAAGGATATCCCGTCACTGCTTTGGTTTTACTGCTTTGGTTTTACTTCTCTCTTGGCTTGATGGCTTTCTTACATAAACATTTTCATGTATATACCATGGTTTACAGATTTTGTGTAACTATAGAATTTTTTGTTTTACATTAAAAGCCTGCTTACTGTTTTTTAAAAATATGTTTTTATTGATTTTTTTCAAGGAAGAAAGGAAGAGGGAGAGAGAGATAGAAACATTCATCAGAAAGAAACATCAACTGGCTGTTCCCTGCACGCCATACTGGGGACTGAGCCAGCAACCCAGGCATGTGCCCTGACCAGGAATCGAATGGGTGACCTCTTGGTGCATGGGGCGACATGCAATCCACTGAGCCACTCCAGCTGGGCTAACAATAAATATTAAATCATAAGTGACTGATGTAAAAACTTTTAAAAAGAAATTAGTATCAAAGAACACTACAGTAAGAAACACAAAAAAATAACCATCTGGCAAAGATGCTTTACCTTATGTGCATCGATTAGAACAATGCCTCCTTTCTCAAGCGGCTCCTTTGTCCCCAATAATAATTTTCCATCAAAATATCCCACCGCAAATGGTCTGTCTTCACTGAACCAAGCAATGCAAGTCACGGACACTAACATGATAAGAATAATAGAAAAAGAAAATAAAAGAGAGTGATTCATTTGTCATTATCTAACTTAAAAAGACAAAAGACTCCGCAAAAAATATATCTTCCTGCAAAATTGTAAGTAGGTTTCCAGACATCTCTGTAATGAATTTAGATAAAATGTAGGCTTATTGCAAGGATTCCATGTAACCCACTTCACAAGTGTTATTTACAAGTGACAAGGACTACCTCATTTAAAATATATACAGGGTTTCCCCAAAAATGTATATACATTTTAACAGCTGATAGCTCAATTGATGTTTCTTTCTTTTCAGATTTAACCCATTGGATTAATAATGATATTCAAATGTGTATACCTTTTGGGGGACATCCTGTATATGTATTTTAGTATTTTGATTATAGTTTACATTCAGTATTATTTTGTATTAGTTTCAGGTGTATGGAATACCTCATTTTTTAAATCTTCCATTATTTTCAGGTGGTTATTGAAAAAGACAAGTATTGAATTCCCATGCTGATTTTAAGTGATTGTACCAGGTTCTTTCCTTTTGGACCAGAATCTGCCATGAAACTGAGAAGTGAAATAGCCAAAGTCATAGAAAGAAAATTCCGTGTCCCTTCTTTTACTTAATATACCCTTCTCAGCATGTTTCCACATTCTATCAAGCAGATTCTATTCCAACAAGGCATACTCATATTTGCTTCTTTAAGTATATATAACACTGGATACCTACAGAAAAAAGTAAGAAACAGTATTTATTTGTGAGTAGAATGGGGACATGGGAACTAAGCAGATGAGAGAAAAACTTTTTGTTGTATACCTTTTTAAGTTTAAAAAATTTGAAACCCTATAAATGTATTTAAAAAAATACTTTAAAAAATCCCTGAATTGTTTTATTCTGTAAACAGAGTACCACTGAAAAGTAGGGCTGTGAACTTTGAAAGAGCCCACTGCTGCAAACAACTAACAAAAACTATCTAGTAATACCTATGTACCCAAAGGGAACAAAGTGAGAAAATAAATGAAAGTAGATTTCCTACTATCTCTTGAAAGACTAGGAACTACCCTCTCCTCTTCTTTCCCCCAGTTCCTCAATTTCACTCATTTGTTAACAATTTCATCTCTACCAATGATTATCTCTTTTTTCTTGGGCATTCCTAACTTTCAAAGAAGACTTAGAGACTGTCCTAAGTGTTCAGATACACAAAAGATGAATGACTAATATATCACTATTAGATCTCTTTTGGCATAGAGACCTGTGGTATGGGTTGGAAGGGAAGTATCTTTCAACTTAGTGACTAATTAAAATAAAACACCAATTGGACAATTCAGAAAACAAAGCCAAAAGTAATATCACTCAGCATTTTTAAAAGCAAGTTCCCCCAAAAAACCACACAGTTTATTTGATTAGGGAAAATCACTTTCCCAACTAGACACAAATCTGGTCATTTACCATCCTTTCGATAGCAATGCTCCAATTCTTGACGGTGCATGGTGGACACATCAACAACTTCAATCAATCCTAGAGATCCATCCATCCGCCCCACCAACAATAATTCTGGAGACTCTCCTGACCAGGCTGTAGCTGGACCCTCCTCTGGCCAAGCCAGGGAAGATACCCAATGGGGCTGAATGTCTACTAATCCTTTTCCTCCTAAAGAGAAAGAAAATGTTAACTGCTTGTTACTTAATTCTTAAAAACAATAACAAGAACAAAAATAAATGCTACTTAATTCTAACATAGCTCAAAGCAGTCCCCATTTTCAAAATAGCCTACCGATGAATATTAGACAAGATCCTTCATTTATATAAGACCTAGATTAAGACATTAATAGGCTTTTCTAGAACTATAAATGGAACAAGAATGGTAACTTTGTAGAAAAAAGAGTAAAGGAAAATAGTGTACAAATGTTAATCACTTATGTCCTTTCCTAATAATTTCTAAAAAACAAATTAACATTAGAAATTCACCTACAATAAGGCTAGCTAGTCCTTCACATATGTGAAATAGAATAGCCTTTCCTCAAATGTGCAAAAATGAACAAAATACTGATAAGCCCAAGATTACATTATTTTTTTGTTGTTTAGGATTACATTATTTATTTTTACTTTCAAGGGAGGTATTATTAAAAATTGACAAGAATTTTTACCAGTGAAAGACATAATTAATAAAAATATTTTTAAGTGTTTTAAAAGAATACATAGCTGAAAAGTCAGTGACCACTACTCCTCAAATCCTACTCTGAATATTTAGTGGTACATGAAAAGAATTTTTAGTTTACAGCTACTGGATTAGTTGAAACTCCAAGAAAGGAAAATCAGGAAATGAACACCTCCTCTTTAATTTGAACCACATTATACATAGATTTTCACAGTTGATTACAGACTGTGAGTTTCAAGGTGAAGGGAAGCCATTGCTTGGACTCAACAGTGCCTTTAGTATTTACATGACTTACCATTAACTTGCCAGATATTCACCATCTTTTCCAAAGCGCCAGCTAGATATTTGCCACTGATACTCCAGGAAACAGGCAAGAAACTTGGATCACTGGGTGATCCCAGGCTTTCCTCAGCATCCCCTTCCCTAGAAAATAATAGACAAGTATGAAATTTTAATCCCCATCATCCAAAAGTAAACTAAACCTTGAATCTTAAAGTAAGGGCTTTATGTAGACCTCAGTACATAATAGCAGAGTCTTAACATTTCAAAAACTTGGCCAGCAGTATTTGACAATCACATATTCTAGTGTTTGTCATAATGTCAAAAAAAAGAATTATAAAAGAGTGATGCTTAGATCATACACCATTTAATATAGAACATCATTTGTCAATCACGACATACTAATTCTGTATGGGTTGTAAATGGTTTCTATTCAGAACACACTGAGTCTTGTTTGCCTGATCTCTGGTAAATTCACAGAAAAGAAACACCTACTATAGTTAGCTACATTCTACTACAAAAGAAATATCATTACTCTAATTCCTAAATAATCCTTAAAGAATGATGGAATATTAGCCTACTGTTTTACAGAAATGAACATTTATTTGTAAGATAATAGATTTTGATTTAATTCTGAGTAATTCCAGATATTGGTAGTTAATAATTTTACTTGCCAAATACTATCCTATATAATAAAAGCCTACTAATATGCTAAGTGTCCGGTCATCTGGTTGTCCATTCAACCAATCAAAACATAACATGCTAATGATATGCTAAGGCCGCTCAACCGCTCACCATGATGTGCACTGACCACCAAGGGGCAGACAGTCGACAGGTCAACCAGTCGCTATGACGTGCATTGACCACCAGGGGGAAGATGCTCCAACCGGTAGGTGAGCTTGCTGCTGGGGTCCGGCCGATCGGGACTGAGATGGGCCAGACATGCCCTGGAGCCCTCCCGTGGTCCTTCCCCAGATGGCCAACCTCCCACGCCCTGATTGTGCACCAGTGGGGGTCCCTCGGCCTGGCCTGCGCTCTCTTGCAATCTGGAACCCCTCATGGGGTGTCAGAGAGCCAGTTTTGGCCCACAGGCCAGGCCGAGGGTACCCCACTGGTGCATGAATTCGTGCACCGGGCCTCTAGTTCTGAATATTTAAAAACACACATTGGGGATATAGTAAGACTATTCTAAAAAAACTGCAAAAAATTTTAGTGACAGTTTGATTACATTAACACAACCAAAATATAGCATGTTTAGAATTCTCTTACTTTAGATGTTGCACAAGAAAGGTCACGTTAGCACTCACAATCTGTTGAACACACAGGTCTGTTGCAGTGAATACTGCTTCTTGGTAACATTCCACACCCGGATGGTGCCATCATTGCCACTTGTAGCCAAGAGTCCTTTTTTATTACACCAAACACACGTCATTACCTAGAAAAGGTAAAAATGTCCAGCAATATTTGAGCAAGTTTTAATTCAAATGATTCTGTCATTTCAAAAAGTTCTATCAAATTAAAAAATAAATCTATCATGAAATTGTAAAAGAAAGTATCCATGTTATAATGCAATAGGCATGGTCTCATTCTTTTCTAATTAGCTTATGAATACACACCTTTTTAAAGTATAGCTTTAAAGTACTATGCACCAAATCATTTGTTATCTGAAACCTGTTGAAATCTTTATTAAACATGTTTATTTAATTTAAAAACATGTTTATTTAATTCAATGAAGTATAAATACTGCAACATATTTGTATGTTTTATAAAATGACACATACTAAGAAGTCGTTTCTTAAAATATATTTTTTATTGATTTCAGAGAGGAAGGGAGGAGAGAGAAATAAAAACATCAATGATGAGAGAGAATCACTGATCTGTGCCCTCCTGAACGCCCTGTACTGGGGATTGAGCCTACAACTCAGGTATGTGCCCTGACCGGGAATGGAACCAGAACCTCCTGGTACACAGATCGATTCTCAATCACTGAACCACACCAGCCAGGCAAGAAGTGATTTTAAAATTAGTGAACAGAAGCCAGTCTTCATTTCCTGAACTGCCCTTGTCACTGCTCAAAGGCCCAGTGGGTTATATTGAAACAGTGAGGCCAATGTCTTTTCCTCTTGCATGTATAAGCCTTAATCTCTTATGAGGCTATTTCTTTGGTTTTCTTCTTATCCACCATCTGATTTTCCTGTTTGTATAATATTATATCAAACCAACATACAGAGAGAGTTGGTAACTACCAGATAAATATTGATAATTTTGTGTGTGTGGTGCGGGGGCGGGGGGGGGGAAGAAGAGATGTGTAAACTTTGAGCTCTTTGAGAAGGGCAGAAACTATTTTACCTTACATAAAGCAATCAGCACACTTGGGACTCAAAATACATACTCTGTTCTGATGAGCCTCCAACTTGATAAAGGAACATTTTCTGAGATCTCCTCCCATATCAGCAAGTGTTTGTGGAGTAGTTTGGTTGTCACGGTCGTGTGCAGCAAGAGTGCGCACAAGCTGTTGAGCAGCCCATTGCCTATGCTGTGAGGACAGCCTGGAGGACAGGCAGCAAGCTGCCAGGGCATTAGCCAGCTCCAGAGGGCCTACAGCAGAAGGATCATAGGAAGGATGGACATACAATTGAGCAGTTAAACCTGCTTAAACAAAACAATGAAATGATACCCTGGTGAGAGCTGGTGGTAGTGAACAAACAAAAATGGGTTAACCCATATCTTTTAATAACTAGCACTTTTGCAAGCAACCATTTCACTAACTAATGCATACAAGAAATAATAAACATTTATCTCATCAAACTCTATAAGAAATTTGATTCACTGCAAATGTACATTTATATTCATCAATCAATAAATAGTCTTTACTCTAAAGACACATAAACTAAGAATGCAGCAAAAATAATTTTAAGGCTAGGGCAAAGGCAGCATGCCCTAAAACATAAGAATTCGGCCTTTGCTGCTCAAAAGTGACCTTAACAGAGTCAAGGGACTGGACTGAGATCCTAAGGCCCATCTCTCTTGACCACATGGTCTTTATAAAAAGAAAGGTAGACAGCAGTGATTAAGTACTCCTTTCAAAGCGTTATCATCCTAAGACAGAGAAAAACAGTACTGCCATTATCTAAATTTTATTAAGAAAACCTATCAGGGTTATTATCTATGGCAGTGATTTTTCAACCAGTGTGTCACGACACACTGGTGTGCTGCAAGAATTTTTATAACATGCAATACCTGACTATTTAGTCAGGGGCACTGACCTCTTTTCCAAATAAAAAGAATGACAACAGCCCACACAATAGCTGTTCCATGTGAATGAATCAAAATTATATCTATTATTTTTGTCAGATCAGCAAAAAACATATTTTTTGGTGTGCCACAGAATTTTAGTAATTAGTTGGTGCATGCCATAAGATGAAAAAGGTTGAAAATCACTGATCTATGTTGACTCAAACCATAATCTAATAAAAATAATCTAATCAAACAAGACTAATTTGGTATGTTTTCTAGTATTTATTTTCATGCACATTGAAAAAGTATTCATGTACTTTTATGATCTAAACTTAAGTATACATGTTATGTAATTCACCATATAGAGCAATGAAAAACACATTTTTAAAAAACATTAATCAAACTGATTAGATCATACAAATCAATCAGAAGATTGCATAAATTAAATGGTATGAAAGTTACCTTTCTTTTCAACTTCTGACTTATCATAGTTAGGTCTCAGTTTGGCCCCCTTGTCTGCTAGTAATGCCACAAGGGCCTGAGTTACAACAAAGTTTGGGGAGGTCACAAGCTTATTTTCTTCAGCAATTCCTCGGAGAAAGCTGGGTAGAAACTTTCGCTGAATTGGATCATCAACTGTAGTTAGATTTACACCTGTTGCAGCAGAAATCAAGTTCTGAAGAGGCAATTGGAACAAATAGGTTTAATTTTTACATATAATTTTGGAACAAAGATTTTATCTCAAAAGGCTCTTTTAAGAATCAGTTAGAAATAAGCAAAGCAACTAGAAAAGCACTGGAAACTAGCTTACCTGTGTACACAACTGCACTAGGAGTTTTGCAGCACTAGGTGTGTTTGATGCCAGACATCCCACTGCTGTGCTCAGATAGGCCAGGCAAGAGATGGGTTTGTTGGCTTTGCTGTGCCCACCTCGTGAGCGTTCTGTGGTGCTTCCCATGGAAGAAGGGCTGGTGGAGAGGCCAGCTCTCCCTGCTGCAGCCAAGCACATTAATCGAACGAGCGTTCGGATATCTGTAAGCCCCAGAGATTCAAGACCAGCAGCCAGGCTACAACTGGAACCACTGTCAGGAAAGAAAAACACTTCAGATGGATAAAGATAAAAGTTTTCTTAAGGGACTGTTTGGAGCCCTACATATCATCCATAGTACAAAAAACAAAATTAAAGGCATGCTGCACTATCACTAATCATACATTTCCTAAGAGATGTCCAAAAATATTATGTACGCTAGAAACTGTTACTGAAACTTAAAAAAATACATTCATGTATACTTGAAGAATAACTGAATTACTAAAGTATAACATACAGGAATGTTCACAAATCATGAATTTTCACAAACTGAACAAACCCATGCAACTTCCAGATCAAGAAGAGAACATTGCCAGGTCCTCAGAAGCATACTTGGGCCCTTCTCAGTCACTGGGCCCTCTAAAGTAACCACTATCCTCACTTCTAAAGCCATAAATCAGTCGGACCTGTTTTTGAGCTTTGTATAACTAAAATAATAAAGTATTCTTTTGTGTCTGGCTTCTTTTGTTCAACACTACTTGTAACAGATTCATCCATGTTGTTACATCACAGAAGTGGTTATTCATTTTCATTGACGTATAAATAAAATGTACCGCAATTAATTTATCCATACAGATGGTAATCAGGTGATTTCCAGCACAGTGCTATTATGATAGTGCTGCTGTGTTTGTTCTTATTTATGTCTTTGGTGTACATATGTCAGCATTTCTATTGGATGTATACCCAGAAGTGAATGTCTGGGTCATGGAATATGTTAATATTCACCTTCAGTTGGTACTGTACCATCAGACAGTTTTCCAAAGTAGTTGTACCAATTTATTTCCTCACCAGCAGTGTATGAGAGCGTTAAGTGTTCCACATCCTCATGCTCACCTTGTTCCCTCAGTGTTTTGAAGTTTAGTCAGTCTGATGGGTATGTAGTAGTATCTCATTGGTTTTCATTTCTCTGAAAACTAATGAGATTGAACAATTCATCTTTCATGTTCATTGGCCATTTGGAGATCCTCTTTTGTATTATTTGGTATTTTGACCATTTTGGGGGGTAAGTCTTCATCTTATTGATTTATAGGAATTCTTTATATATTCTGTTGGTTATATGCATTGCTAATATCTTCTCCCATTTAGTGACTTTTAAAAAAACTTTCTGACTTAATGACTTTTGCTGAACAGAAGTTCTTTTTTAATGCAGTCCAATATATCAATCTTTTTCTATATGGTGAATGTCTTTTGTGACTTGCTTAAGAAATCTCTGCCTGTCCCAAAATCAAGAATAAGTTCTTCCTATGTTACCTTATAGAAATATTATTGATTTACATTTTACATTTAGATGGAAGAATCACTTGGAAATATTTGTTTTATAGTGTGAGTAAACCATCTGACTTAGCCCAGGTTATTGAAAACACCATCCTTTCCTCATTGCTCTGCAGTATAAACACTGTCATAAATCAATCCATAAATCAAGTGTTTATATATGTGGGTCAGATTCTGAACTCTTCTCTAGCACTGTCCAAATTATCTATTCTTAAGCCAATACCACATAGTCTTATCTAAATTTTATTTTGAGTTTTTTTCAGGGTCCCTCTATCTTCAATGACAGTTAAATACCCTAGCTTAACCATTTCTTAAATGGATGACTTTCAGGTACTCTTTGGCTCTGTTCCCTTTTTTAACATTATACTCCATAGTATGACCATGGCAAGTCTTCATGATGGAATCTGCAGGTTGACTTAGCTACACAGTTGATTAATTCTGCAGAAAAACTCATTTGATCTTTTATTTCTACTTTGTACCAAATGGATCAACAGTCTGAGTTTCCCATTTCAGATAATAAAATGTTTGCAGTTGACTCAGTTACTATAATGGCATTATTTTCTACCTAAGAAGTGCCAAGTATTAACTGAATGACTGAATGAATAAATAGCAATGATGACTATGTCCAACTTGTGTCATTTAATAGTAGATATTAAGTTTCTAAAAATTCTATCTCATTCTCCCAACAATACCAGACGCCAGTCTAACATATTCTTGAAGCTAACTTAGCATAACTTGACACAAACTAACACCTACCTGACTGAGAGAAGAGACAGCGCTCTCATGACCATGGTTCTGGACAGAAGTACCTGAGCAGCAGCAGTCACTCTCCTTAAAGCCACCACTCGGTCGTGAGGGTTTGCTAAGGCAGCTGCCTGCTCACCTAATGTTATTCTCCCAGAGGAACTCTTTTCTACCGAGCCATGGCAACCTGAAAAACAAGATTTTGTTTAGTTCTCAACATGGTAAGGAAAAAGTATCTGGACTACTGCAAATTTTCTAGGTTCCAGGCTGCAAGGAAATACAGAAAACGAAAGTGTTTTGCTCATCTGGAACTTTGTTAGTCAGAAAAGTCCTTGGAAGAAATAGATATTTCTAAATCAATAATCTATCCTATATAATAAAGAGGTGATATGCAAATTGACCATCACTCCAACACACAAGATGGCCGCCTCCATGTGGTCAAAGATGGCCACCACAAGATGGCCCACAGGGGAGGGCAGTTGTGGGCGATCAGGCCTGCAGGGGAGGAAAGTTGGGGGGACCAGGCCTGCAGGGGAGGGCAGTTGGGGGGACCAGGCCAGCAGGGGAGGGCAATTAGGGGCAATTGGGCTGGCAAGGGAGGGCAGTTAAGGGCGACCAGGCCAGCAGGGGAGGGCAGTTGGGGGCAACCAGGCCTGCAGGGGAGGGCAGTTGGGGGGACCAGGCCAGCAGGGGAGGGCAATTAGGGGCAATCGGGCTGGCAAGGGAGGGCAGTTAAGGGTGACCAGGCCAGCAGGGGAGGGCAGTTGGGGGCAACCAGGCCTGCAGGAGAGGGCAGTTGGGGATGACCAGGCCGGCAGGGGAGGACAGTTAGGGGCAATCGGGCTGGCAAGGGAGCAGTTAGGGGCAATCGGGCCAGCAGGGGAGCAGTTAGGCATCGATCAGGCTGGCAGGGGAGTGGTTAGGGGGTGATCAGGCTGGCAAGCAGAAGCGGTCAGGGGCAATCAGGCAGGCAGGAAGGCGAGTGGTTGGGAGTCAGCAGCCCTGGATTGTGAGAGGGATCCCAGATTGGAGAGGGTGCAGGCTGGGCTGAGGGACACCCCTCCATGCACGAATTTCATGCACCAGGCCTCTAGTGTGTGTGTGTGTGTGTGTGTGTGTGTGTGTGTGTGTGTATGCCTAAGCAACCATTACAGCCGGAATGACCAGTCGACCAGTCGCTATGACATGCTCTGACCACCAAGGGGCAGATGCTCAATGCAGGAGCTGCCCCCTGGTGGTCAGTGTCCTCCCACAGCCAACCTCCCGCAGCCAGCCAACCTCCCCTGGTCCCTCCCCAACCTGGCTGGCTGGCCTGCCAACGACTCGCGGCTCTCCCCCTGGCCAGCAGGCCCTGATTGGGACTGCATGAGACAGCCCCGATCAGCCCTGATTGCAGGCAAGGCCTAGGGACCCCACCTGGGCACAGATTTGTGCACCAGGCCTCTAGTCTATTGTAAAAGAAACATGCTTCTTAAAATATTTTGGTTTTATTTATTTTGCTCATGTATCACATCTACTGATATTAACAAATACAGAAAAGACATGGTTTTAAAAGCATGCTTTTTACACATAAAGGGTCATCAATACTGTCCCAATTCTTTATTCTGTATTCCCTATAGCAAAGTTACCACACCCTCGCACTAAATAGAAAAAGTTGGCAAAATAGTTTCTAATCAGTTCCAGGATTCTCTTATCACAGAGTTTTTAAAAAATCTTATATTTTATCAATTTTTTAACACTTCACTATTTCATAAAAACCACAAACATCAAACCTTAATATTGTATTATACCTTCAAAATATGTTAAAACAACTGGCTCAAAACACTTGATGGGGTGAGAAAATGTTGAATCCTTATTCTTATTATTTACTTTTACCGTCTTATTATTTATCTAAAAAATAAATAAATATAGACTCTATGAAATCCATGCCAATTAGCATGTCAATTTACCTATTTGCATCAGAGTCTCTTCCATACTGTTGGTGGCTGTAACCATTGCTACTGATGCTCCCAATGGATCACTGTCAGGGAACTGAACTGGTTCTGGTACAATACGTCGATCGTTTAAACCAAGTGGTCCAGCAAGTAATTCAAATTCTTCTTCACCTGTTAGCTTTTCATCTTCATCAACATCCAACATGTCCCAGTCTTCTGGAATTTAAATAAACATATGTACAGTATATGAATATAAACATGATATGACTCTGCTAGCAATTGTTATTGTAAGATATGTCTAAGATGCAGATGAACTAAAGGTCCAGTGCCCACAAAATGTACTATGGCACCATCTTCTGGTGAGCTGACAAACTGCTCTCCTAAGGTATAGGGAGACTAGATGGGAAAGGCAGTCAAAGCAGTCAAATCCATTTATTCCCCCCCCCTTAATTCTTTATTGTTAAAAGTATTACAATAAGTCTCCTTTTTTCCCCATTGACTTCTCCCCAGCCAAGGCAATAGCAAATATTACAGCTGGTAATGAAGGTTTCAACTAATAAAAAATATTGTTATAGGATCAACAAAGAGTTTTTAACCCTGTCCATAATCATTAGGAAATAATTGTTTCAAGTAAATGAATGCTCTAGATAAACTGATGCTTGCTTCAATTTTTTTTTTTTTATTTTCCTCAACAAGGATATTGAACATGTATATACACTTCTTCTACTTTGAAAACAAAATGCCACACAGAAATTCACATTTTGTGGTAAAACTAGTATTTCAACCAGGTTCTTTTCCTTTAACTTTTTAAAACTAGGGCTGATACTATCAAACTATCTTGAGCTTTTTAGGGACAATTTAAGTTAACATGTACATAAATACAAACACATGAAGGTAAATTTTAGTAACCAGATGTTAAGCAGAAGGTATACATAAAAATACATGTAAAATAAAGAAGCTCTCAAAACAACTACCTTCATATACACTGTCCTGCTTGCCAATTAGATCTGGAGCTTGTCCCTTGTACCTGCACCAAATACGAAGAACAGTGTGTTTTTACATAAAACAGTTAGTACCCAAAAATGCAAATTAAGTCATTAGAACATTTTAAAAGGTCATTAATAAAGCAACACAAAATAAAGAAGTGTATTTCATGTTATGGGCTAATGTAATAAAAACCACTGATATATATATGTACTATGTCCTAATCGGTTTGGCTCAGTGGATAGAGCATCGGCCTGCAGACTGAAAGGTCCCAGGTTCGATTCCGGTCAAGGGCATGTACAGGCAACATCTCCAGTAGGAGGTGTGCAGGAGGCAGCTGATCAATGTTTCTCTCTCATCGATGTTTCTAACTCTCTATCCCTCTCCCTTCCTCTCTGTAAAAAAATCAATAAAATATATATATATATTTTTTAAATATATTTTAAATATAATTTTTAAATATTTTTAATTTTAAATAAAATTTTTAAATATTATTTTTAAATATATTTTATTGATTTTTACAGAGAGGAAGGGAGAGGTATAGAGAGTTAGAAACGTCGATGAGAGAGAAACATCGACCAGCTACCTCCTGCACACCCCCCACTGGGGATGCACCCGCAACCAAGGCACATGCCCTTGGCTGGAATTGAACCTGGGACCCTTCAGTCCGCAGGCCGACGCTCTATCCACTGAGCCAACCCGGTTAGGGCAATAATAAAATGTATTTTTTAAAAAACCACTGATATATAGGTAGTACACACTTACTTACAAAATCAATGACTATTTCAATAATTACTGGGGATGTTTCTGGGTCGCCTACAACTTTTTAAATCAAAACCTCTTCCAGAATACATTATAGATTTTAATAGTCAAAAACCCTACTCACTAGAGGTTAATTGCTATTCAAGGACATAAAGAGATAATATTTTCATGGAAGCTCATTTAATATAAACAATCTATTTTTTCATGAAGGAAAAGATCTTAAGATATCCAAAATATGGTGAAAAACATCAATTAAAAAAATTGACCGTAAGCTTCCAAAAGGTTAAGGCAAGGATCCTACCCACAATTTGTCAACAAGTCAAAGGTAACACGAACGCCAGTGAAGGACCTGCTGATAAACCACTGTTCCTGGACTACAGGTCCCCAGCTCTGACAGGAACATGAATTCTTCAACCTCCACCATCCTTCCTGTTCCCAATCCAGCAATCACAGGACTTTAGGAAATGTTAAAAAGTAACTCCTAACATGAAAAAAGCTACTATTCTCATGTCTTTAATGAGAGAGACTATCATTCAGGGGGACTGGATCTCCATACAATTTCAAGGTACCTTTCAGAACTTGTGGTCTTGGATTTGGTCTTCAGGGCTAAGTACTTTTCCCTGCAGCTGCCACAGAGCAGGTAGTATGGATTTCCACTCCCACATTCACCACCAAACCAGCCATCAACATAGGAGCCATTGCTGCGGTAGCCCTGGCGGTTTGCACTGCGCCCACAGCCTGGGTGATTTCTCTTCATGTGCTGATTGAAGCTGACAACACTGCATTCACACAGTTCACACACCACCACTTCTTCCCTGTCTTCAGACTCACAAACATGCTGCACAAATGATTACATATCACATTATTAGTCAATTTAACATAAAATTAAGAAGAGGTCAACAGATTATTGATATTAAATTAACTATTTTATTTACTTATGCTGGAATATTTGCAATATGTTCATTAATGCTATATAAGAAATTTCTTTCAAATCCAAATTCACATCATACAATCTTAAAGTGTTTTTTTGTCATTCCTCTCTCTAATAAAAGTAACTGACTATCCTACTGAAAAGAGAGTTAATAAAAATGACCATCTACCCCAGCTCAAATGATTTTTTTAAATCCCTCTAATGAAAATTACTTTCTTTAATCTAGTCATAACATGCATATCTATTTTCTGAATTTCTAAGAAGTTATTAGGATTCATTTATCTTATTAACCTAACAGGGTAGATCAGCGGTTCTCAACCTGTGGGGGTCGAATGACCCTTTCACAGGGGTCGCCTAAGACCATCAGAAAACACATATATAATTACATATTGGTTTTGTGATTAATCACTATGCTTTAATTATGTTCAATTCGTAACAATGAAAATACATCCTGCATATCAGATATTTACATTACGATTCATAACAGTAGCAAAATGACAGTTATGAAGTAGCAACGAAAATAATTTTATGGTTGGGGGTCACCACAACATGAGGAACTGTATTAAAGGGTCACAGCATTAGGAAGGTTGAGAACCACTGTGGTAGATGCTCTTTCCTGTAGGACTTACACCTGTGAACTTTTCAGTTTCACTGCTATAAAAGCATAATGCTAAATAATGTAAACATACAAACCCACCACGTACCCTGACCCTGGATAGAAGTATTTATAAGATCTAGGTGGCACTGGTTCCTAGAATGAGGCATTAACAGTGATTAAATGAAACCAGAAGGAGAAGAGCATGCATTCAGATAGCAAGGTGAAAACAGCAGCCATGTTATATACCCAGCAGTCAACTGAGACTTGATGCCTGTTTTGTAATCTATCTTTGATATTAAAATCAAATATTACCATAATACAGCTCTATTCATCTAGTCTAGAGAGAGAAGCAATAAAATCGCACAGAAATAGCAAAAAGAGAGACTTTTTCTTATTAGTTTGCAAGTATGAAAGTAACATTAACCATTAGAGCCCCAAACTTTAGGATGAGATGTAAAACTTTTCGTGTTACAACTTTAGGCAAGGCTGTTATTAGTAAGCTGCATAAACAAGAGGGCAGGAAAATAAGTCAGAGCAGCCCCCGCTGCAGTCACACACACCCAGGTAGGCCAATCCAGTACCTCTGGGATCCACATTCCCAGAATATCATTTTCACTGGTCAGGTCTTGTCCAAACATTGCTTCCATTGCTTCATCATCAAGATCAATTTCCAATTCCTCATCTAAATTAAAGTCATACAATGCCCCTGGGTCTTGCTGCAAAGATATTCCTTCTCTCCGACTTTGATTCCTGTGGGCCTGCACAGAGCGGTATAACCCCGCTCAGAACAAAACAAAAAAGGTATTTTATTTGCATGTATAAAATAATTCTGAATATTGCGCCAATTCTTAATTGCCATGCATGCAGGTGAGAGCCTATCTCAGCTGACTTATTGGATTCCAGACCATAAACATAAAATTATACCTATCAATTTTGCTTCCTCTTCTGTAAAATGAGGACAACAGCACTCACACCTGGCAGGGCTCTTGATAGGTTTAAATAAGATAATCCGTGTAAAATACTTCATGATGTTTGTTAAATAAAAAAACACCCAAGAATGTGGGCTGTTATTGTTCCTTTAGGTTTATTTTTTTACATCGGTCTCTTCATTATATTGTATATTAACTATACATCCTATATTTTTTAGAACTTCCCTCTGTTCCATAAATCATGGAATCACTATTTATATTTTAATATTTCAAGGATCAAACTCTGTTTTGACAAATTACGTATCTTAATATTTAATTTGGAAAATAGGTTCTCTATAACTTACCCTCCAGAACACAATCCTAGAAGTATTTATCAATTTATTGAGGAAATCTATTTTTGCTTATCTAGGGTCTTACCTAGTAATGAAGCCCTAAGATCCACAGAGTACATCAGAAAAGCCAGTGCCTACTTCTTTGGTACTGTGTACTTTTTCAGCTCGTTCTCACTATTAATATTAAATTTTAAATGTGCATCTTCACTTCTTAAATTGTAAGTTGCTTTACCACAGAGAGCATTTATGAAATTTCTCAGTGTCTAAAAATAACCAGTCCTTCTGCACCCTCAGGGAACTTAAAAATAAATCTATGAATGTATACTGTGGTTTCAATTTTTGGAAACTATGTAAATACACTGAAAATAATATGAAAATAGTCACTGTTAATGTGGAGGAACTGAGTACTTAGTATCATTAGGTTACACTGCCTGTACCATTCCTTTTACATTTACTTTAAAATATAAAAGCAAGCTATATAATACTATAACCAAGAGAAGGATGTGAAACATGTAATTACCTGCTCTTGCTAGCAATGTGCGAGCAGCTAAATCAAACTTGTGCCTTCGTGTTACTGCTGAGCGACCCCTAGTTGGTTGTCCACTACCAGAAGCTGCATTCTCTGTATGATCCAGATTATCAGGGCTGTAAGTGTAAGTTTGAAAGCAACATGGATTTTTAAAAACGATCATTAATAGAAAGCAAAGGTGCACGCTTGCTTGTGAGGGTACTTTTTTCTCCAAATATTACCGAGAATAAAATATAGTTATAAAACTTTGAAACATATCTTTTGTCCCTGGTAAAGATCCTAAGTTTTAAATGTGTCACATTGCCATGAGCAATAATTTTATATGATTTTGAATTATACCAACAATGAAATGATACTTAATGCATCTTCAAATTGAAACGAGGTCAATGGCCTTAACTAAATTCTAAATGATTAAATACTTAAAAATTAAAGTGATTGTGCATCCTTGCATAAGAGAAACAAATATTTCAAAATAAATTACAAAAATATTCACTAATCTTGTCAGAAAGGTCTGTATATTACATAAGGTGCAAGCCATGGTAACCATATGACTTCATGAGCTAAAATGAAAAGTTAAGATTTAAAGTCATAAGTGATGGAGGAAGATTTTAGGAAGAACTGTAAAATATATTATAGATCATTTTGGGCTAGGTATTATCACAGATTTTAAAAAGGGTATATTGTACAGATATTAGAAACTAAAGAATAAAAATATAAATCTATTTTAAGAGTTAAAAAAGCTTAAAAGTCCATTTCCATCAAATGCATTAATTAAATCAATTGCTAATATTAAAATGAACATTGTATTTCATATCACCTATATGAAAGAAAATTATTTTTCAGTTTCCTCTTTTCAGATCAATTTTATATAAACTTTTTTCCTTCTTTCCCTGAAAACATCCCTTCAAGATAAAATGGTTATGTCATTATTACCCTTCACAGAAACATTAACTTGAAACTAAAACGTCCATCTTTTCATATATGTCTATCACCTTTACATACCATTAGAAGCTCCTATAAAAGGGAAACAAATGGGGCTTTTGGGGGTACCATTTATAACACACTGAACAGAAATATGGAGGATGGGAATTCACCTTTCACTAAAGCCTTCCTCCATTTCAGCAGCATCAGCCGATGGTATGTCTCCTGGTGACTGCAAATAACAGGGATCATTTGATTTCCCAGCACTGCCTAGAACTGCTGCTCCATGCCTTGAGTCTGCTGTGCTGCTTGACTGAGGCTCCTCCTCATCCTCATGCCCAGGGTGCTCTATCATCCACATGGCAAGGACAGTGATGTTCTGGGCATCAGCCTCCCCTCGAGCACCTGAACAGGGGGAAAAATAAGTCTGATACTGACTTTGGGCAAAATAGTTATTCATGCTAGTATCTGTTATGATGTCACTGAACTAAACCTGATGTTAAAAATCTTACCAAGCTTTATGGCCTCTTAAAAAAATATTGCCCTTAATAAGATTAAGTTTCTCATATCTGTATATACTGACATATAAAAATTTATTCTACCTGTGGCTTCCATGGCTTTGGCAATCTGTCGGAGGGAGAACCCCATTTCCAACAAGGGTACTGCAATTGCTGGAGGAGGAGGAGAAGTTGAAAGTCTACTGCTTGGGTCTGACAAGGCTGAGACAAAAGAAAGAGAAGTAAAGACCTAAATATCACTATATAACATGAATAAAGTCTTCTCCGTGTAACTATAAGTTTCTTAATGTAGTTCAAATTCAACGAAAATTTACTCTAGCAAGAATTCATTAAATGTATAACTATGATTAAACCTGTTATAGATTATGGTTTTTCATAAAGATAAACCTGCTAATACAAAATAAAACTACTGAAATAATGTAAGACATTTTATTTTGAAATAGTTACCTACTTACAAAAAATTTCATACTTAACAGACATTCGCAAGAATGCACAATGGATTCTTTCACCCCTGAACCATCTGAGACTTTTTTTCAGACAATTTTCCCTGAATACACTAATATGTAACTCCTACAAATAAGGACATTCTCCTGCATAACCACAACACAACCATCAAAGTCAGGAACTTAAGAATATTATCACCTATTCTATATCTCATTCCAGTTTCACCAAAAATCTAGGTAATGTTCTTCACAGCAAAGGATCCACTCTAGGATCCCCTTTGCATTTATTTAGTTTTCATGTTTTTCTTCAGTATCCTTCAATCACTTAGGTACTTTGAAGATTATAGGCCAGGTATGTGGTATAATGCCTGTCAATCTAGAATTCTACACCAGTAAAAATATTTTTCAAAATTAAGGTGAAATAAACTCTTTCAGACATACAAGAGACAAAATAATTCATCACCAGCAAATCGCTACAAGGAAGTCTTTCAAGCAGAAAGAAATGACACCAGATGGAAATCTGGATCTACATAAAGGAATAAAGAATATCAGGACTGGTAAATATGTGAGTAAATATAATCCTATTCTATATAATAAAAGAGTAATATGCAAATTGACGGAATGGCAGAACGACCGGTCACTATGATGTGCACTGACCACCAGGGGCAGACGCTCAACACAGGAGCTGCCCCCTAGTGGTCAGTGTGCTCCCACAGGGGGAGTGCAGCTCAGCCAGAAGCCCAGAAGCCGGGCTCACAGCTGGTGAGCACAGCGGTGGTGGCAGGAGCCCCTCCTGCCTCCATGGCAGTGCTACGGATGGCCATCCCCTGAGGGGTGCCGGACTGTGAGAGGGCACAGGCCGGGCTAAGGGACCCACTAAGTACACAAACCTCATGCACCAGGCCTCTAGTATATATATAAGTTTTTGAATCTCCTTAAAATATAATTGCCTGTTTACAGCAAAAATAATAACAATGTATTATGGGGCTTTATAACATATGTAGAAGTTAAATGTGTTACAACAAAAGTACAAAGGCTGAGAAAAGGGAAATGAAAGCACACTGTTGTTAGATTCTGTTAGTATACATGAAATGGTAAAACATTACTTAAAGATAGACTGTGACAATTAAAGGTGTATACTATAAACCTAAAAGTAAATTCTAAAAATATAATACAAAGTATAATAAACCAAGGAGATAAAATTTTTAAAAAATCATTTAATCCAAAGAAAGTAGACAAAGGGGACAAAGTACAGGTGAGATAAACAGAAAGATGGTAAATTTAAGCCCAACCATACCAATAATCACACTAAATGTCAATGATCTACCCCAATTAAAAGGCAGAAAACATCAGGTTGGATTTTAAAAGGCAAGACTTAAATATAGGCTGCCTTTCCGAAAACCACTTAAAATATAAAGACACAAATAAGTTAAAAGTAAAATGATGGGAAAAGATATACCACCCAACACTAATGAAAAAAACTAGAAGTGGCTATATTTATACCCGACAAAACAGATTTAAGGGCAAATAATAATACCAGGGATAAAAAGAGTCATTACATAATGATAAAGAGGTCAATTCATTAGGAAGACATATGAATACTAAATTTTTATGGACCCAAAGACAAGGCTTTAAAATACATGAAACAAAAACTGATCAATGAAAGGGGAAATAGACAAATCCACTATAACAGAGGTTTTAACACCTCTCTCTCAATAACTTATAGAATAAGTAGACTAAAAATCAAAATAACAAAGACTTAGATCAGGGGTCCTCAAACTACAGCCTGCAGGTCACATGCAAATATAAATATTGTATTTGTTCCCGTTTTGTTTTTTTACTTCAAAATAAGATATGTGCAGTGTGCATAGGAATTTGTTCATAGTTTTTTTTTAAACTATAGTCTGAGTCTCCAATGGTCTGAGCGACAGTGAACTGGCCCCCTGTTTAAAAAGTTTGAGGACCCCTGACTTAGATAATACTAAAAACCTACCTGACCTAACCAACAATTCATAGAACATTCCACTCAATAATAGCACAATACACACTTTTCCCAAGTGCACGTGAAATATATTTCAAACAGACCATATTCTGGACCATAAAACAAGTATCAATAAATTTAAAAAGAAGATGGTGGCATAGGTAAACACCGGAGATTGCTGCCTCGCACAACCACTTCAAAAATACACCTAAAAGACGAAACGGACATCATCCAGAACCACAGGAAGGCTGGCTGAGTGGAAATTCTACAACTAGAAGGAAAGAAAAAAGCATACCGAGACTCAGAGGAGGTGCGGTGCAGAAGTAAAATACAGAGGTACAGAGGCGCATGCAGAAGAGCTGGCGGCTGAGTACAGGGTTGTCTTTTTCAATCGGGAGGGAGTCTCAAGCTCTGAGCTCCAGTTCCGGCGAGTCTCTGGGGACCCAGACTCATATGGGAGAAACTGGACTGTCTGGTATCGGTCGGAACTCGAGGGTAGCTTTCTCTCAGGGGTGCTTGCAGTGATTGCCGGGATACTGAGAAGCAGGGCCTCTGAGGGCAGGACTGAGAGCAGCCATAACTGCTTGCTCCGCCATGTTGATCCCCTGGGACCCCGCCCCACCCAAGCAGTGCACGGAGGCTTTTGCATATGAAAAGCCTGGCCCTTTGCAAACTGATAATAACCTAACAAACTGCAGCTGGCCCAAGGCTCCAGGGCAACTTGCAATGCTTCACAGCTGGCTCCTGCTGGATAGCCTCAGGCAGAGGCTAGATTAGCACCTCCTTAGAGATCCAGGAGCCAGTGTGCCTGGTGATCAGAGTGGGACCATCCAGATTGCAGCTCCTCGGATCCATAAAGGACACACTCAGGGGGCAGACTCAGTGAGCATCAAAGCCCCATTGAAGCAAGTCTTGCCCCGGAGGGGTGTCTCCAGCACAGAAGTTCTCTCACTGCAGACACAACCAATTCTCACAGCCAATTGGCCTGGGGGTCAATCCCTCCCAGTGTTACCTACAACAGTCAAGGCTTAACTACAACAAGACTGTGCATAAAGCCCACAAGGGGGTGCACCAAGAGTGTCTACCTCAGGTAATTGGGGAGGCTGAGCCACTGGGCCCTATAGGACACCTAGCACAAAAAGCCACTATATCAACACAGCGAAGCATAAAAAAAATGCGGAGACAAAGAAACAGGACACAAATGACAGAAATGGAGGAAAGAAAACTACTGGATATAGAGTTCAAAACCACACTTTTAAGGTTTCTCAAGAATTTTCTAGAAACCACCAAAAAACTTAATGAGACCCTCAAGAAATCTAGTGAGACCCTCGAGGTTGTGATAAAGGACCAACTAGAAATTAAGCATACACTGACTGGAATAAAGAATATTATACAGAATCCCAACAGCAGACTAGAGGATCGCAAGAATCAAGTCAAAGATTTGAAATACGAAGAAGCAAAACACCCAACCAGAAAAACAAAATGAAAAAAGAATCCAAAAATACGAAGATAGTGTAAGGAGCCTCTGAGACAGCTTCAAACGAACCAACATCCTAATTATGGGGGTGTTGGAAGATGAGAGAGACCAAGATATTGAAAACCTATTTGAAGAAATAATGACAGAAAACTTCCCCTACCTGGGGAAAGAAATAGACTTACAAGTCCAGGAAGCGCAAAGAACCCCAAACAAAAGGAATCCAAAGAGGACCACACCAAGACACATCATAATTAAAATGCCAAGAGCAAAAGACAAAGAGAGAATCTTAAAAGAAGAGAAAGACAGTCAGTTACCTACAAGGGAGTATCCATACGACTGTCAGCTGATTTCTCAACAGAAACTATGCAGGCCAGAAGGGAGTGGCAAGAAATATTCAAAGTGATGAATAGCAAGAACCTACAACCAAGATTACTTTATCCAGCAAAGCTATCATTCAGAACTGAAGGTCAGATAAAGAGCTTCACAGATAAGAAAAAGCTAAAGGAGTTCATCACCACTAAACCAGTATTATATGAAATGATGAAAGGTATCCTTTAAGAAGAGGAAGAAGAAGAAAAAGGTAAAGATACAAATTATGAACAACAAATACACATCTATCAACAAGTAAATCTAAAAAATCAAGTGAATAAATAATCTGATGAACAGAATAAACTGGTGATTATATTAGAACCAGGGGCATAGAAAGGGAGTGGACTGACTGTTCTTGGGGGGGAAAGGGGAGTGGGGGATACGGGAAGAGACTGAACAAAAATTGTGCACCTATGGATGAGGACAGTGGGGGGGGGGGTGAGGGCTGGGGGGGGGGAAACGGGTGGAGGGGAGCTATGGGGGAAAAAAGAGGAACAACTGTAATAATCTGAACAATAAAGATTTAATTTAAAAAAAATAAATTTAAAAAATTCAAATTGTACAAGGTATGCTCTTTGATGATAATGAAATTAAATTAAAAATCAAGAATAGAGGTATTTGAAAAATTTCCCAAAATTTGGAAACAAAATACTGTACTTCTAATTATGCCAAAGAAGATATTATGATAAATGAGAAAGTACTTTAAACTGAATGAAAATGAAAACACAGCATTTCAAAATGTTTGAGTTGTAGCAAAAGTATTGTTTAGAGGAAAATTCGTAGCACTAAAAATACCTATATTATTAGAAAAAAACCAAAAGGATGGTTGCCAGATGGGAGGGAAGGTAGACTAAAGGGATGGGTGAAAAAGGTGAAGGGAGTAAGAAGTACAGATTGGCCCAGTGGTTGAGCATCAGCCCCTTAAACAGGAGGTCACGGTTCTATTCCCAATCAGGGCACATGCCCAGATTGCAGGCTTGGGTCCCCAGTAGGGGGCATGCAGGAGACAGCTGACCAATGTTTCTCTCTCACTGTCTCCCTCTCCTTTTCTCTCTCTAAAATCAATAAAAATGTACATATTTTTTAAAAGTACATATTGGTAGTTACAAAATAGTCACCAGGATATAAAGCACAGCAAAGGAAATACAGTCTATAATTTTGTAATAATTATGTATGGTGCCAGGTGGGTACTAGATAAATCAAAAGGATCAATTCATTAAGTTAAATAAATGTCTAACCACCATGCTGTATGCCTGAAATTAATATAAAATGGAATGACAACTGTAATTAAATAAAAAATTTTCAAAATTTTTTTAAAAAAGGACTAATATAACTGATGTACAGTATGTTATTTCCCTCCCAAATAGCCATAATTCAATCTAGAGACTCAAAATACAGAAGACAGCTCATTTTGATGGGGCAGACTATCCCCCATAATTAAAATCACTGCTTTTACCTCCATGAAGACAAAATACAATGCCTACATAATAAAGTCCCACACATTTGGAATGTCAAAACGTCTGGGTGTCATAGCGCATGATAATACACGCACCTGTGCGGTTAGCTGGCCTTGCTGACTGGGAATCAGGAGAAGTTAAGCTTTGCCTTCTTCCTACTTCATCAGAAGGAGAGGTTGGTAATGATGATATTGGAGGAGTCTGTGCACGACGTGTGGGAAGTACGGTGGTAGTTGGGTAACTAGAGAACATTTGCCTTTAAAGAAAACAACATTAGTATAAAAATCCAATTACAAAATACAAGGTGGGCAAAAGTAGATTTACAGTTGTTCATATGGAAAATAATACAATAATTAATAAATAATAACACAAGAATAAACTCTTTTGCATACTCACAACTGTAAACCTACTTTTGTCCCACCCTGTATATACATCACAGTCTTATAAAAGAATATGTGACCTGGAAATCTACACAAGTTAGCTATAATTAATTGGGGTGAGGAAGATTCCACAGTTTTAAAAATCATTATATCATAAGATAATCTATACAAGTAATACAAGTAATCTATAGAAGTAATAATACCTTATCATTTGTTCAGCAAAATGCCAATAACATAGCATGTGGGGGAATACAGCAATAAACAAAACATTTTTTTAAATCCCTGTCTTAAGGAGCTTTCCTCTACTATAATACCAAGAAGACAGGGATATTTTGACAGGCATACAGCAGTTACAGGATAAAAAAAACTTGTACAGATAGATAATTTACAATTACTTCAAACATAAGTTCACTAGCTAGCCATGAAATTATTCACATGGATTCCAAGTAATAATCTATAGGTAAGTTACCAAAAGAAAAGATAACTGCTCAGTCACCCAGCACAACTGAAATATAGCATAAGAATGAGATACCAGCTGTGTAAAGGAGACAAGATATAGAGAGGCAGACCCCTCAGGCTGAGAAGGCAGACACTGGGTAAAGAAGAAAGTCCAGGAAGCTCCTCACCGACTGACTGCTCTTTCGATTTGTTCAATAGAACTAATAACTTTTAAGCATCAAGAAAGCATTGTCGATGCACTCAAATAATTGTAAAATCATATTCATGTAAGAGGCACTTGTTCCCTGATTTCTGATATTCGGAAGGCAGACACAATTGCAGCTCTAATATAGTCCCAGTCAATAACAGGAAAACAAAGACTAAGAAGAAAGGAGGGGTCACAAGCCCTGGTGAATGGTTCTGGGAGAAAGGGAGCATTATTATACCACTGAATCCCATGCCTACACTACAGAACTTGAAAGGCAAAAGGAGTCATGGTGCTATTGATCCTCTATGGATGCCTTGAATTCTATTAATTGCTGGAGGAATTAAAAACCATATTAGAATATTCTATCATTTCTCTCTTCTTGCTTTCTTAAACAGAAGCACCTCCTGGATCTGTGTTACTTAAGTGAGAGCTAAGTGGGAGGAGATGTGTGGGGAGTGGGCAATAGTAGCTACTAGGATTAGTGCTCCTTCTGCCCCAAACCAGAGCAATTGAGGAAACAATTCAAATGCAAATTATGTGCCCCCACCAGACCTAGTGAGAGACTTGGGGAATACATCCCCAGAGCTTTAAAAAGCCTCCCAGGTAGCTCTTGTGAACACCAAATATTGAGAATCATTACAATAATAGCCACTCTCCCTAAGAAGTCAATCTACACACAGGGGAATAATAGTGACCCGTCAATTAAGAGAAGGGGGAAAAGAAATAAGAAAAAAGGATACTATTCATTTTCCTTCCCTTTATTTCACTTAAGCCCTATGTGAGAAAGTTCACAAAACACTCCCTCCCTAGAGATCTTCTCTCAAGGTTTTTGGTTTGTGTATACATCTGGCAAACTGAAGCAAAAAGAAACTGGAACATTATTTGAAATTTATAAATCTATTAAAATAGGGTTGGTTGAAGAAGCATCATAAGACACGCTCTTTCATTTGAAAAGTAGACTTGCTTGATCTTATAATAAGAAAGAAATAAAGAATAAAGAAATTATTCTAAAGGGAAAATAACCTGAGAAAAGAAAATTAACTCATGAAGGCAAGCTCTTTCTTAAAGTTGTAACAATCAAAACACAAGTATTTACTTTTTCAGGGAAAACATATTCAAAAGCCTAGCCAAAAAATGAAAGAACCATTATAAGGAGATAGAATAGTGCTGGAGTACCTGATTGGCAATGGAACCATTGATTAGATCTGGGACCAAAACTAGCTATGAGACTTGGGCAAGTTGTTAAACATCTGAAGGACATTTCCAACTTCAGTAAATTGGGTTTGACCATATGATCCTTTAGATTCCTTCTAACTCTAGAACACCTTGATTTAGTTGGGCACATTCTTCATAAGAGAATACCTGTGTGCTCATAACCATAGGCATCAAATATGGCACAATTTAAAAGTTAACTTCCCTACCTGAGGAGACTTAGTGGCATCACTCCTGGGGACTCAGATGCAGGCACTGTTTCTGTGTCAGTGACTGGAGTGGTGGCAGTTGTGGTGTCCTCCAGCGAGCTACTCATAAAGGAAGTCGTGCTCGAGGCTGATGGGCTAGTGGTAACTGGAGTCTGTGCCTGCTGGGCTGGGTCACTTTCTTCAGCTTGTTGATCAATCTCTATAAACCAAGGTTAAGAAAGTGGTAAGGATTTTTTTTCTTTCAAATGGGAATGGAAAGCTTTTAACCTTTAACTTGGAAAGTTTCTAACATATTTCATAAATATCAATTCTATAAAAGATTTACAGAAAAAATGTTTTTACATCTACACTGAATTCACTATTATCCTCATAACTGTAGACTCTACAGACAAAAAAAAGGAACCAGCCCTTGTAATTATTCATTTCTTTCTATTAGGAAAGGTTCTCTTAAAAACAACAACAAAAAGTCTCATTTGTGTATGTGATATTTGACCAGAGATTCCCTAAAGATATTTTATCATTAAAACTGTATTTCCTTAGCACTTTTATTTTGATGCCTATTTTTAGTCTTTAAGCAAGCAAAGATGAAGACATGTAAATACAAGATTATGAAAACCTAGACAGAAACTCCATGCTCTGAAAAGGACAATGGCTCACAAAACAAACTACTCCTAAAAGTTGGGGGGGTTGTTGCTATAAAGATAGCTAATTCTATTAAGGTTTGCTAAATGGCCACATACTTTCATAAACATCATGATCTTAACACTCCTATTATATGCACCATGCACCTCTCTCTGCCTATTCACTGTCTAAGCTAAGACAGGAAGGAGAGGAGTAAAGAAAAAGGAAAGAAGAAAGAGAAAAAGGAAGGGAAGAAAGAATAACAGCAATTGAAGTTTCATTACAACAAGGGACTTTGTTTTGTCATTGCTGACTCCTCAGAACCTAGAAGAGTACCTGGCACATGGTAGGCATTCAATAAATATTTACTGAATGAATCTCATTTTAATCTTAGAATTCAAATTATCTCCAAAGGTGAGGATAAAAGATAAAACTAGATTTTTTTACATACACTACAGGATCTATAAAAGTAATCCTTTAAAATGCCTCTGAGAAGTCATCAGAATAATATGTATTTTGAATCATATCAATAAATACTTGAGTATATTTTGTGGCATGAATTAAATTTCAGTTTTACAAAATGTAGTAGTAATTATTAAATTTGAATGCTTTATAGATTTAAAACAGAAAATTATAGGTAGATTATTAATATAAAAGAAACAAAAAAGAACTGTTCACCTTGCAAAGGAAAAATGACATGAAAATTGCTTTTGCCAAAAAAATTTTTTTTATAAATCACTTATAGAGTACATCAGTTCTGACAATTATAATTTCAACAGCACAAAAGCATTTAAAAAAAATCAGATAACATACCTTGCTTAATTTTGCCCCCAAACTGGTCTTCCAAAAGCCCACTGACCACTAATTTATAGATCATGGCTTGAGCTCGTTCCAGATCAGCTAATCCCAATGCTCTCTTTATGGGGGACCGCATGACCGCTCGCTTCACCATGTGTCGCATCAAGAACTGCAGGGCTGCACGCATCTCCACGTCTTCGTGAACAACTGGAGAGCTTGCACAGTCTGAGTTGTGGCCATTTTCAGCCAGAACTTTTGGTATCAGCAACAGCTCAGCATATTTACTACAGCCAAGAAGAGCACTAAGTGATTTCATAGCACCGAGGTAGAGATAAGACAACTGGACTGCTCTGATTTCTGTCTGGGGTATGTCATGGATTTTGGACATGTGTTCATGATTTTTTCTCTTTCCTTCTGTTATTTGGTGTTGGTATTCCACACCTGGCAGGGTTGGATCTAAAGAAAATGAAGCTATTTCACCTTCTGATTTGGAGCTTGTAGTACCCTGACTTTTGACATCGTCAGATGTTAGGCCTGTTCGCGTATCTAAAGCAGATTCACTCTCAGTTTTCTGCTCAATGTCCCCTTTCTCTTCAGACTCATGTCGATGTTTTTTTTCATGTCGCTTGGTGCTCTGTTTGCCCATGTCTTCGTGAATGCCAGTCAGATACGTGAGGTCCAGCAGCACAGAAGCCGTCAGGCCTCGGAATCGCGCCACGTCAAAAGGCAGTGGTTCACAGGGTTCCAGATTATACAATGGAGTATCACTAGGCGACCAAAAAGTTGGGAAGCTTTAATAAAGATCAGAATGACACAGGAAGAAGCAAGTGAGGGATAGACAGGAGGAAGGTACAGAATATAATGTAGACAAAATAAGATGCATCATGTACACACTACAGAGAATAATCTACACAAGCTAGAAAAGACATTACAGAGAAAAATTAGTCTATTATGAGAAAATGGGGAGATGTGATGTTAAATGCAAAAGCAATGAGATGTGCATGTGCTTTCAAAGAATATTTACCATAATATAATGTAAGCCAGAAATTAGCAAAATTTCTGTGAGCCAAAAAGTATGGGGTGAGCAAAAGGAGGTTTACAGTGTGGGTACATGAAATACAGAGTTTATTCTTGCATTAGTATTTATTCTTGTATTATACATTTTTCCACAGGAATAACTGTAAACTTACTTTTGCCCAACCCATATTTTAGACCCTGTAGGCCAATCTCTGTTGCAATCTTTCAACCCCACTACAACAGTGTGAAAGTGGCCAATGATACACCTAAACGAAAGGGTGTGGCTATGTAATATTATTTATAAAAACAGGAGGTGGGCTAGATGTTCTCTGACAATTCCTGATGAAAGATATTTGGAAAGTCTGTATAATAAATATAGCTTATTATGTGGGCAATGGCCATTTATAACCTATCCCAGAGAATGCATTGTTTCTTTAAAAAAATTGCTTTGTAATCTTCAATTAATGCTTCTAATTTATAGTTTAAGCAAAAATATAATCACATATTTCCTGATATTTGGCAAGAATTTCCAGATTTTTAAAAATGTTATAAGTATACAAAATGTAATAGAAAGCTTTAGCAAGTATAAAAAGTTTGGTGGTAAACATTTGTTTTATTAACCTAAGTCTTGGTTTCAACTTAACCAAGGAACCAAGAGGTAATTGATCTGATTCCCAGTCAGGGCACATGCCCAGGTTGTAGGCTTGATCCCCAGTAGTGGGTATGCAGGAGGCAGCCAATTGATGAAGTTTCTCTCATCAATGTTTCTATCTCTCTATCTCTCTCCCTTCCTCTCTCTCTAAAAATCAATAAAAAGATCTTTTTTAAAAAGAATACTTAAAATCACAGATAATCGAAAACCTAATTTTAGTCACAAAAACGTTCTGTCATACATCCAAAGACCTCCTACACAAAATGTAATTGATGGATCTACTGGCTGGCTTTTTTTCTATCCCAGTGAGTAATGGAAATGTTCAAAAAGCAAGAAACTAAATGAAAAAATAGAAGAAAAGATCCCAGTTAAACATAAACTAGTGAGCTTACCATTTCTTCAAAAAAACAGAACAGAAACTATAAACTTTATAAATCACTAGTATTCCAAGGAACACAAATTTGGGAAATATTCCTTTAGAAATCACAGTACTCACACACAACTATATGAACAAAAGTATTTTAAAAAGTTAACTGGCAGCTCACCTAAACACATAATTTCTCACTGCCCATAGGCAATGGCCCATGTCACCATTACATACTCATTTGTAACAAGTGTAACTCAACAGACCGTACCTGATAGTAATTTCTGCTTCATCCCATTGGACCTTGGCAGACGTGCTGCCCTCTTTGACCACTCCCAGCAGTGTGGCATGGCGCCCAGTTTGCCTGTGAACACACCGACCTCCAACTCTAAGACCAGCATCAACTCCTCCTATCACTGCCAGCACCGGCCACACCTCTATGCAAAGGGTCCTCAGCTGCAGCTCTGAGAGGTCAGCAAGGCCATGTCTATTATGTTTACTTTTCTCTTCCTCTTTGCTCTCTTTCTCCTCTCTCATTTCATTTTCCTCTCGGCTTTGAACCGAGCGGCTTTTCTTTAGCTTCTGACCTGACTCTTTAATACATATTTTAATTTTGTGCAGCCTTTCCATCATTTTTTTGTTAATGCAGTAAGTCCAACGGTCTGTTCGGTGAAGGATTCGGATAAGCTGAATAGTGGCCTCTGCCAACACCGCTGCTACTGGACTACAAATGGGGTCTCCTGGAAGTAAGTCTCGTGGTGTGCCACGCATCTGCATATCACAAATTTTTACCTGTAAAAGAAAAGGAGTGGAAAATACATAATAGTAAATAGTTCTCCCAAATTATTAGTCACTATAAATTCTGACATGTGCAATCCCATGTGAAACTAGTGTTTGGCCTCCTAATACCTGGTATTATATCACTGGCCCCAGTAAGGAGTGAGCAAATATTACAGATCTACTTAAATTAGTAGCATTATGATTCTCTGAAATAAGCTGCCCAGTCATTTAAAATTCCTGAAGCCCGTAAGTATCAGAACTGTTGTGGCCACACGAAAGATGGATACAGACTAAGGTATATGTGACTGATTCCATTTAATATATATATATATATAAAAAAAAAGCCTTGAGGATCTATTCTCTTTCATCCTCAAGACTCCAGAATAATACTGAGTTTTGGGACCATCTTATATTGTTCAAGGGGCAGAAAGAAAATCATAAATCTAGACAATTGGGATAGTCCCAATCTGAACACACATTTCAAGTAAGACTTATAGAGGTTAAAAGAAAAGCAAGACTTAGTTCAAACCATAACTCTGCACAGTCTTAGAAAATTTAATCTCACTAAACCTCAGCTTTTTCATCTAGTAGGTTACTTTAATAGTAATAGTAGGTTATTTTAAAGATTAAATGAGACTATGCACATAAATGCTTATTACTACAATGCCAGACACAGTAAATGTTCAAAAATGTCAATGGTTAGCCTGAAATTATAACTTTTGAAAATTTAAAAAATACAGTTAAAAGCAGAGACTAAAATGTAACTTTCATGATTAGGATTTACCGAGTCCAGGCCTTCCATTATAGAAATATTAGATATGAGATAGCGTGAAAACTTTCTACTAAAGAATAACTAGAAATTCTGAATATCAGATCTAGGCTGCACAACATCCTCAAGTAAAAGGATAGGGTGGAAAACAAACGGACCCACCAGTATAGGACACCATAGAGAAGTCTGTCTGGCCTAAGTTTTATATGAGGAGAAAAAGAGTTTATGAAAGGGTATCTCTTTAATACAGTCCTCCCAAAAGTTTAGAGATTGAATTTATACCAACTACAAGATCTGAGAACCCCTTCAACTGAATAAATGAAAGGTAGCTTCCCCACCACAGTTGGAATGTCCATTATTCTGCTAATAATACCTGATTACATTTAAGATTGTTTCTATATTTTTCTCTCATATTCATAATTGCCAATGAACCAGATTATCCCTAAAATATTTTCTTCTTCTTCTTTTTTCAATCCTTTATGGTACATTTTATTTCATTTTTTAGGTTTTATTTCAAGAAAAAATTTTAAATATAATAATATTACATGCAATAAACTTTAATATTTCAAGAAAAATTACCTTAAATATAATAATGTTACATGGAATAAATATTAATATCTCAAGAAAAATGATTTTAAATATGATAATGTTACATGCAATAAACAGGAATTATTCAAGAAAAATGATCTTACATATAATATTACATGCAATAAACATTAATATTTCAAGAATAAAAGAACTTTAAGTATAATAATATTACCAAAACTATACTAACATAGTATGATATCACAAAAGTTGTAGGAAATATTAAAAATCTGCAAATGACAGGATTACTTCTATTAAATTCTAGTATTTTTCCCTCTGGCTCTATTTTTATTTATCAGTTTATGTTGTTCATTATAATCCACAAATGAGTGAGATTATATGATATTTATCTTTCTCGGACTGGCTTATTTCACTTAGCATGATGCTCTCCAATTCCATCCATGCTGTTGCAAATGGTAAAAGTTCCTTTTTTACTGTAGCGTAAATTCCATTGTGTAGATGTACCACAGTTTTCTAATCTACTCATCTGCTGATGGGCACTTAGGCTGTTTCCAAATTTTAGCTATTGTAAATTATGCGGCTATGAACATAGGGGTGCATATATCCTTCCCGATTGGTGTTTCTGATTTCTTGGGATATATTCCTAGAAGTGGGATTACTGGGTGAAATGGGAGTTCCATTTTTAATTTTTTGAGGAAATTCCATACTTTGTGAATGATTCATGTGCATTTGGGAAGAATGTATAGTCTGCTTCATTGGGATGAAATGTTCTATAAATATCTATTAAATCCATCTGATCCAGAGTGTCCTTTGGAGTCTCTGTTTCTTTGTTAAGTTTTTAGAAGATCTGTCCAGGGAAGTCAGAGGGTGTTAAAGTCTCCTACTATGACTGTATTGTTATCAATCTCTCTGTTAAAGTCCTCTAGAAGTTTTTTTTATATATTTAGGTGCACCTATATTGGGTGCATAAATGTTTATCAGGATTATATCCTCTTGCTGGATCAATCCCGTTAGTATTATGTAGTGACCTTTGTTGTCTCTTGTGATGGTCTTCATTTTAAAGTCTATTTTGTCAGATACAAGTATTGCTACTCCAACTTTTTTTTTCCTTTTCCATTTGCATGGGAAATTTTTTCCCATCCCTTCACTTTCATCCTGTGTGTGTCTTTTGTTTTGAGGTGAGTCTCTTGTAGACAGCATATAGTTGGGTCATGTTTTTGTATCCATTCAGCTACCCAAACCTTTTGATTGGAGCATTTAATCCATTTTCATTTAGGGTTATTATTGAGAGGTACTTATGGCTAGGTTTCTCTCTCTGTTTCTTCTTCTCAGCAATCTCTTACAAGCAATCCCTTTAGCATTCTTGTAATGCTGGCTTGGTGGTGATGAACTCCTTTAGCCTTTTTTTATCTGGGAAGCTCTTTATTTGACCATCTATTTTGAATGATAGCCTTGCTGGATATAGTAATCTTGATCTCAGATCCTTGCTTTCCATTACCTTGAGTACTTCATGCCACTCCCTTCTGGCCTTTAGAGTTTCTGATGAGAAATCAGGTGTCAGCCTTATAGGAATCCCTTTTCTCTTGCTGCCTTTAAAATTCTCTCTTTTGTTTTTAATTTTTGGCATTTTAATTATGATGTGTCTGGGCGTGGATCTGTTTGGGTTTTTCTTGCTTGGGGTTCTCTGTGCCTCCTGAATTTGTGTGACTTTTTCCTTTACCAGTTAGGGAAGTTTTCTACCATTATTTCTTCAAACACCTTCTCTATTCCTTTTTTCCTTTCTGCCTATTCAGGCACACCTACTATTCTAATATTGCGTTTCACTTTGTCCCACAGCTCCCTTAAGCTGTCCTCCTGTTTCTTAATTGCTTTTTCTTTTTATTCTCTAATTGAGTGATATTTTCAACTCTGTCCTCTAATTCACTCATTTCATCCTCAGCTTTCCCTAATCTGCTGTATATTCCCTTCCAATATGTTATTTGTGTTATGTCATTCTCGATCTCAGACTGTTATTTTTTCATAGTTATTATATCTTTTTTCATGCTGTGGAGCATCTTTAACATCATTACTCTAAACTCTGTTTCAGATAAATTTCTTATCTCTGCTTCATTTATCTCTTCTTCCGGATAATTCTCTAGTTCTTTCATTTGGGGATTCTTTGTTTCCTCATTTTGGTTGTCTGTTTGGGTTTGTGACTATGTATTAGGTAGATCCTCTACATCTCTCAATCTCTAGTGCAGGACAGTGTTAAAGGTTGTTTCTGACTAGTTGGATCAGGCAAAAACTCAAAGCCTCCAGAGACCACTTCTGTCTACAGACTAATAGGATTCTGACTTTAATTCCCCCCAGGCAATCATCCTCAGGTGTGGCAGGAGTTTTTTCAACAGTGTGGGGCAGTTGCTTCTGCCTGGAGGCTAATTGTTACTTTTAATCTCTTAAGTGGCCTTAAGGCAAGGTGTTTTCCAATAGGTGGGTCAACCGTCTTCACCCCAGGCAAGGCAGGTGTCTATATAGGAAAGATGTCCTCTGCTGTGTGAGGGAATGGCTCAGCCCAGGAAACTTGGGGTGTCTGCCTTCTGAGCTCTATCCCCCATATCCCCACTCCTGGCTTCTGCTCTCACAGCTCCAGTCCAATTCAGCCTCCCTCCTTCTGCCAGAGCACAAGGTGGGTGGTTCCACAGGGAATTTTTGTGCATTGGCCCTTCAAGAGGGTGCCTGAACTTTCAGCTGCCACTCCCTGGCAGACAGCACCCCACTGCTTTTCACAGCGAGGTGTTATGTGGGTACCCTCCTCAGATTTGGTGTTCTCTGAATGGGAGCCAGGCTTCGGGATTAGATCCCAGAGTTCTCAGTGGTACCCCCCCACAGCTGAGCTATCTCTCCGGGACTTACTTCAGTTGCCATCTGTGGGAGCCTGGCTAGGCCTTTCACATCTCTGCCCCTCCTACCAGTCTCTATGAGGTCTACACCTTTGGACCTTGGGTTCTCTCCTGTGAATAGTCTGTTGATTATTCAGGAAGCCTTTCTGTATTTCAGTTGTAATTCCAGCTTGTTCCTGGGAACATGTCCATGCAGCATCCTCCTACTCTACCACCATTTTTAATCTCCTAAACTATTTTCTATAATTGTTATAATTGCACATATACTTGAAAGTTGACTCACTCTATTCACATTGTCAGAATATCAAATAGTGCCTTAATAAAAAGCGAAGGCAATTTCTAAAAGAAATCTAATCTTCTTCTAGAATAGTAAATTACCTGAGCAGGAATTTTTAATGGTAATAACTTATATTTATAAGCTCTATTTGATGTTAACAAGTATTAACAAATACTTTATGTTTTAGACTTGAGGTTTCATTACCTTTTCCCCTGGGTTGCTACTATAGAACATCACGCATGGGTACAACTCTGCTGCATCAACATCTTCAAAAGCTAATTTTGGTTCCTATAGTGTGGCACAGATGATGAGAAGAAAAGGAAACAAAATATTTTTAAAAATTGGTAATATCCAAAAGATTCAAAGCTCTTAGGAAACAGAACAAAGTTACTACAGCCAAATCTCAATTAACCTTACTAACCAAGGAAATTCTACACATAATAAATAATCCTAATTTGTTTGTCTGTTTCAACCATGTTACTGAAATTTTACTATCTTTCTGTTGTTGATCTGGTGATCTATATATATAAAAGCCTAAGCGACCAGCCGACCGGCCAGTAGCTATGATGCACACCGACCACCAGGGGGCGAATGCTCAACACAGGAGCTGCCAAGCTGTGGTCACTTGGCAGCAGCAATTCTCGGGTGACGCACCCAGAACCAGAGAAGAGGGAGCCCAATTCTAGGGTGCGTCACCTGAGAACCGCCCTCTCACAATCCAGGACCCAACAGGGGATGTCAGAGACCCCAGTTTCGGCCCAATCCCCGCACGCCAGGCCAAGGGATTCCACCAGTGCACAAATCCATGCACCGAGCCTCTAGTAAATATATAAGAACCAAAAAGTATCAGAGAAAGGCAAAGAAGAATGGATAATCCATAAACTGAATAACTAGCATCTGAAAACTAATTTGAGTGTAAATAAAAACAAGAAAACATACAATGCTTGTGAATGAGTTTTAGTACCTCTCCATTTTTCCCAAAGGAAATGGTCCTGGCTTCCATATCTAACACACAGGTAATGAAATCTCCTTGAGTAAAGCTGGACAATGTCAGAGTCTGTTCTCCATTGTGATAGAGGTTACCACTGTAGGCCCGATAGAGCCACATATCCGAGGTAGTACGGTGGTTAAAGTCATGTACTGGCCAACGAGAAACTCCAACACACGTGCCTTCATTACCTCTGTTTTCCTTCACAATGTAAAACTAAAATGAAAATGGTAACATTCACTAATATTAAAAAATCTGTTCATATACTATTAACTGCATATATCAATACTGAGGAATATATTTATAAATAATATTTATCCATTTATGGAAACCTAAGTTTATTTTTATTTTTTTTAAATATTTTTATTGATTTTTTACAGAGAGGAAGGGAGTGGGACAGAGAGCTAGAAACATCAATGAGAGAGAAACATCGATCAGCTGCCTCCTGCACACCTCCCACTGGGGATGTGCCCGCAACCAAGGTACATCCTCTTGACCAGAATCGAACCTGGGACCCTTCAGTCTGCAGGCCGATGCTCTAGCCACTGAGCCAAACCAGTTAGCGCCTAAGTTTATTTTTAGACCAAGTGAAACTACTATATGAATAAAATAAATTTCATAATTTTGTAAAGATTTTTTAACAAAATTAATTTTTACCTTGTAGAACATTTAGTTATTTAAAAAAATTTTCAATTAGAGTTGACATTCTAGTGAATGTTAATATTTTATACTAGTTTCAGGTATACAGCACAGTGGTTAGGCATTCTTATAACTTACAAGGTGATTCCCCCAATAAGTCTAGTACCCACCCAATACCATACATAGTTATTATAATATTCCCTAGCTTGAGTACTTATTTTAAATAAGCAGTTTTAGCTAACATCTTAATTATGAAGCTGAGGAAGCATATCTAATCCAGAAAATTATTAATGGGAAGCTTCAATTCTTTACATACAAATTATCTAACAACTCTCGTGTATACTTCTGTACAGAAAAGAGTTAATATAGCAGGCCTGAGACCGCTATCTTTAAAAATGCATGCTTTTAACACAGGTCCTTGGTTGGTATCTGGGAATTCAACTGGTAAAATGTCCTACATTGATACAAAACTGTCCCAAAGTGGTAAGCGTGGCCTAGAATGTTTGAACAAACAATGTGGTCTATGTTGAAACCTGTTTTCTTTCTGGAAGTCTGGAATTTTGGTAATGACAGGCAGAGCATACCTTCATGACCAGCCCCCAGTAGAAATCTTGGGTGTTAAGTCTCTAACGGCCTTACCTAAAACATCACACACATGTTGTTGCATTTTGTTGCTGGGTAAAGAGTATGTTCCATGTGACCTCTCATAGGAGGGAGAGAACATAAGAAAGCTTGCACATGGATTCCTCCAGATTCCATCTGTATCTTTTCCCCTTATGATCCAGCTATGTGTCCTTAATAAGCAAAGTTATTATAAGAAATCTTAGTCGTAACTACAACTACATGTTGAGTTCTATAAGTCTTTCTAACAAATCTTTGAATATAGGGATAATCTTGGGGGTCTCCAACACAGTGATGGCAACCATGAGATTCACTCCAACTCCAACTCATTAAAATATAGTTATAGTCTGACTTGGAGAAAAAAGAAGTAGGGAAAGACAAAACTCTGGTGCCTGGTGGCTACGGAGTTACACCTGTTATGAAATAGCAGGTGAGTTGCTAACTGTTGAGAGAGGTAAAAGTTACCTATAGAATTAAAAAATAACAGATCCAAAACAAACAAACAAAAAAAAAACACAAAAAAACGATCCATCTCAAAAATATGCACTTCAGGCTGGAAAATCATCAGCGTCTAGCAGTGGTTCTGAACCTTCTGGCCCTTTAAATACAGTTCCTCATGTTGTGACCCAACCATAAAATTATTTTCGTTGCTACTTCATAACTGTAATGTTGCTACTGTTATGAATCGTAATGTAAATATCTGATATGCAGGATGGTCTTAGGCGACCCCTGTGAAAGGATCATTCAACCGCCAAAGGGGTGAGAGAAGAGAAGCCAAGGGAAAATTTGTTGTTTTTTACTCTAGACAGAAAAAAAAGGACACAAATATTCCAACAAATAGACTTTAGATAGGCCAAAGAATAAACATTAGCTTGCAGTTGCTCTTTTCTCCAGGTGGCTGGGGAAAAGTTAAAAAATCCCTGAAGGTGCCCTGGCCGGTTTGGCTCACTGGTTAGAGCATTGGCTCTTAGACTGAAGGGTCATGGCTTCAATTCTGATCAAGGGCAAGTACCTCGGTTGCAGGCTCAATCCCCACCCTGGTCAGGGCACATGGGGGAGGCAACCAATTGATGTGTCTCTCTCACATCAATGTTTCTCTTTCTGTCCCCCCTTCCATCCTCTCTTAAAAAAAAAAAAAAAAAGGAAAAGAATATCCTTGGGTGAGGTTAACAATAACAAAATCCCTGAAGATGAGTTTTGGGTAGACCAAACATAAGAGAACTGTATGCTGCTCTTTCCTCCAAAAGAGAGGGAAAGGGGTATTAAATCAGTTCCTAGGGCTAGAGCAAAGCTTAAAAAGATTACAGAAAGAAAAAGAAAAAAGCCATGCCAACTATTTTCTTTAGTTTAGATACAACCACTGCTGTAGCAGTGCCTTTTATCCAATCAATTAACCCTATAAAGGGTAAATTGACTGGTAAAAGTTTCAGTAAACTTGGGATCAGAGCAGGGGAAGTAAAATTTAAAAACAGCTGTGTTTTATGGCTACTGCATCTGGACGTATGATAAAAATGGATGTAAAATGTTATAGGCTTGTAACTTCATAAATGCTAAGAGATCGTCCTGATCAGTTAAAGCTGCAAAGAAAAAACATGCTCGTGGGACACAACCTCCTTGTTGTTGTTTTTTTGCCACTTGTGGGTATACTGGAATTTAAACTCTTTAAGTATTAGAAATAAAACAGGTATCCATAACTGATGATATTTTGCTATGGTTTTTGACTATTGGAGCCTCTGGAAAAAGGGAGACAAAATAAAAAGAATAGCAATTTTTAGAGTTGTAAAAAGAAGTTTTTAGTTGCCAATGAGTTCTTATAAAATCAGATGTCTGATTCAGCCTGAAGTGCCTATTTTTTGAGTGGGTAAATTTGGACTCAGACTGACAATGCTTAAAAAGGGCTTAGGGAAGCCTTATCACTTGGACTTTAAAAAACAGCTGTATGGCACTACATCTAGAATTTCTTGCTGTCAAAAAAGTTGCTAGCTTTTTAGAATCCTGAATTCACAGATTCTAATTGCCTGGACCTGACTCTAGGTTAAAACCTGTTACTGTCTCCTATGGGCTGTTTCAACCCAACATGAACTGTGTTCAACTAAAGGCGCAATGGACAAAACTCAAACTCTGGGACTATTGCAGATTTTGGATTTCTCTCTGGTATCATAAACTATGAAAACATCATGGATTCTGGCTGGACTGTATAGATCTCTTGCAAATGCCCCTGGGAAAGGTCTTACTTATTCTTAGATTTCTGACATAGAAACTGATTACCTTCCTAACTTGTGATTCTTACTGTAAGCTGAAAGTTGAAAGGGTATACCACCACAGGGTGTATGACTGCTCTGATTACTCTTAACAAATTAGACTTTTGACCTCTTCTTGGGAATTTCCCACTGCTACTGACTTATTATGTTCAGCTTTTTGGTTTATTTGCTTATCTCTACATGTCTCATCTTTCTCCCGATATACATGCCTTAGTAGATGAAGCTCTACCCGGAAAGAGATGGATCTTTTCTTAGGCTGCTCACTGGATAAATGATTATGATAAAAGGAGGTAGAAAATTTGGTCAATCTATTTTGAAACCTTTTTTATTTTTTTATTAGTTTTTAGAGAGGGAGGAAGGAGGAGAGGGAGAGAAAGAGAGAGAGAAACATGAATTGGTTGCCTCCTGTATACGCTATGTATATTTTTCACTCACTTTCCATTATATTAACATAGTACACAATGATAGAATATTTACGTATAATGGTTTTTTAAAAAGTAATTTCATACTTTTTTTCAAAAGAACCAGGAAAAAGGACTAAAATACAAACTGTTAAAAACTATTTGCAATTCTACGCACCTTCCACTGATAGCAACCAGAAGTTACTCCAGTTGATGCCAATCCATATCCTTTTCCTCCACTGCCATGAGTTAATATCTGTCCATTCTCCACTAGGCAACATTGAGCTTTCTCTGGGTCAAAGGATACTTCTTGTATAGGGAGATTCTCATCTTCTTCCTCCAACTCTCCTTGCTTCTACCAGAAAGGAAGCTGGGTCAGTATTATGCAGTAATCTAGATCTCACTTAATATATATTCTAAAATTGCTTGGTTTGAGCCTAGAAATAACTGGTATCTACTACATACCAGTTACTGTGTAGGCAATAAAAACACAATGATAAATATAGCATGGCCCCTGCCCATAAAGAGCTTACAATTAGGGGATAGAGAAACAAATAAATATGGCCAATATTGTAGCTAAGAGAATAACAGAAGTTACATAACAGGTATATAGCAACAAGATAAAAGTTTAAGTATCTAACTATGGTTGGAAAGGATAAGTAAGCATTCAAAAGAGAATAACTTGCGAGCTGGGTCCTGAATGATAAGGCCTTTAACAGCTGATCAAAGGAGAGAAAGGCATTTAGGGCAGTATGCATAGCATGTGTCAAAGTATGAAGGTGCAACAGAATTCATTGATTTAAAGTAATTGCAAGCAATGTGGAAGTTCTGGAGGAGGAGATTGACAGAAAAGGAGCCTACAAGGAGAAAATGAAACAAAAGCATAAAAGGCCTTGAATGCTATTTTAATATTAAGTTTTACGCCCAAGAAGTACTCCAACACTTAGATTAAAAAGAGGAACAACCAATAAAAGAGAATGGTAAGAAAAGGCCATTTTACTGAGACAGAAGGAAAGCCAGAAAAAGTGTGAAATCTGAAAACCAAAAGAAGAATTAGGTACTTTTAGATGGATGGATTCAAGCTATTTAGGAGGTAAAATCAATAAGGCCTACTGACTACATGGATAGGGACATTAGGAGATGTCTAGAGTTCCCAGGAATTCAGGGGTAAAGGTTTGAGGGGGAGACACCTGGGCTAGCACTTAAATTTGGAAGGTAATGCATATGGGCAGGTGTGACTGAGACTGCTGGAAAAGCTAAGGACAGAACCCTGAGGAACACCAAAGTTTGAGATGAAGACAAAGAGAAAGTGGCAGCAAAGGAAAGATGCCTCCAAAAGGAATCAAGAATTGGCAGAGAATAGATGAAGATCTGGGAGAAGGCAGTGTTCTGAAAACAATAGAAGGCTAGAGTTTCAAAAGGTCAAGTAAGACAGGGGAAAAAAAATGTACTGTATTTAACACTTAGCTTTGTCATTTAATTTCCATACTTTGATGGAAGATAAACAATTAGGTTGAAGAGATAATGAGAAGTAAGGAAGTGATTGAAACATGTATAAGAGTACTCTTCTGAGAAGTTTAGCAATGTAGGACAATAGAGAAGATGTGGAGAGGAAACAGAATAATGGGATAGAACAAGGTTCCTCAAAGGAAAAGGAATCAAGAGACAGGATATTCACTTGTGCTGTCTAAAAATACCTTTTGGGGAAAATCGATTACCTGTAGTTTTATTTCTTGTTCTTTTTCCTTTATCTGAATAGCATGTTTGGCCTGAGCAATTGGTGTCTCCCACATACAATCCGACAAAAGGGAAAATAGGCGTTCAACAACCTATTTATTGAAGGAAAAAAAATAAAATTTGTAAAGATAATTTTAAGTTTAGGAAAAATAAAATCATTCAACTATAATACTAAGTCACATGTAACATTTTATTATATCAATGTCCTACAGCTATTTTGGGTGGTTGCAATTTAAATATCTTTTTTTTTTTTTTTTTTTTTAGAGAGTATTAACTCACTAGAAAGTGGGTTACATTGCCCTCATGTTGCCTCACTATATAGACCTCTGAATAGGCCGCACAACCTCATCATTTCTCTGTAGATGCCCAAACCTAGTAAGAAATTTCACAGATGTTCCTTTCCTTCTGACCTTGTAAGCATTCACTATCCCCTCCTTCTTACACTCCATTAATTTCTTCCTCCTTGCTTAGAGATGAAATTATAAGAAAGGAATCTCAGAAGTAGAAGTTTTGCTATTGAGAAAACGACACATTTACAACTGAAGAAGCTCTAGGTTTAGATTTTGGTTGAATCATGTTGCAGATGTCAAAAACATTTTCTAACAACTTTAAAAATAGAAACCTGGGCCATTTGATCATCTTCTACACCAGACTCACAAGCTGGTAGCACAGCCTCAAGGACGTGAAGGGCAAGAAGCCTTGTTCTTAAGTTACCAACTAGAGGAATACCTGAGGAAGGAAAGACATTTTCTTATTATTAATGTAACTGAAATTCAAAGTTTAAATGAGCTTCTTGAAAAAATATTCAAGGCTGCTAAGCATATATAGGTGAAATGGACTTCACTTCAACTTATTATCACAATAATTCTGGACTCATCCCATATCCATACCCATGTGCCAGGTTACTGTGGGATGGATTTCATACACATAATTTTGTTGATCCTCACAAACCCTACAGTATTATATCCTGATTTTACTGATGAGGAATTTGAAGCTCAGAAACATTAACTAACTTGATGAAGCTACACAGCTCAGTGGAGGCAGAGGTAGAGTTTTAAACACGTCTATTAATCTCTAAAGCTAAGATTTATCATACCCTTTCATTGCTTCTTCTCTGACTGACCTGACTGCCTCAGAGAGATTGTTAGGATTAATGGGAGTAAGCAATTTGTACGTTCCTAAAGTAAGCACAATGAGAAGCTATAAGCAAAACAAAGTAATCATATCATGGTAAGAGAGAATGAACACATTCAGATTTGTATTCTGATATTCAAAATCTGTGCCAAATTATCATATTAAACAGGATATTTTCTGATTATTTTTATTACTGTAATTTGAACAAACAGGAACAAGTTCTCAATTAAATCCATGATCTTGTCCAGGGCTATTTTCTATTATTAATTCCTATCAATTTTACTTCTAAAATTAGTTTTCTTTTCAACAAATAAAGTACTTATAAAACAAGAAAAAAAAAGTCTTGAAATCAGGTCAAGTATCCGATGTTGTTAAAGTCTGGCATTATCTGAACAAAACACATGTGATGTATAAAAATACTCTAAAACAAGACAAAAGTAATATACCTGCAGAACACTTCTGAGACGCTATATTCAGAAGCACTTCTGTCCACTTAGGGGAAGCCATTTTTGACTGAATTGCTTTTGAAGATACAACTCTGCGAAGAAAAACTAGAAAATCCCCCAGATGCAGTTCGGCTGCGTGTTGCTTCCTAAGAGCAGCTGAAGAATGAAGAGACAAGTTTACATTACAGTCAAAAGCCAACAAACGGGAAATAGCCTTATATCAAATAAGTTACATTTAGATTGCAGCAAGCAGAAACTAAATTTAACGTCTAGATTGTCTGCTGCTGAATTTTTACAATTGAAATAACAGAATGGGGAAAAGATAGAAAATAAAGCCAAATTGAAAACATCTTTTACCTCTGTGTACAACAGTGTGTTGCTAGAATAAAATATGTATACTTGGTTTTGTATATATTTTTAATGTTATTCTATAAAACAATAGTTCCCTACCCAAGTCTAGAGTTCTACTGGACAGAATTAGTGGGAGATGTATGAAAAATTATGTATGCATGTGTATATGACTAATAAGAGAGTTGATAAATTTAATCACATTTTCAAAAAGTTCATGATTCCACTCCACCAAATTAAGAATCATATCTCTAAAAAAGACTGTATTTTCAGATTCTACAAAGAAGCAAATTTCTAGGCCTGATTCTGGTTTCCCTAAGCTCAAAATCTGTAAAATTTTTGACACAAACTTGCCCTAACCAAACTTCCTAGTTTTCCCATCAGCATCAGCACCAGCCTTTCTCTTGTCTTATAGTTTCCCTCCACCCTCTGCTTTTGAAGCCAGAGAACCATCTGTTCTTCCTGTAATACACCATGGTATGGTCTCTCATCATCCAACCTTTAAAATACCTCCTTGTCCTGGCAAAGTCCCACTCAGAACCAGGGGAAAGTGTGCCAGTGGGGCAGCTGCCCAGAATGTCAATCCCCAAGGGGCATTAAAACATAGAAAATCTTAATAATTTAAAGACAAGTGTATATAGCACTTCTTTCAGGAAGATCCTGGCATATTAAGTTAAGGAAAACACAGATAAGTCACTTGTGATAGATAGATAGATAGATAGATAGATAGATAGATAGATAGATAGATAGATAGATAGATGATAGATAGATTACTGGCCATCTAAGCATGCCCCTTCACCCCGGCCCCCAACCCCTGCCACCAAGGGGCATGCTTAGATAGCCAGTAATCTATCTTCACAGATGTCTAATTAACTAGAGGACTTACGTTTTACTGAGATGGGTGTGCAAGTCTGTGACTAAACTGCTAGGAACAATACGAGGGAAAAAGCTAGTAACTCCTCTACATTTCTTCTACACAGTTTTACCTCTTCTTTACTTAAATGTTAATAAGCAAATATTTTTTTATAATATTAGTTTGAAGAATATAAAATTATTAGCCTGCTCTGAGTACCCACATATCTCACTCCAACACATTCCTTCAAAATCCAGTTCAATAAACCTTTAGCTTTTGGTGGAGATACCTGGGAGAATTTCTTTTATGAGGCATCCATCCTACCCACCCCCTTACTCCCAAGCAAGTATTTCTATAAGACACTAAATTAATTAAATTAATTAATGCCTGGAGACATTATATATAAAACTGGTTGATAGAACTTGATATAATTTGTGTTTCATTATCAATAGTACATTTGAAATGAAGGGTACACCTTTCAATTAAGAATTTTAGAGGGCAGCCTGCCTCTGAACACCTGGCCAGCGCTGACTAGAATCAGACTCACTCCCAGCCATCCCCATAAATCAAGAATTGCAATGGCCTTCTCTCCAGGATGAGGTGAGGGGAGTGGATGTGTATTTGACCTGCTGAGATTGACTCACAGAACTGTTTCATTCTTTCCTGGATATGGGAGGATCCAGTTTTCTTGGGAACCAATAGGCTGAGAAGTAACTCTACTATGTATTCCCTGCTGTCCATATGTGCAATACTCAGCACAGAATAGTGAGAAGCTATCACCTTAACAACCCTGTATCTACGACTAGGTCGCAGGAAAATAGGAGGTGAAATTAAATGCTAGTATTTATTTTATCAGACCCTGTGAGCCTGTATATGCTCTATCTATAAGCACCACACTCTTTATATAAAACGGGAGAAAAAATTTGCCATAGGTTCAGTCTCTGAAACTAAAAGCTAGTCCTTAATCAGACTCATACATCCTCCTAGATTCTGACTTAAGAGATTTAGCTATTTCTTATGAGTTTCCTGTATTGCACTATAATTATTTGTTTACATGTGTGCCTCCCTTATTATCCTAGAAGGTCCTTCAGAACAACAATAGTTTATCATTTTTGTAATTCCAAGTAATTTCCTCTATCTACCCACCTATCTATAGATATTGGAATATCATATTATAATATTAATATCCATTGAGCTCTCACTGTGTGACAGACACTGCTCTGTTTTACATGTATTAAATTATTTAATCCTCATAACAACCTTAGGCAATTGGTTCTATTATTCTTATTTTATAGATTAGGGGATTGGAGCACAGAATGGTTAAGTAACTTGCTCTCTATGCATCCATCCATTTATCCATACATCCACGCTTCATTTTGTCTGTGTTATCTATGTATCTACCCATCCCCTGGAGTTTGTTATGGTAATAAGATATGGTAGTTTCACACACATTTTTAAATAAATGACCAATTTTAGACCTTTACTTCCTTAATTATGTAACATACATTGGGGTGGTTCTATTCAGGGTTTAATTAATTTAATTTAATTTACTGAAATACAATGTTCACTATAGTTTTTTAAAGCTATGAGCAGATGATCATATTACAGCAATCAAAAATTATAATGGCTAAGGATAACAAGAATCTTTTTAGTGACTAGGGAACAGAGCAGCTAACCTAGCAAGAAATTCAACTCCTCTAATTCTAACCCAGTTCCCAAATAATAAAACCCTTGGTCCTGGGGAAACACTTAAGTCAAAAGTATGATTAGAGATGGGTTGTCAGGATCAGATGCTAAAAAAACATATCCTGGGGAAATTAGTCACCTAGAACCTCTAGGTTCTTGAACCAGGACAGCCAAGGAGACACTGAACCTAGAGAGTAAGCAATATGGTCACCACATCAGATTTAATGGACTTTAAGGAAAGAAGGTTTAGTTAGAAACCCACCTATATCACACACATTGGTATAGAAAAGGAGTTTCTAAATGAACAAATAAAAATCCTTTCATGCCCACAACAGAAAAAAGTATACATTCTAATGATATGCACACAAAGGGGACTCAATAAATGCTTGTAAATAATGACAGAAAAAAGGGTTTGTGATAGATACCTCTGAAATCTCTCTTCTCAGTTTCTCCACTGGAGTCAAGTTTTTTTTCTTCTTCTTCACCATCTTCTCCTTCGCCTTCTCCAAAAGAGGCCATAAGTAGTACACCAGTTTGGGATAACAAATTCTTCAACTGACTACAGAGTAGATCCAACAAGGATTGAACTACCTTGGGGCTCAGTTTATCGGCATAGGTCCTACATGAAATAATAGGAAAAAAATAAATGGTAATAACACAGAAGGGCAAATGTTATAATTAAACACATAAAGGAGATTAGGAGAAAAGTGAAATTACTAAAATGTGAAAATACCAGATTCAACACAGTTCTATCAAGACATCTATAATGCTCACCCTGTAGTGATGGCTAGAATCTGGAGCAATCTTGTACTAGCCACTTTTAAAGCTGTGCTAAGCTGAGAAACGCCCGTCTTCGGCAATAACTGCAGAGGCTGTCCTAGCATAGTGTCTGTGCCACATAACTGCGATAATACGTTTAGCAGACCAGTGGAAATTGCCAAAGAAACATCCACTGGTTGATAGTGAACACTCAAAGCAAACACTGTAACCAAAAGGAGACGCTGCTGGGCTTCTAAAAAAAAAAAAAAGGGAAAGAAAGACAACTGAGAATCTCCTTTTAAGTAAATGAAGCATTTACTAAAATGGACTATATTCTAAAATATAAATACTAATATGGAATACCATTACAATTTCAAATATTTATTCTTTACCTGTAAGTTGATCTATTAATATCAAATACAAAGTGTATTTATATATAAAAAAGCTAACAGACCAGAACGACAAAACGACCAGAACTGGGATAACCTGTGGCTATGACGCGTACTGTGGCAACCAACTGGCCCGATTGCTCCCACCTAACCTCCCGCAGCCCTTCCCCCAGGCCAGCTCAGCCCTGATTGGGCACCGATTGGAGACGGGGTCTGCCGCCAACCTCCCACCTTCCCTCTCCCTCCCCACCTCCCTGCCGGCCTGGCCTGATTGGCCTCCATTGGGGTGGGGTGGCTGGACCCCACCCATGCACGAATTTGTGCATCGGGCCTCTAGTCTATAATAATGAAAGTATAATATGCTAATTAGACCAGACGTCTTTCCTGATGTCCTTCCTTCCAGACAAAGCTGCAGTAGGCGGGGGTCGAGGCAGAGGTAGCCGCCACAGCCGCGGCAGGGGCAAAGGCCCTTGCACGAATTTCCTGCACCAGGCCTCTAGTCTAGCATAACTATCTAGCATAAACGTAGGCAAAAATAATTTGCAACCTGTATTTCCATGGGCAGTTACTTACCAATGTGATGCTTGTTTGCTTGCAGGGCTCTCTCCAGGGTAGCAGACAATTGTTGATAAATCTTATGCACAGCCACCTGGATTTCAATCTGTATGTTTCTCTTAGCTGCTCTGATCCCATCCTGAATTACAAATAAAGATTTACTTTTTCTATTAAATAATGCCTCTTACCAAAATAAAAGTAATAGCCCTTTTATCCTTAGTCTAGCTAACTGGTAGAGTCCTATGGTGACTTTTAATTATTTAGTATATTTCAGTACATAAAAATTTTAAAATAAATTTATTTTTAAATTGATAATTCCTAATTCTATACAATCTTTCTCCTTTCCCACAAAGCATGTGTTCCTTTATAAATATGAAAGACATAAAGATAATACTTAAAAACGTTTTTTCAAACAACCTGAGAATCTAGACAGAATGATTAAGTCTAAAATGTAAATTTTTGAAACCCATCCTTCCAAACACCCTATCCCAACTTAGATTTCTTTCTACCAACTTGGCTAAGGGTTAATAAAACTAAGCCAGCAGAGAATCTGAAAGTACAACAGTGCTATGGCTCACCTAACCCCAACTATAATACTATTATTCAGGAAACAAAGCCAATGAGATATCTTTAGGAGTCATCTCAAAGTGTTTTTTTAAAATATATTGTTATTGATTTGAGAGAGGAAGACATAGAGATAGAAACATCAATGAGAGAGAATCATTGACTGGCTGACTCCTGCATGTCCTGACTGGGAATCCGAACTGTGACCTCCTGGTTTATAAGTCAATAATGCTCAACTACCGAGCCACACCGGCTGGGCTAAAAGTCTGTATTTTAAAACTTCAATCTTAAACCCAAAATTACAAAACTGGTTTTGTAAAAAGACAGTTAAAATCTGAATATACTGCAAGGTGTCATCGTCACCTACCTGATAGTGATGCAGTCGGCCACTCTCTCCTTTGGCTCCTGCGTGTCCAACAGTGCCTAAACCAAAACACCCTGCTAGAAACTGCAGCCTCACAGATGTGAGCAGTGTGGATGACTGGAAGCCTGAGCTCAACCTGCTTCCTGCCAGAGAGATGCTACCTTTTTCCTCCATTCCAGACAACAGAATGAGGATCTGGTGAAGTGCCTCTAAACGAAGCTTAAGAAAAGTAAAATAAACATAGGTTAGAGTTCTTCACTGAACTGAGACACAAAGGAACTCTGTATGTCACAAACAATATATTATATATCACAGAATATTCTAACATTTCTTAGGAATTTATTTTATTAAGATGAAAATTTTTAAAAATCAAAATATCTCTAGAAACCTTATAAGCATACTATAGTACAAAAGAGGCTACACAGTACAATGTGAAAAGTAATAGATTTGAATGTAGAAGACCTGGTTTCAAGGCTGGACCCTGCTACCTACTGTGTGGCCTTAGGAAACTCACTTAACTTCTTGAGTCTCCCTTTCTTCAGATGTAAAATGAGGCTAATAGTACTATTGTAATCTACTCGCAAAGCTACTATGATGCTCATGAGGAGATATATGTGAAGGTTTCAAAACTGTAAGGTAGAATAGTTATTGCTATATTAGTAACTTTATAATACTCTAGCTCAAGAATTAGAAATATTTCTTTTTTATAATTAAACTTAGTGGGGTGACACTGGTTAATAAGATTATATAGTTTTCAAGTGTACATTTCTATGACACATATCTATATTGCATTGTGTGTCTATCACCTAAAGTCAGATCTTTTTCCATCACCAAATATTTGACTTATCCTTTACTACCCTCCCCCGCTTTCATAGCTACTGTTGTGTCTATGAGTTTTTATCTGTTTTTTTTTTGTCTATTTGTTTTTCTTGTTTGTCCATTTGTTGATTTCAGTTTTACATCCCACATATAAGTGAGAAGTATTTCTGAAAGGTTTCTCTGTGGTTCGCTTCAACTTTTCACTCTACCTTCCCTAGGAGGACAATATCTATCACTGTAGTCAATCAGCCTAACCCTCCTCTTTTTTTTTTGGAAATAATTTTACATTTACAGAAGAGTTTTGAAGATGGAGTTCTTGCATATCTTCCCCTAATGTTACTATCTTATGTAACTATGGTAATGTTACTCTTTCTTTTTAAATATATCTTTATTGATTTCAGAGAGGAAGGGAGAGGGAAAGAGAGACAGAACTAAGAAATTAACATTGGGACAACACTACTGACTAAACCACAGACTTCATTTAGAATTCACCAATTTGCCCATAATATCCCTTTTCTATTCCAGGATATCACATTGCATTTAGTTGTCATGTTTCCTTAATCTCCTTTAGTCTATGACAGTTTCTGTCTTTTCTTGTTTTTCATGACCATGACACACTGAAAGAGCTATCATGTAGCTTATAGAATGTCCCTCAATTTGGGTTTGCCTGATGTTTTCTCATGACTGAACTAGAGTTATGGATTTGGGGGAAGAATACTTTAAAGTCTTCTTTTAACATTATCAGAGTTACATGATATCACCATCTTATTACTGGTAATGTTACTCTTTCTTTTTAAATATATCTTTATTGATTTCAAAGAGAAAGGGAGAGGGAAAGAGAGACAGAAACATCAATGATAAGAGAGAATCATTGATCGGCTGCTTCCTGCATGCACCATACTGGGGATTGAGCTTGAAACCTGGGCATGTACCCTGACTGAGAATGGAACTGTGACCTCCTGGTTCATAGATCAATGCTTAATCACTAAGCCATACTAGCCGGGTAGTAATGTTCTTTTTTTTCTTTTTATCTATTTTTATATATTTTTATTAATTTCAGAGAGGAAGGAAGACGGAGAGAGAGATAGAAACATCAATGATGACAGAGAATCATTGATTGGCTGCCTTCTGCATGCCTCCTACTGGGATCAAGCCCACAACCCGGGCATGTGCCCTTGATTGGAATCAAACCTGGGACCCTTCAGTCCGCAGGCCGAGGTTCTATCCACTGAGCCAAACCAGCTAGGGCAATGTTATTCTTGATCACTTGGTTCAGGAGATGTATGCCAGGTTTCTGCAACATAAAATTACTCCCTTTTCATACTGTTGTTAGCCCTGAGTCACTAAGTCCAACTTACCCTCAAAAGGAGGAGAAGTTAAGCTCCAGCTCCCAGAGAGACGAGTATCAAAGAATTTGTGGACGTGTTAAAACCACAATAATAAATATTTTGAGGGAGATACTTTGAGGTTAAGCAGACATCCTGTGTCTCCTTAAAGTTCTGCTCCCTAATTTTAGCATTCATCATTATTACTATGGTGTTCTAATCTAACCCTTTTTAAAGGAAGACAAATGGAGGCTCTGAGAAGAGATAGCCAGTCTCACTCTAGTTTCTAGAATCTAGGAGATAAGACTTCTGATTAGAGTATCTTGTTCTAAGAGATGGAAATAAAAAATGCACTTTTCAAACAAAATATGCTGTTATAGTTAAGATAATGACACCAAAGTGCTCAGGAAGAAAGAGGGAGGAAATGAATATAAGAAAAGGAAAAGTTTTCCCCACAATTTTACATTCAGTGGTTCAGTTTAAGTTTCCATAGTCCCTCACAGGAATAAATATCAAAGACTTACTTCTGCCCTTAACTGCTGCTGTTCCATTGCAATGATGGAGGCCTGGGGACTTGTAGACATACTTTCCTCTGGCTCTTTAAAACCTGGGGCATTCCCCACATCTCCACTCACAAAACTTACAACATTTTCAATCAAAGTGTGAACTCCCAAAGACTTGGTAAGATCAAAATCAGACTCAAAGGAGTAAGAGGAATTGCACAACCAGTCTCTGCTATGTTTCAGGCGAGCCCAAGAGTCATTCCGGGATTCCAACTGACTGTGGATAGGACCTACATACAAACAGAACAAACATGCATCAATGGTAACCTAGTAGAGCATACAATCTGAAACTAGATGAGGGCTGAGTACTGCTACCATACCAACTGGTGAGAAATGGATACTTATCTTTGAATACATGCATGCATTAAGTGAATCTGAGCAAAATGCTTTTGTAAAAAAATAACAAACAAAAACTATAGCAATGTAAGAAAATAAAGGGAAAGCCCTGTTTGATGTACCAGTATCTCTGTAAGCGCTTTAGCAACACACTGCCACAAGAAAAAGGAAGGCAGAAGCTGCTCTCAAAATGCTTAGCTTAAAATGCTCTGCAGTATTAAACCAGACCATTATTTATGAACAAAAAGGAACTGGGCACTTAGGACACTGCTGCTAAGACCTATAGTAATAGGACTTCATCTGATTTAACGGATCATTGCAAAAAGTAAGTTAAGACTGTGCAAAGTGTCTACACATCTGCAATAAAACATTACCAAAAAATGAATATTGAAGGGCAAGTAAACTTACACAAAAAGGAGACACAAACATCACCCTTTGGATTTCATTAATATAAGGAACACTTTCACTGTTTCATGTGCATATTTATTACACATTGTGAAACTCCTATATAGAGGAAGCAAAGTTTCACAGACAAGAATATGTAAGATTTACCATAAAGTGACAGGTATATAAAATTACCAAATGGTTCACAGTAGTTGCAAAATAGAATACCATTAGTTTTGCCAATGAGCCTTTTCTAGACTAAAATCTTTAGACAGCAAAAATGTTAATATGTTTGAATACAACTGTCCAAGTCATATGGCAATATTAGCTTTAAATAAATATAGAAATGTCCAATTCCTACAGGCTTTGTCTTTTTTAGTTTAACTGATCTCAGGTATACAAATTAGATTAGTCATAATCCTGGGCTCATGATATATTCTCATCGTTGGTCCATTCATGGCCTGCTTTTGTATTTATATTTATTTATAATAAATGTGAACACAAGAACTAGAAAACTAACAATAACTTGTATCTATCTGTTCCTCTTCCAACCCATCTCTCCCTGTCTCCTATCTAAGGTTTTTACTATCCCTAAGTTTGGTTTTATCATTCCTTTGGTTTTATTGTTGTAAAATATTGTTTTAAAATATATATATATATATATATATATATATATATATATATACCCTTACAAAATTTAGTTCTAGTTACTTTAGACTTTATAAAGAAGTATAATTTATATACATATGTATATATATATATAACATACTCCTTTCATTCAATAGTATATTGCTAATATTCATTCACACTATTGCATATAGCCATGGATCATTTGTTTGAGTGCTGCATAATATTCTATCATGTGAATATACTAAATTTCTCTACTAGAAATGTATCTAAAGGTATCCAATAAATTATGCATTACAAAAATTATATTTGTTACATACTAGATGGAAAAGATTTGGGAAGAGAACTATTTAACCACTAATGCCCACAGAGAAAACAAACTAACAAAATAGTAATTGTATAATTTATTTTTGAATTATCACATCGGTGTCAGTAAAACCCCAGGACTGCAAAATCAAAATAGAAAGTCATAACAGGCAGCTAGTAATATAAAGTAACTGTAAAATAATTATATACATTCTACTAAATAATTTAGAATGACAAAAAATATATGGTTTATCTGCCTTTCATGTTTTAGCAAGAATTCTTTAAAAATGTTGAATATTCTGTTTTACTGAACATGAAAAATACCAATCTGAAAATTTCCCCAAATTACATAGCTAAATATTTTTTATGTAAAATAGAAAAGAGTAAAACTTCAAAGATGCCTAATTAAGTAATTAATAATGTCACAGATATTTAATTTTTAATTAAATTAGAAGTATTTAAAGACTGAAATAGGGGTTAAGGGAAAAAAAATTATTTTCCATTTTCCTAAGCATTGCATATTCAGAATCTAGATGTATCCTTAACTTACAAATTATAGTTTTTGGCTCATTGCATTGAGCTTGTTTGTTCAATAATACAATTCAGAATAAAAAGTTCTGTTTTCCATCACTTACAAACCACTTTTCAAAATGAAAAAAATGTGCAATGAGTTAGTGTTAGGACCAAAGTAAAAGAGATCTTAAAGATTATCTTGTCCAATTTCCTTGAACTTGAGGAAAGAGGTGTTCAATTAAATTGATCTGCTAAATTATTAATACTAATTCCTTAATTTTATGGGAGGTTGTCTTATATATTCCTGTTATCAATCAAGTCATAAATCATTAACCATGGGAATTTCAATTGCCTGCCTACACTAAGGTTTGAATGTAAAAATATACAAATACTGAATTGCCTTAATACACTCCAAAATATTCTATGGAGTGGGTGGCCAACACCCAAATTAAATCCTCTCTACAATTTCAAGCAGAAGTAAGCAAACTTTTTCTGTAAAGAGCCAGATAGTAAATATTTTAAGTTTTGTGGGTCATGAAAGTCTCTGTTGCAGGACTTAACTGTGCTGCTATAGGGTGAAAGCAGCCACAAACAAATGTGTAGCTGTATTCCAACAAAACGTTATTTATAGATTAAAAAAAACACACCAAAAAGGTGGGAGGCCAAATTTGGCCCACTAGCCATAGTTTGCAGACCCCTAATTTAAAGGATACAACTTAGGTATATGACCCAAATAAAACTTTGCATGAATATAAGAAAAGAACAGAAAGGACACTTATCTGAAAGCATTAGGATAAAATATTAGGCTGACATCAATAATACTTTAAAACAAAAACTTACAGTATGAAAGTGAGAGATGAAAGCATTCTAAATTCTTTTAAAAATTATAACAACCTGGTAACTTCAGTTTGTTCTATATTTTTTATTTGAATATAGCAAATACTGTGTCTGAAAAGCATATCAAAAGCTTCTACAGCATAACTGTGACTAAGCCCAATTCTTACTTAACATTAATTCAGAATCACCTACTATGAAAAGAAAATAATATAAAAGTCCAACAAGAAATTTTTGAAATTGTTTACTTGTCCTTACAACTTTGGTTCTTAAATGGAATTTTCAAAATGAACATGGCAGAGCTGCAATACATACTTTATAAACCATAAAATATGTAGGCAAGCTAAAAGGGGAAAAAAAATTAAACATGCCATCATGTACTTGCTTGAAGCTCTTCTTTTTTCTGGGGCTCAACTGGCCAAAAAGGAGTAAATACACTACCACACAAGAATCAGAAGACAAAAGGAGAAATTTGATACAGATGACAACATTTACATTTGCTCCTCTTTATATAATCTAATTTGAAATGCAGAGATAAAATAGCATTTCACCCATTCATGTTACACCACAAAACACACGTTGATAAATGTTTCCATTTTAGCAATAAAACCCTAACTTTATTTAAAGAACCAGGGTGGGGGAAATAGTCAAACCATATAGTATTCTTACTAATACTACATGTTGCTTCTTAAATTGCTTTGGCATATCCACCATTTCCTCCCCCACTATCTCTTACTGTATCAGTTTCAGCTTAAATATGAAAACTAAAGTTAAGTTTCTTTACTAAGTTTCAGTAAAGGAGGAGCCCAGTTCTGCACAACCATAGCAAATCTTTAAATTATTTATCAAAGTACCAGAACACCAACATATTTAACAAGTTTTCTCAGGCTGTTATGAGAATTAAATAACTTAATATGTTTGAAGTGATGAGAACAATGCAGTTTATAAGTGTTTAATGAGTATAAATTTCATATTATCTCTGAGGTGCTCAGCAGAAATATGTGTCACCTGTCTCTTTTTAAAGTAATTTATGTCATTTTTGGTTTTCGAATTTAGCTTTGATGCTTCTAAAGAGCTCACTTTGCTTTACCCCTTCCTAACATATTAGCTTCCTTGGACCAACTGTGAAACATTAACTGGAGTGCGGGGAGAAGCAGCAATTTCATTTCAAATTCTAAGTACATTTTTACTGTATAATCCACAAGCTCTAGGATTCATGAGATTAAAAACTATTTTTACTATCCTTTCTGGAATAGTAATTCTATTTTCTAGTTACCTTTTCCTAGAGACAAAGCCATCAGCAAAATTTTCTCCTGGGAACATTAAAAATGTAATAACTATAATAAATTGGTATCACATTAAGTTATATCATGAAAAGTGACATAACTGCCTGGCTGGCATGGCTCAGTGGTTGAGTGTCAACCTATGAACCAGGAGGAGGTCACAGTTCGATTTCCTGTCAGGGCACATGCCTGGATTGCAGGCTTGATCCCAAATAGTGGGTGTGCAGGAGACAGCCAATCAATGATTATCTCTCATCACTGATGTTTCTATCTCTCTCTCCCGCCCTTTTTCTCTGAAATCAATAAAAATGTATTTTTTAAAAAGTGACATAACTAGTTTGTCTAACTTCCTTAACAGATAATTAAAAAGAAATTCTCCATGAGATCCTGCATTTGCTTTTCTGTTTTCAACAAAATAAAATTAAATTCCAACAAGTTAATAGATTTTGGTACTACCTTGAGCTTTTTTGAGAAACTGGTTTATCTATAAACAAAATTTGAATTAATGGCTTAATTAATTTATATCTACTTAGATCTAAAACTACAGGAAATCCACATCTACTTATAGGATAATTGTTTAAAATTTTTGAACAGGTAGCAACTCGGAGGATACTAATTTTATTTTGTTTTATTTTTTTTCTTAAATATATTTTATTGATTTTTTACAGAGAGGAAGGGAGAGGGATAGAGAGTCAGATGTTTCTCTCTCATCGACCAGCTGCCTCCTGTACAGCCCCCACTGGGGATGTGCCTGCAACCAAGGTACATGCCCTTGACCGGAATCGAACCTGGGACCTTTCAGTCCGCAGGCCGACGCTCTATCCACTGAGCCAAACCGGTTACGGCTAATTTTAAAATGTTACCTAATTCTTCCTAAGAATTTATATTCAAATTCTAGGTTATTCTTAATAACACTAGGTTACTAATAGTTAATAATTCTAGGTTATTCTTTTTCTCTGATTTCAAGACAAGATTTACAAACACAAACATGATGCTTGGTCTTAATAGAAAAATGACATCAGATACACACAACATAGGTTTAGCATTGGAATGGCTGCCAGATCACACAAAACATACGTTTTTAGGAGCAGGGAGGCATGAAAATTAACTATCTTACATTTGGTACATCCGAAACACTTGTTTGAATAATATTTTGCTTGAATTAAGCCCTTTAGTATTATTTTATTTTTGTTAATCCTCACTGGAGGATATTTTTCCCATTGATTTTTACAGAGAGTAGAAGGGAGGGGAAAGACAGAAACATTGATGTGTGAGAGACACTTCCATCAGTTGCCTCCCACATGGACTCTCCCCTTCAACTGGGGCTGGGGATTGAGACTGCAACCAAGGTACAGGTCCTTAATCAGAATCAAATCTGAAGCCCTTCAGTTCTCAGGCTGTAGCTCTAACCATTGAGCAACCAGCTAGGGCTAAGAGTAAAATTTTATAACTTGCATTGGGCTCTAGGTTATTCTTAACACTTTCTATTTTATTCCAAGGGATGACTTTGGTACATGCTGACATGGTTAACATAGACTGAATCTCAATTTTATATTTTACAAGCATGATAAAGATCTGAGAGAAAAGAATCATTTTAGCCAATGGATTATCATCTATAAATATAGTAGGAAGCTTTTAAACTATAAGTTGGATCCCTTATGCTACTCAGTAAGTTTGGAACTATCTTCTCTTTAGCATAAAATGATATGTATTCATTAATATAACAGATTTTTAACACTATTCACTTAAGTTAATCAAAATTTTTTATTCCAAAAATTTAATTCCTAAGTCGGTTGTTAAGGAAAAAGATATTCTGGCTAATTATAGCACATGAATTGCCAATTTTCAAATAACCAGAAGATAAACACATACTGCACATTAGTACATCATTTAATTTATTTATCACAAATAACATAATTGTTTTAAGAAACTCAACAGCACTGATATGTTATAGTCTCAAAAGACTTTTCAAGCCAAAACCGGTTTGGCTCAGTGGATGGAGCGTCGGCCTGCGGACTGAAGGGTCCCAGGTTCGATTCCGGTCAAGGGCATGTACCTGGGTTGCGGGCACACCCCCAGTAGGAGATGTGCTGGAGGCAGCTGATCGATGTTTCTCTCTCATCGATGTTTCTAACTCTCTATCTCTCTCCCTTCCTCTCTGTAAAAAATCAATAAAATATGTTAAAAAAAAAAAAAAAAAGACTTTTCAATACAGAAAGCACCAGCTCTAGTCCTTATTCCTAATATTTGAGAAAAATCCTTCATATATTCTAATTATAATTAAAGGACAAAATATTGCCATATTTTATTCTATAGAAGTACCAACACAAAAATGAAAAACTGTGTGTGTGTGTGTGTGTGTGTGTGTGTGTGTTTCTTCTCTCATTCCATTTTTTTCCTATGAAAGGCACTTAACATTCTGCCAAGGAAACTATCAGGAAATGGGTTTCATTTTGAAATATAAAAGACTTAATCCATGAAAAAAAATTTTTTTCCCCCACAGGCTTATAGAAAACTACCACTAGTGACAATTTTTAATATTTCATCTTTTCAAAACCACAATACACATGGGTTTAATAAGAGTGCCCGTAAATAGAGAATAATACTTCGAGAATTTTTAGTTATCCTTGTATTTTTATTATTTAAAACTGCTGTTCTTTCACCCATTTGCCCATATAACCAAGAGTTAACTATATTATTCACTAAGACAGAGCTTCTAACAAGTTAAGTGTAATTCTTGATGACACTAAAACTATTCCTCATGGGAAATTTTTTTAGAAACCATCAGTTCATCTCCTTACATGCTTTATCTTATGAGGCAAAGAGGAAAACTAGAAACTTTGTTTGAAAGTGTGTATATATGGAGGCAAATGGGGTAAAAAGTTTTCCCTGTAATACCATTTAAACTATAACAACTATATTAGTGAGCTAAAACATGACAAATTATGTACATAACCCCTCCTCCCCAATTATAAAGCACCACTTCTGGCATTCCATAGGCCTTTTAGTAAGTCAAAACACATGACAAATGAGAAACAGAGCCTATTATTAACTCCTAGGCATTCCTAGATTTTAAAAGGGTGTATATTTTAAAGAAAATGATCTTCCATTTAACCCTTCTAATAAAGTGTTTCTAAATTTTGCAATTAATTTTCAAACAATCAAATTGTAAATACATCAGATATAAAAACAACTACTTAATTTAACCAGATATTTAATATTTCTTAATACTCACCTCTCTTTCTATGAGATGATGCCAAGTCCAAATCAACATTTCGTCTTCCATTCTATTAACGTTAAATATACGTAATAAAAGTTATTAATAAAATTAGAATGTAACAGAGTACTAACAAAAATTAATCTATATAATTATAATAATTTGCTACTTAATGTGCTACCAGTCAAGTCACATCAACAATAAGTCTCTAAAAGCTCACTGAAAACAGCTATAAGAAAGCATAGCACATAATTCTCAGAAACTAAAACACAAAGGTTCACATTAACTAACACTGAAGTAGCAGAAGTGTTTCTTTGTTCCCACCTTTTCTTCTCTGGAATCTTTGTCTTTTACCTTCCAAACACATCTCATTAATATCTTCTAGATGCCTAAAGCCTGTGTAGCAAAGTCCCATTTTCCACAATCCCTACTTGCTCTATCCTTAACTTTCATTCTTTTCAAAGCTCCCACTAGTCCTGGCTATGTGTTTAGAGAAAGAGAATCCGATGAATCCAATCCACACTAACAGAAAAATAGCATAGTCCTAACCCTTGTGGTAGTATTTTTAAAGGTTTTAAATGTTTTTAAGAGCCTATTAAATAAAGAAATCTCAAATTGTTAAAATGGCAGACAGCTTAATAAAATAGTAAAGGCTTCAGGAAGAACAGAAGTATATTTCTGTGTATGTGTGGTGGGGGGGGCAGTATAAACAACTGCCTGCTCTTATGTACAATCAACCAATGCTCAAACTACACGTCTTAAATTTATGCACAGGCTCGATATTATGGTCTCAACAATTTCAATTGTCCTCTATCCCACGGGAAAAAAAAAATGGTGGCAAAGAAGAAAGGCTGCAGAGTGACAAAATAGATCCATTTAGTAAACGTTATTATAGAAAATCTTTACCTGGTCACACATATAGACACAAGTATTCACATTGTAGATAAATACATTTTGTCACACAAACACACACCCCAGAAATAATATATTCTCAAGCCATTTGGTGCTGGACAAAACATGAAATGGTTATCACCCAGCCCCTGAAAACATCACTTTGTCATCTTTTATTTTTGGCTTCTTTCATCCTAATTTATCCTTTTATAAAGTACTTATTTGTGTACACCACATCAAATCCATTGTGAAATGAGGGGGGGTAGGAGTTAAACTTAGATTTAATTGTTTACTTAGGTTTCTTCTCTGTTTACTAAGAGAAATAGATAATGTATCACATAATACTCTTTATGAAAGGTAAAACAAAGGTTTAGAATTATTAAACTAGTTAACTTCAGTTATTTTTAAAAAACCATTTTAGTCACTAATAATTCAGGATAAATGAAGTACTACTAGATGTTGAGGATAGCAACACGACCACACAACCTCAGACAGGAGGGTAACATATTTCAGCTGAAAAACCGAAACTGCCTCCACTGCTTGTTCTGCGCTTCATCTGCACCAGGCAGGCTGTCTGAAGCTGTGCCTAGATCATCCTTCATCTGCAACAGAATCTGCTTTTCTCTAGTTGACTTTTCTATCTTTTATGATACTATCTTTCTATACATTCCATAAGGAAAAATAATCGAGTTAATCTTTTTCAAAAATGTATTTATTAATTTTTTTTAAATTCTGTAGAAACTAAATGAACAATTTTGGCAATTAAATCTAGACTTGGCCCACCTCTACTGATCTATCTTCCCATTTTGTTTTGAAAACAAACAATTTTCAAAAAAATTTTTAATCCTTACCTGGGGATATGTTTTTATTTATTTTAGAGAGAGGAAAGGAGAAAACGAGAAACATTGATGTGAGAGAGAAAAATCAATCAGTTGTCTCCCATACATGCCCTGACTGGGGATTGAACCTGCAATCTTTTGTTGTATGGGATGATTCTCCAACCAACTGAGCTACTGGACAAGCAATTTTCAAAATGTTTTAAATTGTATTACCAAACCTGTTCTTCACAGTCCAGTTGAGACAAGCGTAACAGGGAGTATTATTCCCCACTTCAAATATAAAGAAGCTGGGACCCTGGCTGGGTAGCTCAGTTGGTTAAAGCATCATCTTGATACACCAAAGTTGCAGGTTCGATCCCCGGTTAGGGCACAGACAAGAATCAACCAATTTTGGGGGTGGGGTGGAGTTGGAGGTTGGGTAGAGACTAGGAAGATAAAAGAGGGGGAAATGGGAGATATCTGTAATACTATCAATAATAAAAAATATTTTTAAAATCAATCAATGAATGCATAAATAAGTGGATTAACAAATTGATGTTTCTCTCTCTCTACATCAAAAAGTTAAAAAAATACTAATAATACATAAATAATTCTGAAACCCTAGTGGTTTATCAAAGCTACTAACAAACTGCTATTAAAAGAAAAAAACAGTGAAAGTCAATGTGAGTCAAGTAATCTTGGGAAGCTTTCTATAACAGTGGACATTTTAGCCAATCCTTAAAAGAGACAGGACTTGATCAACAAAACCCAGAAAATAGACATTAAAGCAAACAATGCTTGAGGAGAGGCTCAAGAGGTATGTTTAGAGTCTGGCAGATGGACTAGTATGGCAAAAATGCAGATTACTGCAGGAGAAAACTGGTTCCAAATGCAGGCAGGCAATATGTTCCAGAATCTTTGACTTCTAGTAGTCAGTATAATCACTGAGGTTTTGAATAGGAAGGTAGCATGATAAGCAGGTTTTTTGTTGTTCTTGTTGTTTGTGTCTTCAAGAGCTCTATCTTAGAGAGCAGTGACTAAGAAGAGGAACGGGGAAAAGCAGGGATTTCAGTTTGAAAACTACCATTTCAGACAAAGGTAACAAGAGCCTGAATCAAAAAGTAAAAAAAGATGCCAAAACCGGTTTGGCTCAGTGGATAGAGCGTCGGCCTGCGGACTGAAAGGTCCCAGGTTCGATTCCGGTCAAGGGCATGTACCTGGGTTGCGGGCACATCCCCAGTAGGAGGTGTGCAGGAGGCAGCTGATCGATGTCTCTCTCTCATCGATGTTTCTAACTCTCTATCTCTCTCCCTTTCTCTCTGTAAAAAAATCAATAAAATATATTTAAAAAAAAAAAAAAAAGTAAAAAAAGAAAGAATGGGCACAGAAATTTTACCAAAATAGATTCAATAGTCATTCATTTATTCAAAAAATATTCAGTGACTGCCTACTGTGTGCCAGGAACTACAGATGCTTGGCCTACAGCAGTGAATAAAATAGCAAAAAATTCTGTCCTCAAGGAGCTTATACTCTACTGTAGGCTAACAGAAACTGATATAAATATAATAAATAAATTACATTAGGTGCTGTGGGGGGAAAGGGGAGCAGCGCAAGGCAAGGTATACAGGGAGTGAACGAATATGTAGAAGGGAGGGCAAACTGAAATTTTAAATAGAGTGGTCAGGCCCTGGCTGGTGTGGTAAGTTGGTTGGAGTGTCGTCCTGTACACCAAAAGGTGGCGGGTTTGGTTCCTGGTCAGGGCACAAACCCAGGTTGCAGGTTCAATCCACAGTTGGGGGCGTGTAATTGAGGCAACCAATCAGTGCTTCTCTCTCATATTGATGTTTATCTCTCAGTTACTCTGTCTCTCTCTGGAATAAACATTTTTTTAAAGTGCATAGAGTGGTCAGAATAGGCCTCACTGAAAAAGTAACAACAGAATGATTATTTGAGGTGAGGGATTTAGTCATGTAGACAACAGTATTCCAGTCAGAAGAAACTGCTAAGTAAAGGCCCTTAGGTGAAGTTGTGTGGTATGTTTATGGAAAAGCCAAAAGCCTACTGTGGCAGGAAAATCACCAAGGAGAGTAGTAGAAGAGGAGATAGGAGAGGTAATGTGGCCAGGATGTATAGAGTCTTGTAGGCCACTGTGAGGATTTAGGCTTCTACTTTGAGAAAAAGTGAGGTCACTGGAGGTTTTGAGTAGAGAAGGACATGATCTATGTTATAAAATTATCACAGGGATGGGAGATTAGATGAGACTTATCAGACTAGGAAGGGAAAATGGACAGAGAGAAATCTCAGTAGACTGCAAAACTAGGAACATGAACTGAGAGCACAAAGAAACTCATGGGAATAAAGAATAAAAGAAAGAAGAACAAAAACATCATGAGATAATGAAGCTTGCTTGAAGATACTGTTCGACTTTCCTTAGAGGAGGAATCTTTTATGCCTAGAAGTTCCCTTTAAACATCTTTTGTTTATGTACCATTTGTGTAAGCCCAGGTTTCCAGCCTGGCTAGTTAATAGTACCACCTACTAAGAAAGGCAATATGAGAGAAGGAGATTTAGGAAAAAGATAAGTTCATATTTGGATAGGTTAAGATTGGGGTAACCCATGCCCAGCTGGTTTGGCTCAGTGGATAGAGCCTCGGCCTGCGGACTAAAGGTTCCCAGGTTCGATTCCGACCAAGGGCACATGCCCGGGTTGCAGGCTCAATCCCTGGTAGATGGCATGCAGAAGGCAGCCGATCAATGATTCTCTCTCATCATTGATGTTTCTATCTCTCTCTACCTCTCCCATACTCTCTGAAATCAATAAAGAAATATATGTTAAAAAAAAAAAAGATTGGGGTAACCCCACATGTTCAAGTGAAATATCCATCAGAGACATGAATTTGCAGTTTAAGAACTCAGAGCTAAAGACAGAAATCTGAGAGTCGTTAACAGGTAAGTGGAAAATATCTATGCAATATAGGTATCTAATTTATCTAAAAGTTCTTTAAAAAAAGTTTTTATATGTCTAAAACAAATGTATATTACTCTAATTAAAGCCTCATATAGTATCTATACCTTGAAAACAAAAATTCTTCTTGGCTGAATCTAGGTATACCTACCAGTGCGTAACCCTCTTCATCTGATTCAGGCTGAGACAAATCAGATTCACTCCTCGATTTGATCAGTCTATAATTTGGGCTTGTGTGGACTAGCCGGCTCTCTGCAGTAAGACTTTCACTCCTGTCTCACATGCACAAAGAAAAGTTTTTTATTTGGGACTGTTAGTGAACATAAAATGGAACTGGCAGCACAGAGGTAATACAGACACAATGAGGAGTAATTATACCTGTTGGTGGGAAATCCTGGCTCTTATCTAAGCACAAAGTCGTTCTCAATTACATCAAAATAATCTGCATGCCACTAAATTACAGAGACATGCAATAACTTCATATGTTTCTAACTACTGCTGTTTACACATATGAAATACTGTGTCTCAGAAATTTACATTCCAGGCTGAAATAGTATTATTCTTTATATTACTTTTAATTAATCCTAGTCAATTAGCATTTCCTATTCCATGTCTGTGTTAATTTCAGAAGAATACTCTAACTTTGAGAATAAACCATTTCAATGCATAAACAAAGGGAAGAGAGTAATTGTTAAGTTTCTAGCCAGTCCCACCTGGTCATAAGTCCACCCCCTTCAGAGGCACTTGTTGAAGGCTGCTGCAACTGTCCTTCTTCCCTCCGCTTCTGAAGCTCATCAATCACAGGGCTTACTCCTAATATTAAGAGGGCACACCGATGGATCACGGAGTTGCAGGCAGCAGTGTACACATCCTGACCCTCAGGAAGGTCTGTGCTGACCCTTCGCTCTTGCTGAGACTGAGGAGGTGGATCATCAGATCGAGCCCCAGACCCTGCCCCACTGTTCATTCTATCTCGATCTCGGCTACGAGCTACTTCACGGGCTGAGAGGAAACACTGAAAGATTTCTGTAACATGCAACACAAAAACAAGGTCTTAACACATGGGGAGAGAAAAGCAAAGAAAATAACAATAAAAATAGTCAAAATATTTGGACCAAAAACTTACTGAAAAGGGGGAAAATCTTATTTTAGATATTAAATGCAGCATAGTAACTAAGTTAAAATTATATAAAAAATACACAAAATATTAAACTTTTCATGAAAATTACAACAGGAAATACTCATGCCTTTATAGAATTTAGATTGATTAATTCTATTTCTACTCTTTTTTATAAGTTAGATCAGTGGTTTTCAAAATGTGGTCTCAGATTGGCAGCATCAACATCATCTGAACACTTGTTAGAAATGCAAATTATCGGACCCATCCCAGAACTTCTGAATGTAAGCTCTAGACATGGGACCAAAAATTTGTGTTTTAATAAGCCTTCCAGATGATTCTGAAGTCCACAAAAGTTTGAGAAGCACTGAGTTAGATAAAAATAACTACTTACATTCATGAGCTTGGTATGAAAAATGTCAGGTTACAAAAGAAACAGACAAAATTTAAGTTGCAATAGTTACAATGAAAAGGCCTCTTTCCAAATTCCATATAATACCTAACACCTACACTTTGCTATAACTTGAATACATTAAAAAATACAACCTCTAAAGGTCTTTGCTGAAACAGAGTCTGATTACACTATGTGGCCAAGATTGGCTCGAGAGTCAAATGGCATCACCAGGAATGTCCTATCTGATACCAGCTCGTGCCAATCTCTAAGTGTAAAAAGTCAGTGGGTGTACCAAGGTTCTGATGTAGTGGCAGATACTTCACAATAGGAAAATACTATTTTGCTCAAATTTGAACTGAAGAGGGTATTCTTGGAGAACCAAGGCAGAAAAGTTAGTAAAATATTAGATTCATCTGTTTATATGGAAATACAAACTTTAAAAATGCATCTGTATGTTTTATCAGATTATTATGATGATATTTTCATTATGTTGTTGAAAATCTCTATTTCAATGAAAATCAAAGCGACAAACACAGAGTCCAGAACTAGAAATCAGTTAAAGTGATTAAGAGAATGGTCACTGGAATTTTGGGCAGACCTGGTTCTAATTCCAGCTGCTGCTACTTGTGGTGCTAACACATAATTTTGCTTCTTAAAACCTCTGTTTGACCATCTTAAGAATAGAGTAATACTCATCTCATAAAACTTTTGCAAGGATTTATGAGTTAATTTATGTGAAGAATTTGACCCAGTGCCCAGCATACAGTAAGTGCTCAAAAATGGTAGCTAGTTTAAAAATTATTACTCTGCGGATGACTATTATGCTTTCTGTTATTATAACTGTGTGTTATACTTTGCTTTCATAAAGTTTTAAGTTCAAATGCAAAAGGTTTCTCAGCCTACGTTTTTATTAATTATTCTCCGTTTCCATTTCCAATATACTTTTCTCCATTTAGACTTTATCTTTCCCTCATTTTTTAATGGTTTTTGGTCTTGTTTTGAGCAGCCTCAAGATCATTTTTAGAAGTACCCAGAACACAAACAAACTGATACTAAAGTAAATGTCCAACTAAATGATATAGACAGACAATCCCAAAACTAAATGCATAGCTGGACATAATGTTTTAGGCTACAAAGTGAATATACACCTTAACTTGAAATAGCCAAATCACTCAAAAAATAATAACAAATGTTTTAAAACAGTGGTTCTCAACCTTCCTAATGCTATCACCCTTTAATGTTGTGGTGACCCCCAATTTCACTGTTACAAATTGAACATAATTAAAGCATAGTGATTAATCACAAAAACAATATGTAATTATATATGTGTTTTCCGATGGTCTTAGACGACCCCTGTGAAAGGGTCGTTCGACCCCCAAAGGGGTCGCTATCCACAGGTTGAGGACCGCTGTTTTAAAAGCTTTAATATTTCTCGCCGAAACCGGTTTGGCTCAGTGGATAGAGCGTCGGCCTGCAGACTGAAAGGTCCCAGGTTTGATTCCGGTCAAGGGCATGTACCTGGGTTGCGGGCACATCCCCAGTAGGAGATGTGCAGGAGGCAGCTGATCGATGTTTCTCTCTCATCGATGTTTCTAACTCTCTATCTCTCTCCCTTCCTCTCTGTAAAAAATCAATAAAATATATTTTAAAAAAATAAAAAATAAAAGCTTTAATATTTCTCTTTAAATATATAAATGATTACCTTTAAAAACTGTCTATAGCCCCAGGATATGAAAGTATGAAAAGTGTTATTTACCCAGCCAACAATATTCTCACATATATTCTTGCTCCCTTCTGAGAAGAGCAGCGTAGTCAGTGAGTAAAATTTATAACTTATTAAAAGTTCTACATATGAAATAATTGGGCTCTCCTAATATGCATAGAAGGGGGCTCTCTTCCTCACCAGACAGAGGTAGGCCTGATCAATGGATAACTTGGAACCGCTGAGAGGACATACTTTGAATGACCTTATCTAATGACTCATGGACATCATTTCATGCATGAGACTGGTGGAACTGGTATGGTTTCCAAAGCCTGCTTCCAGAACTTTTCAGCCCCAAACATGAAATTCAATAACTAGCACAGGGCTGAAATATTAACTAATGTACATTCAGATCACCGGTAGAATATCAAATTCTTTTAGAAAAACCATAGAGAAACATGTCTTTCTCTTTCTTCTCTACTCAGTTCCCATACCAAAAATACACATCTGTGTCTCTCTGAAGTAAGGTGTATACTCACTGCCAGCTGTCATCACTTCATGTTCCCGTTCTTCCTCCTCATCCTCTGGCTCTGGATGCCCCTCTTCCCGGTCTCGCTCAGCCTGCTCTTCCATTTCAGCTTCTTCGTCAATGGTCCGGGTAAATGAATGCTCCTGAGGATCAACATCTGCAGAGTCTTGGTTTTCTGAGATCTTAAAGAAATGATCAAGTTATATTGAACATATTTTTCAAAAACTTTGAAAAATTTCATTAAAACCCTGACTTTTTATCATGGAAAATACCGCTAATACCAATAATAACAAATGAAGTTACTACAAAAAGACATACTAGATAAATCTGAAAAAAATAGAAAGAATGTATCTACACAAAATACATACAGAGATACCTATATACTCTTTGTTTCTCAGTATTTTTATTAAAATGCCATGCTATAGCCTGGCCAGCATGGCTCAATGGTTGAGCATCGACCTATGAACCAGGAGGTCACGGTTCGATTCCTGGTCAGGGCACATGCCCAGGTTTTGGGCTTGATCCCCAGTGTGGGGCATGCAGGAGACAGCCGATCACTGATTCTCTCTCATCATTGATGTTGCTATCTCTCTCACCCACTCCCTTCCTTTCTGAAATCAATAAAAATAAAAAAATAAAAATGCCATGCTATAAACTGTCATTTCTATTGTTATTCAGCTGTAAACTATAGTTCTGCAACTTAAAATGAGTTGACACCAAGAATAAAAGGTACTTAAAAAATATAATTTTGATTCCATTCAGTCTCCCCTTAAGTTATATATATATTATTACTTTGTATAAATGTTTAATAATTCTAATTTAAAACAGTATTTTTAACTTTTTTTTTGGTGAGAACATTTAAATTCTATTCTCTTAGCAAATTTCAATTCTTCAAACAGTATTATTTTTAGTTTTTTCTTTACTCTGTTTGCCCCTGAAGAAACCAAAAATTAGAAATCTGGTAAGAACAATGTTAATTTTATTTCCCATGGTGGTGGTGCTATCTAGAAGTCATCTAGAGGAAAGAATCCTTAAAACAGGTGCCAAGAGAGGCACACGTATCATAATAGTACATCTTTTCCCACACCAATATAAGTACAAAGCACAAATAAAGATTTTAATAATATCCTTTAACGCATAACAAAAGTTATTTTATGATTTATGGCCAGTAAATAACTTAAGAATTTCACTGAGATGGAGATACTGAGCAATGTCAGTCTCACACAGTACATAAATCATTATCACTATATATGTGACTTTCAAATATGAGGCTCAACAAAATAACAAATTAATATATTTCATAGAATTTCAAGGTCACTAGCAAATAGTCAGATCCAAAATATTAAATAAGGGCAGGCTAAAAGAATACTGTAATAGAAATGTAGAGATAGAGTTTGATTTTTAAAATCTAAGATCTAAAGAGTACAGTGCAAAACATCTACTGTATAAACTTTCAAAGTAAGCATTTCTGAAGTTGATGTATTATACAGGCTTATACTTATAACTATAAGGTCATGTTATCAGGATTACCAAGTACTTTAAAAATCATCTCATTTTTGATGCATGAATTACTTCTGGAACATCCTTAATAAGAGGCTTCAATCTTTACACCCAATAGTACATAACCCTAACATAGAAGGTTGTTTTCCTTACATTCAGCTAGCAATGATTCACCATAAAATTATTACCCTTGGATCCTACCTGTGCCCAGTATTTTTGAGGTAGCTATCCTGTGCCTCCCATTTCTTTCACTTCTGTATGATTTTTGGACCTTTCACTAATCCAAGGTAGTTTGTTAATGTCCCTCATAAATTATGGTACCCCAAATTAAATGATAATTCAAATGTGGTCTGATCAGCATAAAATAAAGGAATAATATTTCATGATTAAACAATTCGTTAAATAATTTATATAGCCTAAGAATATATAAACTTTCTTAGCAGCCATATCATACTTGATAAATATGGAGTTAAATAATCCCCAAATCTTTTACTTGTCCAATTTTTTTTTCCACTAGAAAAAGAACTGCTCAATATTTAATTGTACATCTGCAATAAGCAAGGCATTTTTCTTTTCCTGACATAAATCAATAATTAGCTATCTCTCACAGCTTGCAGAAAAACACAGAAATTAACTAATTTCAAACTTTACCCATCTGTCTCGTGATGATGACCTGGTCTGAATAAGTTCAAGGTTCTTGCAAGCAAGTAAACGACTTCGAACTTTGTACACACAACGGTACACTTCTGATAAGCTTTTACCAGGTTGATATCTAAATAAAGAACCAAAATAGAAAAGTTACCTAATTTCTAACATCATGAGAGCAAATATTTGTCAGAAGATAGTTTTAAGTTACTTGCCGGCTTTCTCCACATGCTTGACTAAGTAAATTCGTGTGTTTCAGAAGAGCTGCAAGAACAAATCTAGACACAGTGTCCAAGAGTGATTCATTACTTAAAGTTGCACTGTCCCAATCTGAAAATAAAAATGATGTATTAAACATTCAAAAGGGCTCAGAAAACAGTTCAGAGGTCATAGTTTTAGTAATCCCACATCTGAATGTCATTTTTCTACACACTTACTTAACAAGTACACCTCCTAGATCCCACACACTGTTCTGTGTGATAGACATACAGCAGTAAACAAAACTGAGTCCCTCAACATGGAGGCACCTGGAGATTATTATGCTATGCAAAATAAACCAATGAGAAAGACAAGTATCACATGATCTCACTTATATGTGGAATCTGATGAACAAAATAAACTGATGAAAAAAATAGATCCAGAGGCATGGAGTCATGCAACAGAATGACGGATCTCAGAGGGAAGGTGGGGGAGTGGGGCAGGGGGGCCTGGGAAAGATTAACCAAAGAACTTGTATGCATATATGCATAACCCATGGATATAGACAATAGGATGGTGGAGGCCAGGGGTGGGCGCGGGCTACAAACGGTCAATGGGAGAAAGAAAAAAAGGGGACATATGTAATACTTTCAACAATAAAGATTTAAAATAAAATAAATTTAAAAAAAACTCAAGGGTATTTTTCACAAAGAGGAAAAATAAATTTTTAAAAAATGTCATTTCTAAAATACTCTTTTCTATAAAAAAAAGTATAGGGAGAAGCCTATGATCTTCTATTTACATGTATCACACATACATAGTATTATGAGCTAGCTACATATTTATCCCCTTTATTCTCTTCATCTTACCTTTACTAACAGCATAATCCTGCATGCTGATCCAAAGGCTTCGTGCAGGCTCTTTTGAACAACCCAATGCCAAGTCTACAAAGACAGCAATTTCAGGTCGCAATTTGTAGTCAAAAGGTTTCTGTTCTTCATTTCCTGAAAGAGCTACTTCTAATAGGCAACTCATACATTTATCTAAAAAGAAAATTATTCAAGTTATTCATTTTAAACCTCATACATTTTGGTGCCACAAACAAAATCTTACCACATTTACTTAATGCATATAAAATGATACATTTCAAACTCGTTTAAGTAGGTGCTACAAAGTTCTTTAATGTTTCTCAACTGCAGGTAGTATCCCTCTTCCATCTGCTCCAGAAGGATGTGTGACTAGATGTAACACGCCAGGGAAGAGGTCTGGCATATTAGTATGCGGGGAGCCTACACCTGCACCACTGTCATATACAACAAAGAACACTCTTGTTCAAAATGTAATTACATCCTTTTTGAGAAACATGTGACCACTGGGAAAGAGATTAGAAGATAATTTTTTTCTTTTTTCTAGACTTACGTATGATTCAAGAGAGATCAGTGATACCATAAACATTTGTTCAGGTGGTTCCTAACTTTTCAATGGGACATTTGATATTCTGAATTAATTTTCCATTTAAAAAACAAATAAAACAATTCTCTAAATGATAGCCAGGTTCTTGAGCTAATACCAAGTCAATGTAACCCATAATAAAATTGAATAATCATATATTTACAATTTTACAAAGGACAAATACCCTTTCTTAATATATGCAAGTATTTAAACATAAAATGTAATATTTTAATAGATCAATTATGATCTATTATAATTTCAAAAGTAACATGAAAACTAAAACTGAAATAAGCCAGTCAGAGAAAGACAAGTATAATATGATTTTTCACTCATATGTGGAATCCAATGTACAAATGAACAAACAAGCAAAATAGAGACAGACTCATAGAGAGAAAGCAGACTGACAGTTGTCCTATGGGTGGGGGGGAGTTACCTATGGGCAGAGGTAGAGAGATTGAGCAAAAAAGAAAAAGAAGAGAGAAAACATTTATGGACATAGACAACAGTGTGGAAATTGTCAGGGGAAGGTGGAAAAGGCTATAGGGGGGATAAATTGACTTGAGGTGGGAAACACACAATATAGTGTACAGATGATGTGTTGTGGAATTGAGCACCTGAAACCTGTAAAATTTTGTTAACCAGTGTCACCCCAATCCTATCTAATAAAAGAGTAATATGCAAATTAACCATCACTTCCTCACTGTCATTCCATCACTCCATCACAAAGATGGCAGTGGCCACGGAGCTGGAGCGAGCAGGAGGCTTGGGTTGCCCCCGGCGATGGAGAAAGCCAAGCTTCCCACCTGCCCTGGCCAGCCCTGAGCTCTGCTCAAGGCTACAAAGTTTCAATTATAGAAGATAAATAAATCCCAGATACCTGCTTCCAGCTGGCAGGGCCTCCGCTCAAGGAGGCACTGGGAGCCTCAGTTGCCAAGGGCAACCCAGGCTCCAGCCAGACCAACACTATAAAGTTTCAATTATAGAAGTTAAATAAATCCCAGATACCTGCTTCCAGCCCGTGGGCGTGGCCAGCCTGAAAATAGCCCTCAGCCCCTCACTCAGGCTGGCCAGGCACCCCAGTGGGACCCCACCACCACCCTAAAGGGACTATGGCCAGCCTGAAAACGGCCCTCAGCCCTTCACCCAGACACCCCAGTGGGGCCCCCAACCCTGAAGGAAGTGTGGCCAGCCAGAAAACAGCCCTCAGCCCCTCAACCACTCTGGCCACACCCCCATGGGATGAGGGTCCCCACTGGGGGGCTTGACCAGCCTGAAAATAGCCATTAGCCCCTCACGCAGGCTGGCCAGGCACCCCAGTGGGGACCCCCACCCTGATCTGGGACACCCTTCGGGGCAAACCAGCCGGCCCCCGCCTGTGCACCAGGCCTCTGCCCTATATAATAAAAGGGGAATATGCAAATTGACCCTAACAGCAGAACGACTGGGAATGACTCGTCACTATGACACACACTGACCACCAGGGGGCAGACACTCAATGCAGGAGCTGCCCCCTGGTGGTCAGTGCGCTCCCACAGTGGGGAGCTCTGCTCAGCCACAAGCCAGGCTGATGGTTGCCAGCACAGCAGTGGTGGCGGGAGCCTCTCCCGCCTCTTTAGCAGCGCTAAGGATGTCCGACTACAGCTTAGACCTGCTCCCCACTGGCAAGTGGACATCCCCCAAGGGCTCCTGGGCTGCCAGAGGGATGTCTGACTGCCAGCTGAGGCCCAATCCCCTGGGAAGCGGGCCTAAGCCAGCAGGTGGACATCCCCCAAGGGGTCCCAGACTGCGAAAGGGCACATGCCGGGCTGAGGGACCCCCCGAGTGCACACATTTTTGTGCACCAGGCCTCTAGTAAGTTCAATAAAAAGAAAAAAAAAAAGAAATGAAAAGTGATTTTATTCATACTAAAGGCCAGTTAAAGTAAATATAACAGAAATATGAGAAAGGTAGAGATATACTTTTGTCCAAGGAGGACATCTGGGGTTAACACAGTTAAACACTGATAGTACTGTAACCATCTTTATGATGTTAAATATTGCTTGAAAAACCATGATTTTACTTTTTTTTTTGATACATGTATCATAAGGTACTAGTCTAGCATTCATCGGCCATGGCCAAACTCACCTTCTGGTTCATAAATAAAATTATGAATATACTAGAGGCTCAGTGCACGACATTCGTGCACTGGAGTGGGAAGGGTCCCTCAGCCCTTGCAGTCCAGGACCCCTGGGGGGATGTCTGCTTGCTGGCTTAGACCTGGGCCTAAGCTGGCAGTCAGACATCCCCTAAGGGGTCCTTAGTGCTGCTGTGGAGGCAGGAGAGGCTCCCGCCACCACTGCTGCGCTTGCCAGCCGTGAGCTCAGCTTCTGGCTGGGTGGTGCACCCTCTGTGGGAGTGCACTGACCACCAGAGGGCAGCTCCTGCATTGAGTGTCTGCCCCCTGGTGGTCAGTGCATGCATAGAGACTGGTCATTCCACCATTTGGTCAATTTGCATATTAGGGTTTTATTATATAGGATAGAGACCTGGTGCACGGGTGGGGGCTGGGTGATTTGCCCTGAAGGGTGTCCCAGACCAGGGTGGGGGTCCCGCTAGGGTGTCTGGACAGCCTGGGTGAGGGGCTGAGGGCTGTTTTCAGGCTGGCCACACCCCCTTCAGGGTGGGGGTCCCCACTGGGGTGCGCGGCTGACCTAGGTGAGGCGCTGATGGCCATTTTCAGGCTTGGCCATGCCCCCCGGCGACCCAAGCTCCCAGCCTCTCCTTTTTTTTTCTTCCCGGGATTTATTTATCTTCTATCATTGAAACTTTGTAGCCTTGAGCAGAGCCCAGGGCTGGCCAGGACAGGCAGGAAACTAGGCTTTCTCCATCACTGGGGGCAACCCAAGCCTCCTGCTCGCTCCAGCTCCATGGCCACCGCCATCTTAGTTGGGTTAATTTGCATACTCACTCCTGATTGGCTGGTGGGTGTGGCTTATGGGCGTGGCTTGTTTCTCTTTTAATATATAGAATAACTAGTGGCCTGGTGCATGAAATTCGTGCACATTAAAAGAGGATTAGAGGAAATATTTTAATATTGCTATTTGCCCTTTGTCTATAATAGAAGTGTCAGAGATGAAGGAAAATTAGTAAAATGTATATGAAAATCTTCCTCCTGTCAGAGTCTGGGGCACACCACGGGACCCAGAGTCAAGTCCCCACCCACCCAGGTGTGCCTCAAAATCGCGCAAGACCCAGACCTGGCTGGCCCCACCCGCATTGGGCTAGATCCAGACCTGGCCGGTCCCACCCTTGTCAAGCCCCAGGTCACCTGGCCCGGCGCCAGGTGGGGGTGCAGCCTGAGGTCCCCTGGCCTGGCACCGGGGTAAGGGGCATGGCCTGAGGTCCCTTGGCCCAGTGCCGGGGAGAGGGGTGCGGCTTGAGGTCCCTATCCCAGGCCGGGAGTCACGCCTTGAGGTCCCCCATCAAGCCCCGCCGGGTGGGGGACGCAGCCTGAGATCCCCCATCAAGCCAGGCTGGGGGTGCAGTCTAAGATCCCCGTCAAGCCCCACCAGACGGGGGGCACAGCCTCAGGTCCCCTGGCCCGGCGCCAGGAGGGAGGCACAGCCTCAGGTCCCCCATCAGGCCCCCTGGGCAAGGGGTCACAGTCTGAGGTCCCCCGGCCCAGGACCGGCTGGGGGACGCACCTTGAGGTCACCGTCAAGCCCTGCAGGGCAGGGGGGCATGGCCTGAGGTCCCCTGTCAAGACCCACCAGGCAGGGGGCACGGCCTCAGGTCCCCTGATCTGGTGCCAGGGCATGGCGGTGTGTCCTGAGGTCCCCCATCAAGCCCTGCCAGGCAGGGGAGGTGCAGCCTGAGGTCCTGTCAAGCCCCTGGGGAGGGGGGGGAGTGTTGGGGAGGGCACAGTCTCAGGTCCCTGCTGATTGCTTGTTAAGGCTCGTTACAGGAACTCGGCCTCCACTGTGGGTGCAGTCACCTTGTGTTACGGAAACCCCCACACCCCCCCATCCACTATGTGCGCCGCCATCTTTGTGGGGGAGTGACAGTCAATTTGCAAATTCCCTCTTTATTATATAGGATAAACTTGCTTAATTAGACCTGTTTTCTGATTTAGCTAAACTTTTTCCAGCCTAGTGAAGCACCCCAACTTCTCTCTCAGGTAATTGTCAGCAACACAGCAGTAAATATCAACATGAAGCAGATTATTATTGTAGATCATGCAGGGAGAACAAAGGGTAAAATATTTAACTGCAGCAGTGTTTGACTATATTCTGCACAGTGAGAAAACCTGAAGTCATTTTCAAGTTCCACCATTTCTTACTTCTTTCCAGTCGGGTCAAGTTTCTACATTTTTCTAAATCTCCGTTTTCCAGCTAATAAAAAGAAAATAGGATTCTACTGAGTCTCCTATCTACGTACTCCAGGACTATTGAAGATCAAATGAGATGAGGCACAGGAAAATGCTTCACAGACATTTGGTTAAACTGTAAAATGTCTGCACCTGGGTATAAAGCAAGTTGTGTTCCTGGGCTGAAGAAACTCCAAGGAGACTAGTTGCTAGGGAGAAGAGGCCAGGCATTGCTATGCGATGTCATTACCTGGTGCCCACAGCGACCGTTTCTGGGCTGGGCTGGGCTGTGGGCCACATTTTGTGCCATGGGGTCTTGGCAGCATTGGCTGAAATTTGGTAGGGTGTCGCTCTGGGGTGGTGCAGGGCCTGTGTCCTACTTGGGGGAAGCAGAGTGCTGGTTTTGTCAGTGCCAAGTCCATGGTGTTGTTTATTTTTAAACTAGAGGCCTGGTGCACAAAATTCATGCGGGGGAGGGGGGTGTCCCTCAGCCTGGCCTGCACCCTCTCTAATCTAGGACCCCGCAGGGGATGTCCGATCCCTGCGGGACTGCTGGCTCCTAACCACTCACCTGCCTGCCTGCCTGATCACCTCTAACCACTCTGCCTGACTGCCTGATTGCCCCTAACCTCTCTGCCTGCCTGCCTGATCGCCCCTAACCTCTCTGCCTGCCTGCCTGATCGCCCCTAACCACTGCCTGCCTGCCTGATCGCCCCTTACCACTCTGCCTGCCTGCCTGATCACCCCTAACTGTTCTCCCCTGCCGGCCTGATCGCCCCTAACCGCCTCTGCCTCAGTCCCCGCCACTGTGGCTTTGTCCAGAAGGACGTCCAGAAGAATGTCTGGAAGATATCTGGTCTAATTAGCATATCACCCTTTTATTAGTATAGGTGGCCCATGCACTTCACAGCAGCTCCTGCATTGAGTGTCCACCCCCTGGTGATCAGTGTGCGTCATAGCTACCAGTCAGATGGATGAAAGGACGGACACTTAGCCTTTTATATCCTATCTAATAAAAGAGAAACATGGTAATTAGCGTACGACCACTACCCTTCCCATTGGCTAATCAGTGATATGCAAATTAACTGCCAGCCAAGATGGTTGCCGGCAGCCAGGCAGCTTGAAACTAACATGAGGCTTGCTTGCTTCAGTGACGGAGGAAACCAACGTTCCCCGCCTGCCTTGCCGGCCTCTGAGCCTGGAGTTTAAGAAACATTGTAACAAATATAGAAGCTAAACAAAACTCCAGAAACCTGCTTTCAGCGAGCCTGGGATCTCAGAGCTGGAGTTATACATTGTTTCGATTATAGAACCGAAACAAACCAGATACCTTCTTTCAGCAGCGGAGGCCTAAGAGCTGGAGCCTCAGAGCTAAAGCTAGCTCAGAATAAAAAAGAAAAAGAAAAAAAGGAGCAGTTCGGAGCTTCAGTTGGCCTGAAAACAGCCCTCAGCCCCTCACCCAGACTGGCCAGGCACCCCAGTGGGAACCCCCACCCTGATCCAGGACACCCTTCAGGGCAAACCAGTCAGCCCCACCCATGCACCAGGCCTCTATTCTATATAGTAAAAGGGTAATATGCCTCACAGCACCGGGATCAGCGGAGCCACGAGGCCTCCCAGCACCGGGATCAGCGGAGCCGAGAGGCCTCCTGGCACCGGAATCAGCTGACGGGGCAGCGCCCAAACCCCCTGATCGCCCTGCAGCTCTGTGTGTGACAGGGGGCGGGGTCACTACCTCCCTATCCGCCCTGCTCTGTTCCTGACAGGGGAAGGCGCCCCAACCCCCTGATCAGCCCTGCTCTGTGCCTGATAGGGGGGAGCTCCCCAACCCCCTGATCACCCTGCGGCTCTGTGTGTGACAGGGTGCGGCACCTCAACCCCCTGATCGGCCCTGCTCTGGGGGGAGCTCCCCAACCCCCTGATCACCCTGCGGCTCTGTGTGTGACAGGGTGCGGCACCTCAACCCCCTGATCGGCCCTGCTCTGTGTGTGACAGGGTGCGGTGGCCCAACCCCACCCCCCCCCCCACGGGCCCTGCTCTGTGTGTGACGGGGTAGAGCCATAACCTCACCATTGGCCCTGCCCTGAGTGTGAGAGTAGCGGCGCCCCAACCCCCTGATCGGCCCTGCTCGGTGGATGATAGAGGGCGGCGCCCCAACCCCCCCCCCCCACAGGCCCTGCTCTGTGTGTGATGGGGTAGAGCCATAACCTCCCCATCGGCCCTGCCCTGAGTGTGACAGGGGGTGGTGCCCCAACTCCCCTATAGGCCCTACTCTGTGAGTGACAGGGGGGAGCTCCTCAACCCCCTGATCGGCCCTGCTCTGTGCATGACAGGGGGGAGCTCCCCAACCCCGACTGGCCCTGCTCTGTGCGTGACAGGGGGCAGCGCCCCAACCCTCTGATTGGCCCTGCTCTGTGCATGACAGGGTACGGAGCCCCAACCCCCCTGATGGGCCCTGCTCTGTGCATGACGGGGTGGCACCGCAACCTTCCCATCGACCCTGCCTTGAGTGTGACAGGGGGCGGTGCCCCAACCCCCCAATTGGCCCTACCCTGAGCGTACTGAGGGTGGCATCGCAACCTCCCGATCCACCCTGCTCTGTGCATGACAGGGGGCAGTGCCCCAACTCCTCAATCGGCCCTGCTCTGAGCCCGACCAGGGGCTGCACCTAGGGATTGGGCCTGCCCTCTGCCACCCGGGAGCGGGCCTAAGCCAGCAGGGCATTATCTCCCGAGGGGTCCCAGACTGCGAGAGGGCACAGGCCAGGCTGAGGGACCCTCCCTTCCCCACCGAGTGCACAAATTTTTGTGCACCGGGCCTCTAGTATATAGATAATGAACTTTAGATCTAATATGACCACGTAGGCTTTCTAATCTAACTCATTATTTTATGGATTAAAATTAGAAACCCAGAGACATTAATTAAAGGACCTATCCTAGATAAACAACTAGATTATCTGTTTAGGAACTGGAGAAATTCTTATGTTCAGACAGTCAGAGAGGTAGCTTCCCAGCAAAGTAGACAAGTAGAAGATGAGGCAGAACAAAGGAATCTCCAAAGATACCATAAATAAGGAGGAAATAAATGAAGAATCACACAAGGTAACAACAACATGAAAGCAGGACCGGCAAGGAGGAGGAGGACTGCCACTCACATCTGAGAGGTGTTTGAAAACCAAGCACTGGTAAGTCATGGTGGTAAACTTACAAAGCTTTATATTCTATGAAGCAGTTTCATAACCTCTAAACCCCAGAAGACAATTAATCAAGAATTTTCCCATTTTTATGGATTAGATAAGTTGCTCCAAATGAGTGATAAATAATGACAGAATAGGACTAGGCCTTCATTTTCCTATTTTAAAGGCTCTTTTCACTACACAATGTTGCAGGATTTAACTGTTTTTCTCAGAGCTCCAATTTATAGTCTCAGATCCCCTACCCTACAAATGCCACTTTAGTTTCCTATCAGTTTTCTATTCAGCAAATCCAGAATAAATGAAATCTCCAATGGAGGTACAAACATAACTATATATTTTAAATGTTGTGAAAAAGCACATTACCTAACTGAGGGGTGTCCATTTCTACACCGTCACTAAAAAGTGGTGTTTTCATCCAATACGCAGTGTCCTGTTCCTCCGGAGACACAGGGGAGCCCTGAAGCATGCCACCAAGACATCGCCCAATAAGGAGAGCAATTGTTCTTTCCAGATCCACAAGCCACACCCAGGACTGGGCTGGCTGAGGTAATGGCACGCCAGCAGGATCGATCAGTTCTGGCCCTCCTGAAGACAAAAATCATTAGTAATTGTGTCCTTATCAGGTATTCAAGATTCTCAAGCTTTCTCTTGCATTATAATAAGACACTGAAGCAAAATAATCTTATAATGAAAAGAAATTATAACACTTTCTGTATATATTTCCTTTACTAATTTAAAACATTCAGATAAGTTATACTTATCAAAGTTTTCCTTTGTAAAATTATTAATTTTAAGATAAACATTAAAATAGTATATGACAGAATTAACCCAAAGGATTCTATTCCTACTTTTCATTATCCAGATCAAATTTTACCATAAGAGTACTTGAAACAACGCATCCATCCAAAATCAAAACAAGGTTGATTTTGTAAAATTACATTTAGTATTAATACCTTTAAAGCTTGAATTGAGAATTATACTAAGATCCAGACCCATGCTTTCTTTTTGTACATTTGCTTTCAACAGTTCTTCACATTAAAAAAACAAAAAAACAAAAAACTATACCATAAAGATAAAACTTAGCCATAAAGATAAAAACAGATATCAGTGAAATTGTGTGTAGGGGGGTATAGTGGGAGGAGGGGAGAAACCAGATCAATAAATCCAAAATTGGTTATTTGAAAAGCCTAATAAAGATGCATAAATCTCTAAAAAAGTAATCTTTAAAAAATTCAAAAATCAGGAATAAAAGCGCTGCCAGTGTGCCTCAGTTGGTTGGAGCATCATCCCATACACCAAAAAGTTGAAGGTTCAATTCCCGGGCAGGTTGCGGGTTTGATCCCTGGTCAGGGTGCATACAGGAGGCAACTGATTGATGTTCCTCTCTCATACCAATGTTTCTCTCTCACTCACTCACTCTCCCTCTCCTTCTCCCTCTCCCCTCCTATTGATTTTCTGTCTAAAAATCAATAGAAACATATCCTTGGGTAAGGATTTTTTTAAAATGTTTTTTAATTAGGAATACACAAGAGGATTTAACAACAGAGATTTTAAGAAATCATGAGTAAATATTATGAACAATTTTATATAAATAAATGAAAACCAACAAATGATATTTTCTGGAAAAAAATCAATTTCCAAAATGGGCTTGATAAAAAAACAAAAAGCTGAAAGAGAACAAAACCTCTAAGAAAGAAAACTAATAGCCAAAGTCTATCTAAAAAAACCAGGCACAGATAGTTTTATAGATAAAGTCTTCTAAACCTCAAGAAAAGATAATCCCTATCTTACACAAATTATTTCAGAAAAAAAAGGGGGGGGAAAAGGAAGATTCTAAACTGATATTATGAGGTTGGTATAATGGTGGTAGTAAAAATAATACAATAATAGCATCACAGAAAAATTATAGAAAAATATCAATTGTAAACACAGATGTGAAAATCCAAAATAAAATGACACCTAATCAACTAATGCAAAGTTCTGAGATGCTTTTGCAAAGGGAGGGTAAACCTCGAATGGCTCCATATTAAGCCTAATCAACATCAGCTGTAACCTAAACAACACAGCTGTAACCTTGACACTTGACTTCATCTAAATCCAGTTGTCACAGAACCATACAATGTTAAAGTAATATAGGCCCTCAATGTCATCTTGTTAACCTTAATCTTTCCAGGAGAAACAAACAAAGGCTTTAAGAAGTTGTAAGTGACTTGCCTAAGATCAGACAGCCAAATTACTAGCAGAGCCAAGACTAAAATCTAGGATCTTTTTATGCATTAGTCCAAGATCAAAACATGGGACCCTCACTTAAACTTGAAACGTTTTAAAATTGTAGTAATGAAACTCCTTTGATAGCCTTAGGACACAGAGACTTCAGTGGGAAAACACACTGTTTTCTAGACGATATTTTAAGCTATATTCAAATACACAGAATCATCAGCATTTTATAAATTAAGCAATTTCAAGTGCCTTGCCTAAAATCAGAATGTTACTTCCTATAAAATATCTAAAAGGGAAAACACAGAAAAATAGGTTCTCAATTCCCATCTTTTGCATTCAGTTATCTATATATCCAACCAAAATAAAAAATATTTTACTGTCAAAGAGATTTAAAAATAAAAATTTTTGCACTTAATAAAACTTTTTTAAAAATGTATTTTTATTGATTTCAGAGAGAAAGGGAAAGGGAAAGATAGAAGCATCAATGATGAGAGAGAATCATTGATCAGCTGCCTCCTGCACACCCCCTACTGGGGATCGAGCCCACAACCCAGGCATGTGCTCTTGACCGGAATGGAACCCGGGACCCTTCAGCCCACAAGCCAACGCTCTATCCACTGAGCCAAACCAGCTAGGGCAAGAAATAAAACTTTTAAAATCAAATCCATCTATTGACTATAAAATGTGTCCTTATGCTGCTGACTGAATTATGAAAGAATGCTTTTCTGCCCTGGCTGGTGTGACTCGGTTGAGCATTGTCCAGTGCACCAAAAGCTCACTGGTTCAATTCCCAGTCAGGACACATCCCCAGATTGTGGGCTCAATCCCAGGTCAAGGCGCATATGGGAGGTGACCGATAGATGTATCTCTCTAATATTGATGTTTCTCTCTTCCTCTCCCTTCCTCTCTCTTAAATTAATAAGAATATTATAGAAAAGGAAACAAAAGGAAAGAAAGCTTCCCTATCATCCATTGTAACATGTATTCTAATTTAAACCATGTCAAAATTTAGGTTAAAAAAAGTTTCTTAGAATCAGTAAAATATACTATTCAAACCTGCTGACCATATAAACATCCTACTCATGACATTATTATATGTGAGCAACTTCGTAATGTTTTCCCATATAAGAGCCCACTTTAGACTATAATCTCTGAGAAGATGACAACTTTATCTTTTTCATTACATAACATATCCAAGTGTCAAATAGAATTTACCTGATGAATGCAAAGAGGAACAACTTTTCTCAAAAGCATTATTTGCTCTTTTACCATCTTTACTTACCATGAAGAGGCCACTGTAACTCTTGGTCTTCTAAAAGAGCGGCAGCTGGCAGGAGTCTATTAAGGCAATCAAGAGGTGGCAACAAGTCGAGGAGGTAACTCAATAAAGGCCGAGCCACGGACACAGGGAGTAACAGTAGGGAATTAACAATCTGGCAGAGCATACTGCCTGCAGCTGAGACATATATCACATCTATGAAGGGTAAGAAATTCAACATGGATCAATTCAACATGTTACGAACTTTAAAACCAATAAATTTTAACTTACAATACACTAATTCAGTAACTCTTTGTTGAACACCTACCTGGTAGGTGGCTTGATATTAGTATTTACTTACTTGCAGAGAGTGCCACCAACAGACACTTTGTGGGAAAGCATACGTAACCTCATGCCAAGAAATTCAAAAGATTATAACTCCTTCCCTTAAAATGCATTATGAATTTCTGATTCACAAATCTATCCTCTTTGGGTTTACTCAAAAAAAATATTTCCCGAGTACCTATACAACATACCAAGCACTGTTCTAGGTGAGATACAGCCATGAAAAAAGACATAAAAATTCCTGTCCTCATAGTGCTTTCATTTTAGTGAGGGAAGCCTTTTATGTTTTTTAAACCAAATTTACTTTTTAAAAAATTAACATCACCTCAAAGCATCTATCTTTTTATTATCACTATCGGTTTTAAATCACATTTGTTTCAATACTTCATTGTATTTTGGGTGGATCATTCAGAGATGAGTTCAGTTTGAATGGATTAAATTTTAATGCCCGTGCAACAGCAAAATGGAAATGTCTAGTAAGCAGTCTCTTTTTTCAGTGGGGGAACCTCAGAGTAAATTGGTTTTGGACAGACATACTGAATTTTAGTTGCCTTTAAAACAAACAAAAAAAGACACCAGTAGGTAACTAGAGAAAGGTCCATGTGAAAAGGGGAGTTCTCAGCTAGGTGCAGATACAGGAGTCAACATACATATGGTGGTTAAAAGCAATGGGACCTGATAGGATCATTCAGGGAGAAAAATAAGGGTTTAGGACAAAAGTCAGAGGATCATACACATTAAAGGGCATGTCCAAGAAAGAGGAGTTTATAGGAACCAACAAAAAACAGTGACCAGAGATATATGAGTAAAAACAGATTATGACTACACAGAAGCCCAAGGAAAAGAAGGCATTTCAAGAAGAAAAAAGGAACACTGGAAAATGATGAAGGTAAAGAAATAGCAAATTAAAAATCTCACTTTATACCACTTAATATTAATCACTTTGAGTATATATCATCCAACGTCTTAAAATTAGGCCTCTGTCATGCCAAGAGCTTCTTTTAAGATTAACCAGATCAATCACTATTACCATCACCCCAAAATCAATCCAAATCAAAGAGGTTTTCAATAAGGAGATTCAAGATCATCCTTATTCTACTCAGAGGTTTCAGGCCCTCATAAGGCTTTGGAAAGGCTAAGGACTCTTATTTTATAATCACTGATTACATTTGAAAGCTAGTTCTAAACATACCTCTTAATTTTTCTCCAACACTGCCATTCCAAGGACTTTCTTTGAGTAAATTTGCAGAACGTGAATAAATATCTGTGGCATGAGGCAACAAGAGCTGAAGATGTTTATGAAGCAATGCCACACTGCTTGAATTCTGAGGGGGAAAAGTTGCTAAATTACTACACTTTAAAAGATTCAAGGTACACAAATGTCATGGCTTAACCAAATATCTGAGTTTCAAGGTCCCTGAGAGATCACCATAAAAGGCAAAGAATCAAATACCTCGCTAATGTTATTGATGTGACAAAATGCCAGCAGCTGTTTCTGCAGTGAACACAGCAGTTCATGAAGATGAGCAGGCTGACTGTTCTCCGAAGATGATGTTCCAAGCAGAAATTTATCACTATTCTTTTCTAGCTCTCCAAATGCTTGATCCTAAAATGATACATAAATGAAGATCATATATGAAGTGCTTGAAAATGAAAGTAAGGTTCTACTATAAATGATTCTGATTTAAGAAGCCATTGCCATCTTTCTTCAATATTATAGATTTTTAAATCATTGCTATGTTGTTATTAGCTATTAGATAAGATTTATCAAAAAATCTCAATTTGTTTTTCCATTAAAGAAACAATACATATTTCACCAAAGAAATTTTGAAAATACAGAAAATAATAGGAAAACAGTACAGTACCCAAAGACAACATATTTCAACATTTTAATGCTATTGTTTTCCAGATTTCTGTAAAGTTTTTGTTTTCACATGTTTGTGAATTTCTAACATCACAATTCTTAAAAAGGAATTTTATTTCTGACTATAAAAGAAATAAGTGGACTAGCACTGGCCAAGTAGCTCACTTGGTTGGAGTGCCGTCCCATACACCAAAAGGTTGTGGTTCCAATTCCCCAGTCATCGGGCGTACAGGAGGCAACCAATCTCTCAATCTCTCTCTCTCTCCCTCCCTCTCTGTCTCAAATCAATTTAAGAAGCATGTCCTCAGATGAAGATTTAAAAAAAAAGTAAAATAAATAAGTGGACTAAGTAGAGATGATAATTAAATACAATATGTGATCCTGGATTGAAAGGGAGCTGATATAAAGGACAATTTAATGGGACAATTATAGAAATTTGAATATGGACTATATATTAGACTAGAGGCCGGGTGCATGAAATTTGTGCCCTGGGGGTGTGGGGGGATCCCTCAGCCCAGCCTGTGCCCTCTCACAGTCCGGGACCCCTCTCTCCTTACCAGCCACCTGCTTGCTGCTCCCTACAGCTCAGCTCGCTGCTCCTTAGTGTTGCCGCAGAGGCTCCCGCCACTGCCGCTGCGCTCACCAGCCATGAGCCCAGCTTCTGGCTGAGCAGCACTCCCCCTGTGGGAGCACACTGACCACCAGGAGGCAGCCCCTACGTTGAGTGTCTGCCCCCTAGTGGTCAGTTCATAGCGACCAGTCATTCCACCATTCGGTCGATTTGCATATTAGGGTGATATTATATAGGATAGTAGTTCTGCATCAATGATAAATTTCTTGAATTCTATAAATGTTCTGTTGTCATGTGAGAGAATGTACTTCTTCTTAAGAAATACATGTTTAAGTGCTTAGGAATAGCCAGCATGACATCTGCAACTTACCTCAAATGATTTAGAAGAAAAAGATCGATAGACAGATAGATAGATAGATAGATAGATAGATAGATAGATAGATAAGGCAAATTTGGGTAAAGAATACACGGAGTTCTTTGAATGATTCTTATAACTCTTGTGTAAGCTTTAAATTATTTCAAGTTTAAAATATTTTTTTAAATGCATAATGTAAAAAATTTAGAAAGTACCAAAACTGTATTTTAAAAAACTTAAAAGCATCATTCAGCCAATCACCCAAAGAAAATCACTATTAATATTTTTGATGTATTTCTTTCCTGATTTTTGTGACTTTTTGATAATATTGCTCATTCTATTTTTACTCTTCTCTTTTCCAACAAATTCACAAATATTATCTACATTTTCATAAACCACCTATATATATAAAACCCTACTATGCAAATAGACCGAATAGCGGAACAACCGAACTGGTCGCTATGACGTGTGCTAACCACCAGGGGGTGCACACAAAACATGGAAGGCATCAGCAGCAGGCAGCAGAGTGTGGAACATGGCAGGCATCAGCCATGGCAGTATGGTGGAGCAGGTGAGCAGGGGCACCACCGTCCAGTGCACCGGTCACTGTCATCCGGGCGAGCCTCTAGTGGTTACTGAAAATTCCTTGCTCCCACATGCCGTGGTCCCACCAGACGTTCACACATGCTGCTGGCACCAGCTCCACACGCATCCACTACTGGCATCAGAGCCGCTGTTCTCATCTACTGCCGGTGCCTGGCTCCGGCCCCAATTGTTTGGTGCCATCAGCAGGTGCGAGTGGCTGGCTGCCGGCCCCAATCGTTCCTCTGGACTTCTCCACCTCCCCCTGCTCCTGAGGGACAATCGGGGACCACAGCCACCTCTTGCACTTGCTGCCGGTGATGGCCCCACTCACACCTGTAGCCGGCGCCAGAGCCGCTGCTCACATGCACTGCCACCGCTGGGTGCCGGTCCCGATCGCTCGGCGCTGTCAGCGGGTGCGAGTGGCGGCTGCCAGCCTCTCAGGGCTTCTCCACCTCCCCCTGCTCGTGAAGGGCAATCAGGGCAGCAATTGCTGCTCACACACATTGACAGCGCTGGCTCCTCTCGCACCCGCTGCTGGCGCAGGCCCCAATCGCTCTGCGCCATCAGCAGGTGTGAGCAAGGCCAGTGCCATCAGCACGAGAGTGGCGGCAGCTGGGCTGCTGACAGAGAGGGGACCAAGGGCCACAGCGGGAGGGGCCGGGCTGGGGCATGGAGGATGGGGCGAGACCCGCCCCTGCGCCCACCGCAGCCTTGTGGCCCACAGTTCCTTTAAAGGTGCACAAATATGTGCACTGGGCCCCTAGTGTATATAAAACTTGAGTTATATAATATTTCATTGAGCATATAAAAATTTGTGCACTCGGGGGGGAGGGGGGATCCCTCAGCCCGGCCTGTGCCCTCTCGCAGTCTGGGACCCCTCGGGAGATAACGACCTGCTGGCTTAGGCCTGCTCCTGGGTGGCAGGGGGCAGGCCTAATCCCTAGGTGCAGCCTCTGGTCGGGCTCAGAGCAGGGCCGATTGGGGAGTTGGGGCGCCGCCCCCTGTCATGCACAGAGCAGGGCGGATTGGGAGGTTGCAATGCCACCCTCAGTCATGCTCAGGGTAGGGCCGATTCGGGGGTTGGGGCACCGCCCCCTGTCACACTCAAGGCAGGGTTGATGGAAAGGTTGCAGCGCCACCCCCTGTCATGCACAGAGCAGGGCCAATCAGGGGGTTGGGGAGCTGCCCCCTGTCACGCACAGAGCAGGGTCAATCAGGGGGTTGGGGAGCTCCCCCCTGTCATGCACAGAGCAGGGCCCATCAGGGGGTTGAGGAGCTCCCCCCTGTCACTCACAGAGTACAGCCGATAGGGGAGTTGGGGCACTGCCCCCTGTCACACACAGAGCAGGGCGATTCAGGGGGTTGGGGCGCTGCCACAGTCACACCCAGGGCAGGGCCAATGGGGAGGTTATGGCTCTACCCCGTCACACACAGAGCAGGGCCCATGGGGTGGGGGTGGGGTTGGGGCGCCACACCCTGTCACACACAGAGCCGCAGGGTGATCAGGGGGTTGGGGAGCTCCCCCTATCAGGCACAGAGCAGGGCTGATCAGGGGGTTGGGACGCCTTCCCCTGTCAGGAACAGAGCAGGGCGGATAGGGAGGTTGTGGCCCCGCCCCCTGTCACACACAGAGCCGCAGGGCAATCAGGGGGTTTGGGCGCTGCCCCCTGTCACGCTGATCCCGGTGCCGGGAGGCCTCGCGGCTCTGCTGATCCCGGTGCTGGGAGGCATATTACCCTTTTACTATATAGAATAGAGGCCTGGTGCATGGGTGGGGGCTGGCTGGTTTGCCCTGAAGGGTGTCCTGGATCAGGGTGGGGGTCCCCACTTGGGTGCCTGGCCAGCCTGGGTGAGGGGATGATGGCTGTTTGCAGCTGGTCACACACCCTTCAGGGTGGGGGTCCCCACTGGGGTGCCTGGCCAGTCTGGGTGAGGTGCTGAGGGCTGTTTTCAGGCTGGGACTGAAGCTCCCAACTGCTCCTTTTTTTCTTTTTTTTTTTTTATTCTGGGCCAGGTTTAGCTCTGGCTCCAGCTCTGAGGCCTCAGCTGCTGAAAGTAGGTATCTGGTTTATTTAGGTTCTATAATCGAAACTCTGTATCAACTCCAGCTCTGAGATCCCAGCCTGCTGAAAGCTGGTTTCTGGGGTTTTGTTTAGCTTCTATATTTGTTACAATGTTTCTTAAACTGCAGGCTCAGAGGCCGGCAAGGCAGGTGGGAAACGGGTTTCATCCGTCACTGAAGCAAGCAAGCCTCATGTTAGTTTCAAGCTGCCTGGCTGCCGGCCGCCATCTTGGCTGGCAGTTAATTTGCATATCGCCCTGATTAGCCAATGGGAAGGGTAGTGGTCGTACGCTAATTACCATGTTTCTCTTTTATTAGATAGGAGATATATATATATATATATATATATATATATATATATCATCATATAATTTAATCATTCCCACATTTTAGACATTTCAGTTGTTTCTAACTTCTTATTATCCTATATAATAAAAGGCTAATATGAAAATTGTACCTACGGGCGGGAGTTTGACCAACCAGGAGTTAGACGTGCGCTGATCACCAGGAGGTGGCGTGGAACATAGCAGGTGTCAGCGACACAGCGCTGGCAGTGGGCGGCAATGGAGGTACTGCCAACCCACATGGGCCCTGACGAGAGCAGGACCGCAGCGGGATGGTGGAGCAGGTGAGCAGGCAGTGCCTGGCTAAGGCGGTTGCGAAGGGAGGCCCCGGCCAGCAGCAGCAGCAGGCAGCCAGGGGAAGGGAGGCCCTGGCGGGCAGCTGCTAGGGACCCTACCCGTGCAATATTTCATGCACTGGGCTTCTAGTTGGTTATAATTAATAATGCAATGAACATCTTTATGCATAATATATGGTCTGTTTACAATATGCAAAAGAGGATCTCAGAACATTTTAAGACCCTTGCAATATAAGCACCATTATAAGCTCCCAAATAAGCACTATTAGAGAGAAACTGACTGTTTGTATCCCCTCAAAATTCATATGTTGAAGGCTAATCTCCCCAAATATTTTAATAATTGGAAGCAGGATCTTTGGAAGGTGAATTGTTGTGAGGGCAGAGCCCTCATGAATGGGATTATGCCCTTACAAAAGAGATCACAGAGAGCTTGCCTGTGTGAGGACACAGGCAAGAAAACCACCCAGTCCTCCAGTGCCTTTGTCCTGGATTTCCCATCTGCAAACTAATTAATAAATTTGTGTTCTTTATAAGGCACCCAGTCCAGGGTACTGATATAGCAGACCAAACAGATTAAGATAATTTATTATTTTAGCCCAAAAGTAGTATTTTATTGCCATGTCCACATAAAATACACATCTACCTTAGCCCTGATGACATAATAAAGGAACTACTTTAATTTAGCATAAATGTTCCTTAAAACTTTGGAAAAAAATTTCAGACAATAACAAGTGGGTATGTGTGTGTGTATATATATGTATGTATGTGTGTGTGTGTGTGTATATATATATATCACTTCCCATTCCACTTATAGTCAAATATCAGGTCAAATTTACATTCTTATATCTGACAGAAAATAATTTATAAGAACAACTATACTCTAATCTAGTCAACAACCTTTTAATGTAGGCAGAACAAAATGCTAAAACTTATATAGAAGGAAAAGAATATACCGACCTGACACTGAAGAGGTCTAGGAAACAATGTGAAAGGATACACAAACAAGTTGAAGTTAAGTTATACAGTACATTTTGACTCTAAAAATTGCTAAAGGGTATGCAGTTATAATGCTATGGTTAGATGGGGTTATTTCGGCAAGGATTCCTAAAATAAGGCGGGGGGTGGGTTGGTAGATGGGAAGATATCAACCAAAGAACTTGTATGCATATATGTATAATCCATGGACACTGACAATAGGGTGGTGAAGGTCTGGGACAGGGGGTGGGGGTGGACCAGAGGGGGTCAATGAGGGAAAAAGGAGACATATGTGATACTTTCAACAATAATGATTGTGTGTTTTTTTAAGTTACAGATTGGTAGACAGAAGAGCAAGCAGAAGATAGGTATGCCATGTGCAGGAGATCAAGAGTGGTATGTAAGCCAAATGATAAAAGGTCTGAAAAAGTTTTAATTTAATACAATCTTGTTTTTTAATAAAACAAGGTTATTCCAGCAGTAGGATACTGAGAAGACACCAATAGTGAAAACAGCTATAACACTACTATTAATATTAGGTCCTGATGGCCTGAGTTAGAACCTATAGAAATGAAAAGAAAAAAAGAGATGGATCTAAGGAACACCACAAAGTAAAAATTAATGGCCCCCTAATACAGGGAAAGCTACAGTGTCCACCTTCTTTTCTCCAGTTGAACAGCCTATTCTTAGTTAGTGCCAATCATATTGTTTAATTATAAGATTATATCTGGTAAAGTCAATCATTATTATACCCATCCTCATTATTCCTCTCTTGCAAAATGTTGTTGACTATTTGTATCTGTTTATTCATTAACATCAAAAAAAAATTTGGTAAAATTCTAAAATAAATCTCTTTGGAATTGTCAATTATAAGTCAGTAGGCAGCCACAATATTTCAGAAGATTTGACATGTTTTTGCCCTATGGAGGAGTGGAATCTAGAGCTTTATTTCATTAGTGTTTAAATGTCAAAATATCTTGACGTAAAGTGATATCTTCCACCTCTAAAAACAAAGAAAAAAATAAGAGCTTCATTATTATTATTATTATTTTAACCACACACAAAAAAGAACTTACTGTATAAAATCCTAAATTCCTTAAGAGAGTCTTCATCAAAATTTCAGCTAGATGGGTGTCTGGATGGCAGCTCTGAGTGCCATAAGGTTGATCTGGCAGGTTTCCGTAGCCAGTACACACAGAAGAGAGGTCAGCAGCATCAGAGGGTGAACTATAGCCAAGTAAGGAGGCTACATGGGTATGATCTTGCAAACTTGTCAGAATGATATCCAGTTGCATTCTCTAAAGAAAAATATTTCCATTGATAAAATAGGAATTAGCTTAAAACTCACTAGAAAAAAAAAGATCCCAGAAAAAAACTATACTAATGATGCTAAATAATCTACTTCATATTCTGATTAACAATAATCTTTTAGCAAATAAGTAATCAAAAGAAAAGCTATCTGGCCCTGGCTGGTGTGGCTCAGTGAGTTGGAGCATCATCCCATACACCAAAAGGTAGCAGGTTCGGTTTCCAGTCGGGGCACATGTGGGAGGCAACTCTTCAATGTTTCCCTCTCACATCGATGTTTCTCCCTCCCTACCTTTCTCTTTTCCTCTCTCTGAAAAAAAAAAAAAGAAAGAAAGAAAAATTTAAAAAAGAAAAGCTATCCCATTAATACCACTTGGGAAAATGCAACTTAGAGTTTTATTCCATTCTTTATTATAAAACCTAAAACTCTAAGCTAAAATGGCATACTCTGCATAATGATTTTAGCACTGTACATAGAAAGGAGTCAGAAACGTCAACAAATAAACTATACTACACATTCTTCTACAGAATTACCAATGAAACTATTTATTCTAACGTTTAAAATATGTAACTGAAACCTAAGCTAATGCAAAATACTCATTGCAAGGCACCTGTGAATATTACATTACAAGGACGCACCATTTTCCCCAGACATGTTTAACTCTACAATTGATTGTTCTACTTGATTAAGCAAAATGTACTTACTTTAATGTACAGAAGATATTAAAAAAAAGAAAAGAATACGCACACTCATATCATCAAATACTTTTTCATAATAGTCATCTTTTACTTTTTATGTAAGCAATTTCAGACAAAGTTCTGGGCATGGAATCAATAATAGTGCATGCCCTTGATTTCAACTCAGTACATTACAAATAAACTAAAAGGTCTCTGATTTGAAAGTGTAAGCAACACTGGAAAAATTAGCCATAATTTTAATAATTACCCCCATAATTTAATAAGTTATCATTTACTTCACCTTCATTAGAAATCTGGGAACTCAACCAGCAGAAAACATTAAATACAAGGATTCACCAGAACCATCAAGTTAAGTGCACTATTATTTCATAAACACAAGGCAATCGATTAGTTTTATTTTTCTCTCTCTGTGCTTTGTATGTGATATTACTGGTTTACTTAGATACCATGCAGAAGCTCACCTGTCCTTTGGATAAGCTTTCCCATCTATCAGGTCCTTGGGGTAAAAGAGAATGAAGTAACTCCATACGTTCTCGTAATGGAGGTAATAGCATGGTTGCTCCCACTGACAGAGTTTCAATTACCACCTAGTATTAAAAAAGAAAAGTGTATTTATTGGCTTGGTTCTTACCTTTTTAATAAATAAGATAAATTAAATCCACTGATATTAGGATCACAGAAATCACAGAAAGTGGATCATGGAAATCTAAATAAAAGTTATGTGAAAAAAGAAAGCATGCAAGTCCTTATTTAAATGTCTTTAAGAAGACCAGAATACATATTTTCGATTTGCCACTAAATAATCATCATCCAACAAATATTTAGTGTTGAATACAGCATTGGGCCTCGTAAGGCTCTCTGCAAAGTTGAGCAAAACTCCTGAAGTGTCCCAATTATGAAAGATAAGGAACTGTAACAGAGTGCAGGAGACTAAGGAGAAATAACAATTAAATGCAAAACGGGATCCTAGATAGGATCCTACAAAAGAACAAGGACATTAGTGGAAAACTGATATAATTTCTAATAAGGTTTTTAGTTTAATTAATAGTATTAAGCCAATGAAATTTCTAGGGTTTGATCACTGTACTGTGGTTATATAAAGACATTAGTATTAGGGGAAGCTGGGTGACAGATACATGAAAATCCTATTATTTATGCAACTTTTCCTTAAGTCTACAATTGGTTCAAAATATAGCACTAAAAAAGAAAGAAACAAAACACAGCAACAGTGATTGCTGAAAACAGATAAATTATTAGAAGTTTCGGGGAGAAGGAAAAAGGAATACAAACATTCCTCAACAGAAACAGCCTTATGCACACCCTGGGAGAATCCATCTCCTAAGAACTCTCCTAACACAGAGTAGCTACCAAGGAGGCTCAAGGAATAAATAAACGATTCTAAGGATTTTTTTTTAAGTTAACTTTCTTTACTTTATTCCAATACTTATCAACCTTTAAAAAAATATTTCACTACTTATTGCTGATATTAAATTCTCAGTTTCACGTTAATGTTAACACTCCTACCTACTACATCCCAGCGACATGCCCCTGCAGCAGAAAAATCACCATCTTTTTTGTTTTATTTTAAACTGACATGTAAGTCACATGTCATAAAATTCCTGCATGCCCCCCCACTGGGGATTGAGCCTGAAACCAGGGTATGTACCCTGACCAGGAATCAAACCCTGATCTCCTGGTTCACAGGTTGACGCTCAACCACTGAGCCATGCCGAAAGGGCTAAATTCACCTTTTTTTTAAAAAAAATTATCACCCAAGGATATGTTTTTATTGATTTTTCAGAGAGAGGGGGGGAGAAAGAGGGGGAGAAATCAATTGATTGCCTCCCATACATGCACCGACTGGGGGTTGAACCCACAACCTAGGTATATGCCCTGACTGGGAATCGAATTTGCAACCTTTTGATGCATGGGACAATGATCCAACCAACTGAACCAACGGGCCAGGACTCACCTTTTGAAAGTATGAAATTCAGTGGTTTTTAGTATATTCAGAGTTGAACAACCATCACCACTAATTTTAGAAAATTTTGTCATCACCCAAACAAAGAAACTCTGAGCCCATTAGTAGTCACTCCTCATCTCTCCCTCCCTCAAACCCCTAACAACCAACTAATCTATTTTCTATCTCTATGAATTTGCTTACCCTGAACATTTCATGTATATGGAAACATACAACATGTGGCCTTTTGTATATGGCTTTTTTCATTTAGCATACTGTTTACTAGGTTCAGTCACATTGTAACGTGTCAGTTTTTCATTTCTTTTTATAGCTGAGTAATATTACATTTTGTTTATCCACCATTTAACAGACATTTGTTTATTTCTACTTTTTGGCTATTACAAATAACTAGAGGCCCAGTGCACAAAATTTGTGCACGGGGGGGGGGATGTCCCTCAGCACAGCCTGCACCCTCTCCAATTTGGGACCCTTTGGGGGATGTTCAACTGCTGGTTTATGCCTAAACTGGCAGTCAGACATCCCTCTCACAATCCAGGACTGCTGTCTCCTAACCACTCGCCTGCCAGCCTGATCGCCCCCTAACTGCTCCCCTGCTGGCCTGATTGACACCTAACTGCTACCCTGCCAGCCTGATTGCCCCCAACTGCCCTCCCCTATGGGCACGATTGCCCCCAACTTCCCTCCCCTACGGGCACGATTGCCCCCAACTGCTCTCACCTGCCAGCCTGATCACCCCCAACTGCCCTCCCCTGCTGGCCTGGTCCCCCGCAACTGCCCTACCCTACCAGCCTGATCTCGCCCCTAACAGCCCTCCCCTACCAGCCTGATGGCCCCTAACTGCCCTCCCCTGCCAACCTGGTCGCACCCAACTGCCCTCCCCTGCTGACCTGTCACACCCAATTGCCCTCCCATGCTGGCCTGATCTTGCCCCTAACTGCTCTCCCCTGCCTGCCCTCCCCTGCTGGCCTGTTCGCCCCCAACTGCCTCCCTGCCAGGCTGGTCATCCCCAACTGCCCGCCCCAACCCCCCCCCGCCGACCTGGTCACCCCTCGCAGCCTGCTGTTCAGTCGTTTGGTCGTCCCTTACTAACCCTCCTGCCAACCGGGTCATCCCATGCAGCCTGCTGTTTAGTCGTTTGGTCATCCCTCACTAATACCCTCCCCCTGTTGGCCTTGTCGACCCAAGCAGCCTGCTGTTTGGTCGTTATATTGTGATGGCATCCCAGACAATTTGCATATTCCTTTATTAGTAGTATAGATATTGCTATAAACATTCTTGTACACATTTTTGCACGGACATGTTTTCAGTTTCCATGGGTATAGATCTAGGTGTGGAATTGCTGCATTACATAGTAACTCTATGTGTAACTAAGAGAATACCTGTTTTCCAAAGTAGGTGTTCCATTTTACATTCCCACCAGGGTTCCAATTTCTCTACATCCTCACCAATATTTATCATTGTCAGTCTTTTTTATTATAGCCTTCTAGTGGGTATGAAGCATATCTCATGTGGTTTTTATTTGCATTTCCCTAATGACTTACAATGTATATTTTTTCATGTTTTTATTGACTATATTTATATCTTTGGAGACACAACTACTCAGATTCTTTGTTCATTTTTTTTAAATTGGGTTATCTTTTTTATTGTTGAGTTGTAAGAATCCTTTACATATTCAAAAACTAGCTTATCAGACATATGATTTACAAATATTTCTCCCATTCTGTAAATTATATTTTTATTTTCTTGATAATGTCCTTTGAAGCATAAATGTTTTTCATTTTAATGAAGTCCAATTTACCTTTTATTCTTTAGTTGCTTGTGCTTTGGCTAAGAAATCAGTGTCTAAACTAAGGTCATAAATATGATGGATGAATGGGTGAGCAAAATGTGGTATATACATAAAACAGAAGGTTATCCAGCCTTAAAAAAGAAGTAAACACTGCCATATGCTACAACACAGATGAACCTTGAAGACATTGTAATAAATGAAACAAGCTAGTCATGAATAGACAAACAGTATATGATTCCACTTATAAGACACACCTAGCATACCAAGTCATAGAGACAAAAAGTAGAATGGTAATTGCCAGGAGCTTGAGGGAGGGAAAATGGGAAGTTATTAAACATGGATATAGAATTTCAATTTTACAAAATGAAAAGTTATGGAGATGGATGGTGGTAATAGCTGTACAACATTATGAATGTATTTAATGCCACTGAACTGTACACTTAAAAAATAGTTAAGATGGTAAATTTTATATTATATGTATTTTACCATAATAAAAAATAAACTAGGTCATTGTCCTCATAAATTCATTTTCTGGTGCTCAAAAACAGGCATGTTTATAAATAGACAACTTCAATACAATGCCTTACAATGAGAACACATATAAGAGAAACCTAACCTGGCAGGATAGCAGGGACTGAAAGGGTTTCTCAGAAATGACATTTGAGCTCTATTTTAAAGGTCAGATTGACCAAAAACATTTGTTCTCCCAAGAAAATAGGAGTAGGGGAAAGAACATCCAACTGAAGTTTCCTAAGATATAGTTGAATTTATAAGCTACAACCTCAGAGAAAAATGTGCCTTGAGATACAGATTCATGAGTCCTATACTCTTACCTCTTGGATTTCATCTGGGACAGTTGAGTCCATCAGTCTGAAGAGCAAATTTCGAAGTGGACCTGCCTGTCTCCCAAGAATGCTGGTAGCTACCCCTCCCGCAAGTGCAAGAGCAAGGTGATTTGATAGCAGCTTCAGGCACAGCTTGAGGAAACTATGGTGTTCCCTGAAATCAAATAAACTGCAGTGAACTTTTGGAACATAAAGAGCATGTGCTTTCCAGTTTCAGTAACATTTTTTTCTCTTCAAAAATTTTGTGAAATTATGACCAACAGTAATTTTTAAAACATGATTCATGAAATTATGGGTAACTCTCCAGAAAGATTATTATCAACAAGTATCTAAAGTTTAGCTCTTTTTTAGATTGTAAAGAATTTCATATAATTGAGAGGAAAATCAAACAAGAAAGAATAGTAAGTCAAAACTCTGGGGAGAGGTCAATGGGGGAAAAAGGAGACCTATGTAATACTTTAAACCAGCATTCGCCAACTAGTAGTCCATGAGGTCCAAAAGGTTGGCGACTGCTGGTTTAAGGAAACCTTAGGAGCAGCGTCACCAACCGGTGGTCCACAGACCACTGGCGGTCCATGAGGTCCTAAAGGTTGGCAACCACTACTTTAAACAACAAAGAATTAAAAAAATAAATTCATCCAGCATTCCAAAAATAAAAAGAAAATAAGTCAAAACTTGAAATGAGTAATTAATAGACATGCACGTGCGCACACACAAATATACATATACAGAACATACCTTGATGAAGGGAAAGGGAGTGGGGGAATCTCACTGTTTATTTTATCACAGTATCTCTCAAGAAAAGAACGCAGGTGTGAGAAGGTACTCTCTTCAAGATCTACACAATAAGGTCGGTGCCATGCAACAACTTGTCTAGAAAAAAGCATTAAGAAAAATCATGGAACCGCCTTAACATAAAATTATTACACATGATCAAAAAAAAAATCTAAACCATTACTAAAGCTGAAAGTTTCAACAAGATACACAGAAAACTTTCTTGATTATGAAGGTGATAAAACCCTTCATTTTAGCAACTGAGGAAAACCAAGAATTGGCCATCCCTAGAGTTCTTCAAGAAGAAAATATATAACCACCATCTGTTTTGTAAGGTTTGGATATTCACTCACCTGAAGGCAGAAGGCTGAGACACATGATCTACTATAACCCCTTCTAAGGGTCTATAAAATGTTTATTTCATTTTAAGAAACATAGCCTGACTCTATACAGTGACATACTGACATCTATTAAAAGAAAAACTCCTAAAAACTCTTGTGAAGATTTTCAAGATCTTGGAAACAAACTACCTACATATAAAATGGGAAGTTGCAGAGTTAATACTAATATAAATTATTTATATTAAATTTATTATACTTTTGGGCTTTTGTTTTAGAGGGTATAAATGTATTTAATTGGTTACAATGTCATAAAAAACCCCAACTGAATCAAAGGTCTAGAATGCAAATACAGTTGACCATTGAACAATGCAGGGGTTACAGGTGCTGACTCTCTACCCAAGTGCAGTAAAAAATCCATGTAGAACTTTTGAATCCCCAAAAACTTAACTGTAGTTGTCCCTCAGTATCTGCACAGGATTGGTTGTAGGACACATCCGCGGCCTCCCTGCCCCTTGTGAATACCAAAATCCGCAGGTACTCATGTCCCCTATATAAAATGGCAGAGAAAAATGCATACAGTTGGGCCAACTTCCACAGATTCCCAGCCACAGATTGAAAACTACTGTTTTCAATCTGCAGTTGACTGAATTCGTGGATGCAAAATGCACAGATATGGAGGACTGGCTGTATATTTATTGGGAAAAAATCTGTGTATGTATAAGTGGACCAGCACAGTTCAAAGCCATGTTGTTCAAGGGTCAACTGTGTAATGCATTCTAGGTTGTAAATTAGCCCACATGCATCTAAAAATATCTGAAACAACCCTCAAATTCCTTAAAATCCAATCTCCTAATATTGGCTAAAAGTCACCAACCCAATTAAACAGATCTATGTTTATTATCACTTCACAAAAAAGCTAAATTTCTGCAAAAAGTAACTTATTTTATTTAAAAGTCTGGCAACTACTCTTTCCAAAAAACCAACCAGATAAAGGGTACAGAGGCTAATTAATTATTTAAATCAATTAAGCCTACTTCTGGTTTTGATTATTTTAATATAATTTCCTGTTGATACTTATACATTAAATTTTAAAATAATTATCTGGGCCCGGCCAGTGTGACTCAATGGTTGAGCATTAACCCATGAACCAGGGAGTCATGGTTCACTAACAGGTCAGGGCACATGCCCAGGTTGTGGGCTCTATCCCCAGTAGGGGGTGTGCAGGAGGCAGTCGATCAGTGATTATCTCTCATCACTGATGTTTCTATTTCTCTCCCTTTCTCTCTCTGAAATAAAACATTTTTTTTTTAATCATTATCTGGACACAGAAGAAATTCAAAATGTTTAGAAGACAAATTAAGAAAATATCTTAAATACAGGGGATAACCTCATGCTTATAAAACATATCTAACCCCAATATTCAAATGGAAAGAAATCTAATGTCAACTTACGATAATAAAAAAACAATACTAAAAATGTTCAGAAGGGTATTTTATAAACAAAGCACAATTATTTCTGATTTTACTAGTGCTTCTACTGTTATTAAAACACAAAATTTTTTAAATGTGGCCACTCTTACCTGTCTCTAGGAAGAGCAGTCCATGCCAGACTATGTGATGTTCCAGCAGAGATCTGCTGAATAGCTATGCCATCTAAGCCACTCACTTTCTTTGGTTTAGTAATAGGGCCTGTGGAATTTCCTTGTCCACACTGCCCCATGGAGTTATTGCCCCAGGCATAAACTTCATTATCTAAAAACAAAACACAAAGAACAAAAGAAAAGCCCAATTTAAATGTAATGTATTTGTGGAAGGTGATAGTTAATACTATTTCTTAAAAACAAATGACTTTACCATGAGAAAGAGCCAAACAATGACTGTCTCCAATAGAAATATCAACTATTCTGGTGGCAGCCAGTTCTTCAATAAGCTTGGGTCTCAAAGCTGTAGCTTCTGAAGAACCACAACCTAGACAAGCTCCACAGCCCCAAGCATAGACCTGAAACAAATAGAAATACACTACACATAATAACCTGAGAAATTAGGAATAAATATCATAAAGAACAGTGTGGTTTAATACTAAATAATAACTTCATTGTTAAAAATAGTATTTATTGTTTTGATTCTTTTAAAGATGCTTATAGTAATTTATTTTGCTGTTTTTAAAAGTTCATTATACAGGCAGACAAAAACCTGAGCTGAAAGAAAAATAATTGGTCATAAAAAAAACATATAGAATGATCTTCTGAGAGATCCTGCCAAAGCTACTTATTGGCTTGCATTGTGTTATATTTGCCCAAGCTTAGTAGCTTAGAAATACTGTTGCTATCTTAAAACTTCTCCTTTACATGTTTTTTACATTGAAAGTCCCAACAAATATTGTGTTGACTAGACCAAGATGTGATCATATAAAAAAAATTCTATAAATCACAAAACTGCCATTTATGATTTAGTTGAAAAATACCTTATCTCATTGTGATAACAATTTTAATTACCACTTAGAAAGAGGATCATGTGAAACAAACATCTTTATTTTTGACTAATACTGATTAAAGATGTTTGAGGGAAATATGAGGTGAAAAATATGGAATATAAAAGAATAAACGACTGCCAATTTGGCAACCCAAAATCAAAATAATCAGCAAACTGAACAACTTCTTTTCTTTCAATGGGTCTTATAGACTCTTATATTTGTGCCATCAAGTTTGGGAATTATTTTGTCTTGCAATTATTTCAGGAAAGACTACTGAGAGGTTAAACCTCTTCAACAAAAAAATGAAGAGCAAATACTTGTACCAGTTGCCAGAAAACTTATTTAAGTATAGAATGCCACATAATTCCAGTACAAGAAAGGCTTGTTAGGAGGGGTTAGGAACTAAAGATAAATAAATTGATAAAATATATAGCCAATGTCATTGAAAATCTAAATCATTCAAATACAATATAATACTGTCACTCATTAAGACCCACACAGCTGTGCTCTCCCTCTCAGGAGCACAGCGTGCCTGTGCCTGCCCCCCTTCCCCACACCCCCCCCAAAAAAAGACTCACATAGCTAAGTTTTGCTACTGCAGTATTCCTTTGCTTGAACACAAGATGAAGAACTACTTGGCTTGCATACATACTGTATTTTTCAACACAAGAATCATACTTAATATGGTGGTGAGTTAGCACTGAAGAGGCCTAAGGGACTGAGATGAACCAAGGAAAAAGTAGATATTCATTTCATACTCAGCAAGTAGTATAATGGTAAACAGAACTACCCTTACCATTCAAAAGTATCTCTCTCACTTTATTTTTTTCTCAGTTTATGTATTTGACTTCACATAACTTAGTGTACTCATAGTGCAAATAATTTACACTTTTCTTTGGAATTTAATGTACTGAATTTATTACTATTATTATATTATTAGAGGCCCGGGGCACAAATTCGTGTATCAGTGGGGTCCCTCGGCCTGGCCTGTGGGATCAGGCCAAAACTGGCTCTCTGACATCCCATGAGGCGTCCCAGATCGCAAGAGGGTGCAGGCCAGGCCGAGGGACCCCACCAGTGCACGATCAGGGCCAGGGAGGGATGCGGGAGGTTGGCCAGCCAGGGATGAACCACAGAAGGGCTCCAGGGCATGTCCGGCCCATCTCGCTCCTCCTGATCGGCCAGACCCCAGCAGCAAGCTAACCTACCGGTTGGAGCATCTAACCCCTGGTAGTCAGTGCACGTCAGAGCAAGCGGTTGAGCGGCCTTAGCATATCAGCATATTACACTTTGATTAGTTGAACGGACGACCGAACAACCAGACACTTAGCATATTAGGCTTTTATTATATAGGAGGATTAGCGACTAGTAGTTAAACAGTACTTCTTGGTTTATAGAAACTTTCCATTCAAATAATTGCTGTTTATGATCATTTGTAAGCAAAGCAGAAACTATTACCCCTCTCTTGCAAAAGAAGCATTGATACTCAAGGGAGGTCGGTGATTTATTTGCCTGTGGTTATACAACAAATAAATGAGCATCTTCTGGCTTCAGTTCATTGATTCTTAGCACAAAACTCTCAGTGAGAAAGATGTAAAACAGAAGTTTTAAGTTTTAAGGTAGCAACCAGCATTATAACAAACTAGAGGCCCGGTGCATGAAAATTCATGCACTGGAGGGGGGGGTCCCTCAGCCCAGCCTGCCCCCTCTCACAGTCCGGGAGCCCTCAGGGCGGGAGGCGACCCGGTGATCAGGGGAAGGCAACACCCCCATCACACCTCTGCTGCTGCCACTGCCAGCAGCACAAGCCCCAGTCGGCCCTGGTTACCTGAGCCTCGGGCAGCCACCATCCGAGGCTTGCCTGCACCTCGAGCTGGCCCTGGGTGGCTGGGGGCTGAGGGGACTGGGCACCACCATCTTGTGGCTGTGGGCACCACCAACTTTTTGTGGCGTGGCAGTCAATTAGCATATTCCCTCCTTATTGGCTGTGGGTGCCACCATCTTTGCAACAGCGTGAGGGTCAATTAGCATATTCCTTCGTTATTAGATAGGATAACTAATGTAGTGAAGTACAAGGTGATAGTTTGAGGTAGATTTTTTAAAGTTTATTGATTGTTTTTTTTTAGAGAGAAAGAGGGAGAGCAGGGCTAAAGAGAGAAGAAGAGAAGAGAGGGGAGAGGGGGAGAAGGGGAGGGAGAGAGGAGGAGAGGGAGAGAGAGAGGGAGAGGGAGAGGGAGAGGGAGAGGGAGAGGGAGAGGGAGAGAGAGAGAAAGAAACATAGATCTGTTGCTCCACTTATTTATGTACTCACTAGGGGCGCGGTGCACGAAATTAGTGCACGGGTGTGTGTGTGTGTGTGTGTGTGTGTGTGTGTTTCCCTCAGCCTGACCTGCACCCTCTCCAATCCAGGAGCCCTCAGAGGATGTCCTACTGATGCCTTAGGCCCGCTCCTCATGGTTCTCTGCTCTCTGCAGCGCCTGCCTGCTCCACACTGCAGCGACGGCCAAGCAGGCTGTCCTGGGTGCTGCCTGCAGGCTACACTTGCCTGCTCCTGGGTTGCCGCAGCGATGGCCAAGCAGGCCGTGCTGTGCTGGGAGCTGCTTCCTCTCTGCTGTCAGTCTCTACAGAGGCGATGAGGTTAATTTGTATGCTCACTCCTGATTGGCTGGTGGGCATCACGAAGGTATGGTCAATTTGCATCTTTCTCTTTTATTAGTGTAGATTGGTTGATTCTTATATGTGCCCTGACTGGGGATAGAGCCCGCAACCTTGGTGTAAGGGGATGACATTCTAACCAACTGAGCTAACCGGCCAGGGCATGAGGTAGGTATTTTAGGACACAAGGCATTCAAGTCTCTCAAAAAAAATTTTTTAGTTATATGTTAATTTCCACTTTGCTGCTTATCTGCCTTTTGATTTAGTTAGAAAACATTTTTATAACACTACCTGGCACATAAGGGATTCCTATATGTGAGAGAATGTGTGGTTAGAGCTCCCTTTTCCATTGTCATTGCTGATGAATGTAAGCAGGAAATTACTGTCAGTCTATCACCATACCAGGAACCTTTCCATCACCAACAAACAAAGGGAAGTCAAGATACTCATGTATAAGTTCAAAAGTTTATAAAGGGCTTATAAAATTCTGACTATCCTAAGCCTGACTAACCCTTTCTCGGGACACCTAAACCTCTCAGATTATTTTCCGTATGAAAATGTTCTCCTTACCCTCTCTTTTGATCACCTTCTTGCTTTGTTAGTTAGTTCATATCACTGGTTCCAGCAAGAGCTAGTCTCTCTTTCCCCCCACTATCCATGATTTTTAGGAAAACACTTAAGTGGTAAAAGGTTTTACAAAAGCATCTTAATACAAAGAACAGGGCTAAGGGCAGGTTTACCTGGGTCACACAGGCCAGTTCAGAAAAACTGATTCCTTCTCAGATATTGTACTTCAAACAGGAGAAAATACATATGTTTTAAATGTATTTTTTAACTTTAAAATTTAAATTACTTTTTAGTCATCTAGTTCTAGGAAATGATCTAAACCTTCATGCTCATCCCTTAGTCTTACCTGCCCTGTTGATGTCAAAGAAAGTGAAGACTGGCTCCCAGCACAAACTTTGCGTATGAACATTCCTTGTAAAGCTTCAATAACTTTAGGTTTATACACCCTGTTGGTATCACCATGGCCAAGTTTGCCTATGAAAACAAACACATTCAAGTTAAATAATTTGTTTTAAAGAACCTCTATTCTTGCAATTAAAACCACTTTAAGTTAGATATAGACAATTATTTTTTCTGTTTTTCTCTCCTTTTATAGTGATATTTCTAACTTCAAATTTGCTGATATACTAAATAGCTCCTATATTAGAGTGCATATGAAATAATTGTTTTTAATTTTTGAAAAGATTTAATAGTTCATGAACTAGAAAACTTGGCAAATCACTAAAGAAGAAAAACAAATGGCTAACATATATTCAACCTTACTAAGAACCAAAGAAATGCAATTAAAATATTATTTTCACTATTGAAATAATGTTTTAAATTATCTTACTTTAATACCTAGTGGGGTATTAAAGAATATGGGGAAAGGGGCATTCTCACATTGCTGACAGGAGTGACTAAGTAAAATGGACAAAGATTTAGTCATTCATTGTACTGTTTTTAATACTGAAAAAAAAAATGGAAACTCTCTACTCAATAATAAACTAGTTTTATCAGTTGTGCTACAATCGCATGAAAGAACACTTTGAGCCATTTAAAAGAAAAATGTAGAGCCATGCTTGTTGACATAGAAAGATATTCATAAAATACTGTTAGATAAAAACCAGCACGTTATTAAATAATATCTACGGTAAATATAGGCCTGCTTTGGTTTTTAAAAGACATCTGTGCAGCAATATATAGTATGTACAAATTTGTGTAAATGCATACATATTTAGATGTCTATCTACCAGTTTTAACAATGGTTATAGCAACATTTGTAGAAACAATTCATTTTAGGTTTTTTAATTTCTGCCATCAGTATTTGGTTTTTCTACAATAGACATGTACAACTGAAAAATAATTTTTAAACATCTCAGGAAAAAAGGCCAAAGTAATCAACCAATAAATATTTACATACCATTGTCTCCTCCTCCAAACGACCATACAGTTCTCCCATCTTTAGATAAAGCAATAGTATGTGAACTGCCACAAGAAACTTCTCCTACATTACTAATGTCTTTTACTAATGTTGGAATGTTACGGCTATTACTGTCACCGTGACCTTGGTAAAACACAACAAAAAAGAAATGTTAACTCTTCTTCTTTTGGCCATTACTTCACAGCTGGAATACACATTACAAAATAATAGAACTGATGCATTTTTAAGTACAGATAAATATGAAAAACAGAATCATTTCTATCATCTTCTCTCATCAAATCTTCTAGACAACTCCCAAACTGTGTCACCCAGTCTGCCAATGACTCATTAGGACATTCTATTTATGCTCCTCTCATATAGCACTTTGTCAAATGCTGTCTAGTATCATGCTCATATTGATTTGTTTTCCCTTCCCACTAAATTATACACACCAAGATGATGATGGTATCTTTCTTATCACTGAAATCCTACAGTGCCTGCTCATAGTATACACTCAGTAAATACTTGATAGATTTCATTACATTTTCAAATTTTAGCACCAAAATCTAGGTATTCTGTATATAAACTTATCTTCCTCTGAACTTAAAAAAATAACAAAATAAATTACAGTCTTTGGCCTATTAATTCTAGTCTCACTCAATAACCATCATCATTTCTATTTTTCTATGAGAATAATTTCAATAAAAAATGTTACCTAATCTTCCAAAGTCTCCTTCACCCCATGTGTACAGTTCGCCATCCTCTGTTACAGCAGCGCTATGTCTGTACCCAGCCGACACACAAACAACTACCTGCATTGCACACAAAGTGAATTTGATGAACACGAAGATGAAAAAACATATAGTTCATATTTGACCCCATATGAAGAAACTTCAAAGATACTGATATTCACAACTCATCCAGGACAAGGCTGCCTGGCTAAAGGGTCAAGAAGGTGCTGAAATACGTTCTGTATTTTAGAGCAATGGCTATATGCTCTACATTGGCCAGGCCACAAACCCTGGTTTCCACCCAAAGGAGAGGACAATTTTTCTTAATTCAATTCACACAAAGGCAGTGTAAAAGCTAGCAACTCCCCCAACCCCAAATATATCAATCAATTACTTGCAAGAATATTATATCACTACTCAAGTCTTTACTCAAAGAGTTGGAGAGGGCTAAATACTCATGGAACAACACAACAAAAAAGTTTAAATAAACCATTAAAATAAAACCTCCAAACCTGGCTAATCAAATAAAACTCATTATATAATAGGAATAACTCTCAAAAACACACTATTACCAATGCAGAAAGATCTAAGCAATATATAAGCTTACATTAATGAAACTCCTGACAGTAGGGTAAAAACTTGGTGAGTAAAAATTAGGGGAATAAAGGCATATACCAATATATTTTGGGGACCACTCATACCTTCTAACACTGATCAAAATCACTGACTACTTAATAAAGATACACAGGAAAAAAATCTATACCAATAACTCCGTATCTTTTCAATTTCTAGTTTGTCTAATATAAAAAATTAGAACTAATTTAAAAAAATTATAATTAAGGAAGAAAGGAGGTACAAAGACTAGGAATATACAACTTCAAATAGTGTTTATCTGAAGTTCCTTAGAGCCCTATATTCAACATCTTATCAAGTATCCCCTGATATTGTCAAGTGGAATATTCCAAAGGTCACTACTTGGGGGTTGATGTCTAAATTAAACTACTGAAAGTTACATTAAACTAAAATTCATTTGATTAGCCAACCTTGTCAACCAACCTCCCATGAAGGAAAAGTGTCCTACATGTAATTCAGATATAAAATTAAAACTTAGCCCTAGCCAGTTTGGCTCAGCAGATATACTGTCCATCTGTGGACTGAAGGGTCTCAGGTTCGATTCCGGTCCAGGGCTCGTACCTAGGTTGCAGGCTCAACCCCTAGCCCTGGTCAGGGTGTGGGTGGGAGGCAATCAATCCATGTGTCTCTCTCACATCGACGTTTCTCTCACTCTGTCTCTCCCCATCCCTTCCACTCTCTCTAAAAAATCAATGGAAAAATATCCTCCGGTGAGGATTAACAACAACAACAAAAAAATTGAAACTTAAACATTAAGAGATTTCTATGTGAGGAAACTTTCATGGGAAGAATACAATTTTAAAATGGTGAGACCCATATAAATGCATATAATTATATACTAAGGAAGGAGATTTAGGTTTAGTGTTTATTTTTGTGTGACCTTGGGCAAGTTACTTAGCCACTTCAAAAGCCTGTCAAATTTCAGTGGGAAGGCAGGGGAGGGTTGGGGGGGCGGGCGGTAAGAGATCAACCAAAGGACTTGTATGCATGCATATAAGCATAAACAATGGACACAGACACTAAAGGGGTGAGGACATGGGGGGTTGGGGGAGGCGTGGGGCGGTGGTGGCCAGGGGGAGATCAATGGGGGAAAAAGGAGACATATGTAATATTATATATGATACTTTAAACAATAAAATAAAAAATTTAAAAAATATACAAAAATATGTATATAAATATACTATATATTTGAAATAATTTTGAAAAATATTTTCTCTCAAAATTCTTAGTTACAAATGCTGTTTTAAATCTTTCTGAAAATGAATTTATTTAAAATGTGAATCATTTTATACTGCAGGATTTGTATATATAATGTTTCTTGTAAAGTATGAAACAAAATCTTTTTTTTTTTTTACAAAAAAAAACAAACTCAGAGATCAGAAAAAGTTAACATATGAAATGACAATTTCAATATTATTTTCATAAAAGCAAGCTTTTCTTATTAAACTTTTAGGATGGATTTAAGATGCATAAAGCAGAAACCAGGGATATTATAACTATGACAGCACATAATTTGGGGACCTAATAAAACTGCAGACCCTGGAAAAAAAAAAGCCTCAAGTAAGTTTCTGTTAAGATGCTACTTCCTCCAAGAGAACTCTGACCTAATTATCTAATATCACACACCTCACCCAAGTTAGTATCTATTACATTACTCAATTTTCCTTTACTATTATTTGAAATTATTTTATCTGTTTGTTTACTTATTTATTATCTTTATCCCACAGATTAAAGCTCCATGAGAGCAAGGGCCTGAAATTCCTTAGAGCCCCATATTCAGTTCCCTTACCTGTGAAATGAGAAAAACTACCTGAATAAGGTTATATAAGAATTAAAATTAAATAATATATGCGAAAATGTTTTGTAAATCATAAAAGAATTATACAAAAGATAAGCCAAAGAGCTGGGGGCAACGCAACTTCAGAAGGAACACAACAAAATCTGAAAGAGCACCAGTGCATCTAATTATTTTTTTAAGTTAAAAAAGAAAACACATACCTTTCCTTGAAGAGGGCCCTGAATAAGCTTGGGATATTTCTGTGTTGAACTATTTCCATGTCCCAGTTTCCCATAATCACCATCTCCCCAACTGAAGACTTCTCCTTCTGTGGTAAAAGCTAAAGTGTGACCATCAGATCCTTTGGAAGATGAAACCTTTTTAATGGACCTGTGAGGCTCAAATGTTAACTTTTTTAAGGTAGACTGATTATTAGAATCTCCAAGGCCCAGTCTCCCATAGCTGCCTTTACCACAAGCTCTGACAGAGCCATCCGTAGAAATGACAAAAGTGCAGTATTGTCCAGCTTCAATCTATAAGCAAACAAATAGAAATGTAAATATAAAATGCTTCTGTTAGAAACAATGTGTTAACATTTAAGGCTGGTTTTTACCAAAGAGGCTCAAAAGCAGTCTTTTAAAGCCAACTAGGGCATGGATCTTCATAGTGATTGAAAAGTAAATAGAAAATTAAGAAACCCATTAATGGCCTTTTCACATTGCCTTTGTTGTGCTCAGATTAACATATATTTATCTTTCCAGGTTATTTACCTGGTCATGGTTCAATGAAACAACAAAGTAAAATGTTGTTTCTTAAAGGATAAAAAATAAAATGTTCCTATAAATTTCTTAGGTTCCATTATAGAACCATATATATTCTAAATTCATTTTAAAATGTCTTAATGAAAATAATAAAATAGAACATCTAGCTTGGCTAACGGTAGTTACAAATGTAAAAAAGTGACCATAATAGAAAAATGAAATGCCTATCTGCTAAAGGGAAAATTCCAGTTTTTATTTAGTATTACCACTTATGTTGAATATAATGGTAAGTATGTTGCCACTCATAACTCTTTAAAAATCCAGATCCCAACTTAATTTTTTAAAACTTGGGAACAGCATTAGGGAAATGGGGGACTAAAAATATTTTTTCTATTAAAATGAAAAAACTGACACAGTATGATATAGAAACAACAGAGATAAGAAACAATCAAGAATCTTCACTCAATTTAAAAAACACTCTTGCCGAAACCGGTTTGGCTCAGTGGATAGAGCGTCGGCCTGCGGACTGAAAGGTCCCAGGTTCGATTCCGGTCAAGGGCATGTACCTAGGTTGCGGGCACATCCCCAGTAGGGGGTGTGCAGGAGGCAGCTGATCGATGTTTCTCTCTCATCACTGTTTCTAACTCTCTCTCTCTCTCCCTTCCTCTCTGTAAAAAATCAATAAAATATATTTTAAAAAAATTAAAAAAATAAAAAACACTCTTAACATTATTTAAAGCAAACCCTGTCATCTACCAATCCGTAAGGTATGCAGATAACTCACGGTCTGAGCATCGGAGAAACTGGGAGCCAGTTTGGGCTGTAATATTTTCTCCTGTGTGCCTTCTACCAACTGATGGCTGCTATTGCTCCCCCAAACATAAACCTCACAGGTTTCTGAGACAATGGGAGCATCACCAGTCTGAATGCTATCTGGGCTAGCACATGTTCTTGAGTAATCAGAAGCCATTCTGCAAACCTATCAAAATTAAAAACATACAATGAATTGTCAAAATATTTTTAAATTAGACATTTTACTGTTAACTTTCCTTCTTCTAAAACTCCCAACTGCTCAAATAACCTAACAACTCATCCATTCTTAAGCACAGATGGCTAGACTATGTACTACTATAGAATAAACCACTAAAAGATACAAATAAAAATGACAAAAATGAGGAGATGGAGATACACAAGCAAACTTTTTTAACTAAAAATTTTATTATTGCATACAACAGCATTATAGGAAAACAGAGCTTACCAAAGTAGGAAAAAAACACTGATAATCCCCTCACCATAATACAATAAATGTTCTATTTTTTATATATGTCCTTCCAGAATTTTATGTTCTTTAACAGTTATCACAGTGGATATATAAAAGTGATGATACCGCCCCCAGCAAGTTTGGCTCAGTGGATAGAGCTTTCTTCAAAGGGTCCTGGGTTCAATTCTGATCAAGGGCACATACCTCAGTTGCAGGCTCCTCCTTGGCCCGGGCCCTGGTCGAGGCTCGTGCAGGAGGCAACCAATTGATGTGTTTCTTTCACATTGATATTTCTCTCTGTCTTTCCCTCTCTCTTCCACTCTCTCTAAAAATCAATGGAAAAATATCCTCGGGTGAGGATTAAAAAAAAAAGTGATATAAAAGACTCATGCAAAAATTTCCATATTTCTACCTACTCTTCCTAATTGAACTGATAATATTCCATCTAATATAAAAATCACAATGTATTTAACTATTTTCCTTTAACTGGTCATTTAGATTCTTCCTACTTATTTGTAATATAAGCTATTTTTAATATATTTGTTATGACATTTTTAATACTTCCTCAGTAGACCTAGAGAAAACTCAGAAATGGGACTACTACATAAAAAAAAATAATAACAATCTTATGATTCTTGACACATACTATATACTAAACTGCTTTCCAAAACAGCACATTATTATATCACTAGGGCTACCCTAAAAACAGTAATAGTCCAGAGCAATTCAATAGACACACATACAGTATACACATCCTATATAATCCTATATAATAAAAGGCTAATATGCAAATAGACTGAACGGCAGAACAACTGGTCGCTATGACATGCACTAACCACCAGGGGGCGTGCATGGAACATGGTGGGTGTTTGTGGTTACTGAAAATTCTTTGCTCCCATGCGCCATGGTCTCACCTGGCGCTCACACCTGCTGCCTGCACTGGCCCCGCTCGCACCCGCTGCTGGCGCCTGACGATGGCCCAAAATGTTCTACGCCATCAGCGGGTGTGAGCAGCGGCTGCTGACCCCAGTCACCCCTCAGGGCTTCTCCACCTTCCCCTGCTCCTGAGAGACGATAAGGGCCAGTAGCCACCTCTCACACCCACTGCTAGTGACAGACCAGCTCGCACCCGCTGCAGGCACTGGAGCCGCCGCTCACACCCGCTGCTGGCACCATCAGCAGGTGCAAGTGGCGGCTGCCAGCCCCAATCACCCATGAGGGCTTCACCCCCTGTCAGCGGGTGGGAGCAGGACTGCCGGCAGACAGGGGACCAGGGGCTGCAGCAGGAGGGGCCGGATGGGGGCACAGAGGATGGGCCAAGACCTGCCCCATGCCCACCGTAGCCTCGCGGCCCACAGTTCCTTTCAAGGTGCATGAATTCATGCACTGGGCCCCTAGTATATACATATAATAAAAATCATGACTTATTTACCATTTGTGTTGAATATAATGGTAAAGTTTGTTGCCATTCATAATGCTTTTTAAAAATCCAGGCTTCTTCCCCATCCTACCAGCCCTACCAAAACTGAAGGACCCAGGACTGCCATCCCAGTTACCCTAACCAAGAAATAGAGTGATATGAGTACAAGTTTTCACTGCATCCAAACCAATAATAATTATTGTGCTTTTTTCTTTTGTGCAAACTTAAGTGGGTAAAAGAAGATGCATTATTTTAACCTTACATTTCCTTATTATCAATAGAACTGAAGTTTTTCCATCTATTTTTTATTATTTATTTATTTATTGGGGCTTAATAGATTTTACTGACTTGTATGAACTCCATACAATACAGATATTAACTCTGACTATGACTGCTATCAATATGTTGTCTGCCTTTTAGTTTTTTTCCTGAATCAAATGAAACAATAAAAGACAAATCTGCAATAGTCAATATATTTGATTACCAACCCATTACATAAAGGAAATAGAGTAATTTAAGTCAGAATCTTTAAATAGTATCTACAATGGAATAATATGTGTCTAGACAAATATTTTCCAGTGAACAATGAGGACAGTTCTGAGAACATACAAAATATGTATAAGGGAAAGCTGCCAGTCCCTAATAAAAGATCTGAAATTTTGCTGGAGATAAAAGGATGGTGGGTCCAAGTGGGTTAGAATATTTCATCTAAAGATATCTATATATAAAAAAGGCTAAGTGACTGACTGTACGTCCGTCCAACCATCCGACCAACCGGCTGATACAAATAATGCATACTGGCAATTTAAAAATAAACGTTGACTCGTGTATGCGCGATACATATAAAGCTCTCACTGACGCCAACCACACACGTATGTTTCAATCTGTCATTGTCGATCGTGAATTTGGTCCACTTCTATTATAGAGAAAGGGTGAATAGCAATATTAAAATATTTCTTCTAATTAATTTCCTTTCAATGTGCACGAATTCGTGCACCGGGCCACTAGTATTACTGTAATATGACTTAAAAGAAAAATCATAGCCATCCCCCCACAAAAGCAAGAGAAGGGAGGCAGAAAAAAGTCTACTCACAGAGCTTAGAAATGTGTTTTTTGAAAACAACTAGGAGGTAGGTAAGATTCAGGGAAGATAACAATAGCAGGAGCAACATAGTTTTCTAAACCTTCTGGATCACTACACAGAGCAACTAGAAGGCAAAATTCACTCAGTGGTTAGAGCATCGGTCTGCAGACAGAAGGGTTGTGGGTTTGATTCCAGTCAAGGGCACGTACCTCGGTTGCAGGCTTGATTCCTGCCCCACGTAAGGGAGACAACCAATCGATGTGTCTCTCTCACATTGATGTTTCTCTTTCTCTGTCTCTCTCCCTCCCTTCAACTCTCTCTGTAAATCAAAACTCCAAAACCATGCTTAGCATTCATAACAAAACTAGGCAACAAGGGCAGTTCCAATAACTCCAAATATATGTAGGGGAGACAAACCACCACCCAACACAAAATAAAATCTGTGTGGTAATGACATTTGTGCAGGAGGAAGCAACAGAGTGTCTGACAGACCTCAGAACAGAAAAAAAGAAAAGAAAAAAAAAAGGAAGAAAGAAAGAAACCAAAACAACCAATCAGGTAGCCACTGGAAAGAACAGTGAACCAAGAAGCTAAGAATAGCAGTTGCAACTGAGAAGAGCTGTGCTCTCCCTGATGGCAGAAAGTACAAGGGGTCCATGATGAAAAGTTTAAAACTTAGAGCAATCTAGCTCTTGTGAACTCTTAAAATTGATATCCCCTTATAGGACAGCGCACCCACACTGAGGAGAAACTACTGGGAGTGAAATAAAAATTTAACAGAATACCGTCAACAGGAAGGATACAGTTGGGAAGAGGAACATAGTGGGAAACCTTTTTTTTAAAACATTACCCAAAAACAATAGAGAGAAGAGGCCAAAGATGAAACAACAGAAGCTTCACTACAGATAATAATTCAATGGACTGAAACTCAAATAGGTTTAAATCTATCAGTTCATAATGTTTTTCAAATGAAATCAATTGGTCAAGTTTGGAGGATGACAGGAGATCGAGTCATTAAACTGAAACCTAGTAAAATAAAAATCAGTGTTTAATAAAAAAATCAGGTGGGGAAAATCAAGCATTTATTCTGCCTTTTCTATATGAACTATAGCAGAGTAACCAAGTGGTCAATAAAGGAATCATTTCTTTATGAAAACATTCTAATTAGTAAATGAAGGAGGAATGATAGAATACCACCATTTTGCAAGCAACCACAAATGAATTAATAGAATAAGTCATGAAGTATCAGGGCTGCTAATATCACGAAAAAAAGAGAACTTGATGGAAGATTACACCACCATGTATATAATTTTGCCAAAGGCTCTGGATCCACCTGTCAACTTTCAGAAAATACATAGGACCTACTGAACTGCATTATGAGTAATTAGCAAAATACAGATTGTAGGCAATTCTACAGCCTAAAAAAAAAACCAGGTTTCCGAACAAATACAATGAAAGAAAAGAAAAAGAAAAAAAAAAATGGAGGGAAGCAATAGATAAAAAGATTTAAGACTTAAAAAAATTTTTTTTCTAATTGATTTTAGAGAAAGAGGGAAGGAGAGAAACATCGATATGAGAGAGAAACATCAATCAGCTCCCCAGGCACACCCCTAACTGGGGATCGAATCCACAACCTGAGTATGTGCCCCGGCAGGGAATCAAACTGGTGATCTTTTATTGCACAGAAAGACACTCAACCAACTGAACCACTCTGGCCAGTGCAAGACTTTTTTTATTATTGTTAATCCTTACCCGAGAATATTTTTTCCATTGATTTTTAGAGAGTGGAAGGGGGTGAAGAGGGGAGAAAAGCATTGATGTGAGAAAAATACATAGATTGGTTGCCTCCCACACGAGCCCACACAGGACCGGGGATCGAACCTGCAACCCATGCACAGACCCTTCAGTTCGCAAGCCGAAGCTCTAACCACTGAGCACACAATGGCCAGGGGAAGAAGAGAGACATATGTATTAAAATCACTTAAATAGTCCACAATAATGGGCAAGACTTCACATAGTGTCTAAGGATGTACACCTGTAAAGAACTATAAAGAAATGCAATGAAGTGATTACAAACAGTCTCCAATTTATAATGGCTTGATTTAAAACTTTTTTACTTTAAGATGGTACAGAAGTGATATGCATAATAAACTACATGAGATATTCAACACTTTACTATAAAATAGGCTTTGGGTGAGATGATTATGCCTAACTGTAAGTTGATATAAGTGTTCTGAACATGTTTAAAGTAGCATAGGCTAGGCTATGATGCTTGGTAGGTTACGTGTATTAAATGCACTTTTGACTAAATGATATTTTAAACTTACAAGGGGTTTATTGGGACGTAACCCAATCATAAGTTGAGGAGCATCTGTACTCTAAAAGTCAGTGGATACTTAAGTGAGGAGGAAAAGGGTTATGGCCAGGACATGAAAGAATAAAGTTTTATTCGTTTACCTGGATACAGATTAGAAGGATTTTTAAAAACGATAAATCATTAAACTATACTTTTGTTTGTATGTCTTTCTATATCTGTTTTACTTTTGATAAAATTACAGTTATCTTCATATGATACAAAATTCAAAATGAATAAAAGGGTATACGCTGAAAAATATGTTCCCTATCCCTGATGCCAGACACCCCAGATCCCTTTTCTAGAGATAACCATTGATGTCATTTTCTTTTGCATCCTTTCCAGAGGTAGAACAGATAATTTTTAAGGGATAAATACATGCAATAGCATTTTAACACAAAGTAATTTGTAATGTAAAAGCCATGATTATTACCTACCTCTTCAAAGAGACATAAAGCTGCCTCATAGAGCGAGCACAACCCATCAGATGTTCTGGTTGGTTCCCTCCACTGACTCCGATCAGCAGATGAACCCTATAATTAAAACATTGTGAGGAAGAAAAGAGACATATGTATTAAAATCACTTAAATAGTCCACAAAATCATTTGAGAACTGTTTATATGATTATGTGCATTAAGATCAAATCTGAACATTAGGTCATGAAATCAACTGTTATAAAAGACTAGAGGCCTGGCACACGAAATTCGTGCGCAGGTACAGTCCCTAGGCCTGGCCTGTGATCAAGGCCATCTTCCCCAGCTGTCTGCAGCCAGCCCTGCCCCCCCCACCACCACCACCCATCCCTAGTTACCAGTTCTCCATCGGGTGATTGGTGCCTGATGGCCAGGGGGAAGGGACCAAGAGGTCAACTGTTCCTGCCCAGTCGCCAGCCCCACCCCTGCCATAGGTTGCCATCATGCAATCGGAGCCTGCCAGCCAGGGAAAGGGACCAAGAGGTGGTCAGTGCACCTCATGGTGACTGGTCCAGTGGCTGTTCTGCTGTTAGGGTCAATTTGCATATTACCCTTTTATTATATAGGATGTGGCTATAGAGTGAAACCATAAATTAAGTGCCACTCCCTCACTGATGACCTTATTAAATAGTGATTTGTTCTAAGGGTCACAGGGCTTGAGCCAAAAACAATCAAAGAGGCAGAATTTTGCAAATTACACATTCTTTGTGGGTGTTCAGAATGCAGTAAATGAGATCCCAGGAAATATTCTACTCCTCTGGGGCTGCCTTGCCCAACTGCCCCCAAGGATACAGGCAAGTAGAACATAGCCAACTTGAGTGATGACCCTGACCAGAGCAGGAAGTCTGGCCCTCCCTTTTTAGTTTCAGCACAACTAAGGTCCTAAAGTCAGTTCATGTAGCTAACTGACTACACCAGCAACAAAGCATCTTTTTTTCTAGTACAGCTGGAGGAAGGACAGTAAAAAGCTAGGAGATTCCTTGACAAGTGGAATAAGGGAAAATAAGATAGTATAATTAAACAGGACCAAACAATCTGAGCAATGTACAGCTAGCTAATGAATCACAAGGTTTTATCTTCCCTAACTAAGGACACTAAGGAGCAAATGGGTTACATATTCCAGCCAGTGGTCGGCAAACTCATTAGTCAACAGAGCCAAATATCAACAGTACGACGATTGAAATTTCTTTTGAGAGCCAAATTTTTTAAACTTAAACTATATAGATAGGTACATTGTTATTAACTTAATTAGGGTATTCCTAAGGCTTAGGAAGAGCCACACTCAAGGGGCCAAAGAGCCTCATGTGGCTCATGAGCCGCAGTTTGCTGACCACGGTTCCAGACTGTCCTCGGACAGAAGGGCCTCAGTCCCCAGCCCTCTTCAATGACCTTCTTAATGATGTTCTTTTAAAAATGAAACTAACCAGAAAATAACCCCTGAGCCCTCTATATGCACACTTTGGTGAATCAACATACTGAACGACACACCTGAAAAGCTAATGAATATTCTGTTAAGACTCTCCCCGAGACCTTCCCTAGAATTCCGGCAGGCCAGAGAGGTAAAAAGCCTCAAGACAAAAAAGCCACAGCTCACTCTGGCAACAGCACTCCCAGGCCTTGTATCTCTGCTGTTTTTCTCCTAAACTCTAAGAGCCCCTGCAAGACTTGCAACCAGGGGAGCAGTGGGCAATGGCAGCTTGATCTGGGCTGACCCCCTGAACCTGTCTTCAAGGATCCCTTTTCTCTGACTTTTCCTCTCCTATTGCTTTTCCTACCTTAAGCCCTTCTTTTGTTTCACTGTCTCCAGCTTTAATGAACATACTCTCAAAATCACCTGGACTCGTATTGTGAAATCTTTCCTACATGAAGTCAAGAATCTACACACTAACGGAGACCTACCCCAGGCCCAGACCCAATCAGGTAACAATAGTACCTCTCTGGGACTAAATGCCTACTCTCCACAATAGGATCCAAAGGCTATGACTAGAAATCATTCTCTCATTGAAAAATCATAAACCAGAAAATGAACGTAATCTTCATAGCTCCCTCAAATTCCCATACATATTATTAAATCTTTAGATCACAAATGTCAAGTTCTTTCTCTGATTTGCCAATCCTATAATTTTGAAATTTTCATCAGTGGCATTTATTTCAAAGGATATTATATTATAAAAACACGAGAGGCCAGGTTTGCCAATCCTATAATTTTGAAATTTTCATCAGTGGCATTTGTTTCAAAGGACAGTGTATTATAAAAATATTTATCTTCTAGAAGATCACAAGGCAGATATACCATTGAAAAGTATATCCTCCATTGTGGAAGTGTTTGGCCTGGATGCCCAGTAAGATCCCACCCAACTCAATGATCATGATTTTATCAATTCAAATTATTTTAATCAACATGATTAATAAGTTGATTGAACATGTTGGCTATTTAATTTATCACTGGGTCATCAGGTACAAACCTGCGGCTACCAAAACAACTTTTCTTTTTAATTGTTTAAGGTGGCACTTCTCAAATTTTAAAATAGAAATGAATTATTTAGAGAGCTTGTTAAAATACAAATTCTAATTCAATAAATATAGATGGGAGCCTGAGATTCTGCATTTCTTAACAAGCTCCCCGTTGATGCCAATGCTGCTGTCTAGTGCTCACACTTTGAGTGGTAAGGCTTTAGAGAGCCACTTGTAGGTCTGGAGTCATACCAGAAGCTGAGTGTTCAAAATTAATTAATCCTTAGACATCCCAGGTGTTGCTATATTAGCAAATACTTTGGGGCATAGCCTCTCCAAATTCCATAATTGGGAAAAACTGTAATCTTTGGCTCCACTGTTTAAAGAACACTTCTAGTGATCACCAAGCCAATAGCAGATGAGGAACAGCATGTTGTACCTTCCTAAGAGCTGGCACCAGTACCATCAATACCTTTTCTATGCTTTTCTACAGTATAGAGGAAAATGTTAAAAACTGTATAAAAGTTTTCATAACAGACAGACCTGGGTTTAAATCCAAACTCCCATCACTTTTTGACTGTGTGGTTGAAAGATAAGATCCCTTATCCTTAGACAGAAATAATGCCTATATTATATAGAGCTGTTGAGAGGATTAACTGAAATTATGTATAAAACACGCCTAACACAGTTCCTAACATATAGTAAATAGTAATTGCATTTTGCACCATGTACACTGAGAAAGAAGAGAAAATACAGGGAGTCTTTAATAAATTCTTACTAGATTTAAAAATAAGAAACCAATAAAATCCTTCAAACATTGTCTGCAGAGACTGTCACTGTTTTCTGTTCTTCCCAAAATAGTTGAGAGGCTAGTCCCAGTCAATTAGGATTACAGAGATCTCTAAAACCCATTGTATACAGAATTCTTATGTGTTTTGTAAACATACTGCATAATATAAAAAAAACAACAACAAAAGGCTATACCTAGGCATTTTAAAAGAAATTAAATTTTGAAAAATATAGTACATTAAATGTATAACTATATATATTACAACATACCATAGGAAGTTCAATGGTCCAGAGATAAAATAGAAATTAAAATAACAAACTAGTGGTTTCATAGGTCTTCATTTAATTACCTTCTTCTTAAATACCTACCATTAAAAATAATGTAATACCTTTTATTTTTTCACATTTGTCCTTAGAAGATATTAAGACAAGAACACAAGACTGGATGGAATACATTTATTTTCTTGCTATCTGGTTTTACTCTACTTAAAATTGGTTCAATGGATCAAGAAGCCACAGGATCAAGAAGCAAGGGATACAAGGCCCTGCCTCGCTTGGCAGCCTCATTTCATCCCATTCTACCCCATACACCCAGGGCTTGCTCTTCCACACTATCACTTTGTGAAATCTGGTCCTCTCATCTAAAAAATTCTCCAGTCCCCTCACTGACACATATGTTTTTAGCCAAACTCTTCCTACTTTTCAATTAAGCTCAGGGGTTCCTCCACCATAAGTCAATTCCTGCCCCTTCCCCTCCAGCTCTCCTCCTGTATCTCACCACCTTCTCCCTGTACAGACTTCTAGTACAATCCATTATCATTAATTGGAAATGTCCATGTATCTCTCTTTCCTTAAACTGCGAGCTGGCTGAGGGCATGGACATTACAAAGCTTATTCATTTTTTTAACCCAGTGCCTAACAGTATTTGGCACATAGTGCTCAGTAAACACCTAATGGCAAAGTCCAATGTGTTTATTGATATTTTTTTAGAATTCACAGATGTACACTGACATTGTTTCCCTACTCTCTATTTAAATCTAAGTTAATGAATATCTTGTGCACTCCCATTCAAACACAATTATTATGTGTATGGGTAGCAGAATTTAAAAATCACACAAGTAAATACAACTTATGGATTAAACTTATATTTTTTTAATCCTTATGCCAAGTACTCAATTGATGGTTAGTGTCTCTTCCTCTAACATCTAGGTTGGGGACAAATTTTATCCCAGTTTTTAGGGGTAGAGAAACTTAAGACAGGGATGATCAGCTCAGTTGTGGTCCAATGTACCAGGAGAGGTTCTAGATATTTTCTGAGTTCTCAGACACTACTGTAAAGTGTAAGAAGCATGGGTTCTGGAGACCAAGAGCATCGGACTCTATTGCTTATTGTGTAAGAAAAAATACTGAATATAAAATTCAATTAAATAACCATGTCTTTCCCCTAAAAAGTCAATCTGAGATTTAATTAAATTCAATATAATGTAGGTCTGTTGTGACTTTGGGAGAGCCAAACTAAATCAAAAACAAAATTCTTTCCCCAGAATAGATCCAGGATTCTGAGGAAAGCAATCTAGTTTTCTGGGGTGTCCTTGTCCTAACAAGAGGTTATATTATAGGGTACAGTCTTGGTGAGTAAAGACACCTTTCTGACTTGGTGTATTTGACATTTTGCCCATGAATGAAAGAGACCAAGTGGAGAGAAACTAGAAATCCAGCCATAAAATAAACAATGTATTTTCAGTCTACTTTAAGGTAGGCTTCATGCCCTAACCGGTTTGGCTCAGTGGATAGAGCATTGGCCTGCAGACTGAAGGGTCCTGGGTTCAATTCCGGTCAAGGGCATGAACCTTGGTTGTGGGCACATCCCCAGTAGGGGGTGTGCAGGAGGCAGCTGATGGATGTTTCTCTCTCATTGATGTTTCTAACTCTATATCCCTCTCCCTTCCTCTCTGTAAAAAAAATCAATATATTAAAAAAAAGAAGAAGAAGTAGGAAATGCTTTCAGCTCATTTAAAAAAAAAAAAGGTAGGCCTTCATAGGGAAATAAATAAATAAATTGATTTAACATATATGGGGGGAGGAGGGAGGCAGGAAAAACATGGGCTTTACAGACATTCAGGGTTATAGTAGGAATTAGTTAACACTGTGCCTGGCCCATAAGTGCTTAATCAAAAGTACACATTATACTTCTAGTTCTTTTGAGAAGTAGGTGTGTAAATTTAGGATAATTGCCAGTTTCTTCATCCTTAAGATAAGGATAAATAATATCTTAGAAATTAACATGATAAATAAATGAGACAGTGCACATAAACCACCTGGTAGGTAGTAGGCACTCAACAAAGATTACCTCGCCTCTTCCCTAAGTGCAGGTATTGGAAAGCAGTAAATAAAACAAGCCAAAAAGGAATAAAATGTTTATTATAGGTTAATTAAATAAAGATTAAAATACACTGGGTAGGTCTGTGGTTGGCAAACTGTGGCTCTCGAGCCACATGCGGCTCTTTGGCCCCTTGAGTGTGGCTCTTCCTAAGCCTTAGGAGTACCCTAATTAAGTTAATAACAATGTACCTACCTATATAGTTTAAGTTTAAAAAATTTGGCTCTGAAAAGAAATTTCAATCGTTGTACTGTTGATATTTGGCTCTGTTGACTAATGAGTTTGCCAACCACTGGGGTAGGTAAATATATTTACTATAAATAGTTCTTAAGCTTTAGGGCCAATTTAAACTAATAGCCAAATATGCATACAAACCCAAAGACAATGAGACTAAACAGATACTGAAGAAAGCAATCTAGTTTCCTGGGGCACCCTCTTCCCAGTAAGGGGCAATATTGTAGATAAGGCCTTAGAGAGTAAGGTAGGGAAGAAACCTCTGACTCAAGGTATTTAGCACTTTGTTTAAGAAGGAAAATACACCATGAGCAAGCATATAAGCATACTAGAGGCCCAGAGCACAAAATTCGTGCACGAGTAGGGTCCCTAGCAGCTGCCGGTTGCCAGTCGGGGCCTCCCTTCCCCAGCTGCCTGCTGCCGCCAGCCGGGGAGGAGCTGGCTGGGGGGAGGGGTTGTGGGTGGTTGGCCAGCCAGCCCCACTTCCTGGTCGAACTCCTGGTCAAACTCCTGGTGGGGTGGACAATTTGCATATTAGGCTTTTATTATATAGGATAACTAAATTGTGCAATCATTAATATATTTTCTTTGTAACAAGGCAATGCAAAATAAATAGACTGTAAAATGAAAAATTCAGCAACTCTCCCAGAAATACTAACACATGCCCATGAATAGATACATTATTTCAGGTCATTAAATGGCATTACATGTTTGAAAACAGTGTAAATTTAGAGAATGTTACCAGAAAGTATTAAGATCAGAAAATTAAAAAAATAGATGTGCAAGTAAATGAGTTTAAATATTGAATAAGAAAGCAGAACAAGGCCTAATTGCCTCTCACATGTGTTCCCTCAAACTTTTCTTAAAGGAATAGTTACTCCTTTAAGAAATGTTGTTACTTAAATTATTGCATCTCCCGCTCTCAGTTTCCACTTCAGGTGAAGATCATAGGACCCTGTCAACACTTTCATATATTGAACAAAGAACTTTGTTTGCTTTCTTTGTCTTGATTTTAATGTAAACCAGGTGAAAATTAAATGCTCTGGTTTTAAAACAAATTCAACACAATTGTTTTTTATGAAACATTCCTGTTAATCTAAGAGCTTCCCACCTTTTTTTGGAGGGGGGAGGGAGTCTTGAAATATACGTACATAATTTATAAGTGGCATTTTTAGTTATTTTAACTGAATTTGTTAATTGATATTTGGTAATAAAGGACACCAAAAGACTGATCCATGTAACCCAATTGAAATTAAGTTTATAAATGTTTCAGTCTTTATATTCTAAATTTGTATTATTTTTTACGTTTTCTTATTAATTTCAGAGAGAAGAAGGGAGAGGGAGAGGATAAAAACATCAATGATGAGAGAGAATCGTTGATCAGCTGCCCCTACACGCCCCCCTACTGGGGATCGAGCTGGAAACCCTGGCATGTGCCCTGACTGGGATCTAACCGTGACTTCCTGGTTCATGGGACTGTGCTCAACCAATGATTCACACCGACTGGGCTAAATTTGTATTCTTAATTTGAATTTTTATTCTTGGTTTTCACAAAGGCATTATGTTTTAGTCTTAGAAATTCTTGAAATTGATCATAGTACACTTTAATTTATTGTTTGTTCTTTAATGTGGTACCCAGTATTAGTTTCTCTTTTTTAATCCTCACCAGAGGACGTGCTTAAAGAGAGGGAGGAGGAGAGAGGGAAAGAGGAAGAGAGGAAGCGAGAAACATGTATGTGAGAAACATCGATCAGTTGCCCTCCATATGACCCAACCAGGATCAAACCACAACCCAGGTATGTGCCCCCACTGGGAATGAAACTGGCAATCCTTCAGTGCACAGGACTTCACTCAACCAACCGAGCCACTCCAGCAGGACCCAGGATTAGTTTCATAATAATAGTCAAGCAATTAATTTCCTCCAAGAACAATACACTCTTTTCACAGATCTTTGCTTATTAGCTCATCACTCCCCTTCATTCAGGTCTCTGCTCAAATGTCACAATTCAGGGTCATCTTTCCCTGACCATATTAATAGCATAGCTTTCCCCTCCCCACTCTTTGCCCTGAGCCTATAATTTTGTATGACAGGCTCCCTTTACCTCCCTAATTTTAATTCTTAGGATTTCTCACTATCTGAAATTATTTATTGACTGTCTGATTCCCTTACCAGGCTGTTAGCTCCATGCAGCAGAAACTGTATTTTTCTCTGCTGTATCCCTAGGGCCTACAATAACACTTGGCACAATGCTTAATAAAAATTGAGAAGGATAAAATTAGAGAGTTTTTTCAAAAGACCTCCACACTCATTTTACATGAGTTTACTATATGAATACACTCATTTTACATGAGTTTACCACAAAGAATTAGATGAACTTCCAAAGTTCACATAAGTAGCCATAAAACTAAAACTACAATCCTGACTCCTGATGCAATGGTCTTAACTGAACTAACTAGCCTGTCCTTGAATTACATATTCACATCAACTAAGTTTCTTCACTCCAAGTACATAAAATATTTAAATAACAATCATCAGAACTCTCAAATCATTCAATATTACCACAAATATGTTAACAGTTTGGTGGACTTTTCCCAAAATCATTAGATAAAAATTTTAAAGTTGAGACTTATACAATACATACCAAAGAACGCCTCATCTGCATTAATATCATCATAAAGCAGTCAAAGCTGATCATTCCTTCCTGGCTTGATAGTAACTTGCTTTTCTCCATGGAATTTACAACTGCGGAAGCCCCTAAAGCCATTTCGATCCATTCAAGTAGATATCTCAAAGAGCCTCGTTGAGCTGCTAAACCAAGCAGCAACTCAGAAGCTAATCTTCGACCTAAAGTGTCTGCCCCAGAATTGGGAATAGTTACTCCTTTAAGAAATGTTGTTACTTGTGATAAGCAGTCCAAGCCCATTGGAGGAATCTTGCTTTCATTTGCTAAAGATAATGGTGGTAAAGAACTGACAACTTCAATTGCAGTATGAATAACGTCATTGCAAAGACTGAGACCAGGTCCCGACACAGGCATCATCCAACTTTGTCTTAGAAGTGCAAATAATAAACTTAGACCAGTTCGAACACCCATTTCTATAAGTGCATCCGTGCTTGACCGGGGACGTTCACTAACAGAATGGACATCTGCTGAACCAGAACTGCTCTCTGGAGAATGCTGCTGCTGTTTCACTTTGCCCTTGTCATGATATTTATTAGAAAGTGCATAAAAAACACGCTGGAGTACAAGCAGTCGTTTTCGAAGTGCCCCAGCAAATGGGGAATCGGAACAAACCATCTTCGCGAGTGCTAGCTGGCTGCTAAGAAGGGCATCCAAATAGTGGTCCTGCTCATCACTTGAAAGAGACTCACGTTCAAAGTCTGGCAACTGTGGTCCTTTGAGACACAAAACTTGTTGGGGCAAAAGTATTACTTCCTTATTACTGACCAGTTTAGAATACAGAACAGCAACCCCTTCTCTTGTAGCAATAGATTCACTGTCCTCTGTAATCCAAGAACTGTTTAGGTGTTCAAGCCATTTCAGTTTCACTGGTGGAACCATAGTTGCCATGTTGATTTATTCTTTAGCCATTAGTTCTGTAAAGGGAGAAGAAAAAGCAGTCAAAAACTTGTATTAATAATTCATAAAATGTTTTTAACTCTATCTTATATTACAATAGTGATTTCAAGTAATGTCTGGACTAATTAACAGTAATGTACCATGGTTACATAAGATAATAATAGGAGAAGATGAGTGAAGGACATATGGGAACTCTGTACTATTTTTGCAACTTTTGTGTAAATCTAAAATTATTACAAAATAAAAATATTATTTAAAAAATTTGGCCCTGGAGGTATGGCCCTGGATGGTATGGTTGGAGTGTTGGCTAGTGCACCAAAGGTTGCAGGTTCGTTTCCCAGCCAGGACACATACCCAGGTTGCAGGTTAGATACCGATTGAAGTGCATACAGGAGGCAACCTACCGATGTTTCTCTCTCACATCAATGTTTCTCATTCTCTCTCCCTCTCCCTCCCTCTCTCTCTAGAAATCGATGAAAGCATATCCTCAGATGAGAATTAAAAATATAAAAAAAGAAAGAAAGAAAATGAACACTGAATTCAGAATGTGGAAAAAAAAATGAGTCAATGAATTTGCTTTTAGTTCTATAATCTGTAATGAGTCAAAACTGGTGGTTTGGGAGACAAAAATGATATCTATACCTAGCACAGTGTCTGATATCTCATACTTCCTCAATTAAGGATGCATTTCAAAAAACAAATTTGACAGTAATTAACAGTGAACTAGAGAGCTGGAATAATATAGTTAGGATACTAATGAATTAAATCAGTAATGAGATTCAAAGGAACGAACAACAACAAAAACCAAGTTCTGAATGTTTAAGAAAGAAATCTTTCATCCCTTCAAGAAAAAAAACAATTCTTAAGCTACTTTAAATGCATTAGGGCAATGAGGAAAGAGTCTCAGCTCTTCTTAAGTAATCAGTAAAGTAACAATAACAACACACAACAATGCACAAAAAATACAATTATAATACTGCCCCATAAAGATGGTTGTAAAAATTCACAACTAAAATAATAGCAAGTGGTTAATTTTAAAAGTTAACAATAAAATTTTAACTTTAAGACATTAAATTTAAAATATTAGAAAGTTTTAAAAGTTAACATTTTATTTTTTTTAATTGTTTCATTGCTTAAAGTATTACAAAGAGTATTACATATGTCTCCTTTCTTCCCCCCGCCCTTGACAAATCCCCTGGTTAAAAGTTAACATTTTAAATATTAAAAGATTAACACATGAAATGTGAGTGGGGTTTATTCTAGAAATATGATGGTGAAACATAAGCAAATCTATTAACATTACCAAACACATGTCATATTGTGAAATGTTAAAAAGGCATCTGATAAAATCCAACATCCATTTCCAATAAAAATCTACTAATAAGGCAAGAATAAAGATTTTCTTTTTTAAATGAATAAAAGTTGCAAAACAAAAGAAAAACACAAGTAGCACTTGCTCTTGGAGTCAAATGCAAGCAAAGAGTGCACATTTCACCACTATTATTGATGATAAAATTAAACAAAAAAATAAGTATTATATATTCTAGAAACTGTTATTTGCAGGTGACATTATTAAATACCTAGATAACCCATCAGAGAATCTGCCTAAATATTAAAAACAAGCCAGAACCAGTTTGGCTCAGTGGATAGAGCATCGGCCTGCGGACTCAAGGGTCCCAGGTTCAATTCCAGTTAGGGCATGCACTTTGGTTGCAGGCACATCCCCAGTAGGGGGCGTACAGGAGGCAGCTGATCGATGTTTCTCTCTCATAGATGTTTCTAATTCTCTATTCCTCTCCCTTCCTCTCTGTAAAAAATCAATAAAACATATTTAAAACAAACAAACAAACAACAACAAAAAAAAACCAAGAGCACTGTGAAGTAGCTGATTACAGAGTAAATGAAAATCCAAACTCAGGGGTCAATGGGGGAAAATAGGGGACATATGTAATACTTTCAACAATAAAGATTTTATAAAAAAAACCTCAAAAGTATCTTGCTCTACATAATCATGTCCCAGAGCCACAATCCAACTCCAAGGTGGTTTCACACTATCATGACCCAGCTGATCAATTGCCACTGAACATAGTTGAAACAGAAAATAGGAAGATGGTGGCAAACTTCAGGGCAAGGTTTTCAAAACAAAAATAGTTACCATTTTTGCAGAACTGGACAAAGAATGAAGAAAATTACTAAGGCAGAACCAAACTTCAACAAATCATCCTGGAGCTAGCATTAATTTCTCCATGGCTATATTTACTTATCTGTAAATGGGAGGGTAATAAGAGAACCTCTACGGTTACCCTAAGGGTTAAATGAGAATAACAAATGAAATTCTTAGAATCACTGCTTGAAACAAAGTGCACACTTAATAAATGTAAACTGCTATTGTTCATTATTACTATCTCTACTATATATTGGTTGCACATATATGCAGAGATGTATTATAAAAGTTTTTTTTTTAAGTTTAGAAGGACCACCCCAGCCCTAAACTCATAATAGTGATTGCCCAGGAGGATGGCAGGTGTCAAAGAGAACATAACTTTGTGTTATGTTTCCATTCTTTCATTTTTTTAAATGGTCACATAAATGTGACAAAATTATAACACCTGTTAAATGATGGTAGAAAAAACATAAGGTCTTTTTTATTCTCTGTACGTCTCTTCAGTCTTAAAATTTTTCTCAAGAAAAGGAAAAACAAAAAAGCTTTATGATCATATTGTTTTCAATTACAATTCTATATAATCAAAAGTTATCACCCTGGTCAGGTAGCTCAGGTGATTGGGCGTCATCCCGCTCATGGAAAGGTTGGTGGTTCAATCACCTGTCAGGGCACATGCGCGGGCTGCAAGCTCAATCCCCATTAGGGGGCGTACAGGAGGCAGCTGATGGATGTTTCACTCTCATATAGATGCTCTTTCTCCCTTGTTTCTCTCTCTTAAAAAAAAAAAAAAATCAATAAAAAAAATCTTTAAAAAACAATTACCACTGTCACATTATTTTAATTCAGGAGATATAAAAATGCCAAGATATCTTTATAATGGATTTGTTTTTATAAACAGCATTTTAACAACAAAAAATCCTAGCATCTCTAGTGTTGATGTCCCACAACTGCTCAAAAACAAAGTAAAATTGTTTATTTAATCAACCACTTTCAGTGTAGTTCTTGTTATCAGGAACAGTTAAGTTGGGGCAAGTTGCATTTACTGATAACTAATTTATTTTTTCATTTTCCCTGAAACTCCAAGATTGTATATAATAAATTCACATAGTTTATATCTTTATATTCAACCAACCAACATTTTCAAACCTTAATGTCTTAAGTCACTTTGTCAACCTCCTTCCTACTTTAGCTACAAAGAAGGCAAGTATGATTCAGTAAATATTAGAATAGAATCAGGAAATTAAGATGATAACACTTAAGAAATGACCTTGGGAAAAACTACTTACACTCCCCGGACTTATCTAAAAAATGAGATTCAAATGAAATAATCTTCAAAGTCCCTTCCAGTTCTAAAACACTATAAGCATTTATATTTTAAATAAAACCCAAATGTCTGAAAACATACAAAACTGGATCTTATTGCATTCTAATCACTTCTGGAAAGAACAGAAAAAATGCAGAAGATATTACTGACTTTTCAAATCTCTTCCCAGAAATAGTCCTAACAGCAGAGTAGATTGAATGTGCACTTCCAGGAGGTAAGTGGTATCCCAAACTAAGTAGTCCATTTTAAGCAAGAAATTACTTTAAATTCCTACAATCTTGACTTTTAACTTCATAATATATGGCATGCTTTTAAATAAAATAATGTTTCCTACATAAAACTGAGAATTTAAAACTAAAAAGTTAAATAACTTACCTACATAAAACGGAGATTATCAGAAGATGCCATACTTCTACCCTGGAATAGCTAGGATTTCTCCCTCCCTTCACCCTCAATCTCCAAGCCCAACTTCAGCAGTTGGAACAACAACAAAAAAAGGAGTAATCATCCATTTCCTACTTGAAAAATTTAATGAACACTCACAAATTATAACACTTAAGGATATAGCAATAGGTTCTTAAAGCACAAGTTTCTGCTCTAGAGAGTTTAAAACCCTGGGAAAAGAAAATCTGGTCCATTTTCTTAGTCACTAACAATTGCCTTTTACTGTGGTTTTGTTCAAACCTTATGTTCATTTCTATAATTTGGTAGACAAAAGTCCCTGTTTAAAATCAATCTGAAGATAATTTGTTGGCCCATTTGAACCACCAGTAAACTCAGAAGGATTACGTATTTTTAAAAAACTAAATTTAGTCCACAACTAAAGGGAATCATCACTTAAGTCCACTCAACAACAAATACATTTTCTAACAGTCACATATTATTGCAATTTTTAAAAATATTTTGATTTGAGAGAGGAAGGGAGAGGGAGAGAGAGAGAAACATCAATGAGAGAAAATCATTGATTGGCTGGGCATCAAGCCTGAAACCTAGGCATGTGCCCTGACCGTGACCTCCTGGTTCATGAGTTGATGCTCAACCACTGAACCACACCAGCTGGGCATCTTATGCAATTTTTAAGAAATGTTTCATTCTATACATGATTAAAGGCACTAAAATATGAATAAATTTAGTTTCTAAGGTAGATTATTTTAATATTTGAAAGTAGATTAGAATTTAAAATTCACAAACCTTTACTGAGCACCTACCTACTAGATTTCAGATCCTTTAAATTATCATAAAAATCTGCTAGTTAATAATACCATGAAACAATTTAATTTTTCTTTTTCAATTACAGCAGACATATAATACTATATTAGTTTCAGGTGTACCACATCACATGGTGACTAGACATTTTTATAACTTATTAAGTGGTCCCTCCAATAAGTTGCATATCCATCTGACACCCTATATAGTTATTACAATAGTATTTATTATATTCCCTATGCTGTGCCTTATATTCCCATGACTATTTTTATAACTGGCAAGTCCTTCTTCTTAATCTCTTCACATTTTTCATCAATCTCCCT